TCAACCCACGACGAACTCCGAAAAACTCTTTCAATTCTTTCGTAATACAATGCAATGCCTGCTTCCGAAAGCAACCAACATCCATGCAAATCATGCATGCACGGAGACGGCGGGGTCTTTCAGGTGCCGTACAGTTTACTCCTAAACAAAGCACAGGTCAGCCTCCGCTTCCACCATGTCATTAAGCCCCGTCATGCAGCCGTACCGTACCGTGCCGTACTGCAGCACAACAGCAGCAGCCGCCTACTTCTCCCACCGCCCCGCCCCCTGCTGCTGCGTTGTCCTAGGCTCCTGCCCAGTCACTTGCGGTGTGGGTAGCAGCTCTAACGGAGCATCCAATCCCTCATCCGCATCACCCGCATTACCACGCCCTTGCGCCTCCCCTTCCTCCTCACTAATCCGCATCTGCCGTGTGTGTATCACCTCACTCCCAGCGGTGCCTGCACCGCCGCCTACTTTTCCGCCGCCACCGCCCCCAACGACGGTGCCGCTTCCCGACCCCACTCGCCCCAATTCCAGTTCCGAAGCACCAGGTATCCTGGGATTTGTGACGGCCACATGACCTCCAACTGTGTGACGATAACCCGCAGGTGCAGGCGCAAGTGAGTCATCCCCAGACCAGCCCGCACGAAACGCAGACGGCAGAGCAGACGCGTTTCTGGAAACGGGAAGCGCAGCACCGCCGGCCAAACGACCCATGGGTCGCAGGAAGCCCCTTCCACCACCTGCTTCAAAATCGGCATCACCGCCTGCATGGCGGCCGTTGCCACCGCTTCCGCCTCCTCCACCGCCCAGGTCTTCTAGAGTGAAGACCTCGTCTCCTACGTCGCTCCCATCTAAGGAAAAGCCGCCGCCACCGCCACCGCCACCGCCACCGCCGCCGCCACCTGCAGCGGCGGGCCCCGAGTACTGCCCCATCTCCGCCGACCTGCCGCCGCCGACGACGCCGCCGCCGCCGCGGCCGCCGCGCGCAGGACTGCTGCCGTACACATTGAGCAGTCTGTAGCGTTCCGCCGCAACTGCGGTAGCAGCGGCCTCCTCGCGGTACCGTTTGCCGTACCGCAGCCGACGGTAGCCGTCGGCGACGGCGGCGCAAAAGCGGCTCCAGGGAATGTCCGCGGCGGCGGCGGCGGAGGTAACCAGACCAGGAGTGTACGACTGACCTGTGAAGACGGGTTCGTAGGAGTAGAGGCCCTGCAGGGGTAGGTGCGGCGGAGGGAAGGTGTCCTTATCACCTGCTTGATAGCTGGATACGCCTATCCGCACTACCTGACTGTCCTTATTATAGTACCAAGAAACGAGTATAATGCAAGCAGTTTAGTAAAACCGTGAACCACTCCCATCTCTCCTCACCTGCGCGCTCCAAAGCGCCCTCCAGCTGCCCGGCCGCAGAAAGCCGCAGCACCACATCACCCCTCCCACCGTACCAGCAGCCAGCAGCACACACGACACCACAATAAACACCACCAAACCGCCATGACTGCTGCTGCTAGTGCCACCGCCGCTTGTTGGTGACCCATGGGTCGCGTCTGCCTCCTGGGATGATGATGAGGCGGAGGCGGATGAGGAAGCCGAGGCGGAGGCGTCTCCTTGTGAACTAGACTGGGACTGAGACTCGGCTTGGGACGTAGCTTGTGTTTGCGATGGGGATTGGGAACTTCCGGAGGAGATGGGTTGCAGTGGCGGCGGCGGTGACGGAAGTGGCGGCAGCGGCGGTGGCGGCGGCGGCGCTGGCGGCGGCGTCACGACGACGCAGGTGAGTGAGAGGTTGGGCGGCAGTGGCGGTGCGGCTTCGGAGTCCCCGGACCAAGTGGAGGAGTTGAAGGGCTGCGAAGGAGACGAGGAGGAAAGATGGGGAGGAAAGAAGTGGAGGAAGCCACGACGGGTGAATCTCGAGGGTGCAGCAGGGTGACAGCAGTGACACCGGTAGGAGACAGCAGGGGTGCATTTAGAGCAGAGCGAGGTAGACATGGGGTGACGGCCTCGGGTGGGAGGAATGCTTACAGTCTATCTTACTGATGCGCACCCCGGCACTAACCCCTACCATCCCCCCCCCGGGCCGCTTACATCGCAACCGTACGGCAGTTTGCGTCCATCATCGCACGTGCAGCGCCCCATCACCCGCACCCTGTCACACGGGTCTCCGCCTCCTCCTCCACCACCACCGCCACTGCTGCCGCCCTGCCCCTGCGGCTGCTCCCCCGCTGTTTCCTCTTTACCCGCCTGCAGCGGCACCTGCGCTGCCGTGTAGAAGGGCATACGCGCGAACCCAGTGTGGGCGATGCGAGTGGTGAGCGTTACGTCGCTGAGGGCCGAGTCGTTGTGGTAGCGCTGCTGCGGCACCTCGCAGTCTGGAGGGGTGCTCAGGAGGGGAACGGGTTGGGGGGTCTAAGACCATACCAAACCATAGGAGACCACAAGTTAGGGCAAAGCAATGGGGGGAAAGCGGGCGGGAGGGTGATGCCGTACGGGGGAAAGGAAAGGACAGCTGACGGAGCTGGGATGGAGAGTGAATGGCGGAGGCGACGCAGTGTGTGTGTTACGTCCCCGTCTCCCGCCCCCCACCTCCCGTCCGCCCCCCCCACCTCCCCCCTCCCAGTTGTTTCCTCTTTACCCCCCCCCCCCCTCCCACCTGCGAACTGCGGGCTGCACGTCAGCTGCTGGCAGCATGTGAGCAGCGGCCTCAGGCGGCAGCAGGTCTCCCGGAAGCAGGCGCCCAGGTGGGAGGCGTCCAAGCAGGTGTCCAGGTCGAAGCAGAGCTGGGTGGGAGGGAGGGAGGGAGGGGGAACGGGGGTGGAGAGGAGGAGGAGGAGGAGGAGGAGCGGGAGGGAGGGAGGAGGAGGAGCTGGGGTAAGCAGGAGAGAGAGAGAGGGAGGGAGGAAGACCGGAGCACGCCGGGCAGGGCAGGGCTAAATAGGCCTACAGTGGGCAGTAGCGGTGGTAGTGCAGTGCAGTAGCAGCAGGGGGCAGTGGCAGCAGGGGGGCAGGGCGCGGTGGCGGTGGGTCATGGAGGCAGTGGCGGGCGGTCATGGGTGGGCGGTAGGTCATGCCTGCCCACCCACCTGGCGCTCCGTCTGCGTGAATCCCTCCTCGCAGCCGCCCGGGGTGCAGCCGGTGACGTGGCAGTCGTCGGGGTCGGGCGTCAGGGCGGGGGCGCCGAACTGGAGGGGGAGGGGGAGAGGCAGGGAGGGAGGGAGAGGGGTGGGGAGAGGGATGGATGGAGGTGGGGAGCGTGCGGGGAGTCCTGGAAACCCAAGGCCGGGAGACGGAGATGGCTGCGTGTCTGGTTGCTGTCAACTAGCCGGGCCCCTGCGTGCACTCCGCTACGCACCGTCCCCGCACGATGCCATCACCCACGCCCTCCCGCCCTGCCCCAAGCCGTGACTCCCTATTCTCCCGCGCACCTGCCATTCTGCGGTGCCCGGCGGACAGACGTCCCACGCTTTGCTGCAGTTGAAGGCGTTGGTGCAGGTGGGGGTGGGGATGACGGCTGGGGGCGCTGCCGGTGGAGGGGGCGCGGGCGCGGGGACGGGTGGGGTTGACGGTGCGGGCGAGGCTGAAGGGGAGGCCGAGGGCGAGGATGCGGGTGTGGGTGTGGGCGAAGGGTTCGCATCGCCACCAGGACTGCCGGGCTGGCTGCAAACCGTGGTGCAGGCGGCAGCTGGGACCCAGGCGACGGCCGCTGAGGGCTGGGAAGCGGGGCGGGGCGCGGAGGAGGGGGGCGAGGTTGGGAAAGGGGCAGCGGGACATGAAGAGGCACGCGAATGGCAGACGGGCAGGGAGAGAAGGGTATCGCGTCAAGCCAAACAACTGACCGAAGCAGTGAGAGCTATACCGAGGGGCTAACTACGCAATAAGCTGCAAAGCGCAGGAGCTGGCCTCCCGGCGCTTTTCATGCCAATCCACACTAGCAACACGAAAGGTAGGTGCCGCGTGGCAAATGTTGCCAAGGGAAGCTTTGCGTGAAGGGAATTGTGAATAGGCTCCAGTCCGGGGTCATGGAGCGTCCAGACGCGGACTTTTCTGGGCCCGGCCGAGTATGGCTCCATTCGTGTGGAATAGCGAGTAGCTAGTTGTGCAAACACCGCCTTCTTCGCGTGATGCTGATGTGCTACACGTTTATTAAAGCTTACCTGGGTCGCACATAGCAATAAAGTGAAAAACAACAACCCAACTGCCCAGATGTTCTTGGACCACGACCCGGCAAGACGTCTCGGTCCATGACCCCGACTAGATACTACATTAGATCTTGTAAGCCACGAGCTTCCTTTAGTGTGCCTAATGCAATCCACCGTTGGTTGGTCTTGTCGCATGAATGCGCTTAGCTGTATGAACGCATACAACCCGATGTCGAAGGCTTGCTTGTACACTAATACTAATTCGGGTTGCAACGGGGATGAGCCGTGCCTCCGCAGCAAATTTAGCCTGGATCCTGGTTCCTGGAACTACCAACTCCGGAGCCATCGACCTGGAACAGAGGGACGAGGCCCACGGTGGCCGCAATAGAGAGGAACGCCCTAGGGCCTTGGCCCTACCACGCCAGGGCCAGTGTGCTTCGGCTGTTGCCGTCCGCGGTATGTCATACACTACCGGTATCTTAAGAGGTCTGTTTTGCTGCAGTGCAGTGCATGAAGATTTCCTACTGTAAGCGCTTATAACGGCAACTCTAACAAGAAGGGGCCTGAAATCCTTGTGCTGGATGATGTCGCCGCCTACGGCTTCGGTTGGAAGCGGCTTGCAACAAGTCCTAACTTCAAAGGCATGGGTGGAACGTCCATTGTAACCTTCTGCTCTGACGTTCTCGGGTATCTTGGGATCAGGAGTAGTTACCTGGACTAAGAGCGTACCGGGTACTCGCGATGCATCCCGACGCAGGGATTCTTCATAACGCCATGCCACTTAATACATATTATGGGTCCAGAAACAAAATACAGCAATACATTCTGTATTTCCAGATATGATCAGTCACGTATTGACCAACTGCCAGCAGTACAATATTCCTTCTTCTCGATAGCTTCCCGCTTGCTTCGTCCTTCGGATCCAGGGATTCTGGAGATCCTACCACAGGAGGCACCTAATAAGTGCCCGAAGAGTTAACAAATTGTGGCACAAGTATTTCCTAAGCGACAGTGCGCTGTGTCTGACAGGTAGTGCGCGGCTACCTACCCTGGACCTACGCTCACCTGCCTTTAACTCAGTAAGCTTCTCTTGAAGTTTAAGTATGTTTTATTATCGGCAGCTTCAGTCAAAATGACAACAAGTAACCCAAGGATATCGGTATCTCGAGCAATGCGGATGGAGTTGGCCCTTGCGCTCGTGGCCTTCGTCGCTCTCCTGTGAGTGCCGCGGGTCTGCTATCTGTGGCGCTGAATTTGGGTGTATCAAGTGAATGTGGTTGTCGCCGCGCTTTAGCAACACTAATGGCCTTGAGCCGTTCTTGCTTTCATTACGGCAAGACGAACCAGATCGTGTACGCAACCCTGGCAATGAATTCACTGTATTGTAGCGAAAGAATATGACCGCGCCGGCTAGATTAAGGGCCTATTGTTAATTACATCTGCCGCGTCCTGCCGTCCTGGTACTTTCCTTACAGGGGCCATGGAGCTCAGGCGCAGTCGAGTTCTACTTTTCCATACAGTTCTTGCACTCAGAGCCCTTCCGCGTACAGCTTGCTTCCGGTTGCCCGTTCGCTTGGCAATGGCCAGTACTGCTTCACGCTCAACGCCAAGCCTCCCACCGGCTGTAATACCTACTGCTGCACTCGCGCGGATGTAGTAAAGATGCAGGTGGGACGCGTTGTTTGGGATGCGAAGTTGGATGTAGTCAACATGCCCGTTTTGTTGCATTGGTTTTTTTGTGACGTAACATGCTGCTTGCCATGTTACATCTGTAAACAAGCATGTTATACCCCTCATACTTATTTAAGTTACTGGAAGCAAGGCATGGCACGTGATCCGCTAGCTTCCTGCCAGGTCGCACAGAATTACCGCTTGGCTTCAATTCAAGACCTGCTGTACCCAAATTTCTTGCAACCCAAGCTAACCTATGTACTATCAGATCTCCTTCCTAAAATTACCACGTTCTACTTATCCTAACCACTTATCCTAACCCTTCCTTACCTCTCCCACCACAGCTCAACGTCAACGCCGCTTGCGATGTCGACGATGCCAACGTCACCGTCACCGTCTCCGGTGTCCCCGTCAAGCAGCAGCCCGAGGCCGAGTTCAAGGAGCCCAAGAGCGGTCGCTTCGTCCTCGCCATCTCCGAGCTCAGCCTCAACCGCGGCAGCAGCGGCGCCGACATCTGCATCTCCCTCAAGCCCAACAAGAAGGGCAAGGGCTGCACCACCCTTCAGCAGCTCTGCGTCCCTCCCGCCGGCATGCCCTCCGGCGTCTGCTCCGCCGCCCTGCTCGACTCAAACAAGGCCTGCTGCCCCATCTCCACCGTTGCCCCTCCGCCTCCCTCTCCCAGCCCACCACCTCCCAGCCCACCACCTCCCACCATGCCCCTGCCACCTCCTCCCAGCCCGCCGCCCCCGGCTCCTCCCCCGCCCGGCTTCCCTCCCCCGCCCGTGTACCCCGGCTCCACCTGCACCGCCTGCGTCTTCCTCAACCTGAACGCCGTCGCGCCTGGAAACGGCAACAGCAACACGCGCTTCCTGCCCGCCCAGTGCGGCCTCTACGCCATGCGTATCATCGCCGACATCAACGCCGCAGGTGCGGCGCTGGCTGAGCCCTTCTCCCTGTCTGGGTGCTCCGACAACCTTTTGAAGGTCTGCGGCGCCTTCACCTCCGCTGACGAGGCCGCCAAGCTGAAGACTGCGAGCCTTGTGCAGCAGTGGGTGAAGCTGGTGCGGGGCCCGGCGCCCGTGTGCCCAGGTTACCTAAAGGGGTTCACCGTGTCGGCTTACCTGGGTGGCCAGGGCAGCTGCCTGAGCGCCTCGGATGCGGCGTCCTGCTAAGAGGTTGCTGAGGGGGTGCTTTGCTTTTTGCAGCATGCGTAGGGTTGCATGGGTAGGAAGAAGTGACGAAGGATGGTAGAAGTAGGTTGATGTGGATGCTGGGACTGGGACTGGATGGTGGTGTTGGCGGTTGAAGAGTTGAAGGGAGGATTGGTTGTATAGTTGGTAGTCTTTGGCGTACAGAGCTAGAAGAATGTGGAGAGGAGGAGAAATGGTCGCTGGGTGCCCTGCTGTTGTCACATTGCACCGGGACAGCACCCTTTTGGTGGTAGTTTCGTGATGTTAGGCATCATCGTCATCGTCAACACGTAATTCTTTTGCGTTCGTAGCTCATGGTACCTATTCCTCGTGGGCTTTAGGAAGTCTGTTGTGGTCCTGCATAAAGTGTGATGTTCAGCAGGTGACCTCCCGTCGCAAGGGGCAGGCACGTACGGAAGCCCTCAGGCCGGTTTCAAGATCCTGCTGAAGTCGTGATTTATTGCTGCGTCGCGTGCTTTGTTCCTGGAACGCTAGTAGGTTGCAAACACCCTATGCGTGCTGCTGCTGCTATTTATGCGCACGATTTGCTGGTCTTCTAACGAGCTATGCGGGGGCAGTTGTAGCTAGACCTGGGGTGTGATTCATAACTATCTGAGTAGTGCCATTAGCGTGTGAGAGCCGGTGGTACGCACCCATGTGGGTTGTGCGAGAGGACCACATACAATGGGCAGGATGTGCATAGCCTATGGGGTTCCCGCCAGGTGCTTTCACTTAACATATAGCTGCGCTTACCTTGAATAAGGTGAAATGCTAGAGTTTACCTAGTATGTAAGTGAAGACGTGCGTGCCGACGCGTGTGGCTAGGAGTCGACCCGGCTATCAAACGCGGGAATCCTTACGGCCGCATCATGGCCCTGCCGTCTTCATGACGTGAATTGTAAGTGTTAACTTAGAGCCCTCGTCCAGTCCTTCGTCAACCGAAACGTACTTGCCAACGGTCGACATTCGTACTGTACCCATCTTAGCTTTCAACGCTCTGCATTATCTATGCAAGCGAACGAAGCAACACGAAATGGTCGCGCATCCCTAACTTGATGCTTGCATAGGTCACAAAACTCAACATTGCCAAGTTAAGTGGAAGATACTTCATAAGCTAGCAAGTGGCAGCCTTACAAGTAATTACATATAAGGGTGAAGTAACGTGTAATACATGGCTCTCTTATACTTTCCGCCCAATAACGGTTGGGCTCGGCAAGCTGCGACCACAATTGCGACGCCGCCGGACCTCCGAAGTATCCCGCTGTATCCGCTGCGCATACAAAAATGTCGGACAACTAGCCTGACAATTGAGCCGAATTGCGTCCGCGACGCCAGCCTGTCCCATAGGCACCATCCTCAGTACATCCGTTGCAATGCAGCTACCAGCCTTAGCGAAGTGCCCAGACATGACGCACACAATGCTGTTGGAGCAAGCGCCGACCCGGTGGCTGCGTGCCTAAAGGAGTGGGTTGTAAAGCACAGCGGCCCTCTACCCACTGAGGCCTGCCCTGTACGCACCGCAAGGTGCGGTACAATGAGAGACTGAGGTTGCCGTACATTAGATGCACTCCAATCGGCCTTTCCCTCCACATCTAGAAATAATCCTCTATTCCACCTCCCATTCAAGCAACCTGCTTACCTTACCGTTACCCACCGTTATAACCGCCCAGCAGGGGCTCGTACGTCCTGGTTTCGGAGCAGCCCGTTCTCCGCGGTCAAACGCTCGTCCTAGTGCCACGTCAGCTCTTCCTAACGCCGTACACAGCGGCAGCCAGCCCCGTGTACGGCCACATCGTACGACAGGCCGGTTTGGACGAGTGGCGTGCCATGCTGCTGCAGCTGCTCTGCGAGAGGGCTTTGGGCGCTGACAGTTTTTGGGCCCCATACCTGGCTAGCCTACCCGAGGACATGGTGGGTTGTACAGTTACGGTTACAGTTACAGTTACGGTTACAGTTACAGTTACAGTCTATACGCATGTACATTGTGTTTTAGGAGCGGTGGGGGCCAAGGACATGGCGGGTTGCTTAGTGACGTGAACATGTGCTCACGGGAAGTACTTCGCGTTGCACTGTGACATGTGTTTCACAGTGCCACGCGTACTACTTGGCGCCCCTGCTTTCGTTGTCGGCATCTACGCCACAGCTCAGATCTGGATTGTCTCAACCCAACCCTCTTCGCATCCACATAAACCGCTACCTCAGTCCGACCACCCGCTGCTGTGGGGCCCCGAGCGGTTGGCCTGGTTGTACGGCAGTCCCCTGGCGGCGGCGCTAGCTGTACGGCAGCTGCAGCTGGCGGAGGACTGTACGGCACTCAGGGCGGCGGGGGCGGAGTCGCTACCGCTGGCGGAGCAGTGGCGGCGAGCAACCGGGGTGCGTACGGCATGCGAGGGAAGACGAGAAACCAACTAACCACATGGCACATCCACCAGAGGCAGGTGTTCTTGTCCTGCCGGTCCCGCCCCCGGCCCCTCACGCCTCACATAGCACCCACCCAACCCGCCAGGCTCCTGAACGCCTTCCCCTCCCGCCCCCTTGCCCCCTTTCCTCCCCTCTCCTCCTGAGTGCAGTCTGACCTGGTGAGCGCTGCCTCGGTGGGCTGGGCTGCGGCAGTGCTGCTGGCGCGGGGATACCGACTGGAACTGGAACTGGAGGAGGAGGAAGAGGAAGAGGCGGGAGGATATGGAGAGGAGGAGGCGGAGGAGGCGGAGGAGCAGGAAGCGAGCGGTGGAGGAGGTGGAGGCGGTGGAGGCGGTGTGTTGGTGCTGGTGCCGTGGGCGGATTGCCTGCAGCACAGCAGCGCGGCGGGTGAGAGGGCGAGCGGGAGGAGGGGAGGAGAGTGAGGGGGAGGGACTGGGTCCAAGGCGGGGAGGAGGGAAGCGGGGACCACGAGCGGGAGCCTGCAGTTGCTCCTGTGATCCATGCAATCCGCAGAGTAACGGTAGACAACTCCAACAGTCATTCAAACTCATTCTGCTACACCCCACACGATTATTATAGATGCTGCTGCTGCGCTGCACTTGCTCCGCATATGCCTAAGTCCGCTGCCCCTTCCCAACCAAACCTCCATGGCACCCCTACCTCCTCCTGCTCCTCCTCCTGCTGCCACATGCAGGCCCCTCCTCCGTCGCCCGCTACGACCCCTCCCTGCGCTGTGTGGTGGTACGGGCGCACCGCGACTACACCACCGGGGGACCCTCCGCGGGGGCAGCGGCGGCGGAGGGGCGGCAGCAGCCACAGCAGGGGGCGGAGAGGCAGCAGCAGCCACAGCAGCAGCAGCAGCAGGGGTGCAGGTGGGGGTTGCCGGCGGGGGGTGGGTGTTACCCCGGTGAGGCGGTGCTGTGTGACTCGCACGGCCCGCACCTGTCCCCCGCGGAGCTCATGTTGGAGTACGGCATTGCAGCGGAGGAGGAGGAGGAGGAGGAGCGGGAGGGGCAGGAGCAGCAGGAGGGAGGAGTAGGGAGCAGTAGTGGCGGCGGGTGGCGGCGGGGGCGGCTGCGACATCGGTTCGATGCAGATGCGGCGGAAGTGGGTGAGTGGGGCGGGGCGGGGATGCTCCTGGGAGGGTGTTATTCATGTGGGTGAGGGAGGGAGGGCTGAGCAGGGAGGGTGTTGTTTTTAGTGTCTTCCCTTTTGCCAGCAATTCCAAGCTCCCCTTTCCTAGTTCCCGCTGATGGAATGAAATTACGCTTCCTGGTTCCCGCCGCCGCCGCCGTTGCTGCTGCTGTCCCGTTCATACCCTTCATGAACCCCCTTTCCCCTTTCCCCCGCCCACCCCGCCCACCCTGCCGGCCCCAGTGCCCCCTCGCTCCTCGCGCAATGCCGCACTGCTGCGAGCCCTCTCCGCTGCCATGGGGCCGGCAGCAGGGGCGGCGGGAGATGACACAACCTCGGGAGGCAGTAGCAGTGGTAGCAGTAGCGGGCTGGGTATATCGTTCCTGGAGGGAGGTCCGGACGGCCCCTCTCGGGCACTGCTGAGGGCGGCGAGGGCGACGGATGCGGAGCTGGTCCGGGCAGGTGGGGGGCGGCTGTGTTTTTGCGTGTAGCCACGCCACGTGTACGCCACGCCGTACTGCTGGCGTGTAGTCCACTGAGCGGTACCGGTATAAGAATACTGCGGGTGCGGGTGCGGGTATTTGGAAGTAGCGATGTCGGTAGCATTGCTCACGCCCGGGCTGTTTTATGTGTCACCTCCTTCCACCCCCTCCTGCCACCCCCTCCCACTTGCCACCTGCCTCGTCATCCAGTTCGCCAGTTTCCTTATTTTTTTCCCACCTGCCACCTGCCCTCCTTCCCCCCTCAGGCTGGCGCATCCGGGCTACCGAGTCCGACACCGAGCTAGCTTGCCGCGTCATGGCAACCCTGGGAAACACCAACACCACAACCACTTCCTCAGCCTCCTTATCCTCCTCCTCCTCCTCCTCTTCCACTGCCGCCCGAAGTGGCAACAGCAAAGATCGCAATAACACCCGCAGCAGCAGCCTCAGCCCAGCCGCCGGTGGCAACCGCAGCACGGCTGCTACCGCTGCTGCCACTGCTGGTCCGGTGGGTGTTGCCACGGAGGCCGCAGCTCTGCGGGCGGCGGCGGACTACCTGCGCCGGGCGCTAGAGGCCTTCCCCACCCCGCTAGAGGAGGACTTGGCGAGGCTGGCAGCAGTGGGGGGAGTAGAGGGGTGAGAGGGACGGGGAGGGAAAAAAGAAATTCCAAAGTGACGGGGAGGGAGGGACGGGATGGAAGAGGGGAGGGCGGGACCCGGCTGTAGCTGAGAACAACCCTGCGTCACCACCCTGCCTTCACGTTTCTACTCTTCCGTGAATGGGCTGTTCTTGATTCCCTCTCCCCTGGTTGAATTCCGGTGTGCCGTAACTCGTGCACGGCACATCCCCTGCGCAGTGCTGAGCGGCTGGCGTTGGTGGCTGTGGCGAGTCAGAAGCGCGCGCTGCTGGGCAGCCAGGCGGCGGTGGCGGGATGGCTGGAGAGGCTGGATGGCGGCTGCCCGGTAGCTGAGCTGTACGAGGATGAAGAAGAGGATGAGTATGAGGACGAGGATGAGGAGTATGGCGATGAAGAGGGAGGTTACGAGGAGGAAGACGTATAGCTATAGAAGCAAGTCAGCGGCATGGGCAAAAAAGCGGTGAAATGTCTGGAGCTGTAGTGACAGTTCTGAGCACTGGCTGGTGGGTCTATGCATAACTTTAAATCGGGTTAATGATTTTCATAGCTCGGGTAGGCCTTGAGTATGTACGCAGCCCAGGGGCAAATGCTATAGTCGGCCCATGGTTCGCCTGAAAATGTTTTGAGGCCTTCTAAATATCACTTTAATGATAACTAACATAGCTCTCATAAGGGTGACAAAAGGAGTGCAATTTTGACTCCTGCGCTCCACAAAAGGAGTGCAATTTTGACTCCTGCGCTCCCTGGAAGGGAGGAGATAGATGGCTTCGGAGCACCGCGGCGCCTTAGACCAGATCATTGACTGGCTTAGAAGAGGTGATAAGTACGTATGTACACATATATCAAGCCTCCCTTCGGTCAGGTGAGAAGGCGAAATCTGCTGGGCACGCATGGCATAATTTTGTGTTTTTGCGAAAGCAGGACAGTGAAAGGTAAATGGATGAGTCAAACAAATGTTCCAGGGCGCTCAGCTCAATTATGTGCAGGCAAGGAAGATGGATTAAATTGTTCGGTTTGTGTATTTTGCCGTTCCTGACACTCGGACGGACTTACGGGCACATGGACGTGGGCATCGTCCCCCCAAGCCTGTTCGCGACGGGGCACCGCGACCGGGGCACCACGACGGGGGCTCCGCCTAAAAAAGCCTTGGTGCATGGCTGCGAAGCGCCCCGGCTGGGGAAGTTCAATTGCACCCCGCTTCAGCTGTATCACACACCGCCCCGCCTGGGCGACACCCCCTCCTCCTCCCCCCGATCCCGGCTGGGGTGCATGGGTGTGGGAATGCCTGCATGTGTGAGAGCCAGCAATGAGGCAAAGCGGTGATGTCTGCATGTATGGGTGGCACAGATTGCATTTGATGTGAATGGTGGCATCATTTGCAAGGGGAGTGCAGGAACAATGGGCTACCGGTATTGTTGCAGACGTGCCGCTTACCCTCGTGACGCCTGAGCTCGGGCAGGGTGGGACTGCCTGCATGCAAGCGCATTCGCAGTTGGCCAGTGTGGGGACACCGTCCCCGCTGGCGTCTAGGAAGGGTGCGCATGCGGTGTGTACAGGATCCAGTGAGCAGGGCGGTGATGCGTGCGCACACGGGCGCAAGAACACCAGCACAGCAGGGATGTCTACATACCGATACATGGGCCCAGCTGTATGTCAGGCAAAGCGGGGAAGGCTGCACGCACGGGTGTACATACTGCAGCCCATACAAGGTGGTGATGCATGCAAGCAAGTGGTTGGGAAGAGCAGGGGCACTGTGGTATGGGCAGGATACCTGTGCGTTTGGGAGTCGTAGTGGGAGAGCGTCAGGGGTCCGTCTTGCTAGAGCACCTGTTGATATGCCCATTCATGGGATGCCTTCGGCATGCCACATCTGTGCTGCTTACGCGCATATGTATGCGTTCACTCGATGCTGTCTTTTTGCTTGTTCTTGCTGCACTCAACTTGTGTTTGCGGCAATCGTCTTTATGGCAAGCCTTGAACTGTGCGAGCATGCCGGCACGCATGGGTGCTTGGTACCGGTAGTTGCCTACACGTATGTATGGATTTCGGCCGTTAAGGAAGGGTTAGGTAGCCTGCACAGCAGGGCACGGCGGGGATGCCTGCCTGCACACGTGCTTAGTGGTGTGCAAAGTGGAGATTGCCCTGCAGGCATGAGCTCTGTGATTTGGGGAGAAGGGTTCCTCCACGAATGAAAGCTAGCCCCTTGGCAGCTTGAGCACGCACGAGGATGCAGGCGCACAGCATTTGGGCAGGGGGGATGTCAGCATGCACCTTCTGGCACGCATGGGCTCGAGTCTTCGGAAACCACTGTGATGCCTGCATCCATGAGCGCTTTCACAGTTTGGGCACAGGCGGGGATGCACTCAGCAGGGATGCCTGGATGCAGGGTGAATGCGTTGCATGCACGGGGGCCAGTGAACAGGGTGGTGATGTGTGCGCTGCCGTAGCATGCACCATCCCGAGATACACTGCACCCCTTCCCGACCCCGGCAGGGTAGGTGCATTGATTGCCTGCGTGCATGGGGGTATGTATGGGCGCCAGCTGTCAGGCACAGCGGGGAACGCTGCATGCATGGGTGTATGTACTCCAGCAGGGTGGAGATGCATGCACGCCAGAGGTTGGGTAGAGAGGGGGAGGCAGCACTCATGGGCGCTGTGGTGTGGGCAGAATGCCTGCGCGTTTGGAAGCCGTACTGGGAGAGAGAGTCAGGGCCCCCGCTTGCTAGGCCACCTGCTGACCTGCCCGTTCATGGAGCTGCCTGTGGCATGCGGCATCTGTGCTCCTTGCTCGCGTACGTCACTCAAGCCACCACATGCGGTTGGCTTGTAAAACAGTGATGGCGGGATGCAGCACGTCAAAGGGGGGCATGTCTGTTATTATGGGCTTTGGGCAGGGCGGGAGTGCTGTGTGTATTGGTTGGGCAGGCTGGCGCATGCCCACATGAGCGTCAGTACTTGGCAGGCCAGGGAAGACATGGATGTTTGCTGGGCAAGGTGGGGACGCTGGGATCGGGCGTGACACGACTTGCACTGCCGCTCGCGGGTTTTGCCGGGGCACGTGCTGACCTTCATGTTCGTGAAGCTGCTTTGCGCATGTGCAGCCCGCACGTGCACACCTGGGCTCACCGCTCTGCTTCTATATCATCCTGGTAACGCGTTAGCAAGCATTGCAGGCGGCGAGTATGAGTTTGGCAAGGAAATGCAGAACACTTGCACTACTCAAGTGACAGGCCATCGCCGTCCTCTTCAAGGAAACATGCTCAAAATGTTAAATTTTAGTTTAATGCATCCGAGCGCTTCACGCGCTTACAGAACGTCTCTGACAGGGCAATTAGAATTCGTCGCCCCTTTGCGCTTGCGGCAGACGCTTTTCACCTACACCGCTTTTGTCCATTACCAGTAACTATAAGCTAGTACATTGCAGCCTTAGCTTTGACGCTTTCACGTCCGAAGCTCGGCCCAGAAGTCTGAACGTCGCCCGACGCGAAGGAGCCTTTATTTACATAGCTTTTTTCATACGCTTTTACAGCTAATGTCAGAGCGTACATCGCGGTTGTTCCTGCGTCCTTCGCTGCAACCCTTCCAGAGCGGTTCTGGAGCCCCAGGTTTTGTTGTCGTACACCAGTCCCCTGCGGGCGAAACGTTAAAGGCGTGCCTTCGAAATCTGCAGATTTCGCACTTGTAAATCTGTCGAGTCTTAAACTGGGTCTTCGTGCCAGTTTCAGCAATACTCCTGTGCATTGACGCGACCCCAGAAAAATGAGTTCAGCCGATCCGCGCACTCACTATCAAGGACGCGAAATCCAGCTATATGACACTGGAGCTAACCCAGTCTTCGACGGCAGCTCGTCCTATAAGCAGGACTATCCAGCGCACGCAATCAACCCTCGTCAACCGGTTAGCCCTGGCCAGCGTCAATACCAAGGTAAATAAATACCAGCAGTGCCATCCCTTTGAAACCATAGTATACGACGCGTTTGTCGTCCACCATACATCCATGCAACCGTTTCCTCTTCCCGACGACAGGCAACAACGTCCCTTTTGAGGGCAACTCCTCCTACAAGCAGGACTATCCAGCGCACCAACTTGAGCCCCGGCCTCCTGCTTCAGGCGGACAGTACCAACCCAACCCGGCGCCATTCGATGGTGGGATGGCCAGCAACACGACATCCCACGCACTCAGCCAGCCACATTTGTCCCTTCCGTACCCTTGGGCAACGGGGCAACGAACCAACTCACACACATGCCACAAAGGCCACTCTCCATTACATGCTTGCATGCCTCCCCAACCCCACGTCCTCAAAACCCCCACCCTAACCCCCACCCGCCCCCTCAGGCTCCACCGCCTACCGTGATACCTACCGCCCTCATGCCATCGACCCCAGCCTCTACCAGCGCTCCGGCGGCGGTACCAACCGCCCGTACAACACCGGTACGGCACCCTTCGAGGGGAACTCGTCGTACAAGCAGGATTTCCCGCAGCACCCCATAGAGCCGCGGCAGCAGCATGCCACCTCACAGTACCAGGCCAATAACGCGCCCTTTGACGGCACCTCTCATTACAAGGTAAGATTTGAGACCTGTTTGACAGGTTACTCTTGTGAGTTCTCGACCTGCATAGCACCATGCATGGCGGTTAATACCGGTATGCTTCCGCGGTTATTGCCTGCACAACCTGCCTTGGTTGTACCGGTAAGCCAAGACCTGCCCATTCGTTGAGCCTGCACGCATGAACTCTTCCGCCTTCTCACTCCGCGTCCAGCATCGGCATTGGTTGCCCAGCTTCCCTCCCCAAGGCTCTTCTTTCCAGCTTAATGCAAATCTCTTCCCCTTCCTCTGGTCTTGTATATCCTTGACCCCCTACCTCACTTCTCCCCTCCTCCGCTCCCAGTCCGACTACCAGGCCTACCAGCTGGAGCCCCGCGCGCCCGCCGGACCGCCCCCGGCGCCCTACAACCCCGCACCCTTCGAGGGACAGACCCACTACAGGTGAGAGCCCCTCCCGCTCTCCCCATCCACCACCTCCCAGTCCAGCTCTCTTGCTGTCTTGCTCTTGTCAGCTAGAAGCGGCTCCAACCCCGGACCGTCCTGTCGCCCACACTCGTTGCCCTGTCCCACTGCCCCCTGTACACCATACATCACCCTGCCTCACAGACTACCTTATTTCATTTCTCACAACAAACAACACAACTCCTCACAGACACCCTACAGTTAGGATATCCATTTGGGTGTCCACATCCCGCCCTTGCCGCATATCCAACCCTGGCGTGCCCCCGGGCATTCCTCGCCCCTCACCGTCCCTGTCCCTGTGTCCCCCACCCCCGCCGCATTCCTCACCCCTCATTCCCCCCTCCCGACTCCCGCCCTCCTCCCAGGGACGACTTCCGCGCCCCGCCGCTGGAGCCCCGCCCCCCGCCCCCCGCCGCCGCCTACCAGCCCAACGCCGCCCCCTTCCAGGGCTCCACCGAGACCCGCGACCAGTACCAACCCTGGCCCCTGGACCCAGCCAACACACAGCGACGGACGGTGCGTGGGGGGGGTGCTGGGGTGAGGGTTGCATGCAAGGGGGCGCCATGCCGGGTTGTCTAGATACGCAGGGAGCGCCTTCATACCGCAAGTTGCCCCCCTCCTCGGCATGCAAGCGGAATAGTGGAAGGCGCGTTGCTTGCCTGATTCTGAGCCGGTCTCTGATAGGTCCTGCCGAGGGGTTCCGAGGGTTGATGACACATTTTTAGCCTCACAACATCACGCCCTCATCCCTACCACCATTAACCCTTCCCCACCTCATCCACCTCCCTCCTTCCCTCCTTCCCTCCGCAGGGCCCGCCCCCCATGCTACCCTCCGTGCCCTTTGACGCCTCCTCCACCTACAAGCAGCAGTTCCGAGGGTGGCGCCTGCCGCCCCGCCGCCCCGCCCTGGGCGTGCAGCTGCGCGGCGACCGAGCCTACACGCTCATCCCCGCGGAGGCGCCGCTGCCCGCGGTGGGCAAGCAGGTGTTCACCACGGTGAGGGGGGGGGGGAGGGGGGGGAGAGCGGGAGCGGGAAGAATCAATGATGAGGCAGGGAGGCAAAGAGGGAGGTAAAACAATGATATGTGCAGGAGCAAAAGGGAGCAGGAGCGCGAAAAAGAAAATGATGTGGTAGAAAGGGAGGGAGGGAGCAGGAGCAGGAGGGCTGGTTATGGTAGTGGTACACGGTACCGTAGTTGGGAGGAGGAGGGCAGGTAGTGGGGAGGCGCACCAGGAGGTCCCCAGCCAACTCTCCGCCCGACCCCCAACCCCCTCCACTGGCAGGTCCACGACAACCAGACGGAGATATGCGTGCTGGTGCTGCGGGTAGGGCGGCGGGGCGGTGTGTGTGCGGCTGTTGGGGACGGCTGTTGGGGCTGCGGGATTCGACACATGCGTGCGCTGCAACACAACCCCGAAGCACGCAGCCCTCGCATTCACCCTGCCTTACCCTCCCTTGGTATACCGGTACCTGCATTCCGGTGAATAGCTTCCCAACCTTAATCCGCCCTCTACCTCCATCCCCTCCCTATCCTGTACCCCGGCCCCCGCACCCCTGCAGGGAGACGCCCCGGTGGCCAGTCGTAACTCGGTGATCGGGCAGTTCGACCTAACGGGTCTGCCGCCGGGTGGGTACCTGTAGGGGGGTGGGGGCTGTACCGGTACGACACTTCCGCACAGGGCTTGTCTGTGCTGTAGGGTTTGGGCTGTCTGTCCCTGTCTCCTGCTCCCCTGCCCTGTCTAAACCTCCTCCTCCTCTCTCTTACCCCTCCTCCTCCCCCTGCTGCTCCCCCTCCTCCCCCCCCCCCCGCTCGCACCCCCCAGGTCCCCGCGGCGCCGCCCGTGTGGAGATCAACCTGACCCTCAGCCCCGACAACGTGCTGTCCGCCACCGCCACCGACCTGGATGCGCAGCGGCAGGAGCAGTGGCTGCGGCAGGGCAGCATGGTGGCGCGGAAGCACTCGGACGAGGTGACGGCGGTGTGAGGGAAGGGAGGGTGGAAAAACCCTCCCTGCAAATTGAAGCACGGGGAGGGAGCGGAGAGGGAGTGGATGCGCAGGGGCGGGGCGGTGGAGTGAGGTGGGAGTAGTAGGTCAGCGGCGACGTTGCCCTGACTGGCAATTGTGTAATTTGTGTAAATATCCGTACGGTGCATTCGTTTCGGCGCAGCTGCCCGGAGGTGGGAGTCGGTAGGCAGATTGGAAGGGGTTTTAGCTACTCTGGCTAGTGGGCAGGTCACTTTGGGTTTAGGCGGGGCACTCTGCCCAGCCTCGTGCGGGTCTCTTCCTGTGAACCAGGAGCGGTCGCTTACAAGGTCGTGTTTGGCTGCTGGTGAATACCATGTGTGGTTGTCAGCGAGCGGGTAGCAAGTGGGCTGTGAGTTACCGGAGCGCGCGAGATTCTCCTATAGTCCTATTGATTGGCAAGAACTTGGCTCGGGATATATACTGCAGGCGCATGAGAGCGCCTAGGCATGGAGATCTTTTAGGAATTTGCAAACCGGACCCCTGGTGAAAGATCCCAGGCGAGCGAATTGCGTCACTAGTCATAACACACGTCTCATGACCTGCGGGCGTTACATACCCGGTTCAGTTGCGGACTGCGCCCAAGAATGTGCCCTTATACGGTGAGAAGTGTGATCACAGGTCTTGGGGAGGCTGCTTGTCCTTGTGATTAAGGATATGAGGCCGGGTGTCATGATGAGGTGATGACCCATGGGTCAGTCTGTTGGTCTTGCAGCTGGGGTGCTGGCGAGAAGCCGGGCAATGCTCCACGTGGCGCACCCTCCTAGACGCGCTGAAACACAAACGCGTCAGGGATGATGTTGTGTGTTGCTTTGGACCCTCTGCTTTGTTGAAACAAACACCGGCATGATGTTTACAACAGCCGTCATGCCACGAGTTACAGCATGCCGGTGCATGAGCCGAGTAAACAGCAAGACCTCTGCTACCTTACCCAACGTTATGCTGCCCTCCTCATTTGCGGACCCCACCTCTCTAAGCCTGTAGGCCGGTTAACCTGGCCCTGCCTTGTCCTGCCCTGGCGCGCCTGCGTTATCCCGCATGAGACCGCTATCACACCTACGACCGCTCTAGGGCGCCCATTCCTGAGCACCCCCACACACTGGCCACCCGCCTCATGGGCCTTATGAGCGTCAAAGCGTAAATCACCGGAGGAGCCTCATACACATCACGCCTCACGCAGCCTGTCACGGTTCACAGTTCACTTGTGTGATCACACACAGTACATTACGACTCGCGGCCAGTTTTCTTAGCGCAGAGTGTTCAGGAGCAGTACCAGGACACTGCCGCCTGCACACACCTGACAGCACCCGCCAGCACCCCAGGGCTGCCAAAGGAAGTGCCATTTCACCCAACCACACACGTCTAATGAGCATCGTCACGAGCCCTCATCAACACAACACGGACACTAGCCCAAGGGGCATTGGCATAGGTATGCGGATTGCCGTTCGCTTTCGGGGTTCGCATTCCACATCTCAATTGAGCTCCTGCCCTTCCTCAAAAGGGCCCTGTGTCGCACCGTCCTCGAACTAACCGTTGCACTGGGACCGTTAATAAAGTACGACACAAAGAACATGCGTACGGAATGCAGTTACACGGCAATGCTAACTGACCGAAACAAACCGCTCCTGGAACAAAGGAAACAACACACGACACCAACACAACACAACATGCCCTGTGGGTGTGCTGAATGCCTATCGACAGCAATCCACCGCATTCTTCTCCTCCTCGACCCCGCATCAACTCCGCGACTGGCGGCCTGCAAGACACCAAGACCTTCCCCTCCTCGCGACGCAACACACCACGTCCGCAAGGCCAGGCGCATGCACCGCCAGTTGGAACCCAAGGGCCTGATGGTATGGACACGCCACTCCCAGTCCAGTCGTGTGTTAATGCCATAAGCGCCCAGGAACACACAGCGCTTATCGAATGCTAGGTGGGTGGCTCTCCCAAGTTCCGACCATTTCGCAGCACCTGCCGTACTTACGACGTCACCAACTCGCCGCCTTAGCTATCCACGCATGCTTCGAAATCAAAATACCAAAAACCGCCTCACAAAGGCCCGAATGATTACCTATCAACATTACATGACTATACAGCTATCATAGGAAAGTCATACTGAGTCATACTGCAAATACAGGGTACGCGACTAAATGCACACAGGACCTCCCAAAACGAATTGCTCCTGCCAATCCTGCCGCCTGCTGACACCACTGCCACGCTGCTGCTACTGCAGCCCCCCAGGCCGGCGTGACACATGAAAAGCCGTAAGCCAAGCCAACAAAGAGCAGCATTATAAAGTACAAGTCTCTAGTACCGGTAGTCCGTCGCGTGTATACGGTAACGCCACCTACCCCTGATACGGTAGCCAGTCTGCCTCCCCCCCCCATCCTTAGCAGCAGCGGCTGACAACGTCGCAGCCCTCAGCACTGCCTCCCCTTACATTGCGGCTCAGTCGAGTCATTCCCCTACACCCCGCCCTTCGCCGGCGCCACCTTTTGTCCCAAGGGCGCTGCAAACCGGAAAGCCCTCGCTATCACCACCGCGAGGGACCTCCTCACACGCCCCCCTGCAGCCAAACCATCACCGCTGCTCACGTCACCGCTGCTACTACCAACACCACCACCTCCTCCTCCACTGCTACTGCCGCCGCTGCTCCTCTTCTCGCCTGCATCTACACACCCCCGCACGCCTTGTCCCAGCCCCACCGGTGCGCTGCTGCGGTCATGCATCCGCGCCACCACCGCTGCCACAGCCATGCCATCCCTATCCCCACCACCCCCATCACACTCATCCTCACACTCCTCCCCACACTCTCGCACCCAACTGCCCCCACTGCCACCACCACCACCACCACCACCACCCAGCTCCTCATCACTAAAGTACCGCCGCAATCGCTCACGAGACTTCCCCCGACTCCAGGGAGGGTTCCTTGCGCCCGCCGTCGCCGCCGCTGCCGCCGCCGTCGCCGCCGCCAGACGCCAAATCGCACCCGGACTCCCCACCGGCGCTGACACCGCCACATCCGGCTCTCCGCTCCCACCCCCATCTGCATCCGCATGCGCGAGCAGCAGTGGCGACGGGCGATGCCGTGAGAGGGTCTTCAGGTGTTTGAAGGGCACCTCCGAATGCGTCACGAGACAGGCGTCCCGCTGCATGTCTGGCTCCTGCGGGGACTTGCGCGATCGCACCCAGGCGCCCGTCTCCAGGGTTGACCTTCTTCGCGGATGTAGCTGCTGCGAAAGCAGCGGCAGCGGCTGAGATACCCCGCGGGGGTGCTGCTGCTGTCGGGCCTGCTTATCGCCGCCGCCGCCGCCAGCGCCGGAGCTCGGACCCATGCCGGTAAACGCATCTGGGTCCGCCTCCCGAGACCAGTTGCTAACCGGATCAACGACCGGCAGGATGTGAGCCCTGACCGCCTGCTGGTCTGACCTCGGACTGCCTGGCTGCTCTACATTCAGCTTCTCAGCAGCAGCACTTGGAGGCGATGGAGCCTTGACCACTGGCCCTGTCCCCGCCCTTAGCCCTGATCCTCTAGGGCTGCTCACGAGGACGGATCCCCAGCCGCAATCGTGATCCTCGCACTGCACGTCCGGCAACACAGTCAACTGCTGCTGTTGTTGCTGCTGCTCCTGCCTGTTACGCGGGCCCTGCTGCTGCTGCTCCTGATGCGGCTGCAGCTGTTGCTGCTGTTGCTGCAGCATCGGTAACGGTAGCGCCCGACTCCCGCCAGAGCTCTTCCTCTTGCTGCTGTCAAGGCCGCATGCAGCAGCAGCAGCCGCAACAGTGCCGGACAACGGACCACAACCAGCAGCAGATGCAACAGTCGAGGGATGCGATGGAGCACGAGAAGGAGGCGCGTGTGTTGCTTGCAGCTTCGAAATGAGCTCCCGCTGCAGTGCGTTTAGCAATCGAGGTAAGGCACTGCGGGGGCTGCCCGCGGCTTGCGGAACCCGATCAGGCCCTCCTGCACTGCCACTGCATTGAAGACACCTCCCGCCCTCGCTGCCTCGAGCGTCCTCTCCAAGATCTATGCCCTCCGGACACTCCGGAAAGCTGCTGGCAGTACTGCTACCACCAACATCACCGCCACAGCTGTAGCGGCTTCGCTGCGACTGCCGTCCTCCCGACCCCCATGGACACTGCTGCTGCTGCTGCTGCAGCCGTTGCGGACTCAGACTCACACTGCGCCGCCCTGCGACATGAGCCGCTGCGGGATCCAGGCCCCCCCCTGCTGCTCGCCCTCCTTCCCCGCCATCCGTAACGCCCTTGCTGCTGTCGCGTGCTTGCAAGTGGCGGCTGCTGTCGCCGGCGCTGCGGCCTCGCTGCTGCAGGAAGTTATCCCCAGGAGGGTCCTCCCGGCAGGCAGGCCAGGAGCGCTCCCGGGCAGGCCGTGTTGCTGTAAGGCTCGTAACTCCTCGTTGTGCTAACGCTCCGGCGCCCCCCGCACCACCGGCACCAACTCCTCCGCTGTCGCTTACCACGCGGTCCTCCGGTATAGCGGCTCTGAGGGCGGGCGTCACACCCGCCGGCGGGGCCAGGAGGGATTCGGAGATGACGCGACGAGGCGGTCTTGTTCCCGACCTTGACTGCGGCTGCGTGGGCTGCATGGGAGGGGTTGACGACACCCGATCACGATCAGCGACCCCAACCTCGGCCCCGTCAGCACAGCTGCAGGCGTCCTGTTGTGCTTGCAGCTGCTCGGATTGCCAGCTGGTACCCTGGAGGGAGACGGATCGCGGAGGAGAGGAGATCCGGCGGATGCTTCGGGGATACGATTGGGACTGTGCTGGAGGCGTCGGGGAAGGGGGTGCTGCTGAGAGGCATGTAGGCGGTGATGTGAGCTGGCGACGGAGGGAGAGTCCTGCCGCCGTGGGAAGGGCTGCTGCAGCAGCAGAGGAGGCGCTAGCCCTGGGGCCGAGGATAGGGCCCACATCGAAGCTGATGGAGCCCTCACAAGAGGAGCGGTCCTGGGGAAACAGGGCGAGGAGGGGAGCGCGTGCAAGATGGTTCAGGCAGGAGAGAGAAGGCAGCATACGTAAGCAGCCTACGGCTTCGTTGGGTATAGTTACGGAAAAGGAACGGCCCCGCACACCCCGGGCTTGCTGCCAGTCGGCTGCCTACAAACAACTGGAAGATGCATGCATGCCGGTACATACACTGAGGACCGCATTTGCCCTCTATTACACCCCACCAGCCTCTGCCCTGCAAGCCCCGTTTCATCCCGCTGCCCTAGCCCAATCCCCGGGCCACATCGTGACCAGCCCCAAGGCCCCAACCCACCACTGCACACCCCGGAGGAAGAACGATGCCGTGCACGCAGGGCTTAGCCTCCTCTTCCGCCATAGCCGCTGCTGCCGCCGCACGTCCCCAAGGGGAGGGCTCAATTGCTTGGACCCCCTCCCCTCCCTTCACTTCCTTCACCTCTTCTGCGCCGCTCCAGGCCTCCGGTGCCCCCCAATTGCGCGTCCGGGCCCCAACCGCAGTGCCAGCCCGCCCATCCTCCAGCGGCCTTCTCTCTACGCCCCTTTCCACCTCCTCCTCCTGCTCCCGCTCCTTCTCCTCCTCAGCGCCAGCCCAGGTTACGGTAAGCCGGAGACGTGAGGGTTCTCTGCGGGTGCTCTTGCGGCCGCTACCGCCAGCCACACGAGGAGACGTAAAGCTATCGGAAGCGGCTGACTGTTGGCACTGCTGCTGAGGCTGCTGTGGTGGAGGCAGTTGAGGATGCACATTCAGCGGCTGTTGCTGCTGGTGAGGGCTTTCTGAAGTGCCTGCGGACGTGTCTGCTGGGGGAGTGCTGCCACCGCTGCCGCTGTCCAAAGAGCCAGTGGTGCCACCATCAGCAGCAGCAACTGCTGCAGCAGCAGCTGCCGTACACAAGGAGGCTTCTGAGGTTTTAAGGCTTGGGCAAGGAGTAAGGGGACATTGCAGAGCGGCGTTGGCAGATGTGGCTCCGTTTCGATCATCCTCATCGCCTACCGGTGTTACATCCCCTACCGCTGCTGCTGCTGCTGCCGCCTTCGCCGCTGCCAGGGCGTCCACAGCCCCATCTTTGCCGCCGTCGTCGCCGCCGCCAACAAGGGTTCCTACGTCACCCTCCTCCTCCCTCCCTTGTCGTACAGCCACTGCTGCAAAGTACGGCAACCGCATGAGCTCCTCCATGCTAGGTCTCCGGCTCGGATCCACCTGAAGGCATGACTCCAGCAACCCGAGTAGCTGCTCTGCCTCCTCCTCTTCCACCTCTGCTGCTGTGTTACCATCTGGTAGCTCCACCACTGACACCTCAGTTGCCGTTTTCTTGGCAGTCGTATCCTCCACTGTAACGGCCCGGCAGCCCTTCCGAACAAGGGTTTCTCCAACAACGCCGCCAACACTAGTAAGCCGCATGCGCAGCCATTGACGCAATACCCGCCTCCGCCTGGCGTCTTCCAGCGCTCCGCCACCACCGCCACCATCATCGGTGTTGTCGTCAAAGGCAGCATCCGTCTGTGCTTCATGGGGACCCATCGCAGTCGCAATTGATGGCGATGACGGTGCTGCTGCTGCCGGCTTGGCGGTACCGACAAAAGCAAGCGGCCCCAGCAAGCGGGTCATGCGGCGCAGCTGCTCCGCGGGAGAGGCTCCAGGAAAGAGCGGCTGTCCGGTGGCTAGCTCCGCCACCAAACATCCAATGGAGAACACGTCTGTGGTGCATGTCACGACATCAGGAACAGCAGCAGCGGCACCAGACGTAAGTAATGGTAACAGCAGTTATAGGTAGACAGCGTTCACACCAGGGCAGCGGTGTCAAGGGTATGGGCAGCCATGGCTCGGAGTGCCGCCCAAGGTCACAAGGACTCACCAACAGCGGTCCCGACAGTCCCCTCCCAGTGCTTCCCAAGCAGTTGCTCCGGAGCCAAACACCACCCGTTGGCGGCGTCGGTGCTGCTGCCGCTGCCGCTGCCGCTAACACCGGTATCGTAATCCTCCTCGAAGAGCCCACATGCGTATGTTCGGTTGCCATGGGCATCGGGGCTAGAGCTGTTGGGGCCGAGGCTGTGGCTAGGGAAAGCACGCAGGGCACTAGCCGAGGCGTCGTCACTGCTGGCAAAATTGGGCCCGGAAACATGATGGGCGTGGTATCGGGCGTGGCTTAAGCTGTGAGGTGAGCCGTCGGCTGCAAGCAGGATTGTGGCGGGCTCCAGGGCTCCATGGGGCTCCTGCATGGAGAGGAGGACGAGGAGGCCAGGAATGGCAAACGGTCAAGGTGTGAAGGTGTTGCAAGGTGTGAAGGATGATAGCTCGGTTTGCAAGAGGGGCCTAGCGTGCGCTTGGGTGCTTGGAAACGCGAGGGAAACGCTGGGGCGGTTGGTCAAAAGTATCCTGGCCCGTAGCCATAAATGAGCAGCTTGCAGTTAACAAAGAGGTAAAACCTCTGCCCAAGTTGCGAGAAACAAAGACGCCTTTGTTTAAAGAGGGGCTCGGTGCTAATGTCGTGGCACCATTTGGGCCAAGCGCGACGGCCTTACCCCATATTCTGTATGCCATTTGCGCACCAAGCAGCATATACTCCAAGCTAGCAACTTCAGCGCCTCGGGCTTGAGGCCTAGTGGCTCCTCATCCAGCAAGGACGTTGCAGTTTTAGCAGCACCACCCATCACTGGCACGCTATGATATTTTCTCTTAGTTATCAACGTTTAAATATCGCTTCTCCATAAGGAAACAATCTGTTTGCGTAAAGTGCAATAAAGGGCAGCAAAGCAGGTAGGCCGTTCATCGACGACTGGCCCAAAATGCTCGCAGTAAGCAAAGGTAATCGTTCTTTCCCAGTTTAGAGAGCGGAATACTGCATACAGGTCCTGATGAGGCTGGCTAGGTATAGGCACCTCACTCTGCAAAGGAGACGACGCTGCTTGGTGGATATAGGAATAAACATGTGATAACACTATAACTATGTTAAATTTGCAGAAAAGCCAGGACATAGGGTTCGAGGCAAGGGAACAGGAAACCGGCGACTTGCGTACAATGACGGGTACGAATAGTAGTGCTCTCTGGGAACTGGGAGACCGCACCAGACTCGCCACCTTTAGGCTGACGTTATCGCCAGCTTTATTGAATGCACACGCAGTTGTGTAACAGGGCAACACTTTTACTCAGGGCAGAGCCCTGAAATGGGGATCGGCGCGCGCAAGCCTGCCTGGCAATAATTGTCCCAAGTCATTTGCGCGGAATCTATCTGCAGCTTCTACTACACTTGCCGCTCTGCCTTCTAACTGCTTGTACAATTATGAACGGCGCATGATCTACAGTACTAACCAACAGGTGCGACGACAACTCCAGAGAGTTCAGTCCTAAAGATTGCTACAAAATATGGCACATTTTTAGCACTTCTTGGATATTGACTTGGATAAAGATCCTAAGTGTGAGTATTAATATCGGGTGCGCACAGATGCGCGCGGACAGACGCCCATACAACAGGAGTCCCCAAATCATTGCCTTTTGCTACCTGCGCCATACCTCCTTCGCGACGTCATTGTCATGCACTTGTCCGTTCGCGGCTTGCGGCTGAACGTGGGCGGCGGCATCCTGCAGAAGGCGCTCTTCAAAGCGCTGGAGTCCCCCTGTGACACAGCGCTTGGGCTTACCGGCATAGCGTGTCCCTACCTGTTTGGCGACAGGGGCATAGGTCGCCGACAGCGGTGACCTGCTAACCCCCCATGAGCCGAACTGCAAGGTACCCACTATGTCACAAGCTGAGGCGGCGGCTTGGGCTCGGGTTGCGGCAGAATTTGCTTTGTCTGACCACATGACAGCAGCCCGTGCATGGATGTGCATGGCCGGCAGGAAGGGGGGCGGGGCTGCGGGAAGGGCCTGCAGGAGAGGTCCCGCGTCCTGGTAGTTGCCTTCGGCGCGCTTGCATTGTAGGGATCGCAAGCTCTGTCGGTGTCGAGTTGAGGAGTTAATCGCAGACACACACTGGACTACTTGAAGAGCATCCAGGTGGCATATAGCGCGGGTCCGCATTCGTTCGCATGGTGTCTATCCAGACCCACCGGTCCCTAACTTGCGGACCACAGTGGACCGAAACACGATACCCAACGGAGCTGCCTGGAGTACGCATATCCACGGTTGTCTGCTTACCTCGGTTGGCCGGCCCACCTCCCCCATGCAGCCCCATCCTCACGCTCCCAACCGGCCACCCGTACCGCTGTACGGCACCCCCTGCCGCTGCCCTAACAGGCTCACCAACAAACACCCCTCGCAACCTGCCCTTCTGCACCCCCCATTCCCCCCCATCGGCTCCTCGTTTCAGCCGTGTCCCAACCAGTCCCCCACCTTTCCCCTGATTTGATTGCCCATGTCTCGTACGTCACCACATCACCGCAAGCACAGCGCCATCCAAACCCACCTTCCAAACCCCAGCCCTCACCCAACACGCCCCTGTGTCAGGCGGTCGGCTGTATGTCAGCTACCACCAGCCCAGCCATCACCCCATCATCAGCCCCATCATCATCACCCCATGCGCTCGCTCTCCGGCAGCTCCGCCCGGTCCACCAGCGTCAGCACCAGCGTGCGCCGGTGCGCCTCACCCTCCTCCACACTGATCCGCACAGCGCACTTGTCAAACACCGCAAACCGCACCGAGCCGTCCGTCGACGTCACCGTCTGCGCCTCCTCATCCAGCAGGAACTGCAACCGCTGCTGCGGCTGCTGCTGCGGTGGTTGCTGCTGCTGACCCACGGGTCCATCCGCAGCTCCGGAGCCGGATCCGCTGGCCGCGTTGTTCTTGTCTCGTGCGGTCAAGTAGACGGGGCCCTCGATGCCGTACTTTGGTACGAACACGATGAGGCCGTTTGCCTTGACGCGGGTGACACGCGCGTCTGCGATCACGGAGCGGCTCTTGAAGAAGATGAGGGTGTGCAGCTCCACGGAAGCGCGACCCGCCATTTGGGCGTTGCGGTGGCGCTTGTTGAGGTTGTCGGTGCAGCCGTGCAGCGCCTCCCTGGGTGGGCGGTACAGGTGGTAGGTGGTTGGTAGTTGTTGGGGAGGAACAATGCATGACAGTAACGCTCTCTAAACCGGCACGCCCCCCCCCTCCCTTTTCCTTCCTCCCTCTCCCTCTTCCTCTTCCTCTCTCCCTCTTCCTCCCTCCCTCCCTCCCGTCCCCCCCCTTTTTGTCTCACTTGTCCCGCGCGCTGTCCGGCAGCGCCTCCAGCCCGATGGCTGCCGCCAGCAGCCGGTGCACCACCACATCCGCGTAGCGCCGGATGGGCGAGGTGAAGTGCGTGTACAGCGGGGCGGCCAGGCCGTAGTGGTGGTACTCGGAGGGGGCCACGTCACCGCTGCCAAAATACTGGGCCTGTGTGAGGAGTTGGGGTGGGGTTGGGTGGTTGGGGTTGGGAGTCCGTTTGGAGAGCAGTTGGGAAAAGAGGAGAAGGACGGGTGCAAAATGTCAGGAAGGCCCCCAAACCCAAGGCGGGAACGGTGGCGCACCCAACACACACCACCGCTACCCTCTTCCCACCACACACTCCGGCCCCCTCTTTCCTCGCCTTTCCCCCCGCACACACCCTCAACGGTCTGCAAGCAAACATCCATCGCCAACAAGCCAAATAGGTCCCCAACGCAGCCATACATCATAAAGTATAAGTGGAGAAGGTTATCCGGACGTCGTGGGTCGCCCTCGCCAGTCCAAGTCGCTCATCACGTCGGCAACCGAACCGAACCACGACGGTCAAGCCTTCCGCCAAGTACCGTATTAGTTACGCTTCTGCTAGCTGCATCCGCATCTCGATAATCTGCTTAGGGTATTGACACTGGATGCTGCCCGCTGGATGCTTTCGTTCCGACTCGCGGCCAGTTTTGTTAACACACCCTGCACCACCCTCTCCCCCCCATGAAAACACACGTGTCCTCCACCTCCTCCTCCCCCACACCTCCCTCATGCCTCCTCCTCCACCCCTCCTCCTGCCCACCTGCGTCATGCAGCGTGTTGTCATGATGCGGACCAGCTTGTTGAAGTAGGGGTCGTCAGGCCGCGTGGCGCCGTCAAGGGAGGCGGCCAGCGCGAGGGAGGAGGAGACGTCCAGGTTGAAACCGGCGGCGGCGGCGGCCTTGAGGATGGGCTCGAACCTGGGGATGGGTGGGGGGTGGTGAGCGGTGGTAGTGGGTGGGGGTGGGGGTGGTGAATATGGTGGGAGAGGGAGACAGCCACCCCAGATGGAGGGAGGGTAATGAGTATGATGGCCCGGGTACTAGACCGGGGACTGACTCACTGTCGCGGCGGCGGTGTCTGGTGGCGTCGCAGCAGTGCGCATGCGGTGAAGTGGCGCAGCGTCTTCTCCGCCACCGCAATGTTGGCCAGCAGCATCATCTCCTCCACCATCTGGTTGGTCTCGCGGACCTGGTACATGCCCACATCCAGCGGGTCGTGCGTCTCCCGGTCGATCTCGAACTTCACCTCGGGCGAGGCCAGCTGCAGCGCACCCGCGGCGGCTCGTCGGGCGCGAAGCAGCTTGGCCAGCCGGTTCATGGTCCTGCGGGACAGGCCAGCCACGGCAGCAGCAGCATCCTTGAGTCAAACATACACACACAGGACTCCATCTTCCGACATCCCAGTACGTTCCTACTCGCGGCCAGTTTTCTTAACACACACAGCCATGCGCTTCTACAACCGCTTCAGTTGTGACAGTTGTACTGCTGTGCGGTTTTTCGCTGTAGGACGAGGAGAGCGTTGTTTGCGGGTCCATGCCTGTCCTTCAGCGCAAGTAATGTACCGGTTCGTCTGTACCACTTTCAATGCGGTAAAACACCTAGAAGTATCGGTAGGTTCGGTACGTCAACCCCGCAATTGCAAAAACCCCCCTGCCCCCCTCGCTGTCCCCCACCTCAGGCTGCTCGTCAGCTCATCCGTCATGTGCGGGTCGTCGATGCGGCTCTGCGCCTCCGCGTACGTCAGCGAGGCGCGCGAGCGGATGACGGCCTTGGTGAAGCGGGTGGCCAGGATGTTGGCCACCTCGTCCACCTCCCACAGCACGCTGAAGGTCAGCCGGTCCACGTCACACCTGGGGGGGCCGGGAGGTGAGGTGGGGTGAGGTGCGGGTGAGGTGGGAGGCGGGGCAGAGGGGTGGGATGAGGTGTCGGTTGAGGGGTAAAAAAGAAATTCCAAAGTGTGGTGTGATAATGATACAAGTTGCTGACAATCGGTTGGGGAGTGGGATGAGGTGTGTGGGTAAGGGTGCTGGCGGCAGGTGGTTCCCCGGGCGGGTGTGTCCCACCTCAGGCTGCAGATGTCCTCCGTGAGCGGCTTGGGCAGCATGTCTATGCGCCGCTGCACCAGATACACGGTGGTGCCCCGCTGCGCTGCCTCCAGGTCCATGGCGCTGCCGGGCTTCAGGAAGTGGGTCACGTCGGCGATGTGGACACCCAGCTAAAGGGGGGGAAGGGGGGAAAGAAGGGGAGGGAGGGGAAGAAGGAGGGGGGGTTAATAGGGGTACAGATTACGCATTAAGGCTGGAGGGGGAGGGGAAGAGGGGTCGGGTGAGTGGTTAACCCGCATGCGGTGGGTTGCATGTTGCATGATTGGTACCCCCCTCCCTCCCCCTCCCTCAGTCAACCTTTTCGCAGCTCTGTTCACCTAATCCCCCTCCCTACCTCCCCCTCTCCCATCTTACCTCATAGTTGCCGTTGGGCAGCTGCTGCACATGCAGCGCATCGTCGATGTCCTTGCACCCCGGCGGGTCCACACTGGCCACCACCAGGTGCCGCAGGTCGGCACGTGCGGGGTCGGCCAGGTCGGCGGCGCTGACGGACCAGGGCAGGGGGGGCACGCAGTCGTGTACAGCGGGGGTGAAGGGGCTGGTGTTGATGTCGTTCTCGATCAGGATGACCTCCTGGGGGGGGGAGAGGGTTAACAAGGATGAAGATTCCGCATGAGGCTGGATTTTAGGATCGCGCATAGTCAAAAGTGTTGGGTTAGTATCAGCACACAAAGGGGGGAGGGGGAGGGGGTTGCGTGTGTTAAGAAGACTGGCGTGCGTGTATGAGGTGAGGAATGAGGGGTTGGTACGGCGTCACCTTCAAAGGTAAGAGGGACAACTATGGGGTCCATGGCATTTTATGCGGCTGCTGTACATGAAGAGCCCCTTTGGTAGGGCCCCTCGCTCCCTCCACCTCCGGCCCCCCTCCACCTCCTGCCCCCTCCACCTCCTCACCGTCTCCGTCTCCCTGTCCCCGATCACCCCCAGCGTGCGCACGTAGTGTCCCCGCGGGTAGGCGCTGTCCGCCTCCCACCCGTCCATCACCACCACAATGCGCTTGTCCATCAGCGTGTCCGCCTGCCGGGTCTGGATGCTGTGTGTTTTTTGGGGGGGAGGGGGGAATGGAGGGGTGATGGGTGATGGTGGTGGGGGAACAGCATGTGAGATGATCCAGATGAGATGGGGTAAAGACGCTGGGGGGGGGGTCGCTCACATGTCCCGCTTCCCCCTACACCCCACATCCACCCCTCTCCTCCCCTCACGCTCAGTACTTCCTCGGACGGGTCTTCCTATGGCTACGGTCAGTGTTCCCTCGCGGCCCTGTTTACCCAATCCCTCCCCTCCTGTCACCCCCTTCCCTTCCCTCACCGGATCATGGGGAAGCGCCGCTCCACGGGCACGAACAGCACGTTGGCCGCCCCGCCGCCCCGCACCCGCTGCGGCTTGAGGCTGCCGCAGTAGCCGCGCGTGCGCCAGTTGCGCTTGATGATGCCCACCACACGACCCGTGGGTCGGCGCCCGCCGCCGGCGCTGTCGTTGAAGTGCTCGCCGGGGGCAACCTAGGCAGGCGGGGGGGGGGGAGGCAGGTTAGAGAAACAAAACTAAGAAAGGCGAGAAAGGAAAGGATGAGAGGCTTGGGGTTGGGCAGTGGAAACACGGCGGCGGACACCGTTACATAGCTACATTGCACTTCCCTTTCTTCCCTATGGCACTGTCCCCAACAGCATCTTCCAGCCCCCCCTCCCCAGCACCCCGCCAGCCCCCACCTGAAACACCTCGGGCACCTCCTCGCCCGCCTCCTCATCCTCCTCGCCCTCCTCGCCTCCCGCCTTCTTGCCGCCTGCTGCCCCCTCTCCCCCTGCTGCCCCCCCTGCCGCTGCCGCTGCACTGGGTAGCTTGGCGCTGGGTGCCCGCCACTGGCTCTCCGGCAGCAGCTCCACTGCCACCACATCGCCTACGGAGGGGGGGAGGAGAGGAGGGAGGGAGGAGAGGAAGAGGGAGGGCAAGTTGAAGGCTAGCCAGTAGTACGACAGTAATAGTTCACCCGTAGTCTTAACCCAGGCTGGCAGCCCCCAACTGCCCTTCGTCCCCCTCCCCCTCCCTACCAGCTACCAACACCGGACCCCTTCGCTCCCTCCTTCACGGCAACTCTCTGACCGCCCCTCCCTCTCTCTCCCTCCCTCCCCCTCCCTCCCCCCGTACTCACCATCAATGGCCCGGTTCATGTCCAGCCTGCCGCTCAGCAGGATGTCCTCGCCCACACTCTCGCTAGCCACCCAGCCCTCGAACGGGTTGAAGCGGCTCACACGCAGCGCGCCCTGGGGGGGGGATGGGCAGGTGGGGAGGCAGGTGGGGAAAAGAAGAATCCCAAGCCGTTGAATGAGGGAGGGTGTGAGATTGGATGTGGAGGGAGGGGTGCGTGGCACCCGCTTGCAAGCTGTCTCCCACCCTGACCAACCTGCTACATGCACGTCAGCCATGCGCCACACAGCCAACCCCAAACCCCAACCCCAACCCCTAACCCTGACCCCCAAACCCCAACCCCTAAACCCCAAACCCCAAACCCCAACTCCTAAACCCCACCTGGTGGAAGCGCCCTGCTTTGATCCCCGCCATGATCTCGCTGTACGGCAGGTGCTCGCTGTACAGCTTCTTGCGCTTGGCGGCTCGTCCTCCCCCTCCTCCGCCGCCTGCGGCCTCCTCCGCCTCCGCTGCGGCCGCCGCTGCCGCCTCCTGCTCCTCGTCCTCCGCTGCCGAGGCAACCAGGTCCTGGGTGTGCGTGTGTTCGGGAAAATGGTATGTCAAGAAAACTGGCCGCGAGTTGGAGCGTACTGTGATTGCGTTTGTGGGAATGCGGGCGTGTGTGGGGTCACGGCAGTTGTGCAGGAAATGGTAAGCAGCAGGGCGGAAATACAAGCATGCATGCATACATGCATGCGCGCGCACGCCTAGCCGCGTCCCGAGCCCCTCTCCATGCGCATGTGTGGCCGGCATGCGTGCCCACCCAGTGGGACATCAACCCTCCCCCATCGCCCCCCACCTGCAGCTCCTTGGCCTCCTGCCTCAGCGTGCGGCAGTAGGTGAGCACCCCCATGGCCCGCAACCCGTCAGCCAGTGCAGCGGCGCGGTTGGCCACATCGTTGGTGAGCAGGATGACGGGGATGCGGTCCTGGGGGGGGAGGGAAGGGGGGGATGTGGAGTGGATTGGTGGGAGTAGCGTGGGAGAGCGTGCTGTAGCCGCATAGCAAGCCACGCATGGTAAGCAGCCGCGCGCGCTAGGGTACGTGCCATGAGCCCAGCGTGCAACGTTGCGAGCTAGCAGACCCCAGCACCCCCACCCTGCACCATCAGCATAATCACCCCATCCACCCCCACCACCCACCACCCAATTTCGTTTTTACCACCCCTCCCTCACCACCTTCCCCCCACCTGCGGGATGCGCTCCGCATACCACCGGGTGGCCACTCGCAGCGCCCGGTCGTTGCGGTCGTTGGGCGACTCGCCCTCGCCCGCCGCCACGTGCGTGTCGCGGTGGTGCTCGTTGGCGAAGACGTAGAAGCGCTTGGCGGGGGCGGCGCAGGCGGCGCGCAGGCGCTGGTAGGCGGCGGCGTTCTTGTGCTGGACCTGGCGAGAGGGAGAGGGAGGGAGGGGAGGGGAGGGTGGGGGAGGAGGGGGTTGGACCCGGGAAGTTCGATACTACCGGTAGTATGAATGTATGACCCTCCAGGGGCGGTCAGCCCGAGCTGTGTTGTCCCGCTGCAATGGACTCCCTCCCTCCATCACACTCCTGCTGCAGCTCATTCTCCGGGCTCTCCTGTGTCTCCTTCTACTCTTTCCCCGCTCCTCTCCTCTCTCCTCCTCTCTCTCCTCCCTCCTCCTCTCTCCGCCCGCCCTCCCTCACCTCCTCCAGCACAGTGGTGCACACGATCACATCCGTCACCGCAGCATGCTCCAGAAAGTCCAACTGAAGGGGGGGAGGGAGGGGTGAGGGTGAGGGTGAGGTAAGGGAGGCACAAGGGTTAGCAGCAGCCTCCGCTTTGTTGGCAGTAAAAAAAGTTATCCCCTTCCCTCGGAAGGCGCCCCCCCCTGCAGCCCCACCCTGCGTACCGTGTCCCCCGCTACGGCACCACGATCCTGAGGTCCCGCCCAGTAACCCCCACTACCGGCACCCAGCAGCAACGAAACTCCTTCTCCCCCTCCCCCTGCATCATCACGCACCACCCCGCGCGCCGCACCACCCTGTACGGCATGCAGCAACCACCCTGCCCTCCAGCAACCACCCCCCTCCCCTCCTCCCCTGCCCCATGCCGCCATCATCATCCGCTACCGCTACCGCTATACCTGGTGCAGCGCCACGTTGGTGTCGATGAGCAGGTAGTGCGGGGCGGAGGCGCTGAGCTTGTGGCAGGAGGGGTCGCAGTCGGGGTCCAGGGGGGAGCCGCTCCTGGGAGGGGGGAGAGGGGAAGGGAGGGAGAGGGTGGGAGGAGGGACAAAACACACACGCCTCTACTTCCCTTCCTAACACGAGGAGAAGCAGGACAACGCTGGTTGATGGGGCCTAGTGCCGGTACGGCGGGGTGGAGGGCTCCTAGAACAGCGAGGAGCGAGACACACAGGTGAAGCTGGCAGCTAATACTGCTAAAGGGCTCCTGCTGGTGGTGTGCTTCTGTTCCTGCCCTTTCTGCTGCTGATGCTGCACCCGCAACAAGGGACATGGCCGCAGCTGCTACTGCGCTTCAGGCCCTAAAACGTTTCTGGCTGGCTGCCACAATCCCAAAGATTTCCAGAACTTGCCAGATGTCATCTCGGAGGTAGCGCTCCTTGACAACCTGTGAGGCGGCGTTAAGAAGGATGGATGACATAGTAAATGCAACATCCTGCTTGAGGACGTCAACGCTAGACCAGATAGGTAATGGTCATTGAGTCCTCCCAGTGTGAGAGAAACAGTTTTAGCGTGAAGGGAACAAGTGGGCCACGCAGCGCGTCCCTGCCGCTCAATGCGAACGTTGTCCACATTCCGGGCACCATATACTGCCGGGGAAAGGCGTATATCAGTTTCAACTGTGCATACCTTCACGACTTTCCCTTTCTTCGTCTTCTTAATGAACGAATTGTTGAGATGCATTGCGCCGCTTCTCAAAAGAAAGGTAGGTTATTACAGTGGTAAAGGGCAGAACGTGTGCGGGTAAAACGCAGCGATATCGAGTTTAATCTGTTGTAACGACCAGCTTGATACACGGCGTGAGGTCAGTTGGCCGCTAGGTTCCAGCGGCGGCCGGTAATCTGCATTAGAAAGTATTCATATACTATACAAACAGTAAATCGTGGCTGGCGAAGCACACAATTGCAGGAATCGTGCAATATGTTCGGCCGTGTTTCGGGGCGACAGGCCGTACCAGCAATTTTGTTGTCCTTCTTGCTTCCAGTGTGCAAACAGCCTGGCGATACATCTTACTAGTTGTTTCTTAATACGAAACTACGTTTCCCCTAACCCACTGCAACTTCCAGTGTAGTCCAAACTTACCAAGCCAAGTTTAGGTAGAATAGCGTAACCCATACTCACAGCCGCTGCCCAGGCTGTCCTGCTATGCTAGGGTAGATGCAGGATAGTACTGGGCGGCAAGCATCCTGTACACCTGAACATCAGTGTTTCTTCGCTAGCCTTAGTTGATCAGCGGTTACAATGGCGTTTCAAGGATTTACTCAACAGCCTGACAGCTTCGTTATGGACGGCGGCTATGCTGCTGGCTACGATGGCGAGCACGGCAACCTCTCACCGCACGTTTCGCAGCAGCGGCAAATGCTACGCGACCAGGAACATAAGCAAGACCTAGCAATCCAGAAAGCACATAAGGCCTCCCGTTACGTGTTCCGCTCACTAGAGGACCTTCGGGCAACCAACCCTTCCGTGCGCGATGGTCTGGACCCGGACAAGGAGCGCATTTGGCGACGGCAATACTGTAAACTAATACAGGAGGCGGGCCAAGCATTGAAAATGTATGTGGGGAACGCGCTTGTAACACGTTTTCTTGAGGGTGAAGACGGGCAGTTGGGCGGAGTTCACGGGTATGCATGCACGGGTATGGAGCACAAAGGCATCTACAGCTGGTTCCCTCCGCGCCCCCACACCGCCTGCCCCTTCCCCTCCCGCTCACGCCCTGCAGCCCCCAGTGGGCGATCGCCGTGGGCACCACCCTCTGCCACCGCTTCTTCGCCGTCAAGTCCATGAAGAAGAACGACCGCTTCGTGAGTACCCGCCTCCGCCCAGCCCTGTGCCTAGGGGTTCCAGCATGGGGCCGTGCATGCCACATGCGCCCACCCACGCAGCCGCAGCAGCGGCGGTCTGCTGCACACTCGCACACCGCCACCCAGGTGTACCGCATGACCGGGACATCCAGGGAGGGCGATGCGATGCGGAAGGGATGGCTAGAGAGGTGCAATGGGAGGCAGCGCGGAGGGAAGCGCACCCACCCACCCACCCAAGCTCCTTCACCCGCGCAGCCCCACGCAGGGCGCCCAGCCTCGCATGCCGCGCTGTTCACTGCACCATCCGCGTCCGCCACACGCGCGCGTGGGTGCCCCTTCCCGCTTCCCTCATAATCCTAGTTCATCCTGTCGCTTAGCTCCTCTGCCCCTCCCCATCCCTCCCTCCCCCCCTCCCCCCTCACTCCTCCCCAACCCCACCCCCTTTAACCCCCCCAGCTCATCGCCACCGCCTGCCTGTTCCTGGCCGCCAAGTTGGAGGAGAGCCCGCGGCAGCTGCGCAACGTCATCATAGAGGTGGAGCGGGTGCGGCACGCCAAGAACCTGGCGGCGCTGCGGGCGCTGGATGACCCGGTAGGGGGGGGAGGAGGAGCAGGAGGGGAGGAGGGACGTGAACGTGTGTGTGTTAAGGAAACTGGCCGTAGGTCGGAACATGTGATGTGTGGGGGGGGGGCCGAGGGGAGAGGGTTGAGAGGGGGGACTGAAGGGAAGGGTGCGGCACGCCACAGTTATACCGGTGTGTGTCCTGGACGATCCAATGACGGGATGTGTTGGGTTGGCTTGGTTGAGCCACTAGGAGGCACCTGATGGCCTGCAACCCCCACCCCCACCCCATCCAGTCTAAAGCGGAATAGTTACCCCTATTAATCCCCCGCATCCCACCCTCCAAACCCCCCCTAACCCCCCACCCCCACGCCCCACCCCATCAGGTTCACCTGGAGCGGGTGAAGGAGGAGGTGCTGCAGGCGGAGCGGGCGGTGCTGTACACGCTGGGGTTCGACCTCAACATCGGCCACCCCTACAACGTAGGTGCAGGACGGAGGCGGGCAGGCAGACGATGCAGGCAGGAGGGCAGGGTACCGAGTCCTCCTTGCTTGCTTGCTTGCGTGTACATGTACGCCTGGCAGCTTGTGATTGCGATACACAAATCTGGCCTCGTGTCGGACCGTGTTGTGAATGCCGGCACAGTGGGATTCTCGCCAGCTTCGCCGATGGGCGCTGCGGTGCATTACGGTAGAATAGATGGTGCCATGCGTGGGGCGTTACTACGCCTCTCCTCATGTCTCCCCATGCCTCCTCATGGGAGGTTTGTAAGGGGGCTCCGCACTTTGGAATCATCATTTGCATGCCCCCCCCGCCGCCGCCCTGCGCAGGACCTGATTCACTGGCTCAATCGCGAGCAGTTGTTAACGGATCTGCCCAACGAGTCGCCGTACAAACCGCTCGTACAGAACTCATGGAACCTCGTCAACGACAGGTGGGAGGCCTGGGAGCTGGGAGGAGAGAGTGCGCAGGACTCCGCACGGTGCCGACCCATGGGTCACGTATGGCAGCAATCCCGCAATCCCCTTCTGCTTGGGGATACGGTGACAACCCATGTCGTCAACCCCAACCTGAAACACACGCCCACCCCGCCCCAATTGCTTTGCCCTAACCTGTGGCTTTGGTATATCTTTGGGCCCCCCGTTGAACACGGCCCCCCACCTCCCGCCCCCGGGCCCCCCCCCGTCTGCAGCCTGCGCACCACGCTGTGCCTGCAGTTCCCCGCCAGCAAGATCGCGTGGGCGGCGCTGTGGATGGCGGACCTGTTGAACATCGACAACGGCACCCACTACAGCAAACTGCCGTGTGGGGCGGCCTTCTTCGACAAGTTTGAGATACGACCTGAGGTGTGTGCGTGCGACACGTGGCTTGGTTTACAAAGCAAAATCTGTGTTCTGTGTTAAGAAAACTGGCCATGAGACCTGCATGAACAGCAAATGGTGTGTTAGGAAGAACTGGCCATGGCATGTGGCTTCTTACACCTACCACACGCATTCGAGTTGTGTGCTCGGAACAGCCATCTTCACCTCCATCTCCCTTCCCGGCCTTTTCCGCGGCTCAATTTATCTAATCCCCATCCTGTCCCCCCCCCTTAGGAGCTGGCTAGCATCTGTGACCAGATGCTCTCCGAGTACGAGCACTCCAAGCTAGCCCGTCTGAGCGCGGCCGCGGGGGGGCAGCCGCTGCAAGCCATCAAGGCAGACATGGAGGCAAGGCTGGGAGCGGGGGGCGGAGGCGGAGGCGGGGGCGGCAGCCACGTGGGGAGAGCGATGATGGTGGTGGGGGGAGGGGCAGCAGCGACACCGGGACTGGTGCCGGGGGGCAGGCTGGTGGCTGGGGGAGCGGGGGGTGGTGGGAATGGGCCGGTGAAGATGGAGGAGGAGGAGGGCGAGGTGAAGGATTGAGGAAGGCACGGGAGGCGGGTTGGTAGTGGAGGAAAGGATGACAGGTAGCCGGGGGAGAAGCGAGGCGTAGGAAGGGGGCAGTATTGTGAGTGCAACAGGTGAGCAGGGCATCGATTGGTGACTGTGATAGCTTTCTGTCGGACGGAGTAGCCTCCTGCCTTGACGCCTAGGAGGTTTAGGTTACACTGGTCGCTTCTAGAGTGGGTGCTTTGGGTTGCGTAGGTGGCGCGATCGGTGTCAGGGATGGTAATCGGTAATAGAGGGAGCCTCATTTGGTGCACATGACGTCGCATGACTCTTACGCCTGTTTACGCATAACTGTAGAGTCAAAACAGACTGTGGCCGCTGAGGGGTCGCAGCGGTCATTCGTGTTTGAGGGTGTTTTTATGAGGTGTGTGTTGTTTTGTTGTCGTGTCGGGCCTCTCAGGCTTAAGAGGCCTCTGGCTGTACGAACTGTACGAGCGGGCGAACACATCCTTAGTGGTGGGCGGTTAGTTGGGTGTGCGAGCTATCGGAACTCGGAACGTATGATGGCAGTACAGCCTTCAGTTTGGCTTTCGGGCTTTCCCTGGATTGGAACAAGGATGTACTAGGACTTGGCTTTAGGGAGGACCCTTGGCTGGGTAGTTTCGAAGCCGGTTTACGGTACAGTGGCCTTCAATGGTGGTTTCGGCTTCAGAGGGGCACCGCGGAGAGGACATGCACTCATGTTTGGAAACGGCTGGGGACGATTGGGTGTGCTGTGCTCACCCCGTGTGTTGCTGACATTGCTGACGAGGGGCGATTGCTGTGTGGCCTCCCAAGCACCCCGCGTGCACCCCCGTGTACCGGTAAGCGTGGGTGGCTGGATACGCCAGGTGTGTGGGTACAGGATCCTGCACGGTGCTGTGGCAGCTACTCGAGCATATGCGCCGTCGGCTGGGTTTAGGGTGGCCGGCTGGTGCTGCTACTACCGTGACAAAACAACTGCCGTACACCCGTACAGCCGTTCCTGTGTAAAGCGCGCAGCTGTCTCCGCGTGCACAGTGTTCCACATGGACTGATTGGAAAGCACTGCACCCGTACATAAGAAAGGGAAAGGGCCTGTCCACTCGGTGCCAGCAGTCAGGGTTTGCGTCTTGCATCGCCAGGCAGTTCCCCCTCCTGTGGGGTCAGGGTAAACAGAAGGGACTAGCGTCACTGGAGTCTATTACGTTGCCTTGGAATCTGTGGTTAGGCCTGCGGATCCCATGTGGCGCCACCTCCTGGGCTTGTTACGTGGCTATTGGTTAGGGGTGGATAGGGTGGCTTGCCTGCGTAAGAAACTGATCGGCTGGAAGGAGCAATGATTTATTCGAGAGCATTATAGGGATATGTTGGCAGTTTGTCCGATGCTGCAAGCATTGTTTAGTGCGTGGGCATTTGAAGCGCAACACCTCGCCGATGGGGCTTTAAAAAGTTGGTATAAACTCTTAACCAAAACATGATGTAACAATTACAGAGTAAGAATGAGTGACGTGCTTACATCTACAAGCCATGGCGGCGACCTTTCCAAATGCTTGCGAATGAGTTTTAGGATCCAGGTCAAAAACGACAGGTGGGCCATCATCAAAGTATCAACCTGGGGACTGAACGTCGCAACACAAAATTCGTGACATTACCTGACGTATGGGCTGCTATACTGCACCTTGACTAAACATGTCAGCTCCAAGCTTCAGCGACGATGCTCACCAAGCAGCCGAGGTGCACCTTCAAAATTACACCTCACACTTTCATTCATGCCTTGAGAAATTAAAGTCAATCTGGAAGCAAATAGGCAAATCGCCGGACGAGTGTCGCTCCCAGGTGCTCGTTGCCGCTGAACAGGCTCTCGCGGCATGGAGCCAAGCTGTCGACAGGGCAGAGGCCGAGCGCCAATCAATCAAGGTGTGAACACTCACGTATCTCGCCAAGGAGAAGCTTTGAGTGCGGGCAGATTCTTCGTTGGCACATCCGCGGGAGCGCACCATGGACAAAACATTTCGAGTGCTAAGGACGGCTTTTCCTCATTAACAGGCCCTAATCCAGCAACACTCTGCTGAAATTGCCAGTATTAAAGCGGAGCTGGATGACCGCGCGGAGCAAGCTCCGGAAGCTGAAGCGAACATCCCTGGCGAGGTATGCAAGGGTGGGCCAAAGCCAAGCGAGTCCCGCGTTACCTCAATACTACAGTAATCATTTCCTTGTCCCGGCTCATCCCAGACCTCTATAATCCGTTTTATACTTGTCCCGCGGCCAGGGAGAGTCGACGCTCCAGCGCACACTGGACGCGTTGAAGGGCACGCTGCAGTTCTGGCGTGTCAAACGGGCGTCACGGATGCAGGCCTACCAGGCCCTCATGGTGCGATTGAAGATGGCCAGTACCCGCGCCACCTGCATGACTGGGCTCATTCAGACGGCTGTCCTCACATCATGTAGGATCTACACCTACCCGTAATCAGTAGCAGGCTTCAACTCTGGCCCTCAATCATACCCCTTCTACCCTCCTTCCTTCCTTCCACCGACCCATCTTCACATCTTAACTCAACCCAACCCATCCTAACTCAACCACAACCCCAGGAGGTGCACGTCTCGCTCAAGCAGCAGCTGGGTCAGCGGCACAGTCCCGCCCAGGTGGCGGACATCAGCGGCGAGGCGCTCGAATACCTGCAGATGGAAAACATGAAACTGCGGGAGGAGAAGGTGCGGGTGAAGAATACAAGGAATGGGAGGGGTGGGGGTGAAAGAGAGTGAGAGAGGGGAAGTGCGGAGGGTAAAACTAAGGAAACTGACGAAGAGGGGAAAGGCGGGGGGAGGCAACACTAGGACATGAGGCTGAGTGAGGAAGGAAAGGCAGAGGAAGGCTGATGGAGTGCTGTATGGGCGTCTGGTCCCTGAGAGCGAGCCCGGGTACGTCGTTTCTGATGCCCTCTCCGCCCCTCCTCTTCAACCCTCCTTTCTCCAACCCTCCTCTCCGGCCATCCTCTCCAACCCTCCTCTCTCTCCGGACACCCCACCACTGCTGCACCCTCCGCTGCTGCGCCCCAGGCCAAGCGCATGGCTCGCGCGGAGGGTCTGTTGGACCGGCTGAGGGGCATCTGCCGGGAGCTCGGGGAGGACAGCGCGGCGGCGGCGGCGGAGGTGCACCCCGCGCTGTGCTCCCTAAGGTACGTGCGTGGTAGGGGTCTGCTGGCTGCAGGGGTCTAGCCTGCTGGGTGGACGGGAAGGAGGTAGGGAAAGGAATGAAGGAACCGACCAGAAGACAGGGATGGCGGAAGGGATGGTGGCATAGAGGAGGTCCGGGGGATACGGAGGAGGAATGTGGGTGCGTTGGAGCGAAAGGAACAGTTTCCCTTTGTCTTAATATGACACTGCTTGCTTACTCGAATGCAGTAGCTGCTGGACGATGAAGGAGAAATGGTGTTTGTGAGGGCCTTACGACGGCCTTCTACTCAGCTTTGCGTCCATCCTTCTTCTACCTCATTGTCCCCTACTCCTCCCTGCCTCTAATGCTTCCTCCCCTCACCCTCCACACTTTGGAATTTCTTTTTTCCCCTCACCCTCCGCCTCCCAACCTCCCTCAGCGTGGAGAAGGAGTCTGCGGAGGTGCTGGGCTGTGTGTACAAGCTCGCAGCCGCCAGCAGTCCGCACGCCTCGGACCTGGCGGGCGGGGGCGACCTTGACCTCTCTGACGCCACCTTCGACCGCCTGGGCGTCAAGATTGGCGAGATGGAGCGACTCAAGGTGCGTGTGGAAGGGAGGGAGGGAGCGGGCAGGAGAGGAGAAGGAGAGGAAACATGTCTTGTGGTCGGGAACAGAAAGCCCCGCTTGGCTTCACCGCCCCAATCACCAGTTATCTGCGTCAGATCTGCTGCTCGGTCTCACTGAACGCTTCGCCCCTCCCCACCCACCCACCGCCATTTAGCAACCCATGATGAAGCATATCATCATACAGCTCGCTCGTCAGATTTTTCCTTATCTTTTCCCCCTCCACCGCCCTCCCTCGCCCCCCCCTCCAGGTGGAGCGTGAAGCCCAGTCTCGTGACGTCCTCGAGATGCTGGGCAGCCTGTGGAGCGCACTGAGCATCCCCGAGGACGCCCCGGAGCGATCCATGGTGCTCAAGACTCTGGCGGCGGACAGACCGCAGCGGCTATACAAGCGCACGCTGGATAAGGTGGGGTGAGAGGTGGTGGTGTGGGAGAGAGGGAGGGAGGGAGGAAGAGGGCAGATGCGTAGCTCCTGGAATGGAAATGCACCTAACATGCCTTGGCATGTAATCTTAGCATGTTTATTTTCTATTACGCCTTGGATGTGAACATGTGGCCATACGCTTATACCCGGCTGTTGTCTCCATGCAACCGTCCCTATGCATGCAGGCGCTGGCGGAGGTCAACCGGCTGGAGGGGTGCAAGGCCCAGGTGAGCCGGCTGGCGCGGGGCGGCTGCTTGATTACCCATGGAGTGACAGCTGTGTCAGAATTTTCGATGTAGAATGGTACAGAGATCGGACGGGAAGGCGAAAACCAGCGGGACGGAAAGCCACGGGTCTTTGGTGGTGGATTGGGTAGATACCGGCTAAGGGACGCGCCTCATGATGCAGAGGGGTCCTTCACATCCTTCCACCTCCCGGCGGAAGGGGCACGCACCTTCAAGCCTTCACATCCGGCATGACCTCAACCCAAAGCAAGCGCTCTTCCGACCTTTACCACATGCGATTGCTCCCAACCACCAGCCCCGTCCCTCCTCATCCCTCCTGCTCATGCACCCATCTCATCGCGCCCGCACTAAGCCCCCACTACACCGTTTTGGCGATCGTTCATTCATTACACCTCATTCCCTCCGCACCTCTCCCTCATTCGCAGGCCATGCGTGACCTCGCTCTGGCCAAGGCTCGCGAGCTAGAGCAGCTGTGCATCTCCACGCGCATCAGTCCACCGCACACCGGCCCCCTGCTGGCGGAGCTCGACAGGCCGGGACAGGTGCGGCCGGGAAACCACTTGGGTGGGGCGACGAGCAGGGTGTATGAAGGCTGCTGGGTGTGCATGAAGGCGCTGCGCATGGGAGTTCAGTTGGCGTTTTGTTGGGTTGAGTTGCTTCGCTTTTGCTCTACGCAACGTATCTTAACTGTATGGCGAGTTAGAGATGCGGAGATTCCGACCTGCCCTGCATCCCAACCGTCCCTCGCCTTGCTGCCACCCGATGACCCCCCAGATGACCCAGGTGCTGTCCAAGTTGGTACGCCTAGTGGCGGAGGTCGCAGCCATGGCCTCCAAGCGGGCTCCCATCCTGCATCAGGTGCAGGAGCTGCTGCAGGCGCAGGCGGACAGCGCATGGCTGCGGGCGTACAACCAGAACGAGAACAGATACAAGGTGGGGCTGCGCGACCCATGGGTCACTGGGATTATAATGGTTTGTCGAAAACGCTGGAGGAAGCAGGAAGAGCAGGAGCCGGCCCACTGCTGCGGCTAGCTTTCAAGCTGAATGTTACTTAACAACTTAAGTGTTTACCGCTACGCTATCCAATCCTGACCACTTCAGCCAGTCTACAACCCCTCTCCTCTTCCCTTTTGTGTTCGCCTCGCTGCTGCTGCCGCCACCTCCGCTGCTCTGCCCCTCTGCAGGGCCGAGACGCCTCACGCAACATGCAGCGCGCCATCAAGGCCGCCAAGCTGCGCGAGCGGTTGGGCCCTATGCTGGAGGCGCTGCGGGTGGCGCTAGCGGAGTGGGAGCTGGAGGAGGGCTCGCCCTTTTTGTACGACGAACAGGTCCTGCAGGTAAATATACGGTGTACGGCGCTCTGGCCGCAAACTTGGTAAAATCTGCTTGGTTAAGACAACAATCCTTTCTGCTTCGTCCCTTGCTACCCCGCCCTCTCCCAACGATGCTGACAACGGTGCCCCTTTGTCCTCTGCACAACCCTCCCCTGTCCCTTCACAGGAAACGCATCTCCGGGCCGTCGAGGCCGAGCTCGAGCAAATCGCCCTCGAGAAGACCCCAAAGTTGCGCTCCTCCACTGCAGGCGCCCTCTCCGCCAGCATCTCCACCTCCTCCCTAACCGCCGGCATGTCCGCCTCTGCCTCCAGCGGCGGCAGCAGGCCGCCCACCGCCAACCGCGGCATGATGATGCCCTCCGGCTCACTGACCCAACGAGGTGGATACATGGGCTCCTCGAGGCCCTCGTCGTCTGCGGGCGCGATTGCTGGCGGAGCAGGAGGAGGTGCTGGAGAGGACCGCCCGCTTATGTCATCGGCGTCGGTGCGATCACAAGGCGGCGACGGCGGCAACGGCAGTGGGGCGACCAGCAGCGCTGGGGGTGCTGCCGGGCTAGCAGCACGTCGGGGATCGTTTGGCTACGCGAGTGCACGTGATAGCGGGGTGTACCGGTCGTCAACGACGGCGGCGATGTTGACGAATTCGGGGATGTTGGCGTCGTCATCGGCCACGCAGAACGCTGGGCGAATGCTCCGTAGCAACGACTTTGCTTCCAGCTCCCTGCGGGCTGTTTCGGAAGCGACGGAGAAGGCCGCCGCTGCGAAGAGGAGCACCAACAGTGCTGCCCAGGGCCGTGCAGCTACCTCGCACGCCAGCAGTGTCCCTCCCGCCACTCCTGCAGCAGCCAAGACGGCACCTTCACCATCGCCGTCGCAACAGCCACCGGAGACGACGACGACGCCCACGGCTCTGGCGGCATCCACGCCAACACCGGGCAGCAAGCGCCCACCGGCCCTCAACATCGCCTCACCTGCGGGTCCGAACAGCTCTGCTGCTGCGGGGGTTCCCGCCGCTGCTGCTGTGTTCAGCGGCACCCCGCCATTGCGTAGCAGGGCTGCAACTGTGGACGGCAGCAGCGGGGGTGCCCAGGCTGTGGCTGCGGTGGCGGCGGGGGCTGCACCCGTGAGCGGCACCCCTCCCATGCGCAGTAGGGCCGCGACTGCCGACGGCAGCGGCGCCAGCTACGGAGGCGCGGTCGGCGGAGAGGGTGGAGTGGTGGTGGTCGGCAGTGGTGGCGCCAGCAGCGCTGTAAAGAACTCGGCACAGGATCTCTTCCGACGCTACCTGGGAGACACCAGCGATGCGCCCAAGTAGGTCCAGGCCTTCATTGTCATTTTTGTAAAGCATCAAGCAAAGATTCGCAGTGGTACTTACAGCTTGTTACCCATGCTCGTTAATTAGCATTTCCCGGGGTCTATTTTTCCTAAACCCTCACCCGCTTCCCCTGCAGGCCTACACCCCCTTCCGCGACCTCCACCAAGACACCTCTCTCAGCCACCGCCGCTTCCAGGCGCCCTCCCACCACCGCCGGCAATACCTCCTGCGGCGGCGGCATCGGCAGCGCCACCCACACCCACACCGTCTCCCGAATCGGCTCTGCTGGCGGCAGCAGCAGCAAGCTGCTCTTCTCCGCCACGGCATCCACCGCCGCGGCCGTACCTCCCGCTGCGCATGGCGTCAGCAGCACCACCACAGCACCGCCCCTAGAGGACGATGGCACGGATGATGTGGTCCGAGACACGCCCAAAAGCACTGCCACGTCTCGCTCACACCACCAAAACATCCACCCCTTGCAGACAGGGCAGGTGCAGGGCGTGGTTGCTGCAGGAGGGGTGCTGTCGCCGCCGTCGCAGGGCAAAATGAAGAGCCCTGCTGAGAGGACCTCACGGATCCCCAAAATGCGTGCTTAGAAGGTGCTGTCGTTGGGTGCAAGGGGCTTGAAGGCTGAGGAGAGGAGGTTTCTGCCTAAGCCTAAACAGATGACCCTTGTACCTGGTCTTCCAAGTGAAGCGTTTTTTCACGCGGTTGTATCGTCTTTGTTAGAAAGGACCTTGTAGACGATGTTTTGATGCCGCAAACGGCTACGTAGGTAGGTTGCAAGCACATGTTAAGATGCTTGGGTAGGGTATGTTTCCTGAGGCTGAGATGTGTGAACGTGAAGGCTTTACCCGTGACGGGGATATGCACGCCCAATGAAGCGACACGTCCTTCTTGTGTGGGCACCGGCGATATCAATACTTGTACCCTAACGGCGTTAACGGGAAAGTCTTATGAGTTGCGGGGCCTTGGCACTTACCAGGCGTTGTACACTGCTGATTACGGTTGATTTCGTTGGGCAGTTGCAGATTAGTTACAGTGGCAAGTTGTGTTCCGCCCTATTAGGGCCATCACAAGTTGGGATCTCCCAACGCAGAGATAAGTAAGGAGAGACACAACAAGGTCTTGGCAGGACCTTCATCGAATTATTAAATCACATGCGCGACTGCTTGCATCGCTACAAATGTGAGCGCTACTGTACGGGGCTCACCTGTACCAGTAATCTTCATCTACAAGACCCATGGGTCACCAATCTCTTTACTCGTCCCGCAAGCCAGTGGTTCACGTGATCGCGCTCCATGCGATATGTTTCTTACATAAAACCGTTATCGTCAACTACTCTACACCTTGCATAGCTTCTTCATAACTTCTTCTGGTCAATAAGAACACAACACAAGGAATGCAATGTCAATGTATGCAACACATTCTCTATGCAGAAACAGCAAGGTTCAACCGGCAACAAAAGTCCCCCTTTCTTCAGCCACAACGGGTGTTGTCGCTACTGCCAGCGGCCTAGTGCCGTGTGCACTTATACATGACACATAAAGCCGGCCAACATTGTCATCACAAACTTATAATACAATCAATCTTATAATACACCCAACGTTTATAACACCTGCCCAACTCCGCTACAATTCTAGCCATGACCTCATCCCTCATCAGTGCCCCAGAAGGCTCCTGGGCCCCCCCAGATCCAAAACCGCTCAGTTCAAATCCGGGCTGCTGTACGGGTTGCTGTTGAAGGGAATGTACGGATCAACCGTCGGCTCACTCAGCAACCGCTCAGGATCGATGTACGACGGCCGGTTAGTGCCGCTGCCGTTGCTACTGCTGCTTGTCACCGGCCGCCCTCCGTGCACAAAGTTGGGCCCAAAGACAAAGTACACACCGGTAAAAAGCAACGAGAAAGCAATCATGAAGGGCAGGAAGCCCAGAAAGAGGGAGCCGCCCAGCTGTAACAGGCGTGTGGCGCGGGGAATCAAGCCCTGTGGGAATGAGGAGGGGTGCGTAGGGAAGGAGGGCATGAGGGTGCGGCGTCATGGGCGATAAGGAGGTGTTCAGGAGGAGGTATGCATTTGGTTAAGCGGTTGGTGCCCAAGCAGTGACTGAGAGTGAGCGTTGAGAGACACATGGAATATGCTTGTGAGCACATTTCCTGGGACATCCGCATGTTACAAGGCGTCACAACAACTCCAATGAAGTCAGCAGAAACACCCCTCTGCAGCACTTAGCCGCGTAGAACTGCCAGCCCATCCAGCCGCCCCTCTACCACTGTGTAGGCTCCATGGCAATCTACTGCGCACTCCCCTCCCGCCCTCTCTGCCTCCGCCTCACCTCAAGCCCCTCATTGACCATATCCATGGACTTTTGCCGTTGGTCGGTCGCTGGCGCCGCGTTGGAAGCCATGGGTGGTGGAGGCGCGCGGGCGCGGGTCCGAGTGGTGCTGTTGCTGCCCCCGGTGGTGCTGCTGCCGCTGCTGCTGGTGCCGCTACTGCTGGTGCGTGATTCGGCAAAGGGATTGGTTCCTGGAGTGGTAGAGCCACTGGCGTTTGGCGGGGAGCCTGTCGGTGGGGGTGAGAGAGGTGGTTGAGGGAACGAGGTGGGAGAGGCTGGGTAGTCAAGGTGTAAGGTTCGTAAGGCGTGTGTGCTGCGCATGGGGTGCAATCCTGTGTGTGCTGGTCGAGCCTTGCAACCTAGAGGGAAAGTCGGGAACTTAGGGAGGAACAACACGTCTATTGAAATACCAGTCGGCTTTTCAATATCTACACTTTTACCTGGCTCGTCCATAGAAGATAGCCCTCTCCGCTGCAGCTCCTTGGAAAAAAGCGACTCAAAGTCGCCATCTGTGACGTGTGAGAATAGGACGCCAGGCTACCGAGTCATTCGACAATGATAGGCGCAACAATATACGCACCAAAGATAATATATTATCTCTCATTAACGCCTTACCTGGCTTGTCTTGGGGTTCTGCCCGGACCATCCAGAGCGGGCGGCATCTTTGAACAGGCGCGCATGTACGAGGAGTGCGAAGAGCACCGACATAACGGCGATGGAGCGATGTGCTATATGACAAGCTGTGATGCATCTTGTGCGTTCTAGGCTAGTGAACGTTACAGTAGGAGGATTTCCAGATTGCAGAAATGTGAGGTAACGGCAGCAAATAATGTAGAAGGCAGTGTCGGGAACATTAATAGATAGGCTGAACCACGGAAGGCGTGTGCCATCACGTTGCTCTGCGTCATGTGCCGTACAGTTCGGTTCTCGTTGCCAGACAGCACCGCGCACCCTCAATATTGGGAATTAGGCGCTCCAAATTTTAGTAGCCAGTAAAGTGCATCTTCCTTAATTTTCCAGACACGGAAGCTTACCCATTGAGGGTTCCCATATCCGTCGTCTCGCCGAGCTCGGAGCTGATATTTTGCAAGTCGATGTGATAGAATGCGCAACGCATTCCGAATTGGTTTTACCCTCCCTTCAAGACGCCAGTAGATGGCCGCCGCGGTATCCGATGGGAAGCTCATGCCGTGCTGAAGGTATACAAGAGCCTTGTAAGGCAACAACGCACATACTGTGTAGTTGAGTAGAGCAAGAGCAAGCAGTTGGGAGAGGTTCACATGGGAACCGCGAGTACAGGCAAAACAGAGGTAACCAAACCTGAAACGTAACTCAAAAACTGCTTAAATAGCTGTTGCTGGATGTAAGAAGAGTGGCGGGTGACGAGGCATGTCGGTGATGCTGATGGTGTCGGAAAAACTAAATGCCACCGAGTACCCTGCCCGCTGACCAACTCGGCGCCGGGAGCCCCCGCTCTGGTCACGCAGACGAGACACCACAATGCTGTGCATGCGTGCGTGCCAACGCGCATTACCGGTATGTGCACTTGTCAGGACAGCAGTCGTTACACATACGAAGTTGCATCCATGGGACCTTTCGAGCTGCCATCTGCCGCCGCCCATCAATGTCCATCAACAACATCCATCAGAACCGCACAAGACATCCGCAAAAGGTTGGCACCGCACATGTTTGGTACGCATGGAATGCATGTTACCATTCCGAAACACGTTCCTAAAGGCGACGTGCTGTTTAGGGACCTGCCGAACCCATCCATAAGATGCAAGATGCACCAAGCACACAGGACTCGAGCTGCTAAGGCCTATCACATAAGCCATCCCGGCTCAGCGGTAAAGCAGGGCTGAAGCCCAGTCACAGCGTGCACCATCCTGCCTTAAGCACAAAGCAGCTGAGCGTGTAACCTCTCCTTTTCAACCATTGTCCAGACAACGGACAATTAGAAGGAATCCGGAGAGACAAACGGGAGGGTATTGAACCCAAACCTACGAACTATGCGTTAATGCGAAGGGAAAATAGCCCCCTGCAACAGCCTGGAAGGAACGAATAGAATAAACCGCAGTGTCAACCCTTCAAGGTGCTCCAAACCTCCAAACAGTCCAAACCGCACGCACCCAGAACGCAAGCAAGAAGAAGAAGGCTGTGCACAGCAGTCTCTTCGTCCCTCTCACCAAGCGGCAAAACACATGCACGGCATGCGATGCGGCCCAACGCCCGAAAGGATTGACGTACCCGCGGCTTTGGGTTCGAAATACTACCACCACAGCTCTGGATACGCAAGCTGACTTCGCTGCGTAAACCAATCTGGGCGCATCCCCGTCCGCTCCGGGAGCGAAACACAACACGATTGCTAACAACGGGGCCATCGTATACGGCAGTACGGCAGCAATAGACGCCTGCGTACGGACGTTGGAGGTCAACGACCCACGTCCGCTAACTCTCCTGCAGCAGTTGACACAGTCACAAAATTGTCATCAACATCTGGAATGGCGTGAAACCGGCAACAGTGTGCTAACCAAGCACGCTTTGGATGATTCAAACAGCAACCCAAGAACCAAGATGTTAGGTGGGCAACAAAATCGCTCATTCGCATCCAGCGCTCACACACATTCCGACATCTCAGTACGTTCCTACTCGCGGCCAGTTTTCTTAACACACATTTCTCACAGCCAGGCAGCCAGCTGTTGTACTACCCCCTCGTCTTTGAAGTACCCCAAGCCATCCAGCCATTGTCCCATTGATAATGTCAAAACCTCCTGCGGTCTCAAGTATTCTCGGGCTGATGCCCGAGAGGAAAATGCATGCTCGCACAAAAATGGAAAACCCCAAATTCGCGTTCGACGCGACATATGTGTTTGAACCATGCCCATGCGATCAAATGGGGACCAAGCATACGCAAAGCTACCCAAACAAGTGAAACGGAAGCAAACGCTGAACACAGGCCTTTGTCAACGGCGAGCCCTCAACGTTGTATCCCCGCGCACAACACTGGGAAATGTGTACGATAAGGCAAATCCAATTCTCCTGCAACGTCCAATCAGCAATGGAAAATGTCCGCAACGCTGGATATCACCTGAATTGCAGCAGCGTAAGTGAAAAGGGAGCTTTTTCAATGCTCGGGATCCCACAGAAAACCACAGGAAACGCCTAAACTGCATTCCCTTACGACGACGCTAACCTTGAATCTAAACGTTTTTTCGACACCATCACAAGCACAAACTACTATCAGAAGTTAAGTTAATCCTAAGGTTTAGGCAATATAGCACCACTATCTCTGCAGTTAATAACCGTAAACAACCGAACTCCCCGTGCACACCCGCCCCTCTACCGGGTGGCTAGTGACACAGGAAAACCCTTGTCGCCTCTTCCGGGAGCTTGTCATTTTTTCGGCGTTCCTCAAAACACTTTTCCTGTTTCCATAAGTCGCATGGCATCCTTCAGAACACCCTGCCACATAGCATCATACCGCGTCTGTGTGTAGTTAGGACTGCAAATCTCCAGCGCTTTATTCCAACCACCCCAAACATCGCACCCACACAGCAGCGACCTGCAAGGACCCTCCATTCCTGAACCCACACACAAGCCCCAAGGGTCGCACTCTCCTCACCGCCCCTGCCACTGCCCTCTTCACCGCAGCACTTTGCGTCAGCCAATGAATATGCCGCAAACACACTACCATAGCGCACCACCACGCCCGCTTTGCCTTGCCTTCCGGTTTGGGATCACCGTAACGGCCACTCATTCACGCCACCCGAACAATGCCGCTCCTGTGCCGCCACCACCGCAGCCGTCGCCTACACGCCCACGTGCTCACACCCGCACACTGAGCCGCCGAGCCCGATCACTTCCTGGCGCTGTTGCACCCACCATCGGCAGCCTCAAGGCGGCCTCCTCCGCTGCTCCCCGCAAGCCGCCCACAGCACCTCCGCCTACAGCTACTCCGCTGAAGGATAACCGAGGTCCCGGACTGCGCGCGCTCATGCTGCCGGTGGCACCGCCACCACCGCAACCGCTGACAGTGGCGAGTTCTGTCAGGTCAGCTGCAACAACGCCTGACCCCGTCGCGGCACCTCCGCCTCCTCCTCCTCCTCCCGCTGCCGCTGCTCCGTTGCTTGTCATTCCAAACTCGCTCACGGATAACGTCCTGGTCATTCGGGATTGCGGCTGCTGTGGCTGCTGCCCCCCGAGGTTCCGACTGCTCCATCCGCCTAGCGGAGCGTTAGTGCCACCGCCGCTGCCATTGCTGCTGTGGCGTGGGAAGCCCAGCGGCGTGACGGCAGCTGCTGCGCCGATGTGTTGCTGGGAGGCCGTCCGCATGAGACGCGAGGCCATGGGCGAGGCAGGTGGGTTGCTGCCACCGCCACCGCTGCTGCTATTGCTGCCAGCAGCACCAGCACCCCCGGCACTTGTACGGCCGTCAACGGATATGCGCAGACTGAACCTCCTTCGGGAGCTGCTGCCGGTGCTGCTGCCAAGGGGGCTAGGGCTGCTGCTGCTGCTTGCGAGCTGTGCGGTCCCTGGCGCGCAGTCCGAGGAGGCTCCAGACGCAGCAGAGGAGGGCGTCAGCTCAAAGGAGGAAGCGGCGGCCTGTGAGAGCGCTGACAAGGGCGTGGAGATTGCACTTGCAAGCGGGCTCGGTGATGGAGCCAAGGAGGTTGAGTTTAAGGGCAGGGCCAGCGACAGGGAGGGGCGCAGAGCAGCGGCGGGGCGGGTGGGGCTGGGAGCGCGGATGATAGTGCTGTTGCTGCTGCCGCTGTTACTGCTGGTGCCAGCAATGCCATTAGCTGTGGGAGCCGTGCTGCTTTGAGCAGTTGCCGCTGCATCTGTCCCCACATTGCCTGTTGAGGAAACGCGCGGCGTTACTACCTGAGACGTCGCAGCAGAGCTCATGGCTGAAGCCGTCACGCCCACCATGCCGCTTTGTGTGGCGCAAGGCGACGGCGAGACGACCGCCATCCCAAGACCGCTGCTCTTGGATCGCAACAATTGAGATTGCTGCGGGTTGCTGCTTGGCTGTTGTTGCTGATAGGGACTAGGACGTCTCTGTTCTGGCTGCTGCGGCGGCGGCTTAGGCCCCCGCGGACTATGGCTGAAGCCGCCGAACGTGCTGCGGGATGCGCGGCCCTCGTCGCCTTGGGAGCTGGGAGCCCGCAGTGCCCTCAACAGTTCGTTGACACGGTCCGTAGAGCCCCCGACGTCCTGTCGCGCAGGTTCCCGAGCGGGCAGAGCTCCAAGGTTGCCGCCCTCCGCAGCCTCCCGCTGTCTGCTGCTAAGGGCCGTAGTTAAGCTACGAGCCGACGTGAGGTTGTTGCTGTCACCAGAGCCACAAGCGGCGTCCTGCAGAGGGATTTGGAACGCTTCGTCTGCTCCTAACGTACTTGTGACGCTGCTGCTTCTGCCGACTTGGTTGCTGGTGTTGCTGTTCGTGTTGGCGTGCTCAAGGGGTGGGGAGGTTCGGTAGAGGTTGTAAGGCTTTTGAGGTGGTGGATAAGGTTGGTTGCCGAGGTGACAGCTGGAGACAGCAGGAGCAGCGTTGCCGGCCGGCTTTGATGACAGCAATGCGTTCAGTCCGGAAGAAGAGAAGCGATAAATGGCGCGATTTGTGGTAGCAGCAGCAGTCCGGTTGTCAACGGGAGCTGCTGCTGGTGGTGGTTCCGGAGTGCCACTCTCGCTAGGACGAGAAAGCGAGGCAGCTAAGCGCCCAATCCAGGAATCGTCATCAAAAGCATCGTTAGCTGCTGCGTCTGCGTTGGCGTGGTTATTGCTGTCGTTGTTGGCTACCTCATCATCGCTGCTGCTGTCAGTCGAGCTGTCCCCAGTTCGGCGTGGACACCGCTTAATGCTGACGCCGCGGCTTAGCGTCCGAGTCAGGGTGCGCGTTAGCTGCACAGGCTGTCCCATCTCGGGTAGCGGGGCTGGTGGAGGTTCGGCTTCCGTGCAGAACTGCAACGTCTGGACGCTGCTTAGGAATTCGCCGTCTCCGTACTGCAGCCTTGCCAAGCTCACAGATGGCCGACGCGCGGCCATTCTAAAGCTGTTCTTAAGGGCATGGCTTTTGTAAACTGAGTTCTTCTCGAGGGCGTAGTGAAGGATGTCAGCGGGCCCACGCAAATTCCTTGGCTGGATTGAATGTAAGTCTGGAGGTTGAAGCATTTGCATCACCTCCATCAACTGGGGGAGGAAAAGGTAGGGACACTTTGTAAGTTGTGTCCACGCATGCTTACGAAGGGTTTCCAAAGAGCATTTGCCCGCTAACAAGTTGCATTATCTGTTATCATTAAATATATGGTATCAAGCCAATCGCATTTACCACGGGAAGGAGATGCGCGTGCAAGCTCGACAGCAGGCGGCGAACGAACTAGGCAATGGAACTATTGTATTCGCAAGTACCGCACGTACGCATTTCAGCTGTAAATGAATGCAGTGCGTGAGAAGCCGCACGCGTTGGCCTTTCGACTCGGCAGACTGAGGCAAAGCTCTCCCACATCCACCACAGCCAGCAAGCGTGACGGCACATGCTAGCTTCGTTAGCTTAGTACGCAACGTTTCCCTAACTAGCCCACCCGTGACCAATAGCTGCCTACAGGAAGGTGCGAAGAATGCCCTTGCCCATTCACCTGAGCGTCATCGTTGATAGAGGCCATTGACACAGAGCGTCAGGGAGAATTATGCCCAGCCAGTAAACTGTTGGTACGCAGCAAGATGGGGAATCCTCACTACCCCACTCTCATGGGGGCGTCTACGTAGCCTGGCTAGTGTGTTATCCCTAAAGATGAACCTAGTAGCAATATATGGGTGTTTGCATTTCAACCATCGTGGCTCAAGAAATCCCGGTCCTTCGGGAAGGAAGAAGGCAGCTGTCGTAGCCCGAGTGTACTATGTCGCAATTGAAGCGGTTGGAAAACTAGGATGCGATTTGGTATTCCGTACCGTAGTAGTATGTTCAGTGTGTGACCCGTAACACTCCTGTAAAGTGAAAGTGCAGTAGTCAAGGCACGTTGAGCCGAAGCGTCACGCTCACGATAATACTGGCGAGCTTGCAATTGATAGGTAAAACACACAGAAAAGCAACAGTTTCGGTGCTGAAGCAGTAAGAAGCGGAAAGGAAAGGACACTAGGAAAGGACGAGCGCTGACAAACGAATGACAAAGAAAACGAAGGCCTGCTGATTTGAGAGGAACGTGATTGCGCATGTAAACAACGTAGCCAATGATCAGCTTCTACGTGATGTTATGGCGGTTAAGCGAGTCAATCGTACGCGAACGGTCGATCGCGTTGTCGGCGATCCGAAGCCGACGGAAGCCTACCTTTGCAACACGCATCGCGTCCAAGCTAGCGTGACTATCCTGCTACTGATTATAACACTCAATGATATGCTACTAGCATTCAGTAAGCACATCCCGTGCCACACGACTAACTAACGACTGAGGGGGCACCCGTGATTACTTGACAATTCAGCCAATTGGAATATGCATGCAGTCATCTACAAGGCAAAAGGACATCCAGCAGCTAGCAGACAGCTGGCCTGCTGCACTGAAAACTATTTGGGAGCAGAAGAACAAAACATGACCCCATTTGTTTAGCCTGCAGCGCGCTTTCTATCCGCTACAACCGCAGTTGGGACCTGCCGGGCACGACAAATCTTTGCTGCTTGGTTATTACAGACGGGAACCGGCAACCCAGGATACTGTTGATGCCTTACAGGCGGCTTGGCTGAAGCCATGGCAAGGATAACCTACCCGTAGAGCAGCAGCGGTGGCACCTAGCCACGACATACAGGGACACTCACCAAAACGAGCAGGTGGTGTGCACACAAAGCAGCGCAAGTCTGTCGGAAGAATGGAGTCCCATCCCAATGGCGGAGTCGGGAATTAACCTACAAGCTTGGTGCCTCAAATGCGAAGCCGTCACCATGCATATCTTCTTCCCAAGATTGCTTCCCAAGGTTACTCCTTCCAAACACACCCCTGCATCCCCTCAGCCCCCAATCGCTTAAAGGCTGACACATACTGGCAGAAGCCGCACAAAACGTAAACGTGTCCAAAACACTACTCCCCACCACTACTCCCCACAAGTGCGTGTACTAGCACTCCAGCATGACTCATGGGTCGCCAGCTGCAATGGCCAGCCAATAAGGGTCAAACGACTAACCCAAACGACGACGTCAGGACTCATCTGGTAAAAGCTGTGACCCCACACGTCACAGATAAACTGAATCTGCCACTTGCTAAGTATGTTGTGTTTGCCCGTCGTGAGTTTGGCAGGATTGGAGCCCTACCTACCCCCTTTCCATCAAAACCTATACGGGTCGCTATTACGAAACTTAAGTCGCAGAAACAGGTGCGCCACCCAAGCTAACCGCAAGCACCGCATGCCGCCGCACTAGCCAATCAGGCGTGAGGGGTTGGCAACTTGGCGTACATGACAGCTGCCAAGGCAGCTAGAGCCACTTGTTCAATTGACTTTGCGCCCATGCGATTGCTACTCCCAGCCATGTTTCACCTACCAGAGATCACTGCACATAAGGCCGATTAAAGCACCTGTTGTGCCACTCCCAGCAGCTCACAGCCACAGCCACAACCATGAACCAACTAACCGTACCACGCATGTAACCAACCAGGTGACGTGAACTAACAAAATAACAGCAGTACCAGTAGTAACAATGTCTTAGTAAAACCCTCGCACCAGCTTTCATTACTACTCAAAACACGCTGACGAGGGCGTCCTGACAGGGGATGGCCATGGCCCGCCACGCAGTGCCTCGCCGTACCCCAGTCAAGCAAGGCCCACACACCCTTTCGCTCACATAAGTACCAGCATACGAGAGAGCACCGCCTTTGCTGGTACCGGTACGCCACGCGCAAAGGGCCACGCGCCCGTCATCTTGAACAACAGATTATACTTAGCTACTTGGGTGGTTGGCTAACGCGTCCATCTTCCAGTGCAGATCCGACGACCAGTTGTAACTGCCGTACTGGCTGAGACTGCTGGTGGACCTCCCGGTCTCTATGAGAACCCATAAAAACGCACGTTCCAAAGGTGCCGACGCATCTGTCGGAAGGCAGAAGTGACGGAATGAAAACAGGATCAGTAGTCCCGTGGGTTTAGCGTTCGACAAAATTATAACCGGGAAATGGAAAACGCCCGTACCATGAATACACAATACTTACCAAGCAAGCAAGCAGTAGTGCCCTGCCGGTCACGTCCTTACTCCAAAACGCTTGATGGCATGTAGCCTTCTTTACTGTCGAGGGTATGCCCGCCCCATAACTGCTGAGTTCAAGTCTCACCCCTCCAATTGCACGTGCGTCCGCCCGTGTGTCTATCTCCTTGGCCCTAATGCCTACCTTTGATGAATAGGTCGCAATTAAGCTAAGCACAAACCTGCCTGCCAGATCACGCCTTTAATAAGCCACACGCTGCGTTCACACATCTCCCACACAACACCCACAACATTGCCAACCCCTCCCTCCTGCAGCATATAGCGGCTCGGTGTCTGTCCAAGCCTGCTAGGCAGTCATACAGCACAAACACATACGCGCCAAACAAAAGATCAATTCCAAATATCTGGTCCTTTCATCCCTGCTCGCTTTAGAAGCATCAATCGCCAGTCTCCGCAGCACAAGCAGCAGCAGCAGCGTAACCGTATCCTGCTAGCAACCCGCACATGCATGCCCTGTTTGCTCGCCCCTTGCAACTAGCAACCTGGGTTGCCACACGCTGCTGTCCACTGGTCCGCTGATGCCCGATGCCACCCCATGCACCCAGCAGGCTCACACCACCCATACATGCAATGCGGTTAATCAGCTGATGTTATCACCTTGTTAACAACCCCCATTGCAATGCAACCTACGTTGGCCTCCCACACAGGGTTGCTGCTCACAAGCATCCATCCTGCGCACTTCGACAAAGGATAATCCCCCGCATATATATGCATTGAAAACGCACATGCATTGAAAGTATACCAACCAGCCCATCATCTCACCTCAGCCACGCTGCAGCGCAAAACGTAACCCAGCTAGCCCACCGGATGCACACCGTATGCGCACGTACCTCAGTCAGATGCGGGTGATCGATGCCCCAACCCACCTGCATAACCGCAACTGCTGCTTTCCCCATCCTGCATCTGCTACTTCATTCCCACACCATTGCTGCTACTGCCATCGCCAGCACACCTGTATACCACGGTTGGAGGCTCCTGCACGCCACCACATATGCTCCATTGACGCAAGCCACAGCACCGCAGCACCAACTTGGCTCACGGCCAGCCCAACCGGTGCGTCCGACCGCCTGACACGACAGTCATCAATGGCAACTTCACAGCTGCGCTGCCGGAATCCGCCACCGCCGTTGCCGACGTCGGCTGCAAGTAACCATAGCCGTTAGTTGCCCCACCGCTGCCGCCAATAGACATCCTGCGCTCAAACCGGCTGCCGCTGTCGCCGCCAGCAGCAGATACTCTCATGGGCGACTGCAGAAACGCGGCGCCGCCATTGCTGCCGTACGCCACATGCTCATCAGGGCCCATGCCGTACGTCGTGCGAGAACTTGCACCATCCCCTGCTGCTCGGCCGGCGGCCCTGGCAGACAACGAAGCTCCTCCGTCGCTGCTGCCGGCGAGAGAAACGTCCCCCATGGACATCGCCCGTACCATGCGAAGCGGTCGTTGCTGCTGCTGTTGTTGTTGCTGCTGCTGTTGACCGTTAGGCCCCCGGCCGCTCCAACCGCCAAGTGCCGTACCTCCCTGATGGCCGCCAACACTGCGGCGTGGAAAGATCACAGCGGCCGCAGAGGCCCTCGTCGAGCTCATATGCTCCAGCGAAGCCACTCGAGCTGCTCGTGAGGGCGCAGCGGAAGGCACATGGAGGGTGCTGCTGCCGCCGCTGCCGCTGTTGGCAGAGCCGGCAGCGCCGCCGCCGCCGCCTATCCGCCCCTCCATGGACATGCGGGGAGCCAAGCGGCGAGCCAAGCCGGCGGTACCGTTGGTGTCGGCGACCGCGCCGCTGCTGTTGCTGTAATTGGTGATGTTGCTGCTGCCGGCGCCCACCAGTGGGCTGCTCACCTGTCGAGACAGCTTGTTGTTGCGGTGGGCAGCAGCAGCCCTGTCACTGTCGCCCCAGCCGCTGTGGTAGCCAGGAGCTCCAGAACCCGCACCCGGAGCACCCACGTCCGCGCCTGCACCACCACCCGTGTCCATGGAAGCGCGACGGCTGCAGTTGGACAGAAGACCGGGCGAAGAGACACGCGGGTTCATGGCGAGGGAGGAGGCAGCCGCGCCGGCGCCGGCGCCCTTCGGCATCACCACATCGTCATCTTCCGCGATTCCGGAAGACATAGACACGCGCATGCTCTTGGAACGGAAGGGCGCGTTGGGATGGGGGCGCTGCTGCTGATGCTGATGGGAAACCCGGGCCCTGGGGCTGAGGAGGCCGCCACCACCGTACGAATACAAGGGACAGCCATCCTCATCGACGTTCTTGCGCTCGCCGGACCTCAGACTCTTGAGCATCTTATCCACCCGCTCCGTGCCGAGGCTGGCGCGCCTGAAAGCGCCGCGATTGGAGTCAGGCGTTGGCGCCGTGGGATTGACCCGTGGGTCGGGCGACATGGCCGTCGCATAGGCCTCAGCGGAATTGCCAAGAGCGCTCCCTGAATGCTGCGTCTCACCCTCCTCGCTCGCACGAACGGCGACCGAGGAAGCGGGTGTGGTGGCGATGAGGACAGCAGCCCGGGGTTGCCTTGGCTGCTGCACCTCGGTGCTCTCTGCTGACACGTCCACACGACGGCTAAAGCTGCCGATGATGCTGCGTTTATAGCTCTCATAGCAGCCATCAGCACCGCCGTTGCTGCTGCCTGCAGGCTCCGCGGCGGTTGCTGCTGCTGTCGCTGTGTCCTCGGACGGCGCAGAGCCCCTGGTAAAACTGTAAAGCTTAACCAGGGCACTGTTACTGTTGTTGTTGCCGTTGTTGCCGTACTCGGATCCCACGGACGGCTGCTCGGAAATGCCGATGGAGGCGCGCTTGGGTGCGACAACCGAGGAGGGTGAGCGGTGCAGAGGCAGACTATCGGCACTGCTTTCAGTCGCAGGCTCAGGCGCGGTGTCGGTTTCATCGTCATCGTCTGAATCCGCACCAACGCTGCCGGCGATCGTTGCCAGGAGCTTCCGCACCCATGTGTCATCGGCGTAAGGGTTCTCTTCGGCGTTGTCCTCTTCATCGCTGTTAAGCTGAGGTGGGCTCGGGGGTCCACCATCCATTTCGTAACGCAACAGCCGCCGACTGATGCTGCTGCTAGCGCCGCCGCTGTGTCTCGGCTCTACGCCGCGGCTTAGCGTGCGGGTCAGCGTGCGCGTGAGCTGTACGGGCTCGCCTAGGTCGGGAAGCGGGTCCGACTGAGGTTCGGGTTCCAGGACCATCTGAAGGGAATGAACACATCGCATGAACTCGCCATCACCGAACTGAATCCTCGACAGTCCGACCGTAGGTAGCCGCGCGAGCTTTAAGGCATTGTTGTTGGCGTAGGTCTTGTAAACGAGGTTCTTTTCGCGAGCATGTCGGAGGATTTCGTCGGGATTGTGCAGTTGTCGTAGTGGTTCGGTGCTGGCCGCAACCTGCACAGCGGTAGGAGGGATGTTAGGCTTTGCAATGTGTCCAATGCAACTTCCTGGGAACTCGGCGAGGGTAGGGTCTATCTATCTGATGGGTTTGCATTCAATACGCCCAAATTGTCGCAGCACTCCATGATGGTAACTGAGCGGTAGCGTTAGTTGCTGGTCGGAACACAATAAGATAAGGCATGCTTCAACGCTATGTCACGCATTCTATAGCAGGTAAAGAGCCCCCCGTCTGGCCGTCCGTCTGTCTATCTGACAGTCACAAGCGCCCTACCGCAGCAACATTTGGCAGCACAAACGCAACCTTAAGGATTTAGCTACTATAAATAGAGAAACTCCTAAGCCAAGCTAAGGAAGGAAGTTGTCGTAATAACCGGATGCAGTCCCCCGAAAACAAAGCCTATGCTAACAGAATGCGCTCACTGTTTGCAGCTATATAAAGAACCCCTACAGTAGCGGAGCAGGGGTCAATGCCGACTAATTTACTTGTTTAGACGGCCCCGCCTGCATGCTCGCCTAACAACTTACTTGGCCGTCTTCACTTCTAGACGACATTGTATCCACTGCGTGCTTCTGGATGAGATATGTGTCCTTGCGGCCAGGCGACAAACACGAGGATTGTTGAATTTGGCTGTCGTAACGCACGAGTCGTGAGCAGCTCTTAGTCAGTGTTTCGCTGTTAACTTAGCAACGTTTTGTTGAAATATGATTGTTAGGCTGTAAAATTGTATAATGATGATAAATACTATTGCACAGTTGTTGTCGCAATCGGCGGCTGTCGTACACGTTGTCGCCATCTGTCTACGGTAGATAGTGTACTGCAACGACGGCCAGTGCAACGACAGCCAACAAAATCTTGCGTGCGCATCAGGAACTCGCGTGCAAGCCTGCCGCAAAAACGGGTTACTGCGCACGTAATGCGTCTGTCAATCCGCTTTTCATATTGCACCTTTGTGGCGATGTTTGGATAACGTTGTAAGATACAAACAACTCAATTAGGGCAATTGGCTGCCGAATTCGACGCCTAGGCGCAGCGTTGTCCTTTCCGTTACGTATAGGGACCCATGGAACCGGGGCAAGTCCACGAGCGGACGGCCAATTTGAATCCAACTATGTTCATATTAATTTAAAGCCAAGAGGCCCGCCGGATGCGCCTGGTTATTGCTCTAGAATGGTATTGGCCCTTGGGCCAATGGTAGCTGTTTGTTTGCTGGCAGATGCGGCAAGCTGGGCTTGCAGCTTAATCTTTGGCAAAAATGACGCTTGCAGTATAACCTGGATCAACATTCTAGGTAGTGCTTACCAGGCGTTGTTCTTGGGCTCACAGTCGGTTGGGGCCCATAGTAGCAGTTGGGCTCACTAATTGCGACAGCTTGCGACCTCTGTAAAAATTGTGTACATCTCGTATTCAGCCTTGCCGTGGCCAGTTTGCTTTATGTCTAATTGTGATGCATCAAGTGGAGGACTAGCTACCTATGTTGGCGTTAATTACCTTAACGCCCCATCCTGGTCGGCCCGAGCGGCAAGTGCCGATACGGATTAGTGGCATCGGCATGAGCCTTCACTAGAACCGTAAAGTACGGCTGACGGAAGAGGTGCGCAGTGGGCTTGCCGACCAGCAAACGATGGGAGTGTACGGCAATAGGAAACAGCTCACGAACAAAGCGTGCAGCAATTTAAGAGGTAATATGTGGTTATACGCTTATGGTAGAGGTGTGCAATGTGCTTGCCGAGCCGCTAATTAGTGAGGTGTACGGCTGAAGGAAGCTGCTTACGTTAATTACGCATGCCGTACATTAGGCGCACCGTTTCCAGGTCCTGGTTTCTGCTTATCGCGGTTGGAGCTCCCATTCCATGACCTATAGGAGCCCCCAAGCATTACAATACAAAACAGGGAATTTCGCCGTATTCGAGCATGGCACAGTTCCAATGGTAGAGCGCTGGATAGCTGGCTATTTGCTTTAGACAGAGTGTTAACTTAACTAGGTGATAACCTAGAGCGGCTTCTGTTATTGGGGACGGCTATCAGCTGGCGATGGACGCGGTCTTGGACTTTCTGTTTGCCTTTAGGCCCGTCCAGCAGTTCCTTGTACTCTACAAAAAGAATGGTGCGGTTGAGTACCTTGCTGTTGTTTTGTTACTTTGGGTGCTCGATTGGCATCGAACCAAAGGGCCCCTGTGCGCTTGAGGACATGCTCATGCCCATGCCATCTTTATTCCTTACTAATTATGTTAATTTAACGCACAACAGATATGGGTCGAGGAAAAATGGGTGGCAAAATTTTGGCCCGTCTTACTGGTTATGTGGTAGCTGCAAGCGCAAGGCTTAATTCTGGGTATCTCGTCAGGGCATACCCGTCGTGTAACAGCATTCAATTAGCCTGTTACTTACCTCCCACACGCGCACGCTTAAGCCTGCCAATCCTGCCTAGGTACTCCATACGGAGTCTGACACCTGCTGTGCTGCTCGCCATCCTTCCCTCGACAAAACCGACCTCCCGCCGTTTTGCCTCGTCCACTCCAAAGTCCTCATACATACCATCCTGAAGCCCGCTACCTTCCTTGCATTCCATAATCGACTCCATCGGCATGCTCCTTCCATGCCCCACGTCCCATCCCCATACTCCTTCCTCTGCTTCTCTCACACCATAAGCCGAACTCACCTTTACCTGGCCCCCTCCTTCCCTTCCCTCCTTTCCACCCTCCCGCCTCCCTCCCTGTCCAACCTGCCAACAACCCACCTGTCAATCCTCGCACGCACCCACAGCCCTCGTGGCCTGGCGCAACCGCCGAGCCACCGCGCTACGCATCTTCGCGCCCTTCCTGTTCCTGCTGCTGGCGCTGCTGATCGACCGGGCGCTGCGAGCTAACGACCGCCAAAATACCGCTTTCCAGGTGCTTCCGTACACCGCACCGCACCACAACTTGCGTACCGTGCCTAACTGGGCAGCAGCGGATCGCAACATCGTCACCTCATGTTGCCTCCTCTTTAAGCTGAACCGCTGAATCGCGCTGTGCTGCCGGTCTCGCCTGCAAGCGCTGAAATCTGTTTGTCACCGTTACAGTCGTTGCTTGCAGCCGCCCGTTCATTGCTTACCAAGCCGCGCTTTCATGGCTTACCTCGGATGTGTTACCCCTGCCGCCCTCCTTTTCCCAGGATGTGCGCGACCCGGCGGGAGAGGCGGTGGGCGGCATCCCGCAGTGCTGGCAGGTTAGCAGGGAGGGGGTGGGGAGGGACGGGGGGCCCGCCTGCGTGCAGCGGGCTGCAGCTGGACACATAGGTGGGGGTCCTTGGGGAGGGGTGCGTGCTGTACGTGTGGAGGTGAGGTGCTGGTAGCATCAGAGCTCTGTTACTATAACCGGGCCGGAAAACACCGGGCAGGGAAGCATGTTCTGTAAGCCCTAAAACCTGCTTGTTCCTGCTCCTGCTGCTCCTCATCCCGCCGCGCCTTCCCCCTCTCTCCTGCACCTGCCACCCACCCACCCAGGACATCTACATCGGCAAGGGGCGGGCCTGCAAGGAGGTGCTCTACCAGCCCTCACCCGACCCCGTGGTGGATGTGAGTGGGGCACAAGGGGGGCACATGAGTGGGGCACATGGGGGGGCAGGGGACCCGTAGCAGCCAGCAGGGGTGATGGTCCGCACCTCCCAGGCTGGGGTAGGGTCTGGAGTAGGGGGGGGGCGCAGGGGCGCTCTTGTACTTCCCTTGTACTTGTGGTCCCTCTATCACCTACTTGAGCCCCTTCCTGACCGCACCCCTACCCGCCCCCTCGCTATACCTCCTGGTACCCCGCAGGCGATCATGGCGTCCGTGAGGGCCAACAATCCGGTGCCCATCACGGTGGGGGGGGAGGGAGACTGCGTGCGGGGGGGCATGCGGGAGGGAGGGAGGGAGGGGGCACACGTACCGGTAGAGGGTGGGGTGGGCGGTACATGAGCTGGCGGGTGCCTGAAGGGCGATCAGCACCCGAGAGCATGTTGGGTGGAGGTCCCTTGGCAGGCACCGCAATAAGCACGGCCTTCGCCACACAAACCCCGTTTTCTCCCATGCACCCCTCCCCCACGCCGCGCACCTCTCACTCCTCCCATGCCTCACTCCTGCCCCTATCGTTGCCCGCCGCCCCCATCCCCGTCCCCGCTGGGCTCCAGGTGGAGGGTTTCCCCAACAGCTCCGCCATCCAGGCCTACCTGTACGACCACCCAGACAGCGTGCTGAGTGCCGTACATTTTGAACGTACGGGATCTGCCCTGGAGGGTTTCATCCTGCAGACCAACACAACGGTGGGGCGCAGGGGGTGGTTGGGCGATTGCGCTTGGGCGGTTGGGTTTGGTTTTACTACGAGAAGCCATGAAACGTTGAAAGCTGAAGTGGCGGGGGTTATCAGGGTCGCTCCCGCTGTGGTCGATTAGGTATCGGCGTATAGCTGCTTAGCCACTTCTTTGTGACTGATTTGTGACTTTCTGTTACCTCCTCCTCGTCCTCGTCCTCCTGCTCTGCTGCCCCCTTCCATCAGGTCAAGTACTTCAAGGGAAAATACCAGGTGCGTGCGTGCGTGTGTTAAGAACATGGCCGCGTGCGTGTGTGCATGCTTCCGCAGCACGGGAGTACCGTACGCATGCTTACTTAGGAACAACATTGCTTAGCTGGCGGATATGTATATGTACCTTCAAGCCCTCCCCTGTTCCCCCACTCTCCTCTCCCCGCTCCCTGATTTTACTCCCCCCTGATGACCCCCCCCCCACCCCACCCCCCACCCCCACCCCAAACGCAGCACCCCAACAAGTTCGTACAGCTGCCGCTGCAAGTTGCCGTACACCGGGAGATCGCCCGCTACCAGCTAGCCAACAGCGGGGTGAGTGAGTGGGCGGGCGGGGAGGGGGGGTCAGAGAGAAACCACTCTGTTCTAATGCGGGGTGAGTGGGGGAACACGTGATGGACTCCTGCGATATAGGGATGGGGTTAGGCTGCCCACCATTACCGGTACCTGAATGGCTGGGAACGGGGCACGACAGCCTGAAAAGTTCGGTTCTCCTAACTCCCTCCCTGCTCCCAGCTCTCCCCCCCCCCCAAATCACACACCCATACACACACGCCCCCGCCCTTTCCCCTCCCGCCCGCCTCCAGCTCCCCAACGCCAGCGGCCTTGCCTCCTCTCTGCGGCTGGAGGTGGGGCTCAAGGAGTTCCCGCACCCCACCATCGCCACGGTGTCGGTGCTGGGGCAGGTGCTGGGCCCCTTCGTGTTTGCGGCCTGCATGTTCAGCTTCGTGACGCAGATCAGCAGCGTGGTGGCGGAGAAGGAGCTGGGGCTGAAGCAGGTAGGGGGCGGAGGGGAGGGGGGGTTGAGGTGTACGGGATAAACCGATTACGGGTAAGCACCAACCCTGCACTTCCCACTTACTACCAGTTACACCCCATCCCACCCCCCACATGGCGCCTTCTCACACGGTCAATCAGTTGTTTCTCTTTACCCACCCACCCCACCCCCCACCTCCCAGGCCCTGCGCACCATGGGCATGGTGGACAGCGCCTACTGGCTCAGCTGGGCCGCCTGGGAGGTCACCCTGGCCTTCGCTGTGGCGCACTCCATCTGCATCTACGGCCTCATCCTGCAGTTCGACCTCTTCCTGCACAACAGCTACGGCCTCCTGTTCTTCCTGTTCTTCCTCTTCCAGCTGGCCATGAGCAGCATGGCGCTGCTGCTGGCCGCGTTCATCAGGCGCACGCAGGTGGGGGATTAGATAAACTGAGCCGCAAGAAACCACTGACCGTGACCATAGGATGACCCGTTGGCGTCCAGCAGAAGATAGCAATGTGGATTATACGTTGATGGTTAAGTATCCAGGGAATGAAGAGTGCAGGTGGGGGGGAGGGGTGGGGTGCGGGGTGGGGTGCGCGTGTGTGCTGTATGTTGTGGTGGCGCTCGTGTGTTTTTATATGGCCTGGTACGCTTGACGCTTGCTGGGTTTTTACCGGTATCGTTTGTTCGTCTTTTTGTGTGTCCTTGTACCGGTATGACTGCCTCTTTTGTTAGCCTCTGCATCATCAAGCCCGTTACCGGTAGCTGTTTGTTGCACGGGTTTCCTTATATAATATCGCCAGGGTTCGAGAGTCGTTTTCGCCACTAACAAGCGCTCTCCTCCTTTTGAGCTCCTCCCCAAACGCTCCCTCCTCCCTCCCTCACAACCTTCCTCCTGCCCTCCCCCCCAGGTTGCGGTGTACCTGGGCTTCACGGTCTTCATCGTGGGCTGGATCATGCAGACGGTGGTGCTGTTCGGAGTGCCCTACTCGCCGGACTACTACAAAACCGCCAAGAGCGCCGTGACCGTCATCTTCAGCATGCTGCCTTGGGACCTGCTGGCCAAGGGGTTCGAGGACCTGGGCGCGGCGACACTGGGGGTGTACCCGGGTGGGTGGGGTGGGGTGGGGTGTGTGTGTTGTGGCTGCATGGATTCGGCTGGTGATGGTAATCTTGTAGGGATGGGGGAGAGAATTTGCATGGGGAGATGCACGGGATGGCCTGCTGATTGCCTGCCTCCTTTCCTTCCTCCGCCGCCGCCTCAAACCCGCCTCCTGTGCCTCACTCACCGACTCTGCACCCCTGCAGCGCCACAGACCCAGAATACTTTACCGGTATTCACGTCACCCCTTCGCATCCCATGTATGATGCATCCCTCCCTTCACCTCCCTCCCTTCACCTCCCATCCATCCATCCACCCACCCACCCACCCACGCAGGCCTCAAGTGGAGCCAGCGCGCCTCCTACTGCCGCAACGTGGACACCGCCGAGCAGGAGCCCTTCGACCCACGGGTCGAGTACCGCTCCTACGAGTGCGTCATGGGCCTCAACACCATCTACGGAGCGCTGCTGGCGCTGTGGGCGGGCTACTTCTGCCTGGCGGTGTACTTTGACAACATCGTGCCCAATGAGTTTGGGGTGAAGAAGTGAGTGTGTGTTTTGGGGTGGGGCGGGTGGGGGCAGGGGGCTGGTGGGATTGAGGGAGGCATGGCCGGCAGAGGGCAGTGCCCATGAATTATCGGTACCCTACATCTTCACCCCTCAAGAGCACACACACCTCCCCCGCTTCCCCTCCCCTCCCCCCCACACACACTGTCCCCTCATCCTGCCCCCCCACCTCCGCAGGCCCTTCTACTTTTTCCTGGACCCCGCCTACTGGCTCCCTCGCTTCAGCCGCGCCAGCAACAACCTGCGGACCGTGCAGCGCTCCCTGCAGCAGCAGCCCGGCGGCGGGGCAGCAGCGCCCGGCCAGCCTCCGCTGCCGCCTGCCGAGCTGGATGAGGACGTGAAGGCGGAGGAGGAGCGCATGAAGGCACTGCTGCAGCACCGGACGGGTGAGGGGGGGAGGGCCTGGGGCTTTCTGCTGTGTTTTTGCTGCTGCTGGTGCTGGTGCTGGTGCCAAACAACCCCATACACTTTTAGTTAAGTTCTTTCTCTTTACCCAACCCAAACACCCAACCCACCCACCCACCAAACGCAGATGCGGGCGCGGGCGCCATGGCCCTGCAGTCGGTGGGTCAGGGAGCCGCCCGCCCCAATGCGGTGGAGGTGTTTGGGCTGACCAAGCTGTACAAGGGCAGCAACGGCTGCTTCGGCACCACCATCCACTGCTGCAGCTGCTGCGACTGCTGCTCCTGTGAGAAGACAGACGACTTTTGGGCGATTCGCGGCAGCTGGTTTGGCATTGAGCAGGGGCAGCTGTTCTGCTTGCTGGTAAGGGGAGGGAGGGGGGGTGAAGGGGGCTGGAGGAGGTTTGTGGGTAACGGTAGTGCGTGAGTGGATTGAGGAGGAGGTGCATTCCAATGCGCGTGATGTGAATGCGGTGTTGTGGTTTGTTGGTTTATTGTTCAGTCGGCTCGTTTGACACGAGAGGAGCTTTTAACCTCTGCAACTGCTTTTTCCCAACCGCTGCAGGGTCCCAACGGTGCCGGCAAGACCACCACCATCAACTGCCTCACAGGTGGGTTCGGGCCCGCTCCTGCGTTTGCTGCTTGCGTGCCTCTGCATGGGGGGAGCCACGCCTCTTGTCCCTCTTGTCGACCTTGACGGCAACTAACCCAACAGCGATCTCTTCAACGCCCACTCGCACCACTGCACCACCACCACCACCCTCCCACACCCCACCCCACCCCCCAGGCGCCATCCCCCCCACCGGCGGCGAGGCGCTGGTGTACGAGGAGCCCATCAGCAGTGCGGGGGGGCTGGACCGCATCCGGGCGCAGGTGGGGGGGCAAGGGGGGGGGGTACAGCAACCTGCGTGCGTGTGGGGGGGAGTGGGGTTACAGCAATATCTGGTTAGCCCTCTTGTGTCCACTGCCTTCCGTACCGGCCTCTAGCAGCCACCCCATCCGTGTACGACATGCCCTCTCCCGAACTTCACACGACGGCCTGCCTGCAAAGAGACGTCATCGCCATCGTCGTCTCCTGCCTCATCCTGTCGCACCATCCACCGTGTGCCATGCAGCTCCTAGGCCGGTGGCCTCCTGCCCTAGTAATCCACGCCCTTCCTCCCTTGTTCCTATGTGAGGACCTCTTGGCTTCTCTCTTGGATCCAATCCTCCCTGCTCGCCCCCCTCCCCTCCCGGCCTCCAATTCTCCCTGCCGCAGATGGGCGTGTGCCCTCAGTTCGACATCCTGTGGAACGAGCTCAGCGGTGCCGAACACCTCTCCATCTACGGCCATGTGAAGGGACTGCCGCGGCGCAAGGTGCGCTAGCGTGCATGGCTGCCTGTCTGCTGGTGCATGCCTGCATGTGCAATTGTGCTTCTGGCTATTTTGCTATGGCCACATTTGCTTGCACTTGCTTCCCTGCTCACCCTTACACGCCCTGCAGCCTGCAGCCCCCCAACCCACCCCAACAAACACACCCGCCCCTCTCCACCCGCCCCCCGCAGGTTGCCTCCGAGACCGCTGCGCTGCTGGACAAGGTGAAGCTCACCTACGCGGCGGCCCAGCGCGCGGGCGCCTACAGCGGCGGCATGAAGCGGCGGCTGAGTGTGGCGATTGCGCTGCTGGGCGACCCGCGCATCGTGTACCTGGATGAACCCACCACCGGCATGGTAGGGAGGGAGGGAGGGAGGGAGGGGAAGGCTGGTGCTAACGTTAGGCTTACTTGGAGGTAGAAGGGGGGGTGTAGGATGATGAGGAGGGCTGTGAGAGTGCGAACCGCCCACTATCGGCACGTGGCGGGAACCGGAAGGGGGTTCCTAGTTGCATGCCCCCCTCTCCCAACCTTTGCACCACCCCACCCCACCCCGGCTCATCACCCCCACCCCCCCATGCAGGACCCCATCTCCCGGCGCTACGTGTGGGACATCATCCAGGAGTCCAAGCCCGGCCGCGCCATCGTTCTCACCACCCACTCCATGGAGGAAGCCGACATCCTGGGTGACCGAATCGCAATCATGGCCCGCGGCAAGCTGCGCTGCATCGGCACCTCGCTGCGCCTCAAGCAGCGCTTCGGATCGGGCTACACCCTGGCTGTGAGCGTTACGAGTGCGGCGGGGAGTGGCGCTGCCAGTGCTGCGGCGTCTGGGCGGCTGGCGATGGTGGGTGGCGGAGGTCCGCAGCAGCAGCAGCAGGGGATGATGCAGATGATGCAGAATGCGCCGGCGGATGTGGAGCGGCGGGCGGCAGCTGTGAAGCGGTTTTTCCAGGAGCGGTTGGGTTTGGCGCCGGTTGAGGAGAGCAAGGCGTACATGCACTTCCTGGTGGATAGGGCGAGGGAGCCGCAGCTGAACGGGTTCCTGAAGCAACTGGAGGTAAGAGCGGGTTGGCGGTAACAACGGAGCTATGTACCTCACACGGTATCGCATAGTGTCATGGTCCTCCTTATGAGCCTCTCTGCTGTATGTGCTCTTACCCACCCGCCCGACTATTTTCACCGGTGTTCGCTGACCCACGGGTCATTCTTCGCACCACTCCGTGCAACCTCCAACTGCAGGCCGAGCGCGGGGCTCTGGGCATCACCGACGTGCAGCTCAGCCTGACCAGCCTGGAGGAGGTATTCCTGAACATCGCTCGGCGCGCGGAGATGGAGGCGGCGGCGGTGTCGGGTCAGGCGGAGGTGGCGCATGTGACGGATGAGGGCGTGCGGTTGAACATCCCCATTGGCGCGGAGTGGGTGGCGCATGAGGGCGTGACGTACAAGGTACGGCAAGTGAAAGGAACGATCGTGTCATGTGCCACCTTGCGTCCATGCCCGGGTCGTCATGTGCCACCTTGCGTTTATGATTCCCCTGTTTCCAAGGCGACGCAAGCTCTTTGTGCTATAGTCATCGCCTAGCCAAGGAAAAGCCGTTCCGCCCGTCGCTCTTCCTCACCCCATGTACGCCACGCCAACCTCCTTACAGGTCCGCTGGGGCACCGATGAGGCGGGTCGTCTCGTCATCATGGACGCCAGCCCCGCCTCCCCCCAGGAGGCTGCAGCCCTGTTCCCCCAGCAGCAGCCCTTCATGCAGCAACCCCCGTCCATGATGGCCCAACCGCAGCAACCGCAGCAGCCCTACCCCTACTACCCCAACACGGCTGCTGCTGCACCCCAGCCGATGATGGCTTACGGCACGCCCCTGGGTGGCCTACCCGTGGCAACACCCGTGGTTGCTGGTGCTGCGGGTGCTCCGGCTGCTGCTGCTGCAGGGGGGCCCCTAGCTGCGGGTCACTACGGTGCGGTGCACCCGCCGGTTGCCATGACAGGAGCGGGGGCGGCTGGGCTGCTGCCGTCGCCGCAGGGAGGCCGAGCTGCGCCGATGTACCCGGGATACAACCCGCTGCCGCCTTAATGGGGTAGTTGGGTGGGTGGGTGGATGATGGGGGAGGGCGAGGGGCGGCGTGCGGTTTGCGGGGGGTTACGGCAGTGCGGTTATGTGGAGGCCTGCGAGAGAGAGAGGTATCACGAGTTTATATAAGGTTTAGGTGGAGAGCAGCAGAGGGTGTTTGCTGGAGGGGTGTGCGGAGTACTGTGATCTCTTTCGCGTGCAAGGAGGGTGCGTGGGGTTGCACATGGGAGGCGTGATTTAGGAGGCGTGATTGTGTAAGGTTGGAGGCCCTGGAAGGGGGAGAGGAAGTGTGCATGCAGCAGGGATCGGACCCCCTACTCGGCAGAGTTTGTTGCTTTCCTTTTAAACCTGTGGGGTGCGTTATTCGGCTCTGTCTGTCGGCTTATGGTCGCGTTGTGAACTACCCCTGCTTGCAGGAGATAGCGCTGCCCCCATTACCGGTCCCCAATTGAGGTCCAATCGATCCAGCTTCGAGGCTCGTGAGCAGCTGCGGATGGCCCCTGTCTTAATGGAGCGTGCGAGGAGGAGGACTGTGGTGGTGGTGGTTGGTGCGATCTATGGCAAAGGGTGTGGCTGTTAGTGTGGTGTTTTGGGCCCGTGTGTGTATGCCCCCTTGGTTCGCACGGTTCCGATACCAGGGACTTTTACCGCTAGCAAGAGTGCGTCTGTGAGTTGGTAACTGTTTTTCTGCAGCCTGTGAGTGATTATTTTTCTGCAAGCATTCGCGTGTGATCTCGCAAGGCGTCCGTGCCCTTCCTTTCTTTTGCACCGGATGTACATGTGTGTTTGCACTGTCCATAGCTCCACACTTTCCATTTGGTCGGCGTTACAAATAAGCGTATATGACATACCGCAAACCCCTCGAAACCACCGCAGGCGTGTTTAGCAACAAGCGCGGGAACCCTCATTAGAGCCAACCACACACCCTTTCCTTCTCATGTAAAAGAACAGGCCCCATTCTGACATCACATCCGGGTAGACAACAATCTCCTCACACCCAACTACCCAGCAGCACCCAGTCTCTTCCTCCAAAGCACCTTCGGGTGTCAGCCTCAGGAAAAAGGGTAACCTCTACCGGTGCGCCATCTAGAGGCCCTTTTGGTAGACGCTCTTATCTCTACGTGTGGCAGATGCCCTTGTCTCTACTTGTGATAGAGGTAGAAGAACCCCAGCCCGAAGAACCCTGCCATCATGGACAGCGCTGAGGCGTAGTAGGGGTAGGCGCAGGTCAGGAAGCGCTCGTACTCGTTGTGCTTGAAGGGGCGGACGGGAACCTGAATGGGGGAGGGCAGCAGGAGGGGGAGGATAAGGGTGAGAGGAGCAGAGGAAGAGGGTGGGTTGGGTTGGGTGACAGGCTTAACAGCAGGCGCGCATACTACACCAAAATGCGAAACAACGGTCCCAAAAACAGGGGTCATAAAAGCTTCCGCATACCACACTTTGGAATTTCTTTTTTCCCCCCGTAACGCCCACCTGGTGCGTCAGCTTGATGTACGAGTAGCCGCGGCGCGAGTAATCGATGTCGTACTTGAACACGCCGTACACGTCGGGAACCTGGGAAGAGGGGGGCATACACATACATACGCACAGGGCACTCACTCACATTTGGTGTGATCTATGTGGTGGCAGAAGTACTACTGTTACTCGGCTCAGTCAATAGTCACGGTATAACGCACGGGGCAGTTATCTGCGGCCAGCTGCTTCAACGCGCAGGGTGCCCTGCCCGTGCGCCCTGTTGACTACCCTGTAGTTGGCCCATGCCACCCCACCCGCCAGGCGTCACACAACCTCCCACCCCGCCCCCGCCCAACCTCCCCCAACCCCCCCTCTCCCTCCACGACCGCACCTTGAACCTCAGCGAGAATGTCCCCTGGTTGTCGTGCTGCAGCGGCAGGCGGATGTAGGGGCTGAGCATGGTGAACTCCAGCTGGATGTCGTCGGACCTGGGGGGGGGGGGAGTTTGGGGGTTGAAAGGGGGGTGTGAGGGGATGAGGGGTAAATGGGGAAGTGGTGGGTGAGAAGAGAAGAAGAACCATGCGTTGCATGGTAGGGGTGAGGAGGGTCAGCAGGATAGGAAGTAAGCAGAGGAGGACGGGACCCACTCCAAACCTCTCACCAGCGGGCCGCTGTCCCCCGCAGCCCCCAACTCCCCCTCGCATGCTTCCCTCACATGCCTCCACCGGCCCTTCCTCCCCATCCTCCTTTACCCCTTCCCCCCTTCCCTCCTCCCCGCTTGCCATGATCACCTAACCCAGTGGGTCTTCTTCTCCTCCATCCACCCACCCATCCCCTCCCCCACACACACTCACTTGTACGGCCGCGTGCTGTTGCCCTCCCGCTCCACCACGTCCACCAGGAACTCCACCTCGTCGTTCACACGGTAGCCCCACGGCTGCTCCGCCTGCCCCAGCAGGTGGTGCCGCAGCCCCGACGCCACCAGCACCCCCGACTCCTGGAAGGCCCAGCGAGCCAGCGACAGACACACGGCACGGTTGGCGGTGGAGGTCCTGACACAGCGGGGGCGGGGGGCGGGAGGCGGGAGGGAGAAGGGGGGGGAGCAGGGGAGGGAGAAGAAGCGGGGGGTGGTGGTGAGTGGGGCGGATTTTTAAAAGTGATTGTAGCACTACAGGTGCGGGTGCAAGGGAGCGGGAAAAATAAGAGGACAAAGGGACGGCGTGTCCCGACATGCATGTCATATACACACGTATATGACCCCGCATCCTCTGTCCATAACACCGCGGCTCAGTTCACCCGTCCCCCACCACCCGCCCCCCATGGCAGCTCCCTCACTTGGTCCGGCCCACGGTGACCTGGGCGTCGAAGAAGTCGTTGGAGAACATCTCCACACCGCCCGCCACCACCATGCGCGCGTTGTTGCGGGCCTGGGAGGGGGGAAGGGGGAGGAGGAGAGTACCCAACGTGTTGATTGAACATGGCAACAAGTTAGGTGACAAGCCCCTGGAGATGGGGGGCAGACAAGACGCGACGCAAGAGGGGCGGGGCGGGCGGCGAGGGGACAATCAAAGGCACCTCAACACCTGGGGCCCAGCCGGCTGAACCAACACTGCCCCTGGATGGGCTGCTGCTCCCTTGTCCCGCTCCCGCCCTTGTCCCGCTCCCGCCCTTGTCCCCCGCCGCGCAACTGGATGCACCGGAATCCTTGCCAGCACCTTCCCTACGCATCCCGGCACCCCACGCCCCATGCTGCTCATCTTGCCCGGCACCTCGCCCCTGCCCCAGCCCAATGCCCATCCCTTCCGTCACCACCTGCCCTGCCCTGCCCGGCTGCCCCGTGTAAGACCCTGACATCCCAGGGCAACCTCCCTGCCCGCCGGCCCCATGCGTTTAACTACCATCAACCATCAACGACTCGCCATGCGCTGTGGGCGGCCAACCCTGTAACCCTGTATCAGCCACTGCACCCCACCCCCTCCCCGCTCCTCCCTTCCCGCTCCTCTGTCTTCTCCCACCTGTACGGCGGTGATCAGCGACGCCCCGCCCCCCACCAGGAGGGAGGGCGGCTCCAGCAGCGGCTTGCGCGGGTCGTGGCTGTAGGCGGAGGCGGGCGCGGACAGCACCACGGTGGCCTGCAGGGGGGGAGGCGGGGTGCAGGAAGGGGTGGGAATGCAGAGGGGCGGGTGCGGGAAGGGCCGGGGTGCAGAAAGGGGCTGGGTGAGGTAGGTGGCCGAAGGGGATGGGGCAGGGCTCGGCAAGACGATGCGGATTGACCGGTGGGGGGGTTGTCCGGTAGCATCCCTGCCCCACAGCCTGCTTGACCGGTAGAATCCCAGGCCCAGCCGCCGCTGCTGCTTAAGCACAAGAGTGCCAAGCTGGATTCCTCATCTGCACGTACCAGCTCAGAGGAAGCCGAGATGGTAGCAGCCAGGCCGCGGAAGAGGACGGGCTCCTGAATACAGTAGGGATGGGCGCAGGGGTTTAGGGGCCAGGTATGGGTTTGTTTCAGCGCCATCCCAGTGTTCCTATCCGGCTTTCGGCTACCTTGTATGGGCCCCCGACCATGACGGGGATCTTGACAAGGTCCTTTGCGGCAACCAAGGTGTGATCACTCTTGCCATCCGCGGTGGTGGCATAGTTGAAGTGGTCATATACTTTTGTCCCCTTATCGTCCAGGTCCACGCCAAACTCCGATGCTAGGCTGCGCATTGCCTCTGAGACGTCTGAGCTGACGGCCATGAGGACATTGTGTCCCGAGTCTACGAAGTCGAGGATTGTCTGCTGGTCGATACCGCCCCCGAAGCCTGCAACGGCTTTGTAGTATTAGAAGGTATGGTTTACAACGCGCTTTTCCTTGGGCTGTCGCACCTTCAGCCTTCGGTGCGAGCAGGACCAGATCATCATAGTGCCAGGTTCCATACTCGCGCAGCTTAATGCTAGAGTCTTTGTAGCCACGAACATCAACTACAAATTCAGCTGCTGCTATTCCATCAATGAACTGCGAGTACTTGCTAGCTTCATTAGCATTTTGCAACAAGACGAGGACCGATTTGCTGGCGCATGCCGACTGGAGGGCGACCAACAGGGCCAGCCCCAAGTATACAAGTCGTGCCATGGTGTCAACTTGACAAACACAGGTAGCAGTCACCAAGACCAAGGGGTTCCCCCTCGGCCATTAGTACGTAAGTACGGAATGGTAACTTGCATTATAGCTTGCATACAGATATTACGACATCATGGAAGCAACCCTTTGCATTCTGTACTATTGTTGTAAAGAGCGTGAAGGAGTACACTCCTTGTTACAACGACAAGGTAGGGCATGCACAACTCCTACTTGCATATTACAGCCCCATTCATTTGGGTCACCGGCATGATGGCGCCAGATGTTAATGCTATATTGCTAGAGCTATGCAGGAGCTAGACGTTGAGAATTTGGGAACTCATTCAGAGATAAGCAGTGCTGCAAGGAACACAGTGACTTGAGAGGTGCTCCTAGGGTTGATTGCCATGTAGTGGCCATCTCATGGGCTGCACGCAGTCATTTCATCAGTTGCAGTCGTGTCAGTGTGTTGGAGCCTGCCTTCTGCAATTTTGCACAGCCAGCATACCATCTCTCAGCACGGCTTCGTACGACACAGCATGGCTCATTACATGTTGCATTGCTGTTGCCGCTCCTTCATAAGCCCTACGACGACGTAGACAGAACCACGGAGCACTTCCTTAGTACTGCCCCAAGAACACCAAGGACACACCACAGTCCAGTGGCCCCTTACAGTTGGGTGCCCGTTGCCCTCTTTTAGCGTGTGCCCAACTATTGTAGCTGTATTGCACTGTGCCGGCAACTGGGCCAAGGCCGTTACAAAGGCATGGAACGTCAAGGCGGAACTGCCTGTCACAAGTAGCATCCTGTGACCGCAGGCCGCGCACTCGAGCAGCTGAGTAGCTTACATGGACAGCAGATGCTCCCTTCGCGGATTCCGCGGTATGTACAGCGGTCGGAGGTGTCCATTTGTTCTCAGGAGTGAACGGTGGAAATGCTTCCCTGGCGCTTAGCGTCTCCGGAATTAAGCACGATTGGTGTACACTACAAAACGTCAGAAGTTGTTGGCACGGATTGGGGCCCTGCACTATGCCTTAGCTTTCATCGGGGGTACGCCTCGGGTTGCCTAATTCAGTAGAAGCGGTTCTGGACCGTGCGTACTATGTATCTTGTTGTATCACCTGTTGTTGCATCAAGAGGTTCTTAAGGGGCAACTGCAGGGTGTTTTCGCTGGCACTGGGCGGTTGGGTCAGCCCTGGGTCGCAGGTCAGTTGGGCATGCTGTTTGGCTTTGTGATGCAGCCGTTTATTCATGCGTGCTAGACAGGTACTACATAGTGCACTTAGGTCATATCCTCCATGCTGCAAGCTCGGATGCTGGCGGTTTGTATTGGTGCACCAAACATATGGTTGCATTGCTTTTTACCGGAACTTAACCTGTCTTTTTGCTTTTGTACATAGTCTTTATAAAAACATAGTTTATGTCGGCTTTTGCGTAGTTACTCGGGCCGTTCCTCAGGCGGTGAAACCTGCTATTATGAAAGTAAAAGCAACGTGACGCTTTTCATTCGTTGTTTATGTAGCTGTTTGTGTTTGAGCCATGGAGGTCTCCGCAGCGCTTCCCGGTCCTGGTCAACCTGTTCCCGCGGTTGCTTCCCTAGCGTCCGCTCTGCGTATCGGCGAGGAGGTCTTCCGTGAGGCCTTGCAAAAGGCTCCGACACTTCCAAAATTATCAGACATTGGAAGGGCGCCAGCTACACTCGCGGACGCTATTTTGGCCAGGGATGCAAAAGAAGAGGAGCGCCGAAGGCGTGAAGCCGTCAGGAAGGATGTCAAGATAAAAAGCAAACAGGTTTCGCCCTTACCAGCTGTTGTAGAGCAGGCGGCGCCGGCGCCCACGCCAGGGTTGCAAATCGGCAATGTCAACGAGGCGTCCGCTTTTTGGATGTTTGTGGAGGTGAGGCACTTTCGCTCTAGATATCATATGGGAAGTATTCAATGCATCCTTAATATTTCTCCTTTGCAGGATTACTTCCGCGACGTGACACAAGAGGACATTATGGCGCTCTTGCCAGTGGCGCTTGACCCAGAGGAGGATGACTGCTTGACTGTGCCCTTCCTTGGCCGTGATCCACGTGCTGTGGACCGGCCTGTCCCCACCAAGGGCAGGCCGGCCTTTATGCGCGAGGAGGACGATGCACAGGAGGTCCGTGGGCCGGTCGGTCGTGAAATGCTTGTGTTACAATTGCTGAGAGTAGACTTTGCAATATCAAGCCCTAAGTATCACTCCATCCTGCCTTTCTGACTAGCAACACCCACAAGAGCCGTGTTAGCGCTGCTGTTTCTCCGCTCCTAACGTCTTCCCTCGCTGACCCCCCCAAAACTTACCCACAGCAGCGTCGCGGAAGAGGTCGGGGTGGTGGCAAGGTGGACCTGCGCTTCAGCGACGCGGCAGCAGCACCTGGCAGCTTCAGCCAGCCTCTGCTGCCCCAAACCCCCCTCTCAATGCAACCCACGCAAGATGCCCTCGTGCAAGGGTGGCGCCCGGATGGCAGGCCCGCGGCGAACATGCTTGAAGCATGCACGGACGACGAAGCCCGCGCGTTCTGCAAGCTCGCCCACAAGCTAGGTCTGCTTGACGATGAGGGGACAGGGCTTCAAGGCAGCAGCGCTGCACCCCAGTTTGACTCCATGGACCGCTCTCAGCTAGACCAGGTGCTACTGAAGGTCAGCCAACTGGGCGACCTTGGCGCAGGGGACGGCGGCCTGTTGCAGCCCGCAGGCGTCGGTCAGCTGCCATGGTCATCTGCGAACGGCCCTAGTGATGCAGCCAGGGGGGCTTCTGCTGGTCCGGCAGCGGCTGGTGATGAGGACGCAGTGTCTTCGAACCGGGGGGTGGGCCATGAAGTCCCCCGTGCCGCATGTGGCGACTTTATGCACCCCTACCTGCGCAGCATGTTGGAGCGGCCCTGCACGGCGTACGTCCTGCACCCCTCTGGCGGCACCAGCAGCCTCCTAGATGGCGGCCAGGAGGAGGAGGACGCCGCGGGCGGGGGCTATGGGGGCGGTGCGGCGGGCAGTGTCAGTGGCGGCAAGGCCATGCGTGGAAGCCAGGCCGGCGCGGCGGGGGGATACATGACCAAGACGCCAGCGGGCGGCAAAGCAGCCTTGAAAATGCAAGCCAGTGGGCTGCAGGACATGGGGGCGACACCGCTGCAGGAGCCGAACAGCCTTGGGGGGACCGGCTTTATGTCCATGCATGCCGACATGAACGGCCCCCATGGACCTGCTTTCGAGCTGCAGCAGCTCCCTCCGCTGCCTCCCTCAGCACAGCAGCATATGGATGACCCTTCTGGTGCCGCTGCGGGCTCCATGGCCCTGATGTCGGCTGCCACGCCGTCCTTTAGCATGCCCGGCTCGGCCCCTGACAGGGCCACCACTGGCGGCAGTGGCTCCCGCGGCGGCCGAGCGCGCACCGCCATCAACTACAGCGCGCTTGCGGGCAAGAAGGACAAGGAGCGGGAGCGTGAGATGCGGGAGCGCGAGAAGGAGGAGCGTGCCAAGTCGGGGGTGCCGAGGATGAAGCGCAAGCCGGGCCCCAAGGCGGGCGCCAGTTGGGGCTCGGGGGGGCTGGCGGGGCTGCAGCGGCCGCCCACCAGCAACCCGCTGGCGCTGCTGAACAAGGTGCCGCTGCTGTTCAAGGAGGACCCGGGGGCGAATGCGGTGGCGGCGGCGGTGCATGCAGTGGTGACGGAAGGTACGGCGCAGTACGGGAGGGGGGGCGCTGGCTAGGGAAATTACACGGTAAAGACCTGGGAGTAATGGCCGGAGGCATACATGTCCTTAAGAGCGCAGGATGGGTTAATAGACCTAGACGTCAGTGCTGCGCATGGCGTGTGTGTACACTCTACAGCGTCATCGGTTCCTTACCTCGCTGTGCCCCACCAACACCCCCCCCCCCTCCGGGTCAGGCGGTCCCGAGGGCACGCTGGAGGAGCAGTGGGCCCAGTTGGATGCGGCTGCCGACGTGATGTCCATGGCGCCCGATGACGAGGTGCTGGCGGAGCTGCTGGCGCTGCAGAGCGAGCTGGTGCAGCAGGTGGGGGCGGGGGTGTGTGTGCCAAAAGGGCAGATACGGTAGGCATAAAATGCACGGAGATGGGGCGGGGGCCACACAGGTTCCCAGCGCCCGCAACGTGGGGGGGGGTGTAAGGCGTGCAAACGCGCGTAGGGGAAGGGGGCTAACTAAAGGAGGCTAAGGCTTCAGACGCGAGAGACCTTTGGGGGGCTGGTTGCATCCTCGTGTGCTACATCGCTCTCACCATGTGTATGGTTGTCACCCGCGGTCGCCGCCTCCGCCTCCGCAGGTTGCCATCAACCGCTCCCGTGTGTCCAAGGTGATGGATGCGGTGGTGTCAGACCTGCCGCTGCAGCGCGCCGCCAACCAGCAGCGTGCGGAGATGGAGGAGCAGATCCGGCTGTACCTGCAGGTGGGGCTGGGCTCTCCTTTGCTCTCCCAACTTGATACCCCGCTCCCGCTTATTTGTTGGCTTTCTTATTCCTGTTCCGAGTAATGGGGGATCCTGGCTTGCATGCATGCATGCACCGGTACTCCTGTGCCTTCCACCTTGCATCACATCGCCACACCCGGGTGTGCTGAGTCCGCACGACCCTCCCTGCACCCGGCTCAGTTTATCTAATCCCTGCGCCCGCCTGCCCTCACAGCGCAAGGCGGAGCTCAAGCGCAACCAGAAACGTGAGAAGCGCGAGATGGAGAAGCGCCAGGCGCTCGCCGCGCTCAACGAGCCCGCCAGTCCTCGTCCGGGGCCAGGCCGCCCCAAGAAGATCACGAGCGTGCCGCTGGTCAGCAGCTTGGAGGGCGCGACGTCAGCTGGGGAGGGCATGGAGGGTGCGGAAGGCGGGTGGCGGGGTGCTGCGGGCGCAGGGGCGGGTGGCGGCGGCGAGGCAGCTCCCATGGAGCTGGTTCCCGCGGCGGAGGACTTTGAGCTGGTGGACCCGCTGGCACAGAGGTGAGTGCTGCCGGGGGAGTCTAAGGTCCTGGGTGTGCTGCTGGGGGGTATCGTCGAATTGGCACCCTCTAGATGAGATCGGAGGCTTGAGGAAGGGGGTCTGTTTCGGCTTGGGGGTTTTGGGGTGGGGACATGGTTTAGAGCCAGGAGTCTTGTAGCCCGTACCCAATACCTGGGTTGCTCTTCCCCATGTGTCACGACAGGACTCACGACGAGGAGGCGCTGTGCGCAATTTGCGGCGACGGGCAGTCCGTGGAGCCCAACATGATTGTGTTTTGCGAGCGCTGCGACATCGCGGTGCACCAGCAGTGCTACGGAGTGCACAGCATCCCGGCAGGTGCGGCTGGGGCCTTTTTGCCATGCTGGGTTTGGTCTGTTAACGCACGATTGCGGTACGCACATGCCATTGGCGTTGTACACTTGTTGCGTTCCCCGTTTCCTGCGCGTTCAGCTGTTCGCTCGGGGCTCCCCTGCGAGCTGTGACCCACATCAGGCTGCGCGCCATGCTCCTGTCCATGCATACACAACACACGTCGCTTAACTTGCCAGCCGACCTCCACATGCAACATCTGCCTCCTGACGCCCATGCACACGCTGCCCCCCCTGCCTCTCCCCGAATCCTAGATGAGTGGCTGTGCTGGCCATGTCGGCTGTACGAGGAGTCGCAGCGGGCTAACGGCGTGCCGCAGAGCGAGATCCGGCCCAAGCGCTGGGAGATGGACGCTCGCGGCATCACCAATGCGGATCTGCCCGGCGGTTCCCCGGCGGCGGGGTGCTGCCTGTGTCCCGTTCGGCAGGGCGCCTTCAAGCGAACCACGGACGGCAAGGCGTGGTGCCACGTGGTGAGTGGTCGCTTGGGTTGCATGTGGCCTCCCTCCAGCTCCCGCCAGGCCAGCTCCCTCCAGCTTGCCCGTCATGTCAAGAGGAAGCCTATATTGTGCAGAAGCCTATATTTTAAAAGCTGTATGCTGTACCCACTGCTGTTGGTTGGCTTGGGTGGAATCCAAGTGGCATCTCCTGCCCTTCCTCCACCTAACTGATGCCCTCACTCCTCCCTGCCTCCTGCACCCCCCCCTCCTCACGCCAGGTGTGCGGGTTGTGGCACGAGGGCCCGGTGGTGTTGCCCGTGGACTCGCCGGACGCGGTGGACAACGTGGGCGCCATCAAGGCGGAGCGCTGGCGCTCGCAGTGCGCGCTGTGCCAGAGGGTAAGGGGCCGGAAGAGGGAGTGGGGCGGTGGAGCAAGCTTCCCCCATGCCGCTGTGCCCCCGGCTTTCTTGAGTGCCAAGGCACTTCGATGTTGAGGCCTACTCCTTTGTTGCACTGCACTTTATGCCACTTAGCCGTCCTCTCTTGCGCCCTGCATCCCAACCCCTTCCTTCCTTGCTTCACTCCCGCGGCCCGTTTGCAGGTAGCCGGCGCGGTGGTCAAGTGTAACTTTGGTCACTGCCAGGCCACCTTCCACCCGTTGTGCGGCCGCCGCAACGGCAACTACCTGGTAGCTCGGCTGCAGCCCGGGTCGCGCACGCTGCGCTACCGGGCCTACTGCCACAACCACTCGGAGGGGCAGCGTGCCAAGGACATGAACACCGGGGCGGCGGCCAGGGTAAGGAAGAGAGAGAGAGGAGGGGAAAGAGGGTGTGTTTGCTGGCGGCAGGGGGCATGTTCAGCACCCGTATTGTTTTATGGGGCAGTTCATGGTTCTGCACTTACCTGTCCTGCGAACCCGGCTGTCCTTTCCTTCCCGGCCAGGCTTACGAGGTGATGGGCGCTGCCGCAGCCCCAGCTCCCAAGCCCATGAAACGCGGAAACTCGGTGGGGTCGCTTGCCGGGCTGGAGGGCGAGGCGGTGGTGGTGGCGGCCGGTGCCGCCGCTGCGTTGCCCGCTGTGCCAAGTCAGCCCGAGGTGGCCTCTGCTGCTGATACCGAGGCGGCAGCAGCGCCTCCCCCGCTGGTCCCTCCGGGGCCGTTGATCGTCAAGAAGAGGTTTGGGCGGCCGCCCAAGCTGTTCAAGCTGCAACAACAGCAGCTGATGCAGATGCAGGTGCGTCATGTGCGTTTCGCGCTGGTGGGGGCGCGTTTTCCTTTTGTCGTAGTTCCGCTGCGTCTAACCTATCCTGTGTTCCTGCAGTCGGCCACTCCTGAGCTAACCGTTTTGACCATGGACTACCCCCTTCCCACGCCCCCCTCCCGTTTCCATTTCTCTTCCTGCTTTCAGATGGCGCAAGCAGCACAGGCCGCTGCTGCTGCTACTGCCGCTCCAGCAGAGCCACCCACAAGCCTACCAGCAGCCCCCTCTCCCCTGCCGGAGACCGCTCTGCCACCTCCATCAGCGCCTGTCATGCAGCCCCCCGCAGCTGCCCCTGCTGAAGCACCCCCAGCGCCCGCCGCAGCACCCGCAGCTGCCGAGCCCACCGGAGCCACAGCCCCGGCAGTGCTGCCACCGCTGGCCGCCGCTACCGCAACCACACCTGCTGCAGCGGGTGCCGCCGCCGCAGCAGCAGCAGCAGCCCCGGCCCCTCCTGGGAGACCTCCACTTCCCGCCTCGAGGCTCTCCCTATCAGCCATAGCCAAGCGCAAGGCCGCGGCTGCGGCTGCCGCCGGAGAGCCGGCAGCTCAGGCGCCAGCGGCTGCTGTTGCAGCTGCAACCGCAGGGGCAGCCACGCTTCCTCAGCAGCTGTCGGCTGGCGCCGCTGCTGAGGAGGCTGGAGCGGCTCCCAGCGGAGGCCGCGCCACTCCCTCTGCAAGCCAGCAGAAGCAGCAGCCGCAACCACCACCACTGCAGGCTACTGGCGAGGCGGGTGGTGCTGCGGAGCAGCAGCAGCAAGTGTCAAGTCAGGCTGGCGGTGAGGACGTGACTCCAGCCGCAGCGACGGCAGCGGTGCCACCAGCTGCAGCGGGCGAATTAAAGCCAGTGGTGGCAACGGCTGCGACCAGCATGACAAGCAGCGGCACAGTCGGCGGCGCAGCAGCCGCTGCTCCCTACACTGCTAAGAGCGCCGGTACCCGGGCAGCTGCTAGGGCTCGCCAGTCCTCCTCTGGGGCCACTGCCGCCCAAACCCCTGCCACGGCTGCTGCCGCTGCTGCCACAACCGCAACCTCTGGCCCCAAGCAGCAGCGCTTGAAGGCTATGTCGGCAGCAGCAGCAGCAGTCCCGGTTGTGAAGGAGGAGGAGGCCGCGGCAGCGGAGGCTGACGCTGCCGCCGCTGGGCCGTCGACCTCGGCTGCGGCAGGGACAGGGGCCCAGGTTGCACCCGCCACCGCCGCCGCCACCGCTGGTGATGGTGAAGGTACGGCAGGTGTGGCGCCGCCGCAGCCTCGCGGACCTGCCACGCTGGAGCGGCTGGCGGAGTTGGAGCACCAGCGGTCGGCGCTGGGGCGGTGGGGGCCCAGCAGCATTCGTCAGGAGCTGGAGCTGCTGAGGACCATGGCGGATACGGTGAGGAAAGGGTGCTGGTTGCTGGTGATGTCCGTGGTGCCACTCCCTGATGTTTGCATGGGCGCATGTGCATGATGTTAGTTGTTTGTTGTTTGGAGCTGATGAAGCAGCTGATGGAATGGAGAGGCAAGGCCCTGTGGATAGCTGTCAGCCTGTCAGGCGCTGGCAGGGGCTGGGTTGGGAGCTTGGGACGGTGATCCTCTGTTTACAGCAGGGGTGACGCAGCGAACACCTTACACCCCATCTGTGCATGTGCTCCCGCAGGTTCGCCGGCGGGAGCGCTGCAAGCGGTCGCTGTACCGGCTGCTGCGGGACGCCCTGGCGGAGCAAGACACACAGCCGGAGGCGGTGCTGTCAGTCCTGGAGGTAAGGGGCTGAATGTACTTCTTAAGAGGAGCAGTGGCCGGGGATATGGCCAAGTATAAGCTGCCTCAAGTTCCAAGTGCCTCTTTCTTTTCCGCCGGGGCCCGCTCTGACAGTCTTATCTTCCCGCTATGCTGCCCACCCAACCCAACCCCGACAGAACTGGGAGTGGCCACAGGTGGACGAGGTGTCGGACCCCTTCTCCGCAGAGGACCGCACCCAGCCGCCGCTGGAGACCGTCCTAGACCGCTTCCTGGAAGCAGCAGGCAAGGCAGCGCAGGCCGGCACCAGCGCTGCCGCAGGCGACGACACGGCGGCCGCCGCTGGAGACGCTGAAGCTGACGCTGACGCCGCTGCTGATGACGCGACAGCTGCGGTGTCCGGTGGCGGCGGCGCCGCTGTCAGCGCCGGCACCCGCCCTGCCGCTGGCGTGTCGGGGGTAAAGCGCCAGCGAGGAGCGGCAGCAGGGCAGCCGGCTGAGGCGGATAGCGGTCCTGCTGCGGGCGGCGCTGGGGGTTCCTCGCCGGCAGCTGCTGGCGGGCCTGCGGGTAGCGGCGGCGGTGAGGGGGAGGAGCCGCCACCGACCAAACGGTTAAAGTTGAAACGCAACACGGCAGCTGCTGGTGCTACTGTTGCCGCTGCCGCTGCTGCCGGTGGTAGTGGCGGGGGTGCAGCAGGCGTTGGTGGTAGCTTTGCGGCCCCCAGTGCGGGGGGTGCAGGGGAGACGCCGCGCACCTGCTCCCGGAGCACGCGGCAGGTGGGCAGCAGGGCGGCGTCGGGGGGTGCGCCCTCCTCGGCCTCGCAACCGCCTGCTGGGGGTCAGCCGGCGGAGGCGATGGCTGAGGTGGGCAGCGGCGAGCAGCAGCCGGCGGAGGCGGCGGCAGCTGGGACTGCCAAGAAGGCCAAGCTGGCGGCAGGTGGGGATGGTGTCGGGCGGTGCTTTAAAGGAGGAGTTGCGGTGTGCAGGGGCTGGAATCAGAGTTGGGTTGCTGCGTGATGTGCTTACGGCTGCGGTACTCTCTCCCATGCATGGGTGGCATCTGATGGTCATTTCATGTGGAGTCGGCAACTATGAGGACTATATACCGATACCATGCCTTCGCTGTAAGCTGTTCATGCGTCAACGCCGCGATGGCTCTGAAACCTACTAACGCTGGCCCGCTGTACACCACAGGACCGCCGAAGCCAGCAGCGCGCGCTGATGACGCCGGAGAGACCATAAAGGAAATCATGAGCGGCCGGGACTGGCGGAGACGCGTGGTGAAGGGGCCGGACGGCAGCTGGGTGCCGCGGCCTACGGGGAAGGGCAGCCGAGCGAATGCATCAAAGGGCACGGCAGGTGATGCTGACGCCGGCGAGGATGGTGCCGCTGCAGCTGCTGGCCGTGACGGCGCGGAGGAGGGCGCAGGAATTGCCGCCGCTGCGGCGGGGTCTGCTGATTGCGGGGATGCAGGGGAGGATGAGGTGTTTGTGGACGCGGAGGAAAGGTTCACAAATGAGGGGCAGGGTGGAGACAAGGACGGGGAGGATCAGGAGATGGCGGACACGGCCGTGCAGGCAGGCGGGGCAAGTGGAGCTGCTGGGGCCGAGGGACGGCCCCGTCGCAGCCGTCGTAACACTCGTGTTGCGACTGTTAGTAGCAGCGGCAACGATGTGCATGCAGGAGCAGCAGCAGCAGCAGCAGCAGCTACTGGCAAAGGTGGGGGTGGTGTACGGAGCGGCGGCGGCGGCGCTGGCAACGCCGAAGGCAGCGGCGAGGGCGGGGATGGTGGGGCAGCAGCAGCAGCCGGTCTGGGCGGGAGCTCAGCGGTGGCTATGGATGAGGGCGGCGGCGGCGGTGACGTGTCGCCGCAAGCCACCTCGCCGCGTGGGGCGAGTGCGGTTGCCGCGGGGGAGGAGGATGGGGACACGGCCATGGCTGACACGGATGTGGCGGAGGGGGTTGTTGCAACGCCCGGCGGTGTGGGGGGCTCTCAGGAGGCGCCAGATCAGCAACAGCAGCAACGGCCCGATGCATCTGATGCACAGGAGGCTGAAAACGCGGCGGCAGGAGGGGATGCGGCAGGGCCTGGTGCTGCTGAGGTTGCGGACGGGGCGACGGAGGGGACGCCTGTGCCTGCACGGCAGCAGCAGCGGGAGGGGCCGGGGAGCGCTGAGGGGGCTGAGGCAGGCGGCGATGTGGGCGGCAGCGGCGACAAGACACAGCCCGGGTCGGACGGAGGCAGCTTCAACTCTGACGGTAGGTGCGATGCTGTGCGGCCAGGGCGGGGAGTAACTGTGGTGCTAGCAAATAGGGTATATGTGCATCTGCGTTGCGGTAGGCGGTAGGCTGGTTGCGGTGCTGTGTGTTCAGAAGACTGGTGTGTGTTAAGAAAACTGGCCGCGAGTCGGAACGTACTGTCGGGTAGGATCTCGGGTGTGTCGTCTTGCTGCGCCAGGTTAGGTCCATGTCCACCTTCACTCCCTGATGCCCAACCCTCATCGCTCCTCTCCTTTCTCAGTCCTCACCCCGTCCACCCCGTACCGACTTTCCTCCCGCCCCTTTCCCCGCCGCTCCTCCTTCCTCGGACCCCTCCCCCCCGCAGATGCCCCCATAGCGGTGCTGTCCCGCGCCGCGGAGCTGCCGCGCGAGCCGCGAGCCCTCATGAGCCAGCGCACCGCAGAGGCCCTCAACGCCTTACTACCACCAGGCTACCGCTTTGAGAAGAAGCCGTAGCCTTTTTGGTTACAGCACCTTTTGTGCCGTTGGTTGGGTTGGGGCCATTAGGTCGGGCCGCACTAGTAGCCACGGGTGGGCCCGTCCGCAATTCCCCGCACCCTCCATTTCGGCACCCCTCCGCCAAGACGGGTTGGGTATACGGCGTAAGCGTGTGGAACGTGCTGCCGTACGTTTTGTTGTGGCCGTTAGGGTGATACGCTTTAGAGCCATGTTGGGGGAGCTCTGTCGTTTCCATGTGGCTTCAAGCTGTGGGCTTGCAGGCCTGTCGAGACGGCTGTGCATGTTTGTGTTTTGGGTGGTCGTGGTGTTGTGTTGTGTGGTTAGGGGCAGACGCGTTGGCTCGCCCTAAAGGACAAACGACGAGTGTGTTTCCTCGGGGGTCGTTGGGGATTTGATTTGGCGCATACGTAAGAGTGACGCTTCGCCGCTCGAGCCGAATCGTGCTTCATGATGAGGGGAAACGCTTGCAAGAGGGGTATCATCATTTGTTTGTTCCGCGCCCCTTCTGGCGACACACACGACCAGATGTGGCAGGACCCCCTATCTGGCATGTGGACGAGGAGCGGTGCTGGGTCTGCCGGGTTTTGCTGCGAGAGATGGGGTTTTGTGGGAGGTGGGTGCCAGGGTTCATGGTTTGAATTATGGTACGTGGCCAGCTGCCATATCTTTTGAATTGTGTGGTACTGAAGACGTTTTCCATCATGACCTAGGTATAGGATAGAAGACACTGACACGTCGTGCCATTGACCGACAGCTGACAGTGTGAGGGAATGCTTTCTGGCAGGCCAAAAGCCGTCGCTCGAAGAGTGGGAGACGTGGGTTGTTCCTTGTGAGCCCATTTAGGTTAGGTTGTAACGCGTGCGTGACCTGTGGTGTGTTTCCCGCGACGCGTGTTTACGTTGTTGCAATTATAAAGTACGCATAAAGTACGCTTCCAGAATCCAGATACGTCGAGGAGTCACGTGCTCAGCCTTTGCTCGCAGCTCCCAATTGCAGCTGCACTTCCACCCCAGACACGTAGTCTTAGGTAATAGCACCAAAGCATGCCAATCCTTTCACAATCGCGTGTTATGTGTAGTGATTCTGTTCCGCCTTTCCCGCAGCACTGGTCAGCAGGCGCAGGACTACCCATAGGGTTCAGTCAGATGTCCTTGTTTGCATGCCTTACTAAGGACGACAGGAGCAATGGCCCCGCGTTATAAGCTCTCACAAAGAGGAAAAGCGACCCTCAACGAGATCACGTGCAATGGAAGAGTGTACATAATTCATCCAGAGGGAGTTCGGGCGGGTAGCCGGGAACCCTGGGATCACGTTGGGATTGGTTAGTGCCGTGTTTCCCGTGCCATGTGGCCCGTTACCTGAAGTGTCTGCTGAGCGTTGTTACACCTATTGTCTTTAGGCTATTTCACTATACAGGAAGGGGGACACAGAGCCCCTTTGCAAACGAAATGCGACGATGATCGGGAACTTACTGAAAGCCAATGACGCTCCTTAGCTAAATGGCATAAGCTTCTTTGTGTTTACCGTAATTGATATTGGCTCCTTCTATAGAGTTCTTGTGTCCCGGTGAAAGCCGGAGGCGGCAATCCCATTAGTGCTTTAGGATACAAGGGAAACAATGGCGCCAAAGAAGAGTCTTAAAGGGAAAGTCGAGGACCTGATCAACCCTCTGGCGTACAAGTCCAACCTACAAGCCCTCGGCTTCTTGTGAGTGTCCAGTAACAACCTTGTTAGTCGCAACTGCGGGACAGCCTGGCATCCTGATCTATTCCAATTACATAGGCGGAACTTCGTCGCCGTCATCTCGGGAATCGTCGTCGGAATTTGCGGAGTTGTGGGTTGGCATGGGTTCATCTACCACTTCGTGGCGCAGCTGGCGGTGAGTTCGATGCATCCTTACGCAAACATTCCTAGTACTGTAACCACGGGTGTGCAACGCCCGGATGAACGGCAGAGCCTTGCGTGCAGCCTCCTTTCCCTTCCCCGTCCCCTCCCCAATGCCCCTCCTTTCTGACCTTGCGCGCAGTGTGCAGCAACCATGGTCCTGAAGGGCTGCACCAACCCACGCAACTTCTTCATTAACTGGTATGTTGCGTACCGGAAAGGGAGGGAGACGCGGGGTTTGGGCAATACGTCGTGTGTACAATGCTGACGAACCCTAGGGGTGCAATGGCCAGATGGCCGCTCTGACGGCCACTCTGCGAAACCCACCGATACTAAGGCACACGCGCATTCACCCGGCCCTGAGCTGCAACACTCCCCCAGAGGAGCCCTTCTCCGCATCCATCACTTGTCCTTTGGCCCTCACCGCCTCCTATATCTCCTTTGCTTTGCCCTAACTTGCAGTATCATGCGGTCTTGTGTCTCTTTGCCCCGTCCCGCTTTCACCTCGAACTCTTTTAACCCGCCCCGCCCATTGTTCCTCCCACAGGAACAACCTGCTGTTCTTCGGGGTGTTCTCCTCCACTACGCTGCTGTCGTACATCTTGTTCTGGATGATATTCTACAACCTCTGCCACGTCTTCTGAACAGCCTGGTTTACAGCCTGGTCTGCATCGCCTGGTTCGCTATCAAACGCTTTGCCGCGTGGTTTCAAGTTGGAACGGTCCCCACGGGCCGTCTTAACCTCCTGGATTGCCCTCACAGCCCGCGTTCGGGGCTGGCTGGGAGATTATCACTACCACCACCGCAGCAGCAGCAACTGGGAAGCTAGGCTTGCAGTTAGTGGCTTGGTGGCACTGTAGTTTGCGTAACAGCGTCTTTGGTGTTTACTTTAGAATGAGCAGGGTTAGGGCGTTGTGAGGAGGCAAGGGTTACTAATAGACAAGTGTGGGAACAAGCAGCAGGCGGTCGCAGCTGAAGGAAGGGGCCCTACCTGGAGCTGAGGAGCCCTTGGTAACGAACCGAAATCCAGGATACCTTTATATTGTGCTCATTAAAGCGGTGGCACCGTTTTCCTAAGGCGGAGTGCTGCACGGAAGCGAAGGAGCGATGGACGTAGCCTCGATACATTAGTGAGATTCCCCATGCGAGAATGTTGCTGTTTGGGTGGCAGTGGAAGCCTGTTAAGCGGGCTGGTGGCTGTCTTTGACGCTAGTACGGCCACGGCACTAAGGTGGGTTATACGCTGGGTCGAGCGGCTGTCCAGGAGTGAAGAGCTAAAGACACGTTTCTGTTGTTGAGTCCAGCTTCGCGATTGGGGCTTCCGCCGCGGGCGTTATTGAGCAGGGCAGGCAACATGGGACTGCTCGTGAGCTCTCGTGTAAAGCAACCCCTTGGATGCGCCATCACGCTGTCTAAGTTGACAGCTCGGATTCAAACGGCGATATCTGAAAGTTGACCAGTTGTCCCAAGAGACACCAGACCACCTAGGCCAACATGCATCCCGACCTCAGCCCGAGCCTTACGCGCTTTGCTCTACCACACAACGCACTTCGGCGCCATGCTACCGTGCGCCCGCCTGGACTCTATCCTCGACACAATTCCCCTTCACATCGCCAAGCTATATACACGAACCTACATGCCCTCTCGCCCACAACGACGCAAGCAGCGCGCGGCAAACGCACGTCACCTCTCAACCCCCGGGTCCTGCGAATAGCTGCATGCAAGCCATACACATACACCAATTACCTCGACCTCCCTGCTGTCACCATGTACGACTACGCAGCTTACACAAAACCAAGCCAAGCTCCAAACCACCGCCTTCCCGCGCGTTTCCATGCCTAGCGTGACAGGCCAACCAGTCATCCTGCGCTCCATAGGTCTCCACCCAAGCACCCCTCCAACACGCTAGTAGAGTCTTTCCTAGCCGAACCATCCAGCCGTCCAACCAGCCATCCACCTACACCGCCTCCACTCCACCCCCACAACCAGCTGGTCGCGCCGCTTACCAGGGCCGCTTCTCGAAGGCCACCATGTCATGCACATTGCCCTCCGCCTGCGCCGCGTTGGTGCGCGCCTCCACCCGCATGCCGCCGCCGTACAGCAGCTCCCGAGCCGCGGAGATGGAGTTGGCGCCCAGGTCCTGGGGGAGGGTGGTGATGAAGGCGGGCGGGGCGAGGTATGTGCATACTGGTCCGCCTCAAACCCACCCTGTGTCAACACCCGTCAACAGCTCAACATTCGCATGGTAAAGCCTTGCCTGCAGCTCGTCAGTTCCCTCCTTTTTACACCCCTCCCTCCCCCTGTTATCGTACCTGGAATCCCTGCTTGACCGCCTGCGCCAGGAAGGGTACCGTCCGCCGCACGCTGCCCTTGTCCTTCACCGCCCCCGACACGCCCTGTGCGATCTTGAGAGCCTGCGTGTCGGACAGGTAGCGGCTCTCGCTGCCCTTGGCCATCGCCTCCAGGGAGCCCATGCCGCGGTACTTCTGTGGGCGGCAGGAGGGGCGGGGGTGGGTGGGAAAAGGCGGGTGTGGGCGGGAAGAGAGGCGGGGTGGAGCGGGTAGGTAGCAACTAGCAAGTGGACATCCTCTTGTTAGGCGCTCTTAACTTTAGTTAAGACTGTTAGTTCGCTACAACTTCACTTCTTTAAGCAGTGTTAGGCAGCTACTACGACAAACAACCAAACAATCCCAGCACGCACCTTCAGCCAGCAAGAGCCCAGCAGCCTGCACAGCCTGCAGCCCCCTCCCCTTCCCCTCCCCCCTTCACAGCATGCCCCATGTCCCCCTCCTTCTTCCCCCTTCCCTCCCTCTCTCCCTTCCGTTGCTTCACTCTTCATCTATATCCCCTCCCTCCCTCCCTCCCCCCCTCACCTTGACCCGCTGTCCATTCAGGGTAAAGTACTCCCCGGGCGCCTCCGTTGTGCCCGCGAACAGACTGCCGCACATCACCGCACTCGCGCCCAGCGCCAGCGCCTTGGTGATGTGACCCGAGTTCTGGATGCCCCCGTCCGCGATGATGGGGACCCCCAGCGCGTTCGCAACCCGCGCCACGTGATACACCGCGGTGGCCTGCCCGCGCCCCACCGCGCACACCTCCTGCGTGGTGCAGATGGAGCCCGAGCCCATACCCACACGCAGGCCGTCGGCGCCAGCCTCGATGAGGCGGCGGGCTTGTGCGCCGGTGACCACGTTGCCGGCGATGACGTCCAGGCCGGGGTGGCTGGCCTTGATGTGCTGGATCATGGAGATCTGGAGAGCGGGAAGGCGGGGGGTGTGGGAGGGCGTGGTGTGTGGGGGGAGGGGAAAAAATTAAATAAGTGAAACAACGAATCCCAATCCCATGAGGAGGAGGTGGGTTGTAAGGAGGTGGGGTAAAATTATATAAGAAATGCAAACAACTAAGTCCCAATCCCATATCCCGACTCATGCAGTGAGCGCATTCGGAGGCACTAATAACACGCATCTCAAATTACTTACCGTGGGGTGGGGTGGGAGGTAGGGAGAGGTTTGCAGCAGTTTACAGCAAGCGCCGGTGCAGGAGTTGGTTCGTGCCGCAGCATACACATCCTCTATCTGCGTGGATACCTTCTGGCCCACCCGGTCCACAACACCACTGCCCCTTGACGTCCCCTTGTCCCACCTTGCGTCTCACCTCCGACTCTCTGAACCCCTTTCTTTCCTACCTCCCTCCCTCCCCTCCCACCTCCCCGTCTCCTATCCCCATCGCTTTGCCCCAACCTGTGCTTTCCTCTGGTCCGCTATCCTTCGTCCCCTCCAGTTGCTGCACTTATCATTCATCCCCCCTCCCCATGCAACCCATGATGACGCCTTATCCCTCAGTCAGTTAGTTGTTTCCTCTTTACCCCCTCCCCACCTGGTACGTGGAGTCGCCCTGGCTGCTGTCCAGGATCACCGCATCCACCCCCGCCACCTGCCACAGCGCCCGCACGCGCTCCTTGTCGCTCTCCCGGGTGCCCACCGCCGCACCCACTCGCAGCCGCCCCGCGGAGTCCAGCGAGGGGGCACCCGGGGCGGGCAGGCTGCGGGACTCCTTGGCGGCGGCACGGGTGGCCAGGCCGACCTGGAGAGGGGGGGAAGGGGAGGGGGGGGGAGCGTGGGGAGGAGGTGAGTGAGGTGCGTGGGAGCTGAGAGGTGCTGTTAGGTAGGTAGGTGGGTTCGGGAGGGTTAGGCAGCAACATGTCAGGGCGGAGCAGTGCGGAGCAGTAGCGGTGCCATGAAGTGCCATGAAGCAGAGTGCGGCACCACCCCTTCCCCCTCCCTGCACCCACCAGCTCTCCCGCCGCATTCACGATGGGCAACTTGTTCTTCTTGATCTTCTTGAGCAGCTCAGCGGCGGCCTCGGGGGTGGTGCCCTGTGAGGGAGTGGAGTGGAGCGGGATGGGCGAGTAAGCGAGTGTGTCGGGGCGGGGTGTGTGGGCTAGGAGCTAGGAATGGCATCTTTCCCCTATCTCGCTTTCCCTTCCACGCCTCCCTCTTTCCCCCTCCTCTCCCTCCTCCTCCGCCTCCCCCCACCTCCGGCGCGGTGACCAGGTCGGTGGTCATGACCTCCGCCAGGGGCGTCATGCGGTCGGTCACGAAGTCGAAGTCGCGGGTGGTCACCAGCCCCAGCAGCCGCCCGCCCAGGCTGCCGCTGTCAGTCACACACACGCTGCTGAAGCCGCGGGAGGCCTGGAAAGACGAATGAGTGAATGGGGAGGGAAAAGATAAGGGGGAGAGGAGAGGTGTGAACGTTAAGGAGCGGCATTGGGTAACCAGGCGTGTGACCCACATCGCCGATGTGACCCAAATCCCCCTGGGGGCTGCCCATTTCCGCTTCCTCCAGCATCGCACACCTTGAGGTCGTACAGCTTGCTGACGGTGTCGGTGGGGCTTAGCACGGCCGGCGTCACGATGAAGCCGGGCGTGTGGCTCTTGGCCTTCTGCACCTGCCGCAGCTGCTCCTCCAGCGTGTTGTTGTAGTGCAGGAAGCCCATGCCACCCAGCTGTCGAATTTTGAAAAGTCGAGTGTTAGCCAAAGGTCAACGTGACTTAGGAACAGGGTTGCGGCATCGAGGGAATGAGGAAGGAGGTAACGAAGGAGCTGAGGAAGATAAGATGAAGTGGTGGGTCTATAGTCGATAGCAGTAAGGTCTTACCGAAGCCATGGTGATGGCCATCTCCGCCTCAGTCACCGTGTCCATGGGTGAGCTGACAATAGGCACGCGCAGCTTAATGTTCTTTGTGACGTTGCATGTCAGGTCCACCTGTGTATAGGGGTTGAACTAGCTGCTGAAGTAACCCAGGAATTGACCTCGAACACGACAGGGTATGCATGCCATGCGCGCACCTCATGGGCTGGGAAGTAGATGTGCCCCGGGTGGAAGATGACATCATCGTAGGTATAGCAGACGCCCTGGTTGAACAGCTGCTGGGCAGTAAAGCCTGCCAGGCAGAAGGACATGAACAGCGTAAAACACCAACGCCAAATTCGTCAAGCCATGAGCCGCGACAGCGCACCGTCATAAACGGACTCGGTAAGGCCGTTCTGCATCTTGTCCTAGATATGCAATAGCGGGTACTGGACCGAAGGACGTGTGCGCGTAAAAGTTGGCGGCGAAGACACGGAAGTAAGCGAACGCCCAAGAGTTCCCACTAAAGCACAGGACAAAGATGCGATTAACCGCCAAAACGCAAGTCGGGAACGTGGAAGAGGCCGGCTGTCACAACATGCGCGCCGGTTGACGATCGGTTGGCGTGAATACCTCCGCCGTACTGCATGAGCGGCGTTTGCTCCTAGGTATGCTCATCGCTGGCCCGTTGTTCAGCTTTTCTCTACATTTAGGCGCGGTGCGCAGATCACGGCACTCCTAGCCTTCTCTGCTACTTTCCTCAGCAATGCAATGTCGCCCTGCCCGGTGCGCCCTGCCGAGAAGCAATCCTGGAACACACATATGCACGACTAAGGATGTGCAAAGCTTATGCAGATAAAGGCAAAATAGCAGGTGACTTCCCAATCAACTGAGCTTGCAAGACACCCATCCGGCCCGAGCATTTGCCAAGATAGCCCAGACTAAGCCATTGAACCCAATTGGCAGACCAGCCTTGCTGGGAATGCATATCGAACATTCCCTGACCAGCGTGTACGAACAAACGGCCGTACTCTACACAGCCACCAGACGTTCAACCTGCAACATTCCTCCAGAACATCCCCATCAGCACCTTCCAACCTTCCTGTTGCGCAGACAGCCATTATCAACTGCCTACTGTCTTCCCTGCCCCACTGCATCCAACCCAATACAATGCTAGCTGCCTCAAAGCCACCCAATACATGCAACGGCAACACCAACCCCGCAAGCGCTCAATCCAGGGGCCACCCAACTGCGCCGGCTATCCTCACAAGAAGTACCGGAGGTTCATAAACCAAACCCAAGTACTACCGGTATTTAGCTTCGGTGCTCAACACTGCGTGCTGCCATGTCCTCCTCCCATCTCCATCAATTGTATGCTCTTACACGACCTGCCCAGGAGCATTATAACTCACTCCCAAGCGTAACTCCACTCCCAGGATAGTAAGCACAGACACACTGTACACACGCACACGACTATAAAGCGCATCCTGCCGAATCCCCCCCGCTCCCCGGACCTTACCCTTGGCAGCACGCCGCTGTCGAACACGGTTACCGCTTTCAACAGCAACCACCATATAGTACCGGCCCCGTTAGCCCTTTTCACCACAACTGCTGCTGCGAAACCCTTCGCGTCCCCCTGCTCAGGTGTCCCCCTCCTTCAGTTGCCCCCCTCCTCAGGAGTCCCCCTGCTCAAGTGTCCCCCTCCTTCAGGTGCCCCCCTCCTCAGGAGTCCCCCTGCTCAGGTGTCCCCCTCCTTCAGGTGCCCCCCTCCTCAGGAGTCCCCCTGCTCAGGTGTCCCCCTCCTTCAGGTGCCCCCCCCTTCAGGAGTCCCCCTGCTCAGGTGTTGGTGTAGTCGGGGCGATCGTGCTCCAGCAGGCTGAGGCAGGGGCAGGGAGGGAGTCGGAGGGTAAGAGGAAACACACGGTATATTACATTAAAACCAACCCGCCGAGCCCCAGGGAGAAGGCGGGGCGGGCCAGCACAGGACGTCTGGACAGGGCAGCTCACAGGGGGCCCAGGAGGGACTTGTGTCTGGGTGGTGGAAAGCTGAGGAGGGCCGAGGCAGGAGGTCCAAAACACATCGGCCCCACCCATCGTTGCCCTATCGTTGTCGGGATTCGGGATTGGGACTGCGTTGTTGCACTTATTTATAATTTCCCTCCACCTCTTACCTCCTTGCGGTAGCCCCATGGTATCAACTAACACGACATGGCATTTCATCCACCCGCTTTACCACCCCCTGGCGTATCTCTTTCGCTCACCTCCTGGAGTGCTTCACAATGGCCCGCCCGATGGCGTTGATCCAGTCCTCCTTCTCCTTGTCGCTATCTGCGATAAAGTACATGCTCTCCGCCTGCGTGGAGATTTCAAAGGCGTTGGCGCGGTTGAGCGTGTCCTCCGCGCCCTTGATGGACAGACACTTGTTGACCTGAGAGCGAGTTGGAGGAAGAGCGGCGAGTGGGTTGGTTGGGTTGGGTTGGGTTGGGTTGGGTTGGGTTGGATAGAGGTGCGGAGGCGAGGGTGGGGCAACTCCATGCTTCAGGTGCAGGCGCGGAGGTGTGCATGCAAGGATGAGAAGTTAGTAGGGAGGAGTGGCAGCCGGCGGAGGGGGCGCACGAGTCAAACTCGGCCAACTGTGCCCCAGTGTGCGCGGCTTGGGACCTGTTAGCACCACCATACAGCCGTGAACGTAGAAAGACTCACATCGATGACGCCACGCGGGACGGAGTCGGGCGTCACTACGTCACTTTTGAACCAGAAGATCTTCCCTTGCTTCATCACAAACCACCTATGTGTGCCAAAGGCGGCATGCCGTTAGCAGCTGCTTCGTAACGTTGCCTAGGGTGCTTCGCGGCAAGCGTCAGTGCAACATAAGTCCAACCTGCGCCGCCATGTCTTGATATATTCGCCTATAAGGAAATAGAAGAAGGCAAGGGGCCATGTATTTGAGCCAGCGTTCTGGGGCGTGAAGAGCATTAACCGAAGCCCTTCACGAGCCAGCAGGTGCTCACCTTGTTTTTGTAGCCAGCCACAACGCTCTGGAGTGTGCCAGAATTCAACTCCACCGTATGTGTCTTTCGCGCTCCGACCCCAGAGTGCCTGCATCCTCCACCTGGCTCTAGGGCTCACCGGGACCTAATCGGTACTGGACCTGCTGGTGTTTTTAAGATCAGCTATTTCAGCGTGGTCGAAGCGAATCTGCCGACGTAGCTAGAGAAAGATGTTAGAAAAGTACTATTGCCAAAACCGGGACAAGTAAAGACTCGCCGTGCCCCCGTTTTAGGCGAAGCAACCTGATAACAAGTAAGTTGTGTCGCGAAGTGTATGCATGCAGCAGAGACCTACCAACAGAAAAAGCGCGGTGACGGCTCCAGAACCACGCGCGTGATGCTCTCGCCGGTCTCGCGCCTAGGGAGCAGACAACTACACGTTCAGGTGTCACTGTTGTATCACCCTACCGGCGTAACATAATCAAGCCTCCCTTTGGTCGGGTGAGAGGGCAAAATCTGTTGATTGCAGGTAGTGTCTGGTGTGCGGATGTAGGGGAGGATAGCCAAGCTGGTGGTGCGAGGGTGTTTACAGAGGGGTAGCCCTAGTGCGTCCTCAAGTAGCGTTTATTCACCGGGCGGTGGCTGGGATAATACTGAACCACCCCCTTAGCATTGGAGACATGGGACGTTGCCCTGAACGAACGAAGAGTACAACGAAATAAGGCAACACGTAGATGCAAATCGAAGGTGTTTCAAAAAAGCTTGTTGGCGGCGTGAACATGCGTAATGAAAGCGGGAAGCTACTGTCGGCGCAGGCGCACTCAAATTCCAACCGCCCAGTACGAGTGAACCGTTCACAACACATCTACTCGATAGCTGTTTGACTACATAGCCAACGGACTGGACTCCAACTTATGGGGCAAGCACAGTCCGCTCCGACTCGCGGCCAACACACGCCTAACACAATTGTGCCACATGAGAGCAGCACAAGTATTAGTACAGAGCGCAAGGAAGGATGTGCGGTATGTCAACCTTATTCCACTAGTACTGTTACAAAGCGCCGACGCGAAGGTGCTGTGCGGCGGGTGCGGGAGTAGGAGGTCTAGGTGTGGCTGAAGGCGTGAAGGAGGTGACGAAGCCGTCCTGGATGGTAGCCTCGCCGTGCACCGCGGTGATGGAGGGCAGGACGCAGTGGGCGGCAGCGCGTGCAGCCTCAGCGAAGGTGGTGGCGGTGCGGTTGGAGGCGCCGTCGTGGGGGGCGGCGGTGTTGGGTACAGTGTAACCATGCGCGGGCATGAACATGTGCGTAGCGGCGTCCGAGGTGACGATGACCTGGGGGGGGGTGCGGGTTATGGCAGAACGAATGCGAAGTTAAACTGGTAGTTGTAGAAACGTTAAGGAAGGTTGGATGGAGGAGAGCAGGGCGGTAGGGCAAGGGCAGCAGGGATGTAAGGTAGAGCAGATGTGCACTGGCTAGAGAGTTCCTGAATGCGTCGTTTAGGGCGGTGGTGAAAAGCGTGCCGAGGACGATGACCGCCGCGTGGTCGTCGGCGCTTGCGTTGCAGGTGGGGCAGTGCGTGGCATCCAGGGGCATGGAGGAGCCGCAGGCGGTGCACCTGTGGAGGGAATGGAGAGGGAGACGGGGTTAAAGGAATGACAAGGGAAGGGGTGCAATAGAAGGCGTGAAGGGGGCTGTAGAAGGGGAAGGGTGACGGCAGTGGGTGACGAGGGGGATGACATTGGGGTGGGTGAGGACCGACAGGAGGAGGGTGTTGCCGGACTTAATGGGCATGATAGCGCACTCGTGGTCCGTGACGAGGGAGCAGGTGTCGTCGTCGCCAGCAAGGGAACTGCCAGCCTTCGCGTTGATCAGCATGCAGCCGCTATACAGCGTCCGTCAGTAGTTGGAATCATCGCGTTCCAACAACGTAAGACGTTCTTCAACATTCATACAAGCCCGGTCCATACTTCTAGCCTGGATGTACCCCCCAACTCCAAACAACGCATGCTGAACGAACATGTTGACGGCTCCAGGCTTGTGCGCGCGCAAGTGCGCTAGCGTGCACCAGCAGTAGCAGCGGACGCGTTGGCAGGGCTTCCTGAGGGGTGGGTGGGAATGAAAGGCAGCGAGTGTGTAGATAGCGGCAGCATGAGCAACGATGGTGCGAGAGGAGCCTAAAAGGGCGCTTACCAGGGCGTGCTTGAGTCGAAGTTAACGATGGTGCAGCTGCAGCCTTGCATGCACGCAGGAGTTCAGAGTAACGCTCCTGGGTATTTTGTGCGAGGTCTTGAAGGCGACGCCATTCCGCGCCTAAGTCGGGATCAGGAGCAGCAAGCGCAGTGAGCTTGGCCAGTACACAGTGTTTTTAAAACTTTTTAGGCTGGGTAATTATTTAGGAGCCAAGTGGTTACTTTGGGCCTTTTCGGGTGTTCTGTTAGTAACCACCAAATATTTTTTCCGGGGGCTTGCGTGCTTGGGCAACCAGCGACCGGCCGGCCGGTGGCCGGCCAGTCGCTGGTTGTCCTTGCAGGGGTGGTTATTTTCGGGGGGTGGCGGCCATTTTTCCAGTGACCACCTGGTTACTTCCAGGGTAGGCCAATAATTTCCTAGTAACCACCCGCCGGAGGGGAATTATTTTCTGAGTAACCACTTGGTCACTAGTGACCACTTTTAAAAACACTGCCAGTACACGCTGCTTTGCTGCCTCGTCGCCAGGTTGCCAAAGCGGCGTCAACAAGCGGAGTTGGGAGAATTTGGCGAACCGGGTTAGGATAACATAAGGGAGGCACGGGGGGCAGATTGAACGGCGCACGGGACGCGGGTGTGGCTCAGGAGCACTGGGATGCAGTTTGCGGGAATAGCAGGATGGGTGCAGACTGCTCCAACGCTGGGACCATCAGGTGTGACAACGATAGGTTGTGGAGGGTAGTGTAGTATGTGGATACCGGAGTCGGGGTTGGTAAACTGCTGGCGGGGTTCGTTGGGGTGCAGGATGAGCTGGACATCGGTGCAGCCGTGGTTGTGGACGTGGTACAGGTGCTTGTAAGCGTTGTCGGAGAAAATGTAGCGGATGCCGGGGAAGATGCCAACGGCCGGGGAAGATGCCAACGGCTGGAATGCTAGCGTCGAAGGTGGTTTCGAGGTGACCGAGGGTGGTGGAAGATAAAGGGGAGCCATCAGCTGCAACGTCCTGGCTCCGCCAGACATAAGCGGGCTGGTTATGCTGTTGCGCGTGAATGAGGGCGCGGCTTAGGTTGAGGGGGAGCTGTGTCGAGTGCCGAAGGACAATGACCCGTGGGTCAGGGAGGTGGTGTAGGCTGTCAGGTGCGGGAACCGTAGCATTGAGGTCGTGGCACATTTCGAGGAGCTGTTGTTGGAGGGCAGCGCCGCCAACGGCGCCGGTGCCATCAAAGAGAGCCGCATATCTTCGGAGCTTGTCACCATCTGCATCGCTTGTTTGTCGGTGCTGGTGACGCAGGATGAAGGCGAGCTGCATGGCGTGCCACGCAGCACGCCCAGCAACCAGGAGTGCATGGTTAGGGTCACTGAGGTTGCAAGCACTTGCGGATAGAAGCACAGCTTGGAGAGCGCGCAACCCTGCTGCAGGGTCGCCAGTCGCAGCAATGCGTTGCAGGGCTGTTGCGTCTTGGAGAAGGCGTGTGGCGTCAGCAGCGCCCCAGTGCATGGGCGGTTGCTGGGGCATTGGTAGCTGACGAGGATAGCCGGCTGTGACAAAGTGGAGATTAGCGACAAAGCGGACGCCTCTGATGTGTTCTTGGACGCGCTCTTGAGCAGCGTAGCTGAAGCCGCCTCGGCTGCCCCCCAGAGCGAAGAATGTAGTGGTGACCCCAACGTTGGCGTCAGTTGTGATCTGTAGGAGGCCGCGGATGAGATGGAAGGAATGTCAGCGAGCGTACAGGGAGTGGGGGGCAGGGGAAGCAGTGCGAGCTTGCAGGGAGTGAGGAAGCGCACCTGGAGGGCAGCACGCCAAGTGTAGCTGACGACAGCAAAGAGGTCGCTGGCATTGTGCTGGAAAGCAAACCAGAGAAGTGCAAGGATGCACTGGCTCTTGCCACTGCCTGCCTCGCCAGTGACAAGCAAGCTCCGGGGGGGTTGTAGACCATGCCGGAGCTCAGCAAGCAGGGTGTATGCAAGGATGAGGAAGGGCTGTTCCTGGTCCGGAGTTAGGGTGAAAAGCCGAGCAGTGTCTTCAGGGGAGGGTAGCATGTTTTGGGGTAGGCAGAGGTAAGGGGGTGGGACACCGGGTTTGATGGGGGTGTCAGTAAGGAGGTCGTTGCGGATGGGGTCGACGAGGACGATGCGTGCGTAAACACGGGGAGTGCCGGCCTCGTGAAGCTGTAGTTGATGGGGTTGGGGGGGGGGGACCGCGGGGTTGCTGCACCAGGCATGTAGGAAGCCATAGCCTCGTGCATATTGCGGAGGTCGCGTCCTGACAGATCTGTTCCAAAGCAGACAGCGCTGTGGGGACTAGGGTGGGAAGCCTTCGCAGCGCAAAGGTGCACACTTCTCAGCTAATGGCATTGCCGAGCTTGACCTGATGACCTCTAACGTCGGCGACCAGCTCTCCGTGCGACTATTCGTTTTCGTTTCATGCTCGTCCGCTCTTGTTGACATAATATTGAAAAAAGCATTTGCAACGTGTCAGTGTTATGAGCATGCGCTTGGATGACGAGTGCACCAGCACGCATCCGTTAATGTTGTCACATAACACCTTTGTGCTATTCAGGTGTACAATACTACAATGCTCTCTTGTGTTTCACGTTCCTCTGTGCCGCTTCTCAGGCAGCAACAAGCCTTCCCTGCCCATTCACGTTTCCGGCGTACTGCCCTTCCTCCGCGCCGCCTTAAACCACATTGCCTACACTCGGCCTTGCATTGTGTCGTGAGCTTCCCTGCTGTCGTGTCCAAAGCTCGGCACGCACCTTCCGACGTCGTTCTCCACATACTATTCGTATGTGGCGTTGCTCTTTTCATACGTTCATACCCCTTGCCATATATCGACGTTTCCAATTGGTTTCGCTTTGTTTCGTGCTATCCTTCCTGGACGGTTCCGGAGCTAAAATTTATCATCGTACAGTAGCAGTCCCTGGGCGAAATATTAAACGCGTGACTTCAAAATCTACAGATTTTGCATTTCACACTGAACTCATGCAACGGCAAGTAGTTCCGAAGCCCGCTCCGGGAGGAGCGGGCCTCGGCGCTGGTCCGTCTAGAGGAACGGCGCCTGATGCCGTCGACCTTACACAGGCATGTAACAGTAGTGATGCCGTTGAGGGGGTTTCGCGGCTAGTGGTTGATGCTTATTGTGCGGCTTGGTCGACTCGAAACCCTGAAGAACTAGGCTGCTTCATTAATTTGAGAGCCTTTACTATACAATTACTACACATAAGAGCGCGTCAAACGTCACTATCGATTTGCTTAAGGTATGGCTGCTGCCGGGCGCAGGAGGATGTAGCCGATGAGGATGAGAACTTGGTGGTGGTCGGCGCGACCCGAACCAAAGTCGTCGGCGTGCGCTATTATGAAGGAGAAGCAAACCTGAACGAGGCAGGTTAAATCGACACAGCTATAGTCTGCTTTCTGTGCTCTGTGCTGAGCGTGCTGCGCTGCGCATTTCTTAATGGCCCTGACAGATGGTGCTGCTAGTCCGCGAGCCCAACAACCCATATGACAGATGGTACGTACTCCATAGCGTATTAATAAATGTTGCGACCTTCCTTTCTATGTCGGCGAAGGTGATGATATAAAACATCGTTTGCTTCCGATGCGGCTCCGTAAGCAACTCCTGCGCTCCACTTCGCAATCGCAACCTCTCCTCCGACCTTCTGCTCTCCCTCCCATCCACCTCCTGTCGCTGATCTCCCCTCCGCTGACAACCCCGGCCCCCTAACCTACACAGGGCCATCCGGGTGGACAACGTGCGTGGTGAGAAGATTGGCCACATCTCCCGGGAGCAAGCGGCCGTGGTAAGAGGGTGGACGAAATGCCAAACGACAAGTGAGAGCAATCCTGTCAGGGGATAGGAGGAGGCGGCAAGAGAGTGGAGGGGGGCGTGTGTGGCGGCAGGGTGGGTGGGTTAGTTGGTTTGATGTTTACGTTTGGTATGCAGCAGTCTCCCTCAGTTGTGCCGGTAGCCGGCTGGACGTATTCACAACCTGAACGAACCCACACGTACGGCAACCGTACGACGTCACGCGGCTGCTGCTGTTGTTGTTGCTCCACCGGGGCCCATCCACGCGCACGTGTGTGTGTGCCCCTCCGCACCAACCCAACCACATCCACATCAACCCAGCTACGTCCTCACTCGGGTTGTCACGCCTTACATCTGCCACCTGCCCCCGCCCCGCCCTGCCACCGCTGCCACTGCAGATCTCGCCCCTGATTGACAAGGGCCAACTCCGTATCGAGGGTAAGCGAGCGAGCAACACAACGAGTACTACCCCTCGTCGTCTCCACCCCTCCTCGCCTCCGCCCTTTCCCATTCTGTCGGCCTCTGTTCTTCCCTCTTCCCCTCCCTCCTACCATGTTTGCACGCTATGGTGAAGCCTTGTCAGGGGTTGTCACACAGCTCGTCAGTTGCCTCGTCGTTTGCCTTGTCGGTTTCCTCACTATTATCCCCTTCCCCCGCCCGCCCCCAGGTGTGGTCCAGGGGGCCAAGGGCGCCTACTCCATGCCCATAGACCTGGTGTTCCTGTGCCCTCCGCCGGGGGCAGGGGGGGCCGCAGGGGGTGTGGACCCGGACAGCCTGCGCAGGCGGCTGAGGGCGGGGGGCATAGCGCTGGGAGGGGGAGGAGGAGGAGGGGGAGGGGCAGCAGCAGGTGGGTCGTATGTACAGGTGATGAGTCCGAGTGAGGTGGACAGGTCACTGGAGAAGATGTTTGACGGTGAGCCGGGGGGTTGCGGTAGAGCTGGGGGAGATGAGGGTGAGGGTGAGGGTAAGGAGACGGAAGCAGGTGTGGAGTACTCCCCCCCGTGTGGACACCCATACCACCTGGACCCACCTCCTGAGCTCCCCTCATTGCGTGCCGCCGCACCTGCTACCGTGCCCCAATGCACCCGCTGCTGCTGCCCCCCTCCCTCCTCCCTCCTCCTCGCCCACCCCCCCGCGTGCAGACCTCCACGCCGCCTCCCCCCTGCAACTCGCCATGGACCCGGACCCCGAGGTATGGGTGGGTGGGTGGGAGGTGCGGGGTGCGGGAGGGGAGGGCCAATCAGAAACCAGCCCAGGGATCGGCACAGGCAGTGCGGGATGCCCCAATCGAGTGTGAACTCCCTCCCTCCCCCGTCCCTTCCCTTCCCCTCCCCCCCAGGTCATCTCCCCGCTGTTCCCCCACCAGCGGGTGGCGCTAGCCTGGATGGTGGCGCGCGAGAACGACAGCAGCCTGCCGCCATTCTGGGAGGAGCAGCGGGCGGGAGGGGGAGGGGGCAGGGAAGGGGGCAGCGGGGGTGGGCGAGCAGGTGCAGCAGGAAGGGGAGCAGGTGCAGCAGCAGCAGGAGCAGCAGCAGTAGGAGGAGCAGGGGTGCGCTACCTGAACTCGCTCACCAACTTCTCCTCGCCGCAGCGACCGGAGCCGCTGAGGGGCGGCATTCTGGCGGATGACATGGGGCTGGGTGGGTGGGGCTGTGGGGTGGCCTGGAGGGTGGTGGGTGGGTGGGTGGGTGGGGCGGCAGGAGGGGTCTGGGGGTCTGGGGTCGGCATCAGGGTGGGTGATAGGGGCCGGTGTATGAGCTTCCCCTCCCTGCTTCCTATGGCCCCCACCTATGCCCTGCCCTCTCCCTGCCCTCTCCCTCCCTCACCTTCTTCGCCCTCCCCCCCCACTGCAGGCAAGACCCTGACCATCATCTCCCTGCTCGCCACCAACCGCCGGGGGGTGCCCCTGCCGCCCACCTACATGCTGGACCTGGCAGCGGACCCGGGGCAGGGGCAGGAGGCGGGGCAGGGGCAGGGGGCGGGGCAGCAGCTGACGGCAGGGGCAGCAGCAGGTGGGTCTTCGGCAGGGGCAGGAGGAGCAGCAGGAGCAGCAGCAGCGGGGTCGCGCCAGAAGACACGTGCCGGGGGAGGTCCCAGTGGTGGGGGCGGGAGGAGGAAGGCGGCCGGGCGCGGCAAGAGGGCGGCGAGGAGGCGGAAGGGGGACGAGGATGAGGACGAGGATGACAGTGATTACGAGGAGGAGGAGGAGGAGGAGGCGGGAGGGGGAGGCAGCGATGAGGATTACGTACCGCCCAGCAAGCGAAGGAAGGTGGGTGGGTGGATGGGGACCAGTCGTCAGGCTCTCTGGTTCTCTGCTGGGGTGCAGCAGGGCGGGGGGGGGCGCGAAGGCGAGGGATACACCCGTCCAGGTGTCAGCGGATCCCCCTTTCTCACGCCGTACATACACATACACCTGCGTGCCAGCTGGGCGGGGCGTGGCGAGGCGGGGGCGGGGGCGGGGGCGGGGGCGGGGGCGGGGCGGGCCTACCAGCAAGGGGCTGCATGGCGGCCTGCGTGTAGTTGGTGAAGGGCGTGACGTACAGATGCACGCAGGAGAGCGGCTGACCCATGGGTCTGTCTTTCCTTCCCCTGCTCCCTGCATGTCTCTCAGCCCCTGTCACCTCCCAAACCCGCCTCACGCCCCCCAAAACACTTTCCCATCCCCAGACCGCTGCGGGCGCCGCCGTCGCCTCCAAACCCGCCGCCAAGGCTGCTAAGCCCGCCAGGACCGCAGCTGCCCGCAAGACTACTACAGCTGCTGCTGCTGCTGCCAGCGCTGGTGCCTCATCTGCCACCGCCGCCTCCTCCGCTCAGCCGCCTCAGCCTACCGCGCAGCCTGCCCCCTCCGCTCCGCCCCGCCCCGACGGCCCCCGCTGCACGCTGGTGGTGTGCCCGGTGTCGGTGCTGGGCAACTGGGTGCAACAGCTGGGGGAGCACACGGCGGGGGGGCTGAAGGTGCGGGGGGGGGGGAGGGGGGGGAAAGTGGGGGGAGCATGAAGGGTTGGATGAAAGCATGTTGCATGGGACGGGTGGGGGGAGGCATGCAGCTGCTAGGTAGCTAAGGGAGCACCCCACCTGCCACCCACCCATGGTGGACCCTTGCGGTTCGGACCGTACCCATTTCTTCCTCTTTACCCGCCTACCCCCCCTCCAACTCGCCTCATCTCGCTCCTCCGCACCCTCCCCGTCGCTCTGCCCACCCATGGGGGAGCCTTGTCAGGGTTGTCACATGGTCAGGGTTTCCTCACCCTCAGGGTTACCCCGTCCCACCCCCCCCTGCCCAGGTGTACGAGTACCACGGCCCCAACCGCAACCGCTCCGCCGCCTTCCTGTCCTGCCAGGATGTCGTACTCACCTCGTACAACGTGTTGGGGGGCGAGCTGGGGGAGGGGGGAGGGCGGGGAGGGGGGCTGCTGGGGGTGAGGTGGCTGCGAGTGGTGCTGGATGAGGTGAGGGGGCAGCAGCTGGGGGGGGGGATTATATAAGTGAAACAACGAGTCCCAATCCCATATCCCGGGGAGCTGGGGGGGGGGGGCGGGGGAAAGGGAGGGAAGTAGGGGTGAGGGAGGAGGGGAGGTCACAGGGAGGCGGTGGCAGGGGATGAGAGGAGGGGTCTGAGAAGGATATGGGAGGGTTTCTTGAGTCGCAGCAGCTCCTGACCCTAGCTCCTGCTTTGGCCCTACACTGCGGCATCCCTCTGGGGCCTTGCCTCCCCCTTGGCCTCTCCAACTCCCACCCCTCCCCTGCCCCGTGTATTCCCCCCCCCCCAACCACGCCCCCCTGCTAAGGCGCACACCATCAAGAACCCGCGGGCCAAGTGGAGCCAGGCAGCAGCCCGGCTCAAGGCGGAACGAAAGTGGGTGGGGGAGGGAGGGCGAGAGAAGGCATGGGGGAGAGGAGGGAGGAAAAGAGGAGGCAGGGCATGGGAGCCTAGAAGACGCAAGCGGCAAGCCTTACTCGACCCTCGCAACCTTACTCCCTTACACCACAGCACCACTCAGCCCCCTATCCTCTTGCACCCCCACCCCCACCAAAACACACATACACGCACAGGTGGGCCGTCACCGGCACCCCCATCCAGAACCGCTTGGCCGACCTGTACGGCCTCATGTCGTACCTCCGCTTGGAGCCGCTGTACGACAAATCCATATTCAGCCGTGTGCTGGAGAGGCCGCTGAAGGCGGGTGACCCACGGGTCGTTAAGAAGCTGCAGGTGCTGATGGGCTGCATCGCCATGCGGCGGACCAAGGATCTCAAGGTAGCGTGCAACGTATAACGCCTACATCACCTAACCCTACACCCTTGCATGTGTACGGCACTGTACGGTACGGTACGGCACTGTACGGCACTTTGGGATTGTTCGGTTTGCACAACGTTACCAGGACGGGTTTGACAATGACGGAAATACACGTTCCCGTCCTTAAATTGCATGTCCGACATATCAGGATTGAAGAATTACCCTTCTACCTTTCCCCGCCTTCCCCCCTCAGATCGGCGGGCGGCCTCTCGTGGTGCTGCCCTCCAAGCGTGTCAATCTGGTCACGGTGCACCTCAACCGGGAGGACAGGGCCAAGTACGACGCGTGAGTAGCCGTACGGGTGGGGGGGACGGTACGGCAGTGCACACGGTTAGCGGGCTACACCTTCACGCACCTCCCCCCCCTCTTGTTTGCACCCCATGCTGAAGCCTAATATATGTATATGTCATACGGCTCGTCAGCTACGCCCTGTTTCCTCCCCTCTCCCCCTTCCCCCTCGACACCTTGGGATTCTTCTTTTTTCCCCTCTCATCCGCTCCCCAGTTTGGAGCTGCAGGGTCGGCGGCTGGTATCTCACGCGCTGGCTTCCTCCAGCCTGCTTGAGAACTACATGAGCGTGCTGGAGATCATTCTGAGGCTGAGACAGGTGGGGGGAAAAATTAAATAAGTGAAACAACGAATCCCACTCCCATATCAGACAGGTGGGGAGCGGGGGGCGGGGGGTCGTGGGGGAGTAGGGGCGGGAGGGGGTTTGCTTGGGTGCGAAACACACAGATGGTCGTGGCGAAGCAGCGTTGCTGAGCATCGTCATCGTCACTCCTCTCATCCGTCCACAACACCCCTCCCTCGCCTCCCTCGCCTCCCTTACCTCAGGTGGCAGATGCGGGCTGCCTGTGTCCCCGTGACCCGCTGCCCCTCACCCTCTCCCAGGAGGGGGGCAGCGGCAGCAGCAGGGGGCGGGGCGGTGCGCCTGCCCCCCCGCTGAGTCCGGAGGAGACGCAGCTGCTGGCAGGGTTGCTGGCGGCGGGGTTGCAGGTGGGGGCAGGGGGGGGACGGGGGGGGATAGTTGCAGGTGAGGGGGACAGAAATAGACCGCAAGGGCACCGCGCGCGATATTGGGGCAATTGGAGGGGGGTTCTGCGAGGGTCTGTGAGGGTCTGCGGGGTGCAAGAGGATTGCTGCTGGGAGCCATCAGAGCCCCATGCGGCCCTCCCCCTAACCGCCCCTAGCCCCTGCGCCCTAACCAACTGCAACTTGCCTTCCTCCTCCCTCCCCCTCCCCCCCAGGACGACTGCCCCATCTGCCTGGAGCCCCTCTCCGCCTCCGCCTGCTGCATCACCCGCTGCCGCCACATCTTCTGCAGGCCGTGAGAGGGTTTGGGGGGGATGGGAAAGGTCGGGTGGGGGTGGGGGGGCGGGAGGGTGCAGGCAGGCTAGGCTAGCTAGGCAGCGGAGGAGCAGGCGGAAGGCAGCGCACATGTGCATGCATGCTCCCTCGCCACCCCCCATGCGGGCGCTGCTTGGCTTCCCCGGCTGCTCCTCCTCGCCTTTGTGGTTTCCTATGGTGTGACCGGCTCCTTCCTCCCTGGCTCAGCCGCATGTCCTCAGTCGTGCCCTCTAACCTCGCAGGCAGAGGGGTAAACCCCTCCATCCCTGCCCCATGTAGTTTAGAACAATATTCCTTCTGATATGTTTTCATCTTGGCCTCTTTTGTATAGAAGCTACCCACTCAGGCAGGCTGAGGTTGGATTCTTGTTCTCGCCCTCCGCTCCCCCCATAACCCCGCCCCGCTGCCCCCCAGCTGCCTGGAGAATGTGATCGCTCGCAGCGCCGGACCGGGCTGTCCCTTGTGCCGGGCGCCGGTGAGGAGGGAGAGGAGGGGGGCGGGGGGGAAGAGGGAAGAAAAGAGACCAGTGGCCAGACCCAACCTGTGCCGATGTCAAATTGGACATGACGGAGGAGGGAGGGGGCGAGGAGGAAGGAGGAAGGGAGAGGAGGGCGGAAGGGGGAAGGAGGGAGAGAGTGGCAGCGTGCGAGATCAAGAGGGTTGAGGAGAAGGAAGGCTGGGAAGGACGGCTGGAAGCATGGTTGGTGGTGTTTTGAAGGACACCCTCCTCTCACATCCTCTCGTCTTGCCCATCGCCGCTCCCCTCCCTCCCCCTCCCTCCCCAGCTGCACGCCACGGATCTGGTGGACCTGCCCCCCGCCACTGGTGATGGAGCAGCAGCAGGGGCGGAGCAGCAACAGGTGGGGCGGCTGATGGGTGGGCGGGTGAATGCTGGGTGGGTGGGTGGGCGGGTGGGTAGGCTAATGGGAATCGAGCGCTTCATCATGAGGAGGTAAGAAGCACGTTCCTACCCGCGACCAGTTTCCTTACCACTCACAAGTCCCTTGACCCAGCACCAGCGATTTAACCAGTTTTTTGAGTTACGTTTCAGGTTTGTTTACCACTGTTATCCCTCTGTTTTTGCCTGTACTCGCGGTTCACATGCGAACCTATCCCAACTGCTTGCTCTTGTTTCCGCTCAACTACACACAAGTCCCTCGTCCCCCACCCCAACCCACCCCCTCAGGCCGGCAGTGCCGCCCTGTGTGACCCCGAGGCCGCCTCCGCCAAGGTGGCCGCCCTCATGCGTATTCTGAGAGCGGCAGCGGCAGGGGAGGAGGGGCAGGGACAGGGGGCGGGAGGAGGAGGAGGAGCGGAGGCGGGGGGAAGCGGGAGTGCTGAGGGTGCTGCTGCTGCTGTGGCGCCGGCGGGACCGGCCGATGCGGCAGGGAGGGTGGCAGAAGGGGGTGCTGGTGGTGGTGGTGGTGGTGCTGGTGGCAAGGGGCCGATCAAGTCAGTGGTGTTCTCCCAGTTCTCAGGTGGGATAGAGGCGTGGGGGTAGGAATATGAGGGCTGGAGGTAGGCGGAGGTGGAGGCGGAGGTGGAGAGAAAAAGGGGTCTAGCTCTCGAGCGCACATGCTGCCATACCTCTCCGTACACCCCCCACACCTCATCCTCCCCACCTTCCCTCCCCTCCCTCCCTCCCCCCCCCTCCCTCCCCCCCCCCTCCCTCCCCCCCCCTCCCTCCCCCCCCCCTCCCTCCCCCCCCCTCCCTCCCCCCCCCTCCCTCCCCCCCCCTCCCTCCCCCCCCCCTCCCTCCCCCCCCTCCCTCCCCCCCCTCCCTCCCCCCCCTCCCTCCCCCCCCTCCTCAAGGCATGTTGGACCTGGTAGCTGCCGCGCTCTCCGCCGCCCGCCTGCCGTATGTGCGGCTGGACGGCAGCACCCCGGCGCGTGAGAGGGCGGAGGCGGTGCGGAGGTTCGATGGGAGGGGCGCGGACACCCCGCTGGTGTTCCTGGTAGGGGGGGAGAGGAGGGGGAGGAGGGGGGGAGGGTGGGAGGGGTGGTGAGGGGTGGGGAGGATGCAACCTTGCTTTCTCATGAAGGGTTTGGTGGGTTGCAGCCTGCCCTGCCCTGCCCTGCCTTTTCCAATCCGCCACATCCCTCCTCCGTCCTCACACATCCCTACATCCCTCCCCTGTACGGCAGGCGAGTCTGAAGGCGGGCGGTGTTGGGATGAACCTCACAGCGGCGAGGTGGGTGGGGAGTGTGGGTGCGAGGGGCAAGGAGTGGGGGCAGGGGGTTGGTGGGGGTTGGGCAGGTGTTGTAGAACGGCGCATGTGCCGGTGTATGTGTATACGCGCCTACAATGGCTTGCATCCTTGTCACCCTTGCCCCCCCTCTTCTTCCTCTTTCCCCCCCTCCGCTCGGGAAGCCTTGTCATACAGCTTGTTAGTTGCCTCGTCAGTGTCTCGTCCTGTTTTGCCTTTCCTCCCCCCCCCTGCAGCCACGTGCACCTGCTAGACCCCTGGTGGAACCCCGCAGTGGAGGAGCAGGCCATGGTGGGGTGGGGGGGGGTGGGGGTTAGATAAACTGAGCCGGTGGGGGTGGGTGGGGGGACATGGTTGCATGTGGGGCAGGCAGGGAAGGGCAGGGGGCAGGGCAGGGGTGGTTGGCGGACATGCATGGGAGGGGAGGGGAGGGAGGGAGGGATGCCTGAGGACAGAGCAGCTGCACAATGGTCCTTTCTTCCCCTCCTAGCCCCCGGCCGCCCCCCCGCCCGTGCTCCTCCTCCTCACCCCACCACTACCCCTTCTTTACCCCCCCCCCCCCACACACATGCAGGACCGAGTGCACCGATTGGGTCAGACGCGGGATGTGGAGGTGAGGAGCCCGTCGCACAACCCAACACAACACAACTTTGCCGCTGTGTCAATCAACACACATGGGTTTTACCCCCCTCGCTCGCCCTTCCCACGCCCCCCTTCCCTCTCCCGCCCTGCTGACCCCCTCTCCCCCCGCCCCTCCCAGGTGTACCGCTACGTGGCAGCTGACACCATCGAGGAGCGGATGCTGCTGCTGCAGGTGGGCGGGTGGGGCGGGGGTGGTGGTGGTGGTGGTGGTGGTGGTGGTGGTGATGGTGGTGGGTTGGGGCTGGGGGTGTAGCTTGGTGGACGGTAGGGAAGGAAGACCATGTGTTGGGCAAACCAGTGGCAACGTGCTGGCCTGCTGGGTGGTGCGATGGGCTGCTGGGGGGTGGGAGCTCTGCTGCTGCTGCCTCCACGCCAATCCTTATCACCTTGTTACCTATCACATTGCATCAACTCGCATCACCCACTACTCACCCCCCACCCCACCACCACCCCCTCAAGGAGCGGAAGCGGCAGCTGGCCGCCGCCGCATTCGACCGGCGCAGCGCGGAGGGTGAGGGGCGCAGCGCGCAGATGCGCATCGACGACGTGAAACTGCTGATGGACCTGTGAGCGGGCGGGTGGGTTTGGGTGGGTGGTAGGCAGCTGCGGGAACTGCAGGGCTGTGAGGAGAGCGGCTAGGAGGCCGGCCGAGGGCACTGCGGAGCTGCGGTGCGGATGATGGTTGGTGGTTGATGGGTCCTTAGTAGTTGGCAAGTGCAGTGGCGAGTAGGTGCCGGCAGCACTGAGGTCCCGCCTTGATTGAAAGTAGAAGGTAGCGGGTGTTGATGGTAGGTTGGGTAGGTGGAATACCAATGGGTGTGATGGCTGAGAGCGAAGGTTTCCATCGGTTGGAATGCAAGTCAAAGTCAAGGGCGTGCAGATTGTTGACAAGGTGGAGAGGGAGGACCTACATAGGGCATAGCATGACCAGCCAACAGGGCCCCAAGGCGCTAGCCCCTTCACACATACCGGTACGCAAACGGTTATGGTTTGGCCTTTCCCTCTCATGTTTGACCCCTCACTAGCAGCAGCGGCAGCTGTTGGGAAGCACGTTTGCTGCACCAAAGAGGCACCACAGAGGCAGGCATCCAACCCATCTACGGTATCGACACAGCGGTGTGGGCCTGCCAGTAAGGGGCCGCTGCCAGTAAGGGGCCGCTGCCAGTAAGGGGCCGCTGCCAGTAAGGGACCGCTGCCATTAAGGGGCTGCCTTTGGGTCAGGCAGGATGTGGCGACCGGGGGCGGTGTGTAAGCCGGTGAGGGTGGGCACGCAGGCGGCACATCCACCCCCCAGCTGCCGCAGGTGAGACTGCTGCAGAGAAGGTCTATTGTATATAACGGTTACTATAGAGCTGAAGATAACGTCTGTGGTAAGCGATGTTGGCGAGGTTGAGATAGTGTTGGGTAACATTTGTAAATGTAATGACTGCTTGAGGAATGGTTGAGGAAAGGGTTGGCGTGCCCCTTCACATGTCGATGTCACACAGCCGAAGACCCATGGAGAGGCTTTTAGGGCAGTGCGCGCATTCACTTGGCTCGCTTATCCCTGTGCTGTTCTGTATTACAATGTCTGTGTGCATGATACGACTGCTTGCACACGTTAAGCAGGAAACCGTACTGTGCAGTACTTAGGGGTGTGTTAAGAAAACTGGCCGCGTGTATGTGACACACGCTTGCTCGGGGGTTACTAACACGTGTACCATAGCAACAGCCTAAACAGGCCAACGTAATACAGGCCAACGAGCATGATACAACTAACGGCAACAGCAGCACTACAGCATTACAGCACTAGTGGCAACCGATACAACAACAAGCCCATAGCCGATATCATGTGTCTCAGCCACCTCCACCTCCATTTCTTCGTTTCGCTCGCTTCAAACGAGGAAATCAAACTGTGCCAACCTTCTTCTTCGTCGTCGTCGTCTTCGTCCTAAAGCGCACGCAGTACGGATCTAGCAGCATCCAAGTGACTGGTACATCCGTACATGCCTGGGAGCTGGTGTCGTACACATCATGCAAAAAGGGTAACGTTATTGCTCCCGCACAACACCTTCTTGCTTCTCCTCTACCGTACTTCTTCAGTTCGCCAAACGCAACCTTCCTTTCTTTTTATGGAGTGACCTCCGAACAAAGCAGGCCTCAGCTTAGGCCAGGCAGACGTGGCAATCAAAACAACCGTAATCTTCACTGCACTGTATCATCTCGCCAACTGTACGACGTACGGCATGCGCTGCAATCACAATTTCCGTACACAACTCTCCTGCAGCCTTTGATATTGCGCAGCTGCATCACCATATGAACATCCTGCAATAAAGCAATATGTTATAAAGCTCCGGTATAAAAAGGTACAATAAAGCCGTATACTACTCGTCTCTGCACACGCCTCATGTGATGCCCGCTTGCATGTAGCAGCACACACAACAAGGAACCCAACCTAGAGAGGTAAAACCCTTTCCGTTGACCCACACCAGTGCGATACCGTATTAAGCATCAATGAGAGGCGTCTCCCGCTTTGGGAACATCCACGAAACGTTGCCGACACCCGTCAGAGCGCCCTCCATCGCACCCAAACACCACCGCCTCCACACCCCGACACACGCCAGTTTTCTTGACATACACACACACGCCTTCATCTTTCGGCAATCACAGTACGTTTCGCCTCGCGGCCAGTTATTTTAACACACACACGCCTGCCCGTTTCCCTCTCGCAAAGGCTCCTCCGCCTTCTGCTTCTACATCCACCCCGCAAACGATGTCATCACTCCCACGCTAGTGTGTGCCAATTAACTCGCGCCAAACACTCCTTCCCTCTTTCACTTCTTCGAATTACACCGGCGCGCATGAAATAAAAAGGGAAAATCGACTTTCCGCCTGTAAAATGAACTATACTGCACCCCGATGTACGACAAGCCAACCGAACCAACCGTTGGCGCCTATTTATCAGCCCTCACCCCCTACACCAGCATTCTTGCAACCGGTCAGAGGTTCACCCCGTCTGTTTTCCCCGCCGCTCGTAAGCTTATTTCACTCACGATAGGTATACCCCACCAGCCACAACCTGGCCCCACAGACATGCTTGCACGCCCTGCTTGAAAACGAGTGCTTGAACCCGCAGCCAGGTTCGCAGCCGGACAGCAGCAGCAGCAGTAGCATGGCAGCAACAATTAACACAAACAGCGGAAAGAGGAGCTCGGCAGTAGGAGCAATAACAGCAGCAACACATCACAGACAGCTTGGGGAGAGCAGACCGGCATCTTCCTGTGCGGAAGCGAATTCCTGAAGCTGTTACTGAAACAGAGCCGCATGCAAATGAGCCGTCGCACACCTGTGCGTGCTCCCTCCCGCCACCTGCACGGGTGAGGTGCCCCTCCCGGGCTTCACAGCGTCACAACATTACAGCAACGCAGCAGCCACAGGAGCTACCCTCCCCAGCCCCCATCATCTCATACCACCTCTGTCTCCCCTCCTCCACTGCCTCCATCTCTTCCTCCTCCTCAAACGCAGCGTCACAGGCAGCAGAGCGTCACAGCGACGCAACAGCCTCGGGATACCTTCACCCTGCTCCTTGCAGCCCCGCATCATATCATGCCATCTCCGTCTCCCCTCCACCTTCTCGGCCTCCATCTCCACTGCCTCCACCTCTTCCTCCACCTCATTCTCCTCAAACCCACATCACCTGTGCCTTCATCTGGTACTCCGAAACCCACGTTCCGTGGAATCCGTACGGCACACGGCGCGGCATTCGTACGGACGTCACTGGCTTGGCGGACATCGTACGTGCGTCGTACAGGTTCATGTACGACACGTCAGCATTGGTGTCGTACACATATACCATGAGCCAACCATCGTCTTCGGAGCAGCGCTTGGCGGCCCGTGGGTCGGCGAGGGTGGAGGCACGCGGCACGAACACAGCCTCTCCCCCGAAGCAGCCAGGCGGGTAGGTGATGCGGGACACGCACGCGTCTTTGCCGGGCTTGTTGGGGGTGAGGTCTAGCTTGGCGATACCCGTGAAGGAGGGCACGCTGCTCTCCGTACGGCATACACAGTGCGGGTAGTCCGCATGGGGAGTGTGCGGGGCGGGGCGGGGCGGGGCGAGGGGACGAGGAGTTGGTAGTTGGAAGGCGGAGGTTTTAATCGTTGGAGTACGGCAGTGGTACCTGAAGCCTGAAGCGGCGGTCGGTGTTCAATGCGATTCAGCACAGCAGCAGCCCGTACGTCTCCAAGTGCAAGTGCAGAGCTCCCCATGCCCCATGCAACCATATAGTGCCCCCCCCCTGCTGCTTCCCATCCACCCAACATCCTCCCTCCCTTGTCATACAGCTCGTCAGCTTCTCCTATCTTTACCCACTTCCCAACCACTTCCCAACCTCCACCCACCCACCCTCCCACCTGCCGCTGGGCTCCAAAGTGGCCATCCAGGCCCACTTGGCTGACCGGGTGGCCTGGGGGCGGGGCGGGAGGGAGTGGGGGACACGGGGGCGTGCGAGGGGCGCGAAGGGTATGGAGGAGGAGAGCAAGTAACACACACACACACACCTTCGCCTCGCGGCCAGTTATTTTAACACACACACGACTTGCGGCCAGTTTTCTTAGCACACACACGCATGTTCCGACTCAATGCCGGTTTCCTTAACACACGCATTTCAAACAGACCATGCACTTCCCCCCGTACCTTGCCCGGGTGTACGACAGGGAAGTCGCCCGCCACCTGGCTCAGCCGGCGCAGGGAGGCGGTTCCGGCGGAGGGACTGAGGGTGTACTCGGTGAGGTGGGCCGCCTCCTGGGGGGTGGGAGGGGAGGGGGGTGAGTTTAGGGAGGTGAGGTGGGTGGGTAGCCTCCTGTGAAAGAGACAGAAACCTACAGCCAGCCCCCCATGTGCTGCCGCCCCCCCCACCTGACCCCGCACACCTTTGCAAAGTCCGCCGCGTCCAAGTCCATGTTGAGTTCATCCATCTGACAGGCGAACACCTGCGGTGCGCCGACGTGAAGGGGGCGGGAAGGTAAAGAAAGAGGAAACAACTAACGGACCGTGAGATAGGGATAAGGCTTCACCATGGTTTGCATGGACATGTGAACCAGACCGACAGCATGCTCAGCATGGGAAAGGGGCAAAAGCACAGGGCGAGGCGAGCAGCGAGTGAGGAGGACACGTGCGGTCCAGCCTGGCATGTGTTAGTGTGTTCAGGCGTGCAGGCATATCGGTTGAATGTGTGGGGTCAGAAACCTGGCCGGGAGTGCGTCAAGGAAGGTGGCTGGCTGGCTGGTTGCTTGTCGTAAGCTGGGACCGAGGGGGACCGAGTCCCGCAGTTCTTTGAAGGGGCTGCATGCAATCGGGTTGCGCACACATGCAGTCCGCACACATGCAGTCTCTCCCACCTTGACATCCCCTGCGGCGTCCTCCCACGCAGTGGCTACATGGAAGGCCATGGCACCCGGCCCCGGCAGCTCCAGCCACGTCACCTCCGCACCGCCCGCGGGGCAGCTGGGTTGCTCGCGGCGGAGCAGGCCTGGTGGGGGGTCAAAGACCATATCAAACCATAGGAGACCACAAGTTAGGGCAAAACAATGGGGGTAGGAGTTGGCTGGGTGCCACAAGACAAAGGGTCTTGGTCAAAGGGCCTGGTGGGGGGGGGGGAGGGAGGGAGGAGGGGGGAGGAGGGGGGGAGGGGGGGGAGGAAGGATACCCAATGAAGGGAGGAGGGTAGAGGAGGGCATGTGTCGGCACATGTGCTCAGTAACCCAGTTTGGCCGCCTCGTTTGGTGCTACGAATGCTATGAACGCTACAAAACACACGCGGGCGCAGGTCGGTACCGCCAGCGCCCTATCGCGGCACCTACCGATGCGCGAGGGCAGGTCGGTGCGCAGCTTGAAGGGCACGGTACGGTCCTTCACCATGGCCTGAGGGAGGTGGGGGTTGGGAGGGAGGGGGGAGGGACGGGGGAGGGAGGGGAGAAGTAGATAGAGCGGCGTGCGCAGCACGCAGAGGGAGGCACCACGTCGCACAGGGAGGAATTGCTCAAGGTGGTTAAGAAGCAAGGAGAAATCCCCATTGGCAGCAAAGAGTCAAAGTCCACTTGCATGCATGTATATGCCGGCAAACCATGTTGTTGCAAACCACCAAGGTGAAGCCTTTTTACAAGGTTCGTAACTTTTTCTTCCTTCCTCATGGTTACCCCGCCCCTCCCCCATACATACTAACTCGATACCATTCACCGGGTGCTCATCGTCTTTGTTTGCCATTCTCATTCAACACATTGAGTATTCTTTTCATTCAAGGGTGCCGGTAATTCTTTTTATGCAAGGTATTCTTGTTTTCACCCAAGCATGCCTGCCCTCACCTGCGGATCGAAGCACAGCGGCAGGTGCAGCAGCACAACGTAGTGCTCCGTGACCGCCAAATCGTGCATCATGACGGGGTACGGCAGCTCCACCCCCCAGTGCCGTACGAGGTTGCCGTACTCGTCCATGACACCGGCGCTGACGTAGGGGTTGGCGTCGAATCGGTATCCGATAAAAAGCAGCTCACCTGGGGGGGGGGTTGGGGGGTGGAGGTTGGAGAGGAAAGAAGGAAAGACGCAAGGGGAAAAGAAACAGGAGGTGGGGTACATGTCAGAGGCCGCAGCCCATGCCCTGCACAATGCAAGGCAGTACACATGAAACGCACCGTTGACCGGGTCAATCTTGGGATGCGCCGTGAAGCTCTTGCTCCAGGCCTTGCTGAACCTGAGCCGCCCCAGAGTCTCTATCAGCCCGCTGCACCCCACACGAACCTGAGGGAGCGGGAGAAGCAGGGAAGCGAAGGATGGGAAGGGGAGGGGGACACAGTGAAAGTGTGGGACCGCTTTTGTAACACAATCACCAATGCATCTGAGTGCAAAAGCATCTGGACAAGAGCAACTGCCATCGCCTGAGTCCCCACCCTTGTTACAGTTGTACGACAGGAACTGCAAATCCGTATTACATGATGCACGCACTCTCGTCGTACGACACGACACACGCTCTCTCCCAATCACCCTGCTGTCGTACTCACCCCGTACGGCAGATCTCCCTCGTTGAGCGCCAGCAGCCTCCCCGAGTGGTACACCAGGGCGGTGTTGGCGGTGCCGCTGCCGTGCTGGATGCGCACAACACCCAGCGCCTGAGCTATCCTGGAAGGGACGTGGATGGGTGGGATGGGAAGGATGGGTGAGAGCACGTGGGGAGATTTACATTGGGATCGGGTCTGGGCTCGGTCCTTAGGGTCTTACAGCTTTGGGATTGTGTTAGGGAGGTTTGGTATAGCCGAGCATGCAAAGCCGTTGAAGGGACACATGCCATCAAGAGAGTGGCGCTGCGTTGCCCGACCCATGGGTCATCAGCTCATCACTGATGCAGCCTCTCATCAGCGCCCCCACTGCGGCAGCCCCGCACAAGCGAAACACCCCTCAAAGTGACACACCGCCCCCCCCCACACGCCCCACCTGTTGAGCAGCATCAGTGTGAGGCCCCGCTGACCCACCAGGTCTCCCAGCCGGGGGAACAGCGGCCGGCCCGCGGCGCGTTCCTAAGGGGGGAGGGAAGGGGAGGGGGGGAAGGGGAGGGAAAGGAGGGAGAGGATTGATGGGATAGCAGTAAGAGGGACTGAATGTATTTAAGGGGTGTATGTGAGGAGAAACAAGCAGGAGGCGTGGCAGGGGTGCTTTTGTCAGGGCTAGCGAGGACAGAATACGCATGTGCACCGTACGGCATACAGTGTTTAAACCGCACCTGTCGCAAGCGCTCCGTATCCACGTAGCGGTTGCAGTACGACACTCGGCCGTTACGGATTCGCACGGCATGAAGCATGCCATCTCCGTCGAACCTGTGGAGTAAAGCGGAGGGAGGAAAGGGGGAAGGAAAAAGGAGATGAGTTCACACCGTAAAGGCCCTGCCATGCCACTTTGTTTCCGCACTCCTTCCTCTTTGATTTTCGCAGCGCTTGTTTCCGGAAGCCCTAACGTTTCACGTTTGGGATGACCAAGTGGTATAAAGTGTTAAATGTTGGGCAGCCAGCTCACTAATTGGTCCCAAGCAGTTCATCACATCACATCCATCACCTTGCCTATCCTAAAGAAGTAAAGGAGCAAGCCATAAGCCGCAATGCATCCCCAACAGTTCCTTATTTTCACCGATCCCCAAGTGTGCGGCATCTGCGCTGCAGCGCACACACCAATGGTAACCGGCGACCGGCTTGAAGAACGGATTGGGACCGGCGCGAACGTAGCAGCCGTCCAAGCCCGGTGGCAGCTTGCCCTCCACCACTGGAAGGTCCTCGCTGAAGAGCTCATCGTCGACAGGCGCAAAGTTGCCGGTCAGGTAGGCTTTGCCCGGAAGCGGATTGCGACCGGACTTGGCAACTCTGTCGTAGACCCATGTCAGCAGCTTGCTGAGGGGTTGTGTAATAAACGGGAGCAATGGCATCACCGAGGCGGAGATGAGAAGCCAGAAAGGCTTGAATGATTACACTGCCGCTGAAGGGTTACTGGCAGATTGCTATCGCTGGCACCGCGCAACCGTTTTGTTCAGCATATTCAGGATGACGCATTCATGCATGAGTGAAGCATCCGTGCTGACAAGGCGTGTCGTCTGACGCAAGTATGAGACTGCTCTTCAGACTAGGCAGCAAAAGGAGCAGCTTCTCCATAACTTACGTCTTTGAGCCATAAAGCAAGTATGTCGTAGCTAAGCACGCCGCTGGAACAGCACAATGCAGCCAAAGCGGCGTCGAGCGGGAGGTTGAGGAACTTGAGGAAGCCATTGACGCGTATGCAAACCACGATAGATACAAATTAATAAGCAGCACACGGCAACGAGTCCTAGCAGTGGACTGTTGAAATGGGTGATCAGCTAACAGGTAACAGACTGCAGGATAAGGCCGTTGTAAGTCAATAGCATATTACGCAAACATCAGCACAAAGTAAGCCGCTTAGGGATAAAAAATGCAGCTGGTCAATGGCTAAAGTGCAGCATAGAAGAGTTTTAGGACGCGAAGGACCCTACAACAACCCTATTGCTCATACCGGTTCGCGGCAAGCGAATAGTTAGAGACTCTATCCTAATGGAAGTTCCATTTTTGGTTTTATTTTTGTTGCCTGCCTTAACAGCAACCTTGCTATCTGCCTGGCTGCACGCTGCTGTTGCCCGCCATCTCGCATACGGTACTTGTGCCCAGGCCAGTGATGGGCACCCCAACACCAGCACTTGCCCGTCTGCATTCAATCCGAGTATGTAGCCTCTCACTACACCAAAAATGTTGATTTGTCTAGCGCTCCCAAAGGTACTGCCGCAGTGGCGTAACCTCTTGCCGCGTACAGTAGTACTGGTGGTTTCGTGTCAGCCCCTGCTGGCACTCCTAAAGCGCCCTCAGGCTATATCGCTGACCGGGGAGCCAACTTACCTAGCGTGTTTGCGTGTTTCCGTGAATACCACGCACTGTGGGGGTCTACGGGGCTACTGCAGGGCTCAGCGGTGTAGCGGGGCACGGTACATGCTTGCGCCAAGAATAGGCGGAGGGAAATGAGATTGGTTATGTTACAGGTTGGGAGATATACGTAACCATTCAGCAAGTTTGGCGCCTTGCGAAGTGTTACAACTCAGTGCTTGAGATGACCAGCAGATACGACACACACACACGCCAGTTTTCTTAACACACGCCCTTAAGGTATCCCGGGATGTATTGTGTAAACGGGAACACATCCCAACGAGATAACCTCATGATATGCCCCGCATGCAGGAGTGACAAACACACGCATGTCATTTTCCTGTAAAACCGAACTAAACCCTTCGGTAAGATGCTTGTCTTCGTGGAACACTATTATTTGCGAGCCGTCGAAGCATTCAGTTTGCTCCTCAACTATAGTGAGGCTCGAATCCGTCTCATGAAGTTGTGCTATCACGACGACGCACAATGAAGACGATGTTGCTGTTATCACAAGGCTTCGTGAAAACAATTCCTGTAACGAAAAAGGCTTAAAACCAATGGACCCCGTCCTCTTACTCGACCATCCAGCAAAAGAACCGTCCAATGCCTACTCACACCCCACACACACAAACCATATCCAAAACCGAGTTATTATGTTCCATGGGATTCCTTAACGTCCCAACTAAACCACTTAAAGAAAAAAAGCGCAATTGCGGCGAGTCTCGACGGCAGCTGCGGGACAATTCACCACAGTCATCGACTGCAACGGTGTACTGCAGGCACACACCAAGTGGACATCCTCACGCCATGGGCGCCAAAGTCTGCCCTGCGGTAACCCAGGACAAACACTTGCGTAGGGGTGGCGTGAAACGGAACGACTATTAAGATGCGCAAATGATTTGGCAAAGAGTGCATGAACCTCGATACCTTGAGGAAGCGGCACACAAGCCGTACAAGGCTTAGCAGCACACGGCGAGCCGCGACGAATCAAAAACACAACACCCACACTACCCGCAGCGACTGTCTTTCTGGGATGAAATTGTCGCGTGTTATTGAAACCGGAGATGGCACCGTCCAGATCTGCTGCGCACAGCATGTTGGTAAGGATGGCATATCTGCGTCTTGCTTCTTGTTCATCGCTCCCATTAAGTCAAACCAGAACACAGATTAGATGGGTTAAGCGACAAACAACGCAATCCGGGCTGCACACACCAGGAAGCCTTTTTTGCCACCCAGCAGCGCACTCACATTCAAACAGCTCACAGCGGCGGCTGATCAATAACCGAATGTGTATCACCTATGGTCACACACGGCGACAAAGTCCAGCATACAGGGCATTCATCCCCAGAGCATTTAGTTGGGATCAACAACATCACCAAGCGCGTCGTGTGTCGTCGATTTCCAAAGGCAACCACAATCCCAGCCGGGAGCGCACAACCCCCTCGCGATGCAGGCGCCGATTTCCCAGATCGAGCAAGTCTGGGCAGGAAAAGGCCCAAAGAGTAAGGATAAAGGGTGAAAATATTTTCGCTTCGCTTAGTACATTTAGCAGGAGACAGGAAAGCCCTTCTGAATGTGTCGGGGAAACAGCAGCAGCAACACATAAATCGCGCCCGGATCCGCACATATACTAAGCGCGCCAAAACCACTCTTATCGCAGAGCGATACACGCTGCAAAAATGCCGATATATTACGTCATGCACAAATTTACTGTTTACCCGTTGAAGCACATGCACTGTTTTTTCTCAAAATTTTTTCCGCCTTCACCGCCGCCGGCACCGTCGTTGTCACCTTCAGTATCGGTGTCGCGCTTTTATGCTGTACGGCCCATTCCGCTTAGACCCTCTGCTGCACCGCCGCTCTGACTTAGTTCCTGCCGCTTTGGGAGGGACGTGCGCTCAGGGCGCTGCTGGAGGCCTGCTTGAGGATGGTCTTCCAGACCTTCGCGGCGTCCGAAAAGCCTTGGTTGTCCTTCATAGTGTCTGCAAGGGCAAAACACCCAAGTGGGTCGGCGGGAATGAGCGTATGCCGCATAAGAGCACAAACAAAGGGTGTGCGTGACGGTTGTTGCGGGAAGGAAAGCAGACCGACCAGGAAGGCAATGGGCCCGAGTGCGAGGATTTGTGTTTCCATGCAAGCAGCAAGGGGGCGCTCCCGTCTCCAAAGCCAGCCAAACCCCTGTCCTCACACTTCTCCCCGTGTTAACAACAAACAAACAACAGCTCCATGCCTCCTTTTCCTATTCCTTTTCCTTAACAAGCAGGAAGCTATCCTTCGTTCCTTCGCCCACACACTCTACCCACAACCCCTTTCCACTTACTGGAAGGAGCAGATGCCTCGGTGGCGGTGACCATTCCACCGCCCGGGTTGCTTAGCGCCGCCTCCGCCTCCCCGAGCGCCCGCTGCACCAGCTTCTCCACATCCAGCTCCATGGGCAGCTGACTCAGCAGCTCCGCGATGCGGCGTTTCTGGGTAGGTACGACAACATGGGAGGAGACGGAGGAGGTTAGAAAGGTGGGTTTCAAAGGTGAGTTACGAAGGTGGGTTTCAAAGGTGAGTTACCGGTATGAAGGTGGGTTTTGAAGGTGAGTTACGAAGGTTACGAAGAGAAAGGCACTCAACATGATGGTGAGGTGAGGTTGCGATTGGTCGAGAAGTAGTAACGACTACAAAGTAGAGGTGTAATGTTCGCGCTGAGGGGTAAGTACACGCATGCACGCCGGATCTCACCTCTTTCTTAATCCGCTTGATGAATGGGTTGAGGAGAAGGACGGTGAATCCGAGCAGGCAGAAAAAGAGGAAGATGAAGAGAATAATATGTAGAAGCACGACGCCTGAGGTCAAAGCAAAGAAGAGAGTCAACAGAGGGGCCAGGGGAGGGTAATGGGGAACACTCTGATCGCGCCAAATGGACAAATAGCAGCTAGGGTTCCCAAGCAATGGACCTAGTTACTCCCTAGATACCCACTTGCAACAGAAAACACAGAAAACTAGCTGCACGAACACTAGCTGCATACGTCAACAATGTGTCGAGTCAAGACAAGTCAAGCCATCATAGCAGCAGCAGCAGCAGCAGCGGCTACTACAGGTCGCCAGCACTTACGTCCAAAGAGCACCGAGATGTAGTCGAACTGTTTGAGACCAATCTCAATGATTGCGTCCGTAAGATCCTGAGGCGGCAGCAGTGGCGGCGACAACACGCGCACACGCGTCAGTGTCCGTCTATTAATCACGGGTGTCAATCCGTGGGTAACCCTAGAAAGCTGCTGACACCACTCTACACCAGTAACGAGCAAGCAAGCATCAGAATCCTAGCACCAAGCAACGCACACGCACACTCACATGCATTCCGACATTGTAGATGAAGTCAAAGTGCGTGTTGTTGAGGCCGGGGGGCTCCGTGCTGTTGTCCTCCGAAAAGGCAAACAGGTGCTTCAGGTAGACCTGCATGACGCTGTCAACACCCGAGCGCGAGATCTGCAAGGAGGGGTTGCGGGAGTGTACGACAAAAAGTAAGGGCTGACGAACTCTGAAACGACAAACAAACTCCACAACAAAGGCGAATGAACTGCAGCATGGAAGGGTCACTGTTTGAGCATAGAGCAAGGCATCTCATATCCATCCTTCAGGCATCACATATTCCCCCATGCACGCCAAGTCCCGCCTCCCTCGCCTCGCCACCGGACCCCGCCACCCAACCCGGCCCGCATGCCTGCTTCCCCCTCCCCCCAACCGGGCTGGCCCACCTGTTGCAAGCCATGATGACGCCTCATCACACGGTAAGTTAGTTGTTTCCTCTTTACCCCCCACTTGCCCCAACCACAAAGGTAACCCACACAAGGCCACTGCCACCACCTCACCTGGTAATACCGGTACTCGGGTCCCGGGCAGGGAGATTCAATCCGCAGGCACCCGGTGTTGCTGTAGAAGAGTGCCGTCATCTCGTGCGTTTCGTAGGCCAGACCGGCGGTTACCAAGGGGAACTTCTCCGTGTTCTCACCTAGTAGAGGGGTGGCAGGTGGGAGATGTGGAAAGAAAGAGGGCCGTTGAGGAGGAGGAGGAGGGAAGAAAGAGGAATACATAAAAGAGATTACTAAGACGAAACCCGGGTTAGGAGCTTAGGACTATAGCTCAGAAAAGTGGAGAGGGAATGGTGGCTTGGAGAGCATTGGGGCAGCGGACTGTAGCGGGTAGGAGAAAGGTGGGTTGACGCTGGTGAGGGCCCCGGTAGGAGCTTAGCCCCCGGGTGCTCGCGCACACGACCCGACCCGACCCGACACCGAAAGGTGGGTTGACGCTCACCAAGGGCCTTGTACGCGTCATCGCCGAGCTCCCTACGCATGCGGGAATAGGTGGGTTGGGGTGAATTATGATTAGGAGAGTAGCCAAGTTGTTGTGGTGGTGCACAGCTGCGCATATCCACCAGCAACCCTAATACGCCTTTTAGAGAAGAGTAAGACAGTAGAAGACAGTATGTCAGTATTAGACAAGGGAGCGGCATAGCACTCAACGCACAGCACTTACAGTGTGTAGAACGCGTCCCGTAGCTTCAGCGCCGTTGACTTAACCAGCGCTCTTCGCGCTTTCAGTTTGGAGGGATCCTCCTCCGACGCCAGTTCTTGCGAGTAGAAGCAGGTACGCAGCGTTCGCGCGTTGTTGAAGTTGGCGACCTCCGCAATGGCCACCAGGGGAGTTGCGTTCTGCCGGGGGAGGGAACGACGGTGGCAGGAGCCAGAGAGCTCAGAGGGAAGCAAATGTGACAAAGGGAAGCAAAGGGAGGAAAGGACACAACACACAAGGTGTACGACACACGGTATACCATTAACGACAAACGGAATGAGATTGCCCGCGTTTCCAAAAACCCAGTCGTAAACCCCCAGTCGTGTGTTAGGAAAACTGGCCGTGCGTGGGAAACCTGCCTGGAGGTTCGATACCGAAACCGCGTAGATGATGACCACCATGAGCGACCACACCACAAAGGGCAGCAGCATCTTGGCGGTGTCCCGCGCATCCCGCGTCAGGTGGCGCTTCACCACCGGGGCGGACTTGATTGCTGCATTGCTCGTGCTGTTGCCGCTGCGCATCACGGTGTGCTGCTCGGCACCCAGCCAGGGCAGGATGCTGCTGCGGCGATAACGGCTGCGCGGTGGGAGAAAAACAGAGGGAGAAGAAACGACCCATGGGTGATGTGAGTCAACAACACATGATGAGATTGCCGCGAGTGCAAGAGCAAAATCCGAATCACCAAAGCAGGCAGGTAAAGACACCAAGACTGAAGAGGAGCTTGTGTTAAGCGGGAGCCGCTAGCACTGCTAGTGCCGACAAGGCTCACCCTCGGTTTGTGGCGGAGGTGGGTGACAGCCCCGGCAGACACGACAGACAGGAGGTCAGCCAGCCACCACGCCGCCCCGAATCCTGTCGGTCCGCGCCACCCAGCAGCTCCGCATTCTTCATGGAGGCGCTGCTGGCAAGCTTGCGGGAGGGGTCAGCGTCCAGGGAGTGGGGGTTGTCGCCGCTTTCCTTGGTTGGCATGGGCTCGGGGCCCAGAGTAGCATGCCGCCGCCTGTTGGCATCGTCTTGCGGGTTGGGGTCCTGACGCGCGGGTGCGTCTTCATCGTCATCGTCGTCCTCGTCCTCCTGCGGCAGAGGCACGGAAGCATCGAGACGTGAAGCACCGAGAGCACCGGGAGAACGGCTTAACATGTGTGCATGTAACCACAGGGCCTTAGGTGTGCATGCACCAGACGGCGACGCCCCCATTCCATGCCAACGTAACGTATTCCCATTCCATGCCAACGCAACCAACACAGCAGAGCCCCCTCCCACGCGTACCTCCAGCGTCAGCGAATTGGTGATGTGGGTACACAGGGCGCGCGTAAGGCCTACTGGGATGGCCAGGAAAATGCCGTACAGTCGGTACCTTGTCACCTCCAGCTTCCGCAAGAGGTAGGTGAGCGACATGGCGGCCATGACGGACACCATGCAGCCTTCCGCCGCCAGCATTCCCAGTTGCAGGTATTGCACCTTGTTGGTGTTGCCCTTTGCAATGACAAGCAAGGTATCCAAGACCTGGGGGGAGGGGAACGGGAGGAGGACACATGATGCGTGATGGCTTTGGATAAAAAAGCACAAGACCAGCGGCCCCATCGGGTGGTGAAACATCGCAGACGGGGAAGGGGAGACCAGACCCGGGGGCAGGGCTTACCGTTCGATACACCACATAGACGTCATTGTCGGACTTGAGCAGTGTTTGTCCAGCCTGCGTTGACGATATGTTCACACCCGCGGCTGCCCAGCCTTTGTAGTTCTGATAGACGTCTTTGCTGGCAGCGTACAGCAGTGTCACAGTGTCCTGTGCGCGCAAATAATGTTCAACGGATTAGATCGCGAGTACAAAACGCAAAATGGCACCGCAAGATGTCATCCGAAAGACGGGCGCGAGTCGAACAATGTCCGGGTTTCCAGGTTTCCCGCCATGGTCGCACCAAGGGTTGACGTGGGGTATATGAATGTCCCTAGACTCGCACGCTTTAACGCACGATTAATGAACCAACTTGAACTTACCCATAAGGAATAGTTTCCATACACGTCCTTGCCGGTCGCATCCACGCCCGCCCACACCTGCGATTCGCAATCAACAGATTTACGCGTCCGCTCATACCAAGTGGCGACAAAGCAGGACAGGACTCATGTACATCGGGGAAGCCAACATCAGCAGGTGGCAGCTGGTGTGTACGACAAACCCACCCGTAGAGACGTGTAGTAGAATTCTTCTTTGATCAGTTCTTGATTCTTGTTGTCCTCCGAAACCCTGTTGGTCAGTTCCTGCACAACCGCACGCAAGAGTACCACGGATTAGGCAGCAGCTTATTAAGTCACCTGTAAAAGCTCAGCTTCATTGGGAGATAATGGGGAGAACAAGCATGCAACCATGCATACAGTATCACGGATTAGCATTATTACATACCTTGACCATTGTTGCATAGTTGAATACTCTGTCCGCAAAGGTCTGCAAATGGCAAGCAAGGGGGGTTGCAGAAAAAGTAGCAGGAACAAAAACGTGGCTGCATGGCAATCCAAGCAGCGTTACTAATCAAGGTCATTCCTTTTTAGATCTGTAGGTTTACGATTATCATTTTACTCACGTCTGTGTCATTGATTGTATATAGTGTGGGCGGTGCCTTGTTCTTCAGGGCTTGGTCCAAAGACCTTGTGTTAATGAGCATCTGCAAAGTGACCAACAGTCACGCGGCGGCTCAGCTCTTTAAGAAGCGTGATAAACATAACGGCTGGACAGCAAGCCAAGACAAAGCAGCAGCAAAAGCGGACTAGCACTAGCTACGGGCTTGCAAAGTGCCGTACATCCGACCACATACCTCCATCAGGTATCGGTGAATGCGGCCCGCAGTGTACAGCTGAAGCATGGAGTTTTGTTGGTTCTGCGGGATAAACAAAAGAGTACGGAAAGGCGCAGTGCAACCAACATGCTTTGCAATAGGGTTGCAAACAGGTTTGCCGTACCCCATGTAGCACACCATGCGAGCGGGCAGGCTATAATAGGCACGAGCTCGAGAAAACGCATGCAGAAAGGGCCCAAAAGAGCTCTAGAGCGATGTACTTCTAATACCGTACACTTCAGAAGTGCGACCAAACAAAGGAGCGCGAGCGCGAGGCGTACCTTGATGCTATCCACGACCAGCGTGAAGCTGATGATGTGCACAATGGCCAGCACTGCCATAATCATGAGCGCTCCCCGCCTCAACCGCAGCAGCACCTGCACGGGTTACGGTGTAGCAGGGTTGGCACAGTTCAAAGCAAAAAAGTCACCAAGCAACACAAGCACACACTGTATGCGTCGTAGAGTCATCGCAATTGAGCCATATTCACGCTACAACAAAAGATGCAGTACAAGGTTGCGGACTCTCGTTCCTTACTCCCCTCGCTCCCCACATCTGTTTCTCTTGCAACCCACCTGCTCGGCCTGCCCGGAATCCATCATCTTGACCAGCTTCCGGAAGCGCTTGCCTCTCTTGAACTCCGCCCCGCTCGCGCTGCTGATGCCTGTGTGACCCATGGGTCGGTGCATGGAAAGGACGGCGGGCGCAGCAAGACACAACCATCAGGCTTGCTAAAAACGGCATGCGGTTCATTTGCCGACTGAAGCCATTTCCAAAATATTCCTTTCGGGCCTCTCATAAACCCTCTAAGAGCGTTCCTGTTTCCTGGTACAGGTGTACGCTCCTACCTGACATACCGGACTGTCCTGACACGGCGCTCTGCCCTCCGTCGCTGTCTCCATCGTCCCCAGTGCGCAGCTCGATTCCGCGGTTGGGCTCCAGCCGGCCGATATGAACCTGCTGCGGAGCCACCGCGGCCACCTCCCGTCCCGATCCCACAGAGGCAAAGGCCGGTCGGTCGTTGGCGGGACTCGGGCCGTTGCTGCGACTGAAGCTGGGCTCGTCCATGTCCTCTCCCGTGGAGCCAGTCCGATCCACTGGCGCCTATGTGCATGTTAGGGTGCCAGTGCAAGGCAAGGCACAGTGAGGGTACCGTGGGAAGGAAAACGTGGAAGAAGAACGTTTAGAGGAGGCTGCCGACAAAAGCCGACCGTGGACAGCTTGGCTTAGGAGCTTTAGGTGGAGGCGAAGGCCTACCTTGGTGTTTTGGAAGACAGCTCCCTTGGTCTGAACCCACTCAGACACCCTCCTCAGGCTCTGCGGGCTCACCTGCAGGGGGTTGCAAATAAACACAAATGTGAACGGGCGAACGGGTGCATTCATTTGAGGCAACGACCACGTGCGCAGGCAATTTCCTTCCAGACATCTAAACTACAGTACAGTGCGTCAACCCCAACCGCTAACCGCCACATAAACCCAACCGCCAACCCCTGCCGCCCCTTACCTCCACCACCATGCCATTCTCCGAGTCACTGGACCGCCCCTCACGGCTACTGGCGCTTCCCTCGGTTCCCATCGGCACCACCTTATCCTCATCCTCATCATCTTGCACCACGGCGCCCGCACCCGCCGCCTGCGGAGGCGGCGACGCGCGCCGCTTGGCACCCTGCGGCCTCAGCTTGCTCGCGGACCGGACCATGGGTTGCTGCTGCGGCTCGCGAGGGCTCAGACCTGCCGCAGAAGCCATACGCAGCTCCCGAATGTCCGCTTCCACGGAGGGATCGAAGCATGACGTCGGCTGCCGTGACGGCATCCCAAGCATTCGCTCACTCCCAGGCACGTCCGCCGCCAGCGATCCCACCAAACTGGCCAACCGCTCTGCCGCAGCCGTTGCGCCGTTCGTGACGACGCCCGGCAGCGGCAGCTCCAAATCAAGCGCCGGCGGTGGCGGAGGGGTATTCGGCGGCAGCGGCGGCGAGGGTGTTGACGGAGCCGAGACTCGAACCGAGCACCTCATATCCGGAGAGGTAATGTCGCCAATGGAACGCTTGGGTGTCGGCGTCTCGGGCTCTTCCTCGGGGGACTCCTCAATCACCTCCTCCTGGAGCGCGGGGACCTCCTTGAACACACCCGACAGCTTTCCGGCAGCCGCAGCCCCAAACTTGCCGCTCCCCATGGCACCCGCGAACCTCCCGCTACCAGCAGCAGTGGGTCCGTTGCCCGCAATCGCAAAGGGAGACTTCATGGACCCCGTTCGCGGCAGCGCACCCGAGTTGGGTTGGAACTGCTCCACGGGAGCTGGCTGGTTCCGAATGGACACCGGCACAACGACAGCTGCGGCGGCGGCTGCAGCTGCTGCTGCACGCGCCGAGGCGCCGTTTGCTGCCCCCTGAGGCGCCATGTGGAGGGGCGTCGAGTGCATGCGGAGCAGCGCCGTCACGGGCTGGCCCGAGCCCAGCCGAGCCACCACTTGGACGTCGAGGAGCAGCGGTCGGCCGTCCGCATGCACGGCGGAGAGAACGTGCACGGGACCGATCTGCGCAAGCAGCAAGCGGCGGAGATACCGTAGTGTGGACATGCGGGGAGAGCAGAGGGGAGGGCTTCTCAGATGAAGCTTCGTAGGGTGCGTGGGCTTTAGGGTACCGTAAGCGTAGAAAGGAAACCAGTAAATCGCACACACCAACGCTCACCCTGGCGGCTTCTCTTAACACCACAGTACGTTTCGCCTCGCTGCCAGGGTTTCACCACTCGTGCAGGGCAAAAACAGACCGCACGTGCTGGATATGCAAACACCCACCTTGACTCCCGGGTCCTTGCGCCCCTTCTTCAAGCTGCTCCTCTTCGTTCCAGTAGCCGACAACAGATCCGCCACATGCTTCCCCTGCGGCAGCGCCAGCATATCCGCCAGATGCTCTCCCAGCAGCGTCTCCGAAGGAATGCCGAACAACAGACCCGCGGGTCGCGTGACCTCCTCACGCACACTCGCAATGCGCCCATGCGCGTCTAGCTCCAACACGCCAGTGACGGCGGGTGTGGGCCAGAGGTCCACCAATGCGACTGAGGAGGGGTCCACGTCAGGGCCGACGATGAGGCCGCCGCCGCCATTAAACTCGGCTAGGTGCACGTGCATTTGCATGAGTGCGGGTCGGGAGCGAGTCGCTCGCTGGGCGAGGAGGAGCTCGGAGGAGAGGCGGGTGGCGCCGGTGACGAGGAGGGGCGGCGTGACGGTGACGCGCCAGGAGCTTCCAATGGCAGCAGCTGAAGCCCTGTCGTTGTAGTGTGATTGCGTGGTGTGGGTAGCGTGGGTAGCGGGACGAGGATATGTTTGGGCGAGGTCCGTCAACCGACAACACACAGGCATAGCCCCCTGCATCACCCCCATCACACTCCACCCCGTCACACAGTCCTTCACACCGCACCCCACAGTCAGCCCCCCTCACCCGTGCAGCAGCGAAGACATCATGGCCACCGCGTCCTCCTTGCCAAAGCGGCTGCTGTACGAGGAGCCCGGCCGGCGGTCGCCCACCGTGGCTAGCACCGAGTCAAGACCCTCCACCAGCTCCCAGATGGGGCGGCCCATGAGCTGTGGCAAGGGTGGAGGGCGGGTTTAAAGGGCGGGGTAAGGTCAGATGGGGGAGTTGCAAACCCATCCATGTGCAGAAAAGGGCAAGAGACGCGCCCACCCAAGTTGCAGAACCCTTGGTTGGGCACGCATGTGAGTGAAAACGCAAACATACCCATGACTAGTGCCCAGACAGACCCATGGGTCAACGCACACGCACGCACCTGAGTGACATCAAAGCCAAACAGCTGCGAAGGCGTGCTCGTGCTCACAGCCGTCACGCAACCATCCGACCCCAGGCTCAACCTCAGTCGCCGCTCCGAAAGCGCATTCTCCAGCGAGGAAGACGCCAGCCGCACCACGTGATGCTCCTGAGCCACATTGTCCCCCGAGCTAACCGACACGCGCATGTACAGCGGCTTGCCATGCGCGGACCTCAGCTCCAGGGTGGGACCCGGCCCGTCTCCCGCCTGCCTGCACGTCCAGCGCCCGTTCAGCCCGCGACTGGCAGGGGCCGCGGGCTCCTGCAGAAGCTTCGTGTGCATGTCCTTCCAGGGGGCGGGCAGGAAGTCCTGGAGCGTGTAGGAGGTCATGAGGGCAGCGGCGGGGCCAAGAATGCCGCGACCTGCGCCGCCCTTGAGCAACCCGCCGGCGCGGTGGCCCGCGCTTTGAGCCTCCGCACCACCTCCCTCGTGCATGGAGATGCTGTGACGTTGGGCCTTGGGGCTGAGGATGCTGGCCAGCTGGTTGGTTGCGTACTTGATGGCGCCCTTGCGATCAACTACCATGACGAGAAGGGGCTCGGGGGATTGCGGACGCAGCCGGATTTCGTACAGGGGAGATGCCGGCAGTTCGCCTGCAAAAGAGGCAAGGCAAGTAGAGGGCATGCATGCGAGAGGAGTCAACATAGGGGATGGAGGCAGCGGATTGCATGGGTTGACGAGCGCTACAGTATTGGGGCAAGATGGCGATTCACATTGTAGCAACCGTAAGGGGTCGAGTGACGCATGCAGCGACACAGCGCGACGGTTGCAACACGCGGCTTCCCTTCACATCCCCGTGCACTCACCCAGTGGTTTTGCCAAGGCGTGGAAGGGCAAGGGTCCGATGTGGCGGTGCGTGACCAGGCAGGGAGAGCTACTGCCGCCAAAACCGGATTGCGCCAGGAGCCTGTACACGCAAGAGAGGGAAGGAAAGGTTAAGTATCGGTCTTAAACACTGGGACGTAACAGGTGAGTTCATCAGGTGGTGACAGACACACAACCCCGCGCACCAATATCGCGCGAGGGTTCCATTGTCGACGCACTTTGCTGTCGGACAGCCCCTCACACGCCCCAACCCACATACCTGTCCAGCATGTTTACTGTCGCCATATCGTCGCTGCCCACCTCCGACACCGCCTCCGTGTCCCACAGGCCCGGGTCGCTCTTGCCCTTCTCCTCCTTGCCGCCCGCAACAGTGGGCGAGTCAGCCGACTTTTGCATGGGGCCGTTACACGACATCAAGCTGCCCAGGTGGGCTCCCAGAACGTCGGATGCGGAGAAGCTGCGAGCATCAAGCAGTGGTGCGGATATTGACAAACAAAAAGCAAGCAGGGTTGGGAGTTACGGAGCGGGGTCCAGACTGTAGCACCAAGTTGTGAAGGCAGCCCACGGCCAGCTCCCCCAGCACGCATTCGCAAAACACATACTGCTTTTGAGCACATACATTCCCTCACCCCACCAAACCCATCAACCCATCCCCTCATGTCCACCCCACTTTCTCACCCAAAGTACGCCACAAAGTTGGGATCGCAGGCGGCCACCACTCCATTCGGCGCCACCCACAGCCTCGCCATGTTCTTCGCAACGGGAACCGGCTCCAGCAACGCGATGAATGTGCTGTCCTCACCCACACCCGAGGCCCTGCTGATGCTGATCCGCAGGTCAAACACCATGCGCTCTCGGTGCATGCCCAACACATCAGCGGTAGCAGACACCTGGCTGATGGCTGTTTCCGGGCCGGTGGCCGTCACGGAACCCACGCTAAGGACCTCCTTGCTTCGTTCCGCGACCAGCCCGGCCAGGCATTCGGTTAGGCGGTGGTTGGTGTGAGGCGCGAGCAGCGCGGACAGGGGCTTCCCGTCCAGGTCGCCCTTCTTGTAGCCGAACAACACGTGGGCCTGCTTGTTGGCCATCTGGATCTCACCAGAAGATGCCGTCACCAGTACGGCGGTTGCCAGGTCATCCATGCGGCTCAGTGGGGTGCCTGCGTACACAACCGCGAGCGAATGGTAAGGTGTACGACAGTGCAAATTAGGTTTGGAAATTGATTGATCTGATTATAGATCAAGCTATGGATTAGGGCATGGGAGGCCAGATTGCAAGGGCATGAGTGGCAAGACAACACAAGGCAAGACCACCAATCCTGCAGCAGTGTCATGCTACATGTGCATTAACAATAAGCTGGGGGCGACCTTACCGTCCGGCAGCAGCGGTCCGTTGCCATCGTCCTCCTTGACCTGCTCCAGGCGATCTGCCTCAGCAAAGTAGTTGGCGGCGCCCCACGGGTCGTTCTTAACCGTCTCAAGGAACTTGCCGTACAGCCGGACTAGCCGAGGGCTGTTGCCGTACGTCTCAAGTACGACACGATAGGCCTCCTGAGCCTGTCAAACCAAAGGGTCAACATGTCAGCATGTTGTTTCAACCAGCTGCTTCGTAGCAGAGGGGGACAACAACTTGGCGCGTACGCTTTTATGCCCCATGAACACGAAGGCAGCGGCCTCACCCAGACCCCACCTGGGAAACGCTGCTGTCAATGTCTGCAAGGGTGCGACTGAGCGTCGTGAAGGACACCCGGGATGTGTCCAGAGCACGCCTGCGTTGCGAAGGGTCCGACGGCGCACAGTCAAGGAGTGAAGAGTACCGCATACTGATAGCAGCCAAAACATGGTAATACCATGCACATTAGCCTGGCGAAAAGAAGGTTACGCAGCCTCCCGGCCTTCCTGCCCGAAACCTACCAGAAGTTGCACATCGCCTGCAGTGCCTCACGGTGAAGTCGAACGACCATGCGCTGCTTGCGCTGATACTCCACGTAGCTGCGTGCGGGAGGAAGGGCGACGGGAAGGGAAGGCGAGTGAAGGGAATGGTGGCAAAAAGACGGCTATGGATAAGACGAATACACGAGGGATGAGGCGGCAAGAGAAGTAAAGGAAGAGTGGAGGATACCTGGAGACACGGCATTACTGCGCGCGCGCGGCTGACGCGGCGTTGGGAAAGACAACTGTTCAAAAGCGGTTCGCGATTCCTTCCTTCCGGTTCCTAATCCGACATCTCCTTCTGTTAGGACATATAGGACTGCCAGCGGCGGCGCTAGCAGCTGCACCTAATCGGAGGCTCCCAAACAGTTATTGAGTTATTAGATGTGCGGCAACCCCCAGGTGCTCTTACCCCAGGAGATCCATGGCCGAGCCCTGTCCCCCTGCCACCGTGTTGCCAGCTGCCTTCTGCGTGGCTTGCTGCTGCCGCACAAAGATGATGAAACGACTCATGGGGCCGGGACCCAACTTCCGAGCGGCCTGCGGGACACAAAGCAAAATCGATAAAAAAAATACTATTTCGAAACGCGAGCGCATGGGAACTGTCATGAAGTGAATGACAAGCAGGCGACAAGAGCGCTAGCGGTAGACCCTTGGCCCTCACCCTACCCGGTACCTCGTTCATCCCATACCACACCCGCGCAACCTACCTCCACTTGTCGGCTGCCGCTCTGATTCACACCCAGGGCGTCAATCATGAAGTTTGCTTGCACCAGGGCAACAAAGGCGTCGTTCGGGAACTGGGCACGACCAGCCTGTTTCGGGAGGCGACAAGAGGTTAGGGAAGGAGGTTCAAGAGGGAGCCACAGGTGTTGGAACGGCAAGAGGAATGGAGCAGGGGATGTATACACCGGTACACGATATGCCTGCAAGAAGTCTGCAAAAAGGACGCCCGCTCATGCCGACCGCCCAGCACATATATCCATGCGTACGACAGAAGCGACGTGTGTGATGGACCGAGTCTTACCTTGATAAAGTTCTGCGCCATTGCCAACGCATCCTTGTCCAGCACGTTACGGTCCACCCAAACACGGCAGCACCTGGGACACGGCAGGTGCAGCGCAAGCAACGGTGCGCCAAGAGTGAATCAACTGACATCGAGAGCCAGTCAAGCGGTACGAGCTAGAATGGACAGCTATAAAGCAGCAGGATGGGAGCTAAATGGCAGCTGGAGAGGTCTCGATGGAATATCCAAGCGAGCAGCCTCATCCAACAAAGGTATTGTATAAGGGGCAAAGAATATGTGTTCATGTCCTAGCACACCAAAGGAAGCATGCACGCACGGAAGCACATACCTGGCAGCGATCTCCACGTCTCGCGGACTTTCAAACATGTCAATGTCCTTGAAGAGCGGGTTCGTGGCCACCACCTCCCTGACAGGCGGGCGAGGGGCGAGGAGGGGGCAAGAAGCACGTTGGTTAAGGGACATCGTGACGCATCGCCACACGAGCCCTGCATGCAGATAAGTACAAGCCACAAACAAAACTGCATCATCCTTACATGCTCCGCCTCCTCTCACTGCCTCCTCCCGCCCCCAAAAAGGCTCATCCATCTCCTTACTTTAAGGCCTTCCGTGCCGCCGCCGTCATGCGCCGCAGGTACCACCATGACGCCAACGCGCCTACTCCGAACGCGGGCGCCAGACCAACCAACATGAGCAGCGTCATGGCATGCGCCCACTCCGGCTTGTCCTTCTCCTTCATTCCCGGGTTGAACACCAGCAGCGTGAGGATGGCGGCGCACCAAGTGATAGCTGCCGACACGCCGGTCTTCAGGTAGTTCATCCACTGAACCAGGTTGGGGCTCTGCAGCAGAGGCGGCCAGGTGGGTTAATGAGGAAGAAAGTAATTGGTGAGGCTGCGGCTGAGGGTAAGGAGGGACCCGTCCCGTGCCCTTCGCAACCCCTATACCACTTTGCGGCCCCTTTGTAACCCCTAGCACCCTTGCAGCTCCTAGAACTTCGGCACGCACCCATCTCAGGTACTGCCAGGTCAGCAGCAGCGCCAGCAACAAGTAGCAGACCGCCGACACCCGCCGCCAGCCGATGAAGACGTCCACCAGGGTCATCAGCGCCTGTTGCGAAGGGGGGAGGCGGAGGGGGTGGCAGGTTGTGTCAAGAGCACCGGGTGGAAGGTATTAGGATGTCGGAAGATGATGGATCTCCCCACCAGCACGTGAGGAACCTATCATCACTGAGAATGCTAGGTGCTAGCTGTAGGGCTAGCTGTGTCTTCGAAGGAAACCACCGCAACTGTTGCCACGGACTGGCCTTTGCATGACCCATGTTAAGGCACAATTGGCCAATAAGGCCCACCACACGAGTTACAATGGATGTCAACAAGCCGGACGGCGCACACATTCAATGTGAGTTCCCAGTGGGCCATTTTTGGTGAGCAGAACTGGTGATGCGGGATGAACCGACAGTCAAGTTAAGGCGCCAAATTGCGCGCTAACCTAGATCCCACAAAGGGTGTTGATTGATATAAACAGCAGGCCCGGCCACGTCACTGGGACAAACAGCCAGCACGGTTGGGACTCACTGCAATGCCTAGCAGCAGCGGTAGCCGCAGCAGCGCCCACATACCTTGACAGCAAAGGTAAACACCTCAGCTCCGCTGTGACCTAGCGCCATGGGTCGACGACTGGTGGGGTTGACCTCCACCTGTGTTGCAGTAGGGAACAAGCGCGCATAGATAAACACGGGGCGAACACAACCAGACAGCCATGTTAGGCGTTACGCAGCCGCGGGCTGCACCGGCATGCACTTCCAGCAGCTTGTTTTAAGGGCCCTCCAATGCAATGCAGCACTAAAGACGAGAAGCCCTGCACCATGTCACGCACAACGCCCGCACGCGCGAGCATGTTACTACAACACACCGCCCGTACCTCCGCCATGTTCGTTAGGAGAGCCAGGAGGATGAACACCACGAGGCTGAGCCCCGACACAATCGCGTGAATTACGTGCGGCATTTCGGAGCAGCCTGGCAAGGGGGCATGCAGCAAAGCGAGAGGAAGAAGGTCAGGGAGCACACAATGCCCAGCCGGACGTGACGTGCATTACAAAGGGTCTAGTCTATGGGTTTTACATGGGGCACGCTCCCATATGTTCCCCTTGTCGCGGAGGAAAGCAAGAGGAGTAACGTTTCAGGATGGAGGCTAGCATACACAATGCCGGCCCGAGCGACTACCCTCCACTCACTCCGGTCGGGAAAGAGGTCCAGGTGCAAGTGGTGCCCGGGGCCGCTCAGCCGACAGCTGATGCCAACCTGCCATGATGTTGGGAGGTGTTTGTTATCAATGAGGTTAAACAGGCTCATAGAGTTAAACAGGCAAAATAGCAAAAGGCTACGTGGGTAGCACCATGCGGTGCGTCATGACAGAGCACAGACCATATTATCAGCAATTGTGCCTGCTGCTGCGTCGAGCGATCCATGGGTCAGAACTTACAGGCATGAATTGTAAATTGCACGCCCGCCATAACAACCTACCTGGAGCAGATTCAGCGACGTCACATCCAGGGCCTGGAAGAACACGCTTGTGAAGAGGCGCAGTACCTGGGGTTCGAGTCAATATTGAATCACGGCGGTGTAAATCAAGCGTTTAACGGGTGTTGGACTAAGTTGGGCGCAGCTCATATATTACAACACTGGCGCAAATTTTGGAAACACAAGCTGGCAATAGATGCACAGTACAACTTTACGACAAAGGGGGCAGGAAACACATTATCTAAGGACCGTCGTGTACATCATACAAAGCTGCTGATCACTCGCTGACTCTTCCTCAGTCGTATCCTGGTCGCACACTTACTTTGATGGGCCAGATCACAGGAAAGCGCTGCTCCTTGAAACACCAGGCAACCCACACGCACAGCGCAATGTTGGCCATCAGCATGCCAACCATGCCGTACAACATTGCCACGTAGGCGCTGTAACCCTGTCGTACACACATGCCGCAGCACGGAAAGAAGGAAAAGATACAATCAAGAGTTAGAAGAGGGTAAAGAAACGTACACTGGGCTATCAGCGCGGGCACGTCTTACAACAAGGGGCCTGCGGGGTCTACACAATTGCAAAGGAATTTCCACAAGCGATGACACTGTGTACGCATGCCCCGCTCCAAAGCTGCTGTAGCTACTAAGGCGCAAGCCACAAGCATGCAATCAATTGAGAGCGCGAATATGCAAACGCAACGTACCAGGCCCGAAAGCCATCCAAAGCTCAGGACGTTCACAACCTTCCAGACCCTGCACAGGTGAGGAAAACGAAAGGACCGAGGTTACCAGCAGTTTCTGAACCTGATATTCACCACGCGCGTACCAAAGGCGCGCACGTATTTGTAATTCCATGGTACCAGTGCCTTTGCCGCCACTTTAGCAAAGCGTCATACGTTAACGTCGTCGTCCACACTTACCGTCCGTTTTGGTTGATGTCCCATCCCTGCTTCATTGGCTGGATGATGGTGGTGAAGAGCTGCCAACCGTCCAACAGCACCTTCAGCAGCACCCAGCGGTACACGATGCGGGTCTCGCTGTTCTCCTTGCTGTTGTACGGCGTACGACACAAAAAGACAGCAAAGAGCGGGATGAGACGGATGAACCCACATGGAAGAGGAGAAATAGGCGAGAATGGGATGGCAACATGGGAAGTGACATGACCAAGTCCAAATCACGCGCGCACGAGTACCCTCACCCTTTCCGTGTACACGACCCACTAGGCGACACTCAAGGCGCTTTCGCTACACAAAGACACCACGTGTCAACCCTCCTACACACCGCCTCACATCACAGAAGCGTAAACAAGCACCCCTTGCTACACATCCCATTGCACCCGCTGCTGCTCACTGCAAGCATGAACCGCACCCTCACCCTCACCTGAGGGCGAGATTAGGACCCTCGCCCTCGCCACAAGATAAAATTCGCCCTCACCCTCACCCTCACCTGAGCGTGAACAGCACCCCAAACACCGCATTTTCCACCGAGGAGCGGTGCACCGGGTCCAGCTCGTTACCTCCCTGACCGTCCTCATCCCCGTCCTTGATGCCAATACTGCTCAGGAGGAAGTGGAGGACGAGGAGCGGCAGCAGCAACAACAGGGCGGAATGAGGTTAGGTAGGCTAGGGGCCGGCGTGTGTTAAGATAAGTGGCCATGTGACCGGCGTATGGTGTGGGGGTGGTAAACGCATGGATTTAAGGCCATTCGTACAGTGTGTTTGTGAGGTGGGCGGATTAACATGTTCGGCTGTTTCCCCTGTGTTTGTCCTGGCTAGCTGCACACACAAGCCATTGATGGGAATGGGTTGTAACCCTGCCCTGTTTTGAGTCCCCGTATCACCAAATGCTAGCAATACAATTCTGTTTCAGACAACCCATTACCCTGCTGAAACCACCGTGCCGCATGGTGCCTTGTAGGTATCTAGCCGCTGGGCCTTCGCGCAAGCAACCTTTACCCGCTGTCGTGTGAGCCATAATTTCCAGTAGAGTCCATCCACGACATACGTATCTATGTGCTTAACGAATGGGCAATGGCCCCGCGTCACATCAACGATATTGCTTCAACAGCCTTGCGCACATACCGGCGAGACTAAGTCTTACTAAGCAAGAGAAGACTAACACCAGTGCCCCTGTGTGGAGGCCCCTTCGAACGGGGAACAAAAGCCCAGAACTCCCAACGTAGATACTACTACGCTGCAAATGCACATACCAACATAGGACAAATCACATAGGTGTACATAGTAAACGATACGTGTATAGAGGAAGGAGCCGAACGCTCCAGTTGCAAGGCATGGAGATAAGTAGATAGCAGAAAGCATAGAACGTACATCCGAAGGCCCATTAACGTTTTGTATCGCCCAATGCGCCCCTTCCGTAGTATTACAACGTCTTCGTGGTAAGGAGTTCTGCTGCAACGCGCCGCATGGCCGCCATACGGCGACGCTAGGCCCCGGCCTATGACTATGTAGTGTAACCGAAAATGTACAGTGACATTGGGACCCAAAGGAGCCATCTCAGGGGCAAGCGGCCCGGTAAACCCATGTGCAATCCCGAACCTTTGCAACTGAAGGTCAATAAAGACAAGGAATCCATTCCTTTAAGAGATGCCCTACCTTGGCTTCCTTGCTCTGGAGGAGGAGCTGCTCCCCACGCTTGGGGCATAGCTCATAGTCACCGTCAGCGGCCCCTCCGCAGCAGAGCCTTAACAACTTTAGCTTGCGTAGGACGTTGGCCTCGTCAAGCCCAAATGACCATATTGGACAAGTACTAGCGCGTCGTTGGCGGTCGACAGTCGAAAGTCTACGAGCCTGGGCTCAGGTCACATCGCTCGACGTAAGAACATTTAAGGCAGAGAACAGTAGTAGAACGTTCTGCTAGTAGAAGGTTATTTATCGCGTTCGTCAACCTCTTGTAAGTTCCACAGGCGGGCGTTACAGCACGTAGGTATTGCCAAAAGCAGGGCAAAACAACAGTTTCGCGAACATAGTATCTGTAGCAAATAGAAAATCTACTTAGTGTATTGCTTGTAAGTTACACCGATCCAGTACGGGTAGTGGGTCATCCGCTAGATGTGGTCCCGTTTTCGGAAAGTTCAGACGGAAATTCAAGGGGCAATTGCATATAGTTGTATTTATGTTACAAAAGGTAATCCGCCTCAGCTACTCCCGCCTATCTACGACATGCACCTTTTAAGCCCCTGATGCCCGCGGCGGCATGCGCTACTGCTGCTTTGCTCTCCATGTTAGATAACAACTAAGGCCTGAAAGGCCTACAAGCGTCTCTCTAGTCTGACTCAGCATGATCGCCGTACATGACATTTTCGTAAGTGCAGGGTTACAGAGCACCGTTGTTATGTTGACGCCTAATGAACATGAAGCAAGCTTGTTTTCAACAACCAATTATGCCTCTCTGGTGCCGCGGCCATTCCTAATAGTGGTGAACCGTAACCTCGAGCCATCACAGGCTTTCTGACTAAACCTTTAGGAACACAAGTCGCTGCATCTAAGTTGGATAGAACCGCTCCGCAGGCTGAGCTGTTTTCCACGCAGGTTGTTGCCAAAGCTGGACCTGGACCTGAGCTAGCCACACCCTCTTATCGCAACCCATAAGAAACGCATACAACGCATGCCCAGGCATGTACGCCAACAAGGCACTAGCGCTTTTCCTCTTAAGGATGCGTGAGCGGAAGGGTGCAACGGCGGAAACTATCCTCCTCAGCGCTTCTTAGAACTGAAGTACACCCCTGAAGTACACTTCACTACTATGCAAGACATGGCAAACCCAAATCGTGCGCGAGCCGATAAAGATGACCCATTTCAACTGTTATCTTAGTAAACGGCGTCCAGCTAGGAGATATGACACACCGGACCGAAAACCAGCTGAAGTACGGGTCTGACGAGAAGGCAGACGGAAGGCCGCGAAACCCCCGAAGCCCGACCAACGGATGGAGTCCTTGAGGAAGTGAGTACCAGGCCTAAAGCGTGTCCATTGAAGTGTAGTTGAAAGTGTGTCCATTGCATAGTCAACAGCCCCGTTACCTTGTGCATTTCCCAGCAGTTGCTGGCAGTCTGCCATCCGCGTGCAACCAACATAGTAACCGCTGCGTCCCTTCATATTCCGGACACCAAGTTCGACAAACGTTCCAACCGCTATTTCCCAATTTCCATACGCACCCCCTCCGGCTTAAAATTTTCCATCCACCAGCTGCCATCCGCCGCCAAAGCCTCACACAGGCTGACGTCCTTTCCGAGGCCGGTTCTTATCAATCCCACGCTGTAAGCCTTGACACGTGCCCAAACCAATGGGGCGTATGACGTGGGAAGGGGCTTGCAAGCACAGATAGACCAACCCATGCGGTCAGCAAGCGTTCCCAAGCCTTCCTTGCCCCCATTGACACAGACACCCATGAGACCCTCGCGATCTAACACACACAGGAGTGAACAACACACGAAAGTGTCCCCGTACTGGTTGTAACCATTGCAGGCCCTGTTTCAACCTTGTCGCACTCCCTGTCCCGCATGTACGGCGTTCGCATACTCCGGACCTCCCCTCCCTGTTTACCCCTTGGACCGCATATCGCCTACAAAGCGCGCAGCACCCAGCACCCACTCCTGCCTCTCTACGAAAGTTCATTTTAAGTGCGCCACACATTAAGGAACACTCGCACGCTAACGCGTAAACATGTCTGCGGTAAACCATTCCTAGGTGCACATGGCATTCTTCACCGCACATGCGCATTTATCCCTTGCCGTACAACAGCTCGTCAACTCCTCATGTCAACTGCCGTACAACCACCAACGCAACGGTCTGCACACAACCTGCATTACTAACCTTTCATACCGCCGCCGCCAGCAACCACCTCTTGATTTCTTCTGTGCTTGTAACATCATCTCCGTCCCCGCTAGCTGCCCTAGGGCTGACAGCATTACCCGACGCGCCATTGCCAATGCTACTGCTAGCGCTGCCGCCGCCACCACTGCTGCCACTGTCGCGTTGCTGCTCCGACGTAACGCCCGCGCGACGCCATACGGCCGGGCCCGACGGCGACGCCAGCTCGACGCCGACTTTCCCAACCTCCAACCGCACCGCTGACGGCGCATCCGTCCGTGTCGTACCCCAGCCGCCACTCGGGCTCCCGCGCCATGCATCATGACGTCCCTCGGCGGCGGCGGTGCCGTCGTCGCCAGCTTGCGGCTGCTGATCTCTCGGCCTTAAGGCGGCAGCCCCGCCGACCGCCTTCGCCGCCGCTGACGCCGGGGCCCTGACACCTCCCACCTCACTCCCAACCAACTCCTCAAACCCATCGACCAGCCCGTCGGCAACGTTACCGACCTCCACCACCTCCGCCGTCGGTGCGGCGGCGGCGGCATCCGCCACCTCCGCCGCCGCTAGCCCCACCTGGCGCGGAGACATGCTCAGGAAGAAGCGCACCTGCTGTCGCGAGTAGGCGCCGCTGCGCGCCTCCAGATCTCGCAAACGCTCCTCCGCCTCCGCTAGGTACTCATCCACCTTGGCCAACCCGCCACCGCCGCCATTGATCCGCCGCAGCGCAGTGATGATCTGCGCCAGGTCCAACGCCGACAGCCCACCGCCGCCGCCGCCATTGTCCTCTTGTCCTGCCGTACCATTCGGCGCCGCCGTCGCCGACGGCACCATCAGGCCAGCCGCCGCCGCCGCCGTCGTCACCGCCGCCGACGGCGGCGGCGGCGGCGGCGATGGAGCCGCCTGCATGAGCGTCCTGGCTGCGTTGACGTAGCTGTAGATCCAGGCGGGCGGCAGCGGCAGCGCCAGCTCGGCTAGGGACCAGCCAATGGTAGCCAGACACCAGCCGTTCATTGCAGGCAGCTTGTGGTAGGAGGCCTTCAGGAACTCAGCAGTCCACTCCTTGTCGGGCAGGCGCCGCATTGCAGCGAACGCCCACACCATGGAAGAGAGCTCCTGGGGGGGCGAAGGAGGGGGGAGAGGAGGGGTTAAGGGGCAGAGCGGGTGGGTGGGTGATGTGGAAGGACGGAGCTGCGGCGATGGTAGGATGAAGGACAACTAGATGAAGAATAGTTAATGAATACACGGTTTTTGATACACTGCGCATAAGGGAAGTCCAGACGAGTCGACAGCTCTGTAAGCTCACCTCCCAGGCCCCAGGTGAAGGGACGTGCAGGACTTATTAAATAGTAGCTACACAACAACACAAGCATTACCACCACCACCATAACCACCGCCCGGCCCCACCGACCCACGGGTCACACACCCTCTCTCCCTCTCACCATGGGTTTGAAGCTGCTGAGGCGGCGGTCTGTCGCGAAGAACAGCAGCTGCAGCACCTCCGACGGCAGCCCCTGCTCCCCCCGCACTCCCATCTTGGCCAGCGCCCACAGCGTGTTGGCCACCTCGGTGGGGCCGAACAGCGGCGCGGTGACTTGCAGGCGGGAGATGGCGAGGGAGAGCCAGGGGGCGGGCGGCCGGGAGGAAAGGCGCGCCAGGGACCACAGGCACTGCAGGGGGAGAGGGATGATGTGTGTGGGGTTATTGAGGGAAGAGGGAGATGCATGTGACATCTTGATTAACCTCAGCGGACTGTACTAGTAGTGTATTTGTACCGGTATAGAATCCATAGTTTGTAGGAGAGAGATGGGAGTGGGAGTGGGAGAAGGCAGGTGGAGAATGTGGCAGGTGGAGAAGGCAGCAGGTGCATCTCAGCATAAAAATACAAACTAACGAGAAAGCAGCGAGAAAACAGAGCAAACATACAAAGGAAGCCGTACACACCTGCGACAGGTCCACGGGTTTGAAGTACGGCAGGAGGCGGTACGACGCATCCAAGAAGACGTTCATCCACGAGTGGTTTGGGTGTAATTTGAGCTTCGCGCATGCCCACATGCAGTTGGCAAGTTCGTTCGGCTCCAAGTACGGCAGTTCGGTTAGCAACGCCGCCAGCAACCGCCTGGCTAGCTGTGGCTGTGGTCTGGTTCCCCAGGTCGCGAAGGAGTATAATAGTACGGAAATGTCTAGCCCGCCGTACCAACCACCGTACGGCTGTTGCTGTTGTTGCTGTTGTTGCTGTTGCTGCGGGCGCTGTCGTGCACCTTGCAGCCCTTGCCATGATGTTGACCGTTGTTGCTGCTGTAGCTGTTGCTGTTGTTGCTGTTGCAGCAGCTGCTGACTTGTGCTCCAGTTCGGGTGGTTGTGCGAAAGGCGCAGCCCGTTGTTGGCATGCTGGTGCAACAGGTCTAGCAGGCCGGGTGTGGGAGCGCACCCGAGCTTGGCCAGGCCCCAGCAGAACAGTGACAGGCCCTGTGAGCAAGCACACAGCGAAACAGCGCACGTGATGTGGTGGCGGTGAGGTTGGGGAAGTCATCCGGGGTGCCATCCCAACGTCGCCAGCCCCAACCGCACTGCTACCTGTACTACAAAGGCCCGCCAGGCACCTTGCAACCTAGGTCGTACCGACTACCTTCTCTCCCAGCCTGCTCCCTTTCCCCCTTTGCCTCCCCTCTCTGCAGCTGTGCCCCCTTCTTCATCCGCTTCCCCCACATACCCCGCTGCCTCCTCATCACCCTCCTGCACCCACCTGCGGCGTGAACGCCCCCGGCCCCAGCTGCACCGCCCGCGCCATCGCGCCCACCAGCCACCCCTGCCCCGGGTGCTGCTGTGACAGCGCCAGGGAGTGCACACACGTGGCCAAACTGCGACCGCAGAAGCCCCCCAGCTGCTCCTCCGCCGCCCCCAGCAGTCGCCGCATGCACTCCGGCGCCGCCTTGTACCGCAGCCGCGCCAGAGACCAGAGCAGCATCGCCAGCTCGCGCGGCCGGAAGCCCCGCAGCTGCCCCGCGGCGGCTGCCAGCGCGCTTTCCATCCAGCGGGCGGGCGGCTGGTGCGAGAGGCGTGCCAGGGACCAGAGCAGCGTGGCGAGGCCGGGGGGCTGACGTGGCGGAGCATGAGGGGAGGGGTGGGAGGGGTGGGAGGGGTTGGGAGGGTTGGGAGGAGGGGAGGAGGGAGGTGGGAAGGAGGACATGTGTGAAGTAAACTGGCCGCGAGTCGGAACGTACTGTGATAACATGTGTATATTTGGGGGGTTGGGGGCTGGTAGGAAGCCCGTTGCGAGTAACCCTGTACACAATGCCTCTACCAAACCCACCCCCCACACAGTTTCCTCGTCAGTTTCCTCATCTTTACTCACACAGACCGACAGCCACATCACGCTCCTTCTCACGGCCACTTTCCCGAACAGTGAACACCCCCCACCCACCTGCAGGCTCGTCATACATCTCGTTTGTGTCCCCTTTTCAACACCCCCACCCACCTGCAGGCTCCCCCTCCCTCCCCCACCCACCTGCAGGCTCATCAGCTGCGGCTCCAGCCCTGCTGCCAGCCCCGCCAGCAGCTCCCGGTCCGGCAGCTCCAGCCGGGCTAGCGAGTAGGCGGCCACCACCGCAGCCCGGGGGGGCAGCTGGTCGGGCTGCTGGCGACGGAGGATGGTCTGTTGGGGTGGGGAGTGGGGAGTGGCGGGTGAAGAGGGGTAAAGGAGGAGAGGGAACTGAGGAGCTGTAGGACGGTGAAGAGGGAGGGGTGCAGGGAGGGACACTCAGCTGTGAGAAAGCTGGACTGGGAGGACATGCATGCAGTTCTTGCTGGCGGTATGGGTCTCAACAGGAACACAGGCCAGCCCTTTCAAAGTGCTTCCAACCAGCTCCGCAGAAACAACCGACGAAACAACCAACAAGATAACTAACCAGCATTGTGGAGCAGCTCTCCTTGAACAGCCTGGACTCCCGGGGTCGCAACCCCGCCGAATGCAGCTCCATCATTCGCCAAAGCGTTGCGCAGGTGTGGTGGGCGTTATACTCCGCCGCGTTATCAACCAACAACTGATGCAACCGTGTGTACGACGGACACCGTTGAATGGCGACGGTTAGCGCCGTACGACTGCGGAGGCTCGCCGGCGGCGGCTGCCAGAGCGCTGACGGCGGCGGCCGATTGCGAGTGAGGTGGCGAGGGAGGTGGTGCATTAGGGTTTGAGCGGCGTCGCCGGCGGCGGCGGTTGCGTCGGTTAGGGATTGCGCCGCATTGGGTCTGACGTTGGCGTCATTGAGGCGCCCTGGTGCGGCAGATGTTGGGTGTTGGGGGGCGTTGGGCAGCTGCGGGCGATGTAGTGCCGGTGACGGCGGTTGTAAAAGCGGTTGGGATTGCTGTTGCAACCGCTGATCTGCAACAGCGGAGAGCCGGTCGTGCTCCTGGAACAAGCCTTCAATGGGTGAGGATGCAAAGGGCTGCGGTTGTGATGCATTGGGCTGTGTGGGTTGTTGCTGCTGCTGTTGTTGTTGTTGCTGAGTGGGTTCTGACGCTGAACGGGATCGCTGACCCCTTCGCGGCCGCTGCTGCCCCTGTTGCTGCCCCTGCTGCTGGTCTTGGGCCCCTCCCTCATCGGGCCCCGGTTCGGGCCCGGTCTGCGGTGAGCCCCCAGGTTTCTTACCAGCTTGCTGGATGAGCTTATAGGTGTTGTGGTAGGATTGGAGAGCCTGTGGTAGCGTAAAGTGCAATGTCGCGTTGGGGACGGTGAGGTTGTTGCCGTTGGTTGACATGGCTACATGCGGGGAACAAGGTGTCCGCCAGTCCGTGGAATGGCGGATATCTTTTTCCCCTTACGCCATGCCGCGTGCCTCACTGCACACTGATGCTGTTCCTACGTTTGCACAGCAGAGGCGCCAAGAAGGCTGCCGTGCATCGTGCATGACACACCTGGACCCTTATCTTACCTGGCTGGCCTGACAGGAGGTGGAATCCCTGGTCCTGTTGTGCCGCTGCAAAATTCCCTTGCGTCGCCATCCAGACCTAAGGGAACGGGTTGGATGGCGTTAGATAGCAACCATATCTTGTCGCCGTTTGCAAGCGCTTGGCAGGATGAGTAGCGCAAATTGAGGAGTCATCGTCCAACCTTAATATGCATGAAAATACGACTGGAGCCGCATAGCTAGTAGAAGGCGAGCATAGCGGCTCAGAGGGCGCCGTCCGCGTGGGGACCCAGGAGCTCATAGTAGCCCCCTTCAAGCTAACAAATTACGTTCAATGTGTCATCGCCTTTTCCACATGAGCAGCGAAAATTGTGAATGCGCTTGGGCACATGCGCAAGTTAGTGCTGCACTTCACCGTTTCGCCAACGTGATCCTATGTAATTCTAAAAGTTGTAAGTAAAAAGGTCTTAGGTATGGATGTAACTAACCCAATTGTGAAAGGGCTGGTCAGTGCATGACATGGATCAAGGGATCCATCGCGCAGTTCGCCCACAAGCGCTTCACTGCATAATGACTGCTGCATTTTGTACATAACAACATCGCAGATCAACGTGATGTAGGTTGTGCGCCAAATTATTCCACACTGCTTTATCTTGCCCTGAAGCCTGATCCATACATCTGAACGCGCCGTAAGGAATCAGCTATAGAAACGTACTGGTAGCACACAGCTGTACTTAACATGCTCCTTTCTTACGGGCGGCCTGTTAATAGGCCTGCTTTCCGTTGCCAATCGCCACAGCGGCTCTGTAGATTCCATGCTGCTATACGTGCCTACCCTGAACATATCAGCAAGCTAGATAACACATCCTCACGGCGCGGAGTGCTGCTGGGGTTGCTGGGTAAGCGCCGATGGACCACCTTAGTCCACAACATGCGCCCGCCCATACACCCGAGTCCTCCAGTCTACCCGTGATACGCTGTTTCCACGCCTAACCTAGCACCCTAGCAACTAGCACCCTATACTGCCGATCGTGCGCAACTTCACAGCCAGCGGCACTATGCATCCCGGTACACTAACCTTCACATACCACGCGCCTTCCCATTCCTATCCAGCATTCAAACCTTTCTGCCCCTCCAACAGCTTCCTTGCCCTAAACCCCTGCGGAAATGCTGCCCCCTTTGAAGGTTCTGGTGCAGCTCTGGCGCAGGGCTCTCAGCTGACCCAGCCAGCCTCCGCGGAGCCCCTTTCATTTGGCGGTAGCAGCAACAGCGACAACAGCAGCAGCACCACAAGTAGCAGCAGCAGCAACAGCAGCGGGGCAACTGCCCAACCACGCACCTCTCCCACGCCGCGATCAGATCCAAACGGATCCCTATCACAACCACCGCCATCTTCTCAACCACCAGCTGCCAACGGCTCCAACGGAAATGGCAACGGCGGGGCAGCCTCACAATCCAGTTCGAGTAGTGGCAACGGTAACGGTAACAGCAACAATGGCGGCGCCAGCAGCAGCAGCACTACCCCCAGTGGCAGCAGTGGCAGTAGCTCGTCGTCTGCTACCTCGTCAACCTCAACCACCACAACGACCACGACGACTCGTATAACCACCCTCGACGACGCGTCGCTAACGGACGAGGCGGCTCGGCGGCTGTTGCAGGAGGAGGAGGAGCGGAGGCGGCGGCGGAAGCGGTCTCAGGGGCGGCTCAGAGAGCTGGAGGAGGTGAGGAGCGGGCGGGGGCTGGGAGGGGAGTGGGGCTGGATAGAAGGAAAACTAGGTTCTATATTTCTAAACCTAAGGCCAGGGCCTGCCCGGCTAGGGACGGGAAGTCTTTAACCGGGTCCATGAGCGGGTCTCCAAGGTACCCCCTGCCCGCGTCAGTTGGGGGTGTAACCTCCCTCCTCCATGCCTCTATCCCCCGCCTCTCCCCCGGCGGCCTGCCCCCCTACCAAGTCCGCATGCAGTTATACCCACTGTCCCGCCCTAACTGGTTGGTTCGCGCCGTATTACTTGGTTCCTCTCTGCCCTCCTGCCCTCGGTGGGATGGGCCGGGTCCAATGTAGTAAGCGCTGGTGAAGCCCCTCATCACACAGCTTCCTCCCGTTTCCTCACTGCCCCCCCCTCTCTGCCAACCCCCCTGCCCGCCCCAGATCCGTATGGAGCTATACCCAATGCGTTGCCCCGACTTTTTAATTTCAAATGCTTAACTCCTCTCTGTCCCCCTCTCTGTCCCCCTCTCTGTCCTCCCCGCTCCCCCCCCACTAGATCCGCATGGAGTTGGCTGAGAAGGAGCTGTCACTGCTGGAGAAGGAGAAGGCGCTGCTGGCGCAGGAGCAGACGCTGGCGGTGCTGACGGAGGAGGTAAGGGGCTTCTTTATTCCTGCCTTTTTGTACCCTGTAGTAGACGTACCGTACTGGTACGGCAATGGGAACCGTGAGCGATTACAGCATGGTCTGCACCTTGCTTTGTTAGGCAACGGCTGCCTAAAGCCTTGCCGCCTTCTGTGCTGCACCTTGCACCCCTCATCACTTCATCCACCTCAGCTTCATGTGGAACAGTTCAGGTCCTACATAGCTACTGCTTGTACCTATACCTGCCCAAGTTCCTGACTGCTATCTCCCCCGCTCCCGCCTACTGCTCCCGCCTCCTCCGACCGCCCTCTCCCGCTCCCGCCGCCTCCCCAGCTCGAGGTGGAGCGGAAGCTGCGGGCGCTGCTAACCAAGGAGAAGGAGCGTGCGGAGGAGGAGGCGGCGCTAGCCATGGGCCTGTGTACTGGCGGTTTCGCACTGCCGTGATGGGGATGACCCATGGGTCACTGGGTTGTTTCTGCGATCATTGGGAACACAGCTTCCGGTTCTCGTCCTGACACAGCCTGTTTGCGCTGTCCTGTTTAGCTTATGCCTCCACTGAAATGAAAGCCCCGGAAGTGCCGCTACCAATTGGACAAACTGCTCACGACGACTCCTAAAAGCCGGATGAGGCCGCTTTTTGTGCATGAGTCGGTTAGTTGCTTCCGCTGGTGTGAACTGGCGTCGTGTTGCGTGTCTATGTATGTGTATGATGTTCCTTGACGCCTCGGACTCCTTCCCCGGGCCCCATGGTGTGACCCATGGGTCGACACTGACGATGCGATGGCGCTTGCTCCCTACTGCGGCCGGGTCTTGCATGGTGTAGAGCCCACAGTTGAAGTCAGATGTAGATGGATGGCTGCTAGGTGGGTGTGCAGTGCTTCACATCGTAACACTAGGTTTTATGGAGCTGGTACGGTATATGTGGAACCAAGCCGCCTTGCTGCGTAGATATGCTGTACGGGGTAATGCTCGGAAACATGCGATCCGCTTGCTTTGGACTATAAAGGTTTACGGTTTGCACAGCGAATGGCGTGCTGCCATGCAGAGCACACCGCATGCTGCTAAGCGCTTGCGCATTTCCAGCAAGAGTCGGGATTAGACAGTCTGAGCCGCTACAGATGTAGGGAGGTGTAACCGTGAGGGTTGGTGGGATGCAGGGTATAACGTATGATGCATGGAATGCCTGCATGTGGGCTGTATGTTAAAATAACTGGCCCATACATACTGGGCTGTATGTATGTGTGTTGTGCATGTTGATGCTGCATGGCGCGTGATGTGGAGAGTATTATCTGGGATTACGTGCGCCTGCATGCGATGCGAGGCGTGTCGCGTGCAGCCCCCTTCTGTGACAGTCTACCATCTCGCATCCGAAGCGCTAGCTCGCTTGCGTGTACGGGTCATGCATGTTGAACGGGTATACAGCCGCTATCAGAGCATATGCCGTACCTTGGGCACGTTACTTCGGAGGTAAGTTAACACCTGGCCGCAATCCCAGGCTATCAGCCGCCCATACATGCACCCGACCCGACATACCGGTATCAGGGACACACAGGGAAGGCCGTCTCGCGCTGGTTTGGCTCTGAGCATCAGTAACATTTCCCTGATAAATGAACCAGGGAAAAAGGGAAACCGACAAGAACGGACGATGGCAGAGCAGCCAGACCACCTCACAGCTTGTACGTTATAACGCACCATACATGCGCTACTTCCAGGCAAGTAGCTGCAACAACCCATCAACTACACACCGGTTAGTGTTCCTACCTAAAGGGTGCGCGCACGTAGCGGCCGCTCACATCCGCACCATCTACATCCGCACACTTTCAAATTACTGACTGCTAAGCAGCATATCACCAAAATGCAACAAGAAGGGAACACAGCATGGCCCTCTACATACCCTCCACCATGCTGTCCCCGTGCTGCCTCTCCTCTCACTGCGGTTTCTGAAAAGGGCCAGCATAAGCACCCGGGTTGCTTGCGCACCCTTCACTCTCCTGGTGTTGTGCCCAACACAATAAAATAAGGTTAACAACACAACACCGGATCTCCAAGCCGACAAGCAACAAGAACAATCCTGCCAAACCCACCGCGCACCAACCAAGTCTCTAGCCACCCTCTCCACCCTTCCTAGCGCACCTTCACTGCACGCTTGGCCCTAATGGAAGCAACTGGTTACAAACACGGATTCAAAAGACTCAGATTGCATTCTCTTCCTCTCGATCATTGCGTTTCCTCTAGCACCCCATGGCACCTCTTGGCATGGCGACTAGAAGGCCTATCTCGGCGCAACACGCCCACGGGCGATGCTGTCCCGCTGGGCTTGCATGCCCTGTCCACTCCCCTCCCTGCACCTCTCCTCACACCACGGTCAAGCTTGACCAAGTCTGACCAAGTATTAAAGCAAGGAATCTTCTTCCGACTCCCGCCAACCTGCGCCACCCAGCACTCACACCACAAGAACAACGACTGCCAACAACCACGTTTTGCTTGCTACTTGAGAGGCAGCCTGCATGCACAGCTCCTGTTCATTGGTGCATACGTACGAATTGTACGGCATACCTGGCTTCTCTCCTCACACATACTTGAACTTCTCCGACCACTTGTCCGGCACCAATTTTGCCCATCTCTACTTAAAAATGAAAACACACAGAGGACACCGAGCACTCACCTACCGGCCGCACCGCCTCCGCTGCCGCCCCTGCTGCATACCGGTAACCATTCCCCCGCCCCCCCGCACACCCTACGCCCCCGCCCCCGCACCCTCACCCGCCCCCGCACCCCCTGGCGCCACCAGCAGCAACCGGCAGCCCAGCTGTTGCGCCCCCGCAGCCGCCGCACCCGGGCAGGAGGCCTCAAGACTGTGTTGCTGGAAGCCACAGCTGCAGTACAGCCGGTAGGCCACCTGTGTGTACGACAACAGATACGGCAGCAAACAGCGCGGGCTTGCTTTTTCTTCAGCACACATTAAGTGACACGACGATGACGTGATGATGAGGAGGATCAAGCTAGGAGGAAACATCCTTAGCAAGGCAGTGGAAAAGACGAAAAGCGAGGTATCAAGGAGATGAAGAAGGGAAAAGCCGGCCTCGAAACAAGGCACCACGAACTCCCACACCCCCACACGTTCCGACTCGCGGCCAGTTTTCTTAATGCACACACACCCCATGAGTGCATCGCGCATGCTATGCATGAGCAGCACAGGAGGCCGAGCATGGCAGGCTGCGAGCATGTGCGGCTGCGATCATGGGCGGCTGCGAGCCTCCCTCACAGAAACGGGATGCATGTGGTCAGCAGCTCTCACCTCGTTGTCCGCCTCCACATGGGTATACAGCCGCGCCGCCCCCCACCGCCCCACCGCTCGGCTCATGGCGGCACGCATGAGCGCCCCACCCAGCCCCCGCCCGCGGGCCTCCTCCCGTACCACCAGATTGAGCAGGTAGCAGCCGGCCGGATCGTCCTGCGGGGGGGGCCCCGGGGTGCGGGTCGAGGAGGCGAGGGGAAAGGGGTGAGGAGGAAGACACGAGCTAAGCGTATGACAAGGCTGCACCGGGTGCATTGGGGTGTAAGATGGGAGAGGGGAGAGGGGGGAGCAGGGGGTCCACCGAAACCGAAGCGGAGCAGGGGAAGGATGAAGGGGAGCACTGCACGGATGGGACACTGACTGGTATTAAAGAGATGCGAGGTGGAGGAGGTGCAAGGTAAGGTCTGTGGGATATACGTGAGCCAAACACGTCCCCAGAACCCACACATGCAGCCCGCAAGCCTCCCCTTGCCTCCCTACCCCGGCCCAGCTCAGCCCTCCCCCTCCTCTCCCCAGCTCTGCCCTGCCCTCCCCCGCCCCCCCCCCACCTGCGGTACGCCGTGCGGGTGGGTGCCGTTGAGCGCTGCGGGCAGCCGTACATCGATGCAGCCCAGTACGGCAGCCGAACAGCGCTCCACAGCGACCTGGGGTAGGGCGGGGGGGTGACAGGAGTTGGGGACGGGGGAGGGTAAAGAGGAAACAACTAACTGACTGAGGGATAAGGCGTCAACATGGGGAGGGGGTCAGGGCGAGAGGATCGGCATGGGTTGCATGGTTTTGTTGCTGCGTGGCAGGTGTGCGGTGGGCTGTCGACGCATGCAGGCAGCTTGCACCCCCTTCCTCCTCCCATCGTTCCCTTCTCCCCCCTGCCATGTGCTGCCCTGTGTTTCTTCCATCCTTCCCATGCATGGGAAAGGTCGCTGTGCCCCTGTGCCACCAGCAACCGTGGCAAGTGACCGTGAGTGTCCATGCTACCCTCCTCTGCGCCCCCCGCATCCCTCCACCAGCAGCCCTTGCCCCCAACGCCCGCCCATCAGCCCACCAGACACTCCGAGTAGGGCTGCCCATGTCGTGACAAGATGGTTGTTCGTTGCTGCAACGACTCAACCTCCTGCTCAACGAACTTTTTCTTCAACGAGTTAACGAACCGCGACTGGCTCTCCTGTTGGAAGGGAGGACCGCATGCCCTTAATAACGCATCGCATGCATTGAGTGTTGGACGACCCATGGGATGTGAGACGAGACGAGAGGGGGGGGGGTGGCTGAGGTGCGGAGAGGTAGCATGGATGCATGGCCAAAGCGCGCCCCAAAGCCTCACCGCGTAGTAGGCGTCCGCCCGAAGTGTTGAAACCTGTCGTAGCTCGTCCAATGAACGGACATTTCGCACGGTTACTTCAAGGCCTCCAGAGAGTGTGTACGGCACTTCGTCGGGAACGGCTGTTGGCGAGGCGGGTGTGGGCATGCCTGTCGTATGTACAGCCGCCGTTCTTACGGCTGCCGTAGACGGTAGGGGAGAAGGCAGTGGCAGTACACGTGAGCCCCTTCTCCGTATGCTACTGCTGGTACTGCTGGTGCTGCTGCTCCTGTTGCTACTCGCGGAGGAGCAACGGTTCATGGGAGCAGCACCCGGCAAGCAGCGGGAGGGTGACAGTCCATGAAATAACATCCCGGATAAAGAGGAACGCGGGGTGGTGCCGGAGGCACAGCTTCGAGGCGAGGGGATGCACAACGGAGCAGCGTGGTGAAGGCTGGTGTCATCGAGCGGGCCCCATGCGATGTGTGTTGCAGCGCCCGTAACGCAACTGCCAGAGTCCCAGCGACTGTTCGAATACTTGTGTGGTGTGGTGGCGCACGAACAACGTGAACGTGTGGTGTTGAGTAAGTAAGACGCCGAACGCGGTGATTGACGTTGAACTGCGGTTTGCTGTGAATGTCCCTTGCAGACGCCACAATTTCCCGAAAGGTTGCTGTAGTTATTCCCCATCGCCTGCAAGCGATGTTGGAATTAGCGAGGAATTCTGGATGGACGGATGGCGAAAGCTGTAGAAGGAATTCAGCTGACATACCTGGAGCATACTGGTATTATAGAGGTTATTCTATTAGATTAGTCATTCTGCAAAGCGCGACGATAATACAGCTCTGTATGGATATGCTCTTGCCAACGCCAACGTCGCCCCGTTGGCTGCCAAGCCAGGAAAGATGTGCAAATGAACCTTAACACTATGAATTAGGCGCTTAATGGGCAGTTTATCTCATAGCATACCGCATACGCTAAGTAATGCCAGATTCCGTACTCGTACGTCCAATCAGCAACACACCAACGTCCCAACTGATTACCTTGCTTGTCAACGCCTAGGTGTCTTGATCGGCGCAAGTAACCGTGATACACGTCGGCAGTCTTGCTGCGCTAGAAGCTGAAATAGACTGCAGATACAGAGAGTCAGGATCAACGCTTAAAGTAAGCCGTGTACGGCTGCCGACTCATTAGGAGAAACCATCCCACCGGTCGGGAGGCGGTATGCCGATGTGCGGCATGCCCTTGGCAAGGCTATGCGCAAAGAAGGACGGCAGGCATGCAGGGGTAAGCGTGCTGAGCTCAGGTTAACCTAAGCCTCCAACCACTGCCGCAGAGAGCTCGCAATGTCCACAGCTAGCATTCACACTTACATGGCAATGAGTTAAGGCTCGTTGACATCCTGTGGCAGCGCTTTCTCCCTTGAGTGCAAGGCACTCGTTTGCGCATTGACATGCGCATGCACGGACAACCGGCCACGCGACAAAAGTAATTACAGTACAGAGAAGCCGTGCCCACCCACCTGCAAGCCATAATATGACCGATGGTCCCTCCACATAGTGTGCTTGCTTGCGAGCCTGATTCTCGTGCGTCGCCCATGCCGTCAACTGGGTACCGTCCCGACTTCACGGCGCTGACGTCCATTATGTATGACGTATATTGGAAACCTACACTGTGCATCATTCATAAAGCGACGGCATTAGTTGGCCGGACACCTATGGTGATAATGGGGCTCAGCTGGTGAAATCCATGAAATCCGCGGCATGGGTTCATAGCGTCACTAGAAGCCTTCGCCAGAAAACAACGTTATACCTTATCTAAAGCCATCCTTTCATCTGCCAACACTCCTATATAGGTATTAGGGATTTCGCACCTTACAGTCAATCATAATGTCCCTCTTTCAGCAGGCGCAAGAATTCCTGCTAGGGCCACAGGGACCTATAGCTATCGCAGTGCTGGTAATACTCCTTGGCGTACTCGTTGCTATTAAGTACCTCGTACGCGCTGGCGGTGTTGGCGTCTCAAAGCGTGCTTCTGGCGACCGGAAGCGCGGGAAAGCGGTTCCTAGTATGTCGGCTGCAACTCCAGCTGCAGCTAAGGCCCCAGCCAAGTCAGCAGCTGCAAACGGCGAAGATGATGACGATGATTCTGGCGGCAAGACGCGCCGCGTCAGGCGGTACGCATGAGTACGTTACCCTTTGATGTTTGTAAGCATAGCGCCTCTGAGCGCCTGTGGCTTTTACCGTAGCAAGCGAAGCGGCCTGGCTTTCTCTGCATGACCATCGCAAAGGCTTTGCTGCGCTTTTGGGGAGAACGTTTGTACGGTGCTCGGAGTACAGGACAATTTTTGCTATTCGATTTCGTATGCGCGATGTCTCCCAGCTGGTTATGACCCGGATGGTACGTAGTAAGAGACAGGGTGTATGTGTGTTCTCGAACGGCTTGGTTTTGGCGACCTTTCGCGACCTTTGCGTTGGCACTTTTATGAAGTGGCCTTCTAGCTGTGGTGAGGGCGTGGGAAGCCTAGTGGGTAGCATGATTGTAAGCTGCCAGCTGGTGGTGTTCAGGGCCTCCTACAGGGCCTCGGCAATGCCCATGCTGCTTGCGCACCTTCTTGCCCTTGGCTCTTGCCAGTTTCGGGGATTCGCACTGGTACCATGGACCAGGCCGTGCAGGGTGAAATCTCAGGTGGTTTTGAGCTTTGGAGGAGGCGCCGTGTTTGTTGTTTTCACGGTATGTCCTGCGGTGGGTGGTGCGCCTTGCTAGAGGAATAAACAACACTTCGGCCGACGGTGGAGGGCACACCTGTTAAGTTAACAGCTGATGGTGTTACTTCCCTGGTGTGCACTGTCCTGCGCGGCAGCAAAAGAGCATACCAACTGAACGCAGCAGCTGGTGTTGAGCTTGGAGTGCTCTGCAGCCCTGTCCTGTCCGCTTGGAGGAGGTCGCTCGTCCAGGACAGCCGGGTAATGCGGTTGGCTGCCTAGTGTGGTGTACTGGGAGGTGCAGAACGCGCCGGTCCTTGGTGGGCTGTAGTTCTCGAAAGGTGGAGGCACCTCGGGAGGGTGTGGCCCATGGGTCATGCACGTGATCTAAACAGTCATGCTCATTGCGGTGCATGGAACGGATCCATCGTTCGCCACCTGCGTTTTTTCAGCCTATGCAGCGGTGATGAAGAGTGCGTCGAGGTTCAGACCCGCGAGTGCTATGCTGTTTCAAGCTGCATGTGTTCGGTGAGGTGGTGCTGCCTGCTGGGCCCTATGCCGTGTTCTGCATGCATGCATGTCGTGGTTTGTGATGGGTGACTGGTGAGATATGTGCACTGTGGCCAGTCCGCCGCGGCCCCATCAAGGCCTGCATACACGCAACACATGTGGTTGCCGCGCTTGCTGGATTGGGGATGCTGATTGTTGCATGCGTGATGCATGGATTTGGGTCGGAAAATGGATGAAGCAACAGCCGTGTTGCGGGAAGGACGGTCCTTTTTCAGGGCTTCGCAGGATGAGGCTTTCTGCTGGGAGGCGCTGCTTTGGTGATGAGTGTAAGATGGTGGTTGTGTCCTCCGGTGGTTTGCACCGAACGTTGTACGAGAGCAAAACCAAGCCGGAAGTAGGGTTTGGTAACCAAATAAGCAGCGCATGCACCGTACTTGAATTTGCTACTTTACAAAGTCGCACGTACCATCACACCGTTGCGCCATTGAACGCCTTAAGTAGGCACGACGACACCGGTTCATAAAGAGATGAGGATGGTTTGTGGCGCCTAAAGGAGGGCGCCATACAGGAATACAGCAGCCATACACAGCAGCAATAAATTAACACAGGTCAGGGAAGACATGTGGATGAAGACCGTATCCTCACGGGAATACAATAGGTAAGGCTGGACATCAGGTGCAACAGGATACATTCCCATTCCTGCGCCTCAATAACCTTCATAAACCAGTAGTCTTGTACAGCACTAAGGGAACACCGGTAATGGCGCTAACGTCCCCAGCGCTACTTTAGTGCTTGAAAGGAAGTTAAAGAACTTCAAAAGACAAGGACGAGAAGACCAACAATGCTAGAGAGAAGAACCTGGATCAATGTGCTCCAACCGTCGCCGTACAACATTGATGCTTCCAAAACAAGTTAAGATACCGGTAGGTAGATCACAGCAGGAAGACCTTGTTTGGCAGTTGCTGTTGTGAAGTCAAGTATTAAGAAAGGACGAAAATCACAACGGCAGAGCAGCCAGTCAGTACCAATCTACCATACGAGCATGTTCATTGCCCAATCATCAGCCGTACTATCTGCATCACCCCCCTCACACTTCCCCACCCCCCTCTGCTGCCCCTCCTGCTCGCCCTAATCCACATGGCAGCAGCCCCAGCACTTCTCCCGATCTGCAACAGCTCCCGTTCAAGCCCCCTCACACACATGCCCTCGCGCATGTGCCCGTCCCTTCCCAGCGGTTCCAGCACTCCACCCAGCCCCTACCTGGGGCCTATTTAGGCGCCCTCTGCCCCGCAGTGTCTCCTGCTCCCTCACCCGCCACCCCAAGCAAGCAAGCAAGGTCCCGCTCTGCAGCCCGCAGCCGGCCCAGATGCCACTCCACCTGGAGGGAGGATGAGGGGTGGGGAGGAGAAGAGAGAGAGGGAGTGAAGAGGGGGATGGTTGGTTAGAGCCGGGATGAGGCGGAAAGGGGAAGGTAGAGAGCATTAGCCATTACCTCTGAATGCAGCCCACGCCATCCTCATAATCCCCATAACCACTGGCAACACAAGCCTAACAAGCCCCAGCCCAGCCCAACCCAGCTCCTCATTCGTTCACAACCCACCGGCAGACTGCTAATGCGCTGGAGCCTCTCCAGGGCCGTCTGGCCGGGCAGGCAGGGAAGCAGGGGAGGGAAAATGGTAAGCAAGGGGTACAACGGGATGTAGATAAGGGAAGGGGGCTGAAGCTGTCCAATGAAGGCCGGGGCAGACATCGGAGTGTCTGTTTTCATGAAGCTCGCAGCCGAGTCTAGACTCTGACGTTTTGAATGACGTAATTCCTCCCAACGGTACGGCTGAAGCCCCCGATATCAAGAAGGTATGCTATTCGATCGTAAATAACGTAACCCCCGGCCCCACACATGCTCGTACCTCGAGCTCCAACGTGTCATGCAGCCTCCCCAAGCGCTGAAGTAGCTCCGCCTCACACAGCCGCACCAACTCCTCCTCTGACACCTCCTCGCACCCTCCGTTGCTGCTGCTGCTGCATCCACCACTACCGTCACCGCCGCTAACAGCGCCTCCATTCGTGGCCACGGCCAGCGACGGCAGCGGCGAATCCTGTAGTGCTAATGACGATGGGGACTTGGCTGGCGGCAGCGTTGTTGATCCCAGGGCCGTTGGCGGCGGGACGCCTAGGAAGGATCCGCCGGAGAAGCCCCAAAGCGCCATTCGCCGCCAGCTGCCCTCCTCAGCTGCCAGCCCGGCTGCCCAAGCCCTCAACCGGTCCGCTGCTGCGGCCTGGCAGGACCGGCAGCCGCGTCTGTTGCAGCTGGCTGCGGCTAGCGGCTGTTGCTGTGCTGCTGCTGCTGGTGTTGGTGTTGCTGCTGCTGCTGTTGCTGTTGCTGGTATTGATGTTGTTGCTGGTGTTGGCGTTGTTGCAGGCGCCAAGGTACGTGGATAAACGAATGAAGTGTGGGGCTGCGCGGCAAGAAAGAGGAACGGTGGCAGGCAAGGGAATACCGTTTAAAAGTACTGGTACTGCCCTTCCGCGTCCCGACAACGCGACAAGCATTCCCCCAAACCATAACCTGCCCCCATCAAGCACCGACCCTCCCTTTAATCTTCCCTACCTTGGTTGCTCGATTACCAACCATACCAGCACCCCGGGCACGGAGGTGGGCCCCTGCTGCTGCTGCTGCCCCTGACGCCGAAACTGCCCTGCCCTCCTCGCACTCCTCCTGTAGCACCACACCGCCCTCCAGCTCCTTCGCCGCCTCCACCAGCTCCTCCGCACGAGCCGCAACGTGCTCCCGCAGCAGAACCTCACAGCCCCGCACGTGACGGCGCAGGGCCGCCCCAACCAGCTCCACAGCTGTCGGACGCCATTTGTCGTACAAGTAGCTTCGTTGCTCGTCCAGTAACAACAGGTTGGAGCGGTTAGAGTCGGTGGTTGTTGTACGGCTCCCGCTGCTGGACGTGAGTTGGTGCAGTACCCGGCAGCCCGCGTCCAGGTACAACTCCTCGGCCCTTTGGTTCGTTCACCAATCGTGTTGGGGTTCAGCAGGGAGCAACGCGCGTTTCGCTTACTACGTTGATGAAGTTTTTTACAAAGTACGAACGTGAAGACAGCGTTGGAAGGAGGATGCCTAAAGGCCAACAGAGGGCTACATAAGGCAAAGTAAAGGGCGAGTACATCAGCTGCAAAGTGAAACTTCTCTTTAACCACCACCCCCGTCCTGTCTCAACCTACCGTGCTGCAAACTGCTGCCGCGGGCAGGGTTGCCCGCGGCTGTCGGCGTGTTGCTGCTGCTGCTGCTGGGGTTGCTGTTGCTGTTGCTGCAGCAGCTGCTGCTGGGAGTGATGCGCAGCCAGGGCGGCTAGGTCTTGAATGGCCGTTGAGGAGGAGAGCCAGGAGGAGGGAGGGACAGAGGAGGAGGCGGGCGCTGAAGGTGACCCGCCGGGGAGCAGCCAGCCCCATGTGCCCTGAGTGGGGTGGGGCGGGGGGTAGTAACGGGGAAAAGATGTAGAGAAATGCATCAACGGAGTCCCAATCCCGAAACGGGGAGGGTTGGAGGAGGACGGAGGAGGACGCAGGGTAAGAAACGGGGAATAGGCATGCAGCCATGGTGCCTATCCTAGCAGCAACCCCCACCCTACAGGAAAAAGCCACACACGTGCAGTGCACCAGTAATCCTCCACCTGCCTCCAATGCAAAGCGCCCAAGCAGCACCAGCACCCTCCCCTATCCTCCTTCATCCTAAGCCAGGATCTATCCAACCTCTTTCTTTCGCATACGCAAAGACAGTTTTCCTAAATCAAAAGACAAACACTCACGTTGTCCATCACGTCCCGCAGTACGATGTACGTCTGTGTGTCGTACAGGTCGTACGGCGCCCCATGGGTCAGCAGCACGTGGGCGGCCCACAGCGCGGGGTCTCGGTGGGCGATGGGTCGGGCGCGCATGTGAGCTAGGGCTTGGGCTGCGTGCTTGGCTGCGGTGTGGGATAGTACGTGGAGTGAGACGGATGAGGTGGGGAAGATACAGGTACCGGTAGGTGTACAGCAGCAACGGGTTGTTCTTCATTGTAACCAAGTAACCCGTTTACCGTACTCCTCACCTGCAGGTGCCAGCGATTGAACCGCAGCAGCGTGTCCGGGTTGTTGCAGCCGCTGTTGTTGTGCGGAGCCCGGCGGATGCTGGTGCTGAAGGCTGCTGGTGCTGCTCCCATCACCTGTTTTGTCGAAGCTGCCGCAGTTGCTGCCGCTGATGTCTTTATTGCTGCCTCCGCCAATGTGCAGCAGCAGGGCGGCGAGGGCGGTGTGGAACTGCGGGGAAAGAAGGAAGATGGAAGGGCAGACAGCACCAGTGATGCAAAGGTGCGGTTATGGCGGGGCGGCTCTAAGTGTAACAGTCGAGCGCTGCGGTCAGGGTAGAGGCGGATGGGGGAGCGTCATCGCAATTCCTCTCCTAGCCAATCAGCTGGTTTCCCTAATAATACTATAGCATAGTGTAGTATAGTATAGCATGCCTACCCCCAACACCCCTAGCTATAAGCGCGCACCTTCTCCCAGTTCTTGCGCTTTGCTGTGGCGTTCGTCATTGTATGGTGCGTCCTGGGGGGTGTGGGGGCAAAGGGCCCAGTGCCCCCAGCGTCAGCGAGCAACCGTGTTGGGGTGATCGTCAGGTGGGGGACGGAAGGCGCATATGCAGGAGTTTGTGGTAATGCATGGCCATCGTGCTTTGCCTGTTGCAGTGTTGCCTTGGTGCTCGTTGCCTTTGCTTGTAAGCAGTCGCTCAGACGAACATGGGCAGCAATGATACGCGTCGTTCCTACCTAACAGGGGTGTAACAATCCCACCTGGCGTAAGATAGGGCCTCCTGCAGCGGGGATCTCGCATTGTACGGCGCCGCAGGGCCACCATCAGTCAGCGCTCCCCGCCTGATTAAGAGGAAGGCAACCTCCGCTTGGCCGCTGCCTGCCGCCAGGTGCAGCGGGGAGGCAAACTGGGACGGAGGCCGGTGTAGCAGCGGCGGCGGCGGCGGAGGAGGCGGAGGGCTTATGCTGTTGTTGTGGATGCTGCTGCTGGGGTTCCTGCTGTTGTTGTTGCTTACGGTGCGGGAGGTGGTGGTAGTAGTGGGGTTGTCGCTCGTGTAGGCGTTGCCGGCGGCAGGTGTTGGAAGGTCCGTGTGGGCAAGGATTCGCTTGATGCTGCTGCGGGGAAGATCAGGGAATGGAGCGCAGTGATGAGGGGCTTGGTGTGTGATGTGTCTTGGTGTGTGATGGCAAAGGTAGGTGTGGGCATGTCACGTATTATGACAGGTGGGGGAGGACGGAGGGGGGGACGATGAGCGCCGTGGGTACGGATACCAGCGAAGTAGGGAGGGAGGGAAGCATGGGGGGATGGAGCGCCTCGTAACGGACCGGCACAACCGACATCAACCCCAACCCAACCAGGTGCACAGCAGCCCCTCACTTACCTTTCCAGCAGATCTTGCGTCTGCCCCTGCATCGCCTGCCCCGCACCTGCCGCGCGATCCGCCTCCTGCGTTGCTGCCTCCGCAACCTCACGAGCCAACCGTGTCTTGACCCGAGGATCAGCAACCTGCGTAATGTTTGGTGTGGGTGTTAACCACATCACCAACAATAGAAGAAATCCGTTTGAATGGCGCTACCTAAGCAACCCTGAATCCATGTCCCGAGGCTGCTTGTAAGCCCGGTCCTTTCCAACACCTTCCTCCGAGCACTCCCGTACTCGCATACCTCTCGCCACCCAGCATACACCCAATCACCACCACTACCTACAACTTCATCCCCATCACCGCCCTACCACCATATCCCCAACAGTGCCTCCCCACGCTCACCTCACAATAAGCGTTCGGGTCAGCGCCTAGGTCCAAGAGCAACCTGCAGGGGAGGGAGGGGGTACAGCAAGAGTGAGAGGGGTACACAAGTACCGGTAGTAATCGGACCCTTCGGGGAAGGGTCCAAGGTAGATGTGATGGAAGAAGAGGTGGGTGTTAACGAGGAACAACAGCGGAAGCAGCAGCCGCAGCCGCAGCAGTGGCAGCAGCAGTGGCAGCAGCAGCAGCAGCAGGACGCAGCTTGAAAGAATGACTAACACACGTCAATACCTAGCAACATGCATGCATACATGCATGCATGCATGCCCTCGTTGACGGCATGCAGGACCACTCACTTGACCATTTCCCTCCTGCCGCTCAGCACTGCCAGTGCCAGCGGCGGGCAGCAGCAGCTGTCAGCCCCCGCCGCGTGTTGGGCCTCCCAGCCACCGTACAGGTAGGCGGGGATGTACGGCAGAGGCGTCCAGCAGTTCTGTTGTTGGAACAAAGGAGCGATAGCACATAAAGCATTAGTCGACATCAGTAGTCAAGTAAAGGAACGTAAGCAGCCGTCACGTTATTAGCAGTAAGCAAGCAAAACGTGGGTACCGTTAACAGTGACGCAGACCATGAGTCCTTGTTCTCACTGCATTTGGCTTGTGACCTCTGAAATACCCATACTGCTTCTTGGTCCGCATCCCCTTATCACATCCGCTCCCACTCCCCCACCCCTCCCAGGCCCTCCTTTCCCACCCAGAAGCACCCACGTGTATGTCCGCCCCGCATCTGAGCACCAAATGGGCCAGGCGGGCGGCGTCCCCACACACCGCCGCCAGCGCAACCGGACTCAGCAGCGGCGGCTGGGGGGCTGGCTGCTGCTGCTGCTGCTGCTGTCTTGCTACTGCTGCGGCAGCCGGTCCTGCTGACACAGTTGCCGCCGCCTCCGCTGCCGCCGCCGCCGCCTCCGCTGCTGTCGGTCCGACAGGCGCAAGGTCAGGGAGCGGTGCAGCCAGGAAGTTCACCTGCGGCAGCTTCTCAAGCAACATGTCGTACACGTGAGCCAGCCGGATGCTACAGCCGCCACTGCCGCTGTTACTGCTGCTGCTGCCACTGCTACGGCGGCTGAAGTGGTCCCGAGCGGTCATAAAGGCTGCGTAGGCTACGGGGGGCAGGCCCCAGCCGTCTGGGAGGTTGAGTAGGGGCGCGAGGCAGGATGAGAGGAGTGCGGCGACACAGGAGGTGCGGGCCAGACGAACGGCGTAGACCAGGGCGCTACAAGAGCAAAGTTCGGGCCTGTGGTGGTAACAAAGGGGAAGGGAAGGAGAAGGGGTAGAGGGGTAGAAGGAGGGTCAGCAGCAGGAAGAGCATGGGGGAAGGCTTAGGGTAGGTTGGTGAGGGGGCGGGTTGTGGATCGGTTGCTGATGATAGTTGCAAGCTTTGTACGGTACCGGCTTGTGAAGTTGTGATACAACCGGACCAATCGCACCTGATGGGCATGGGCAGGAGCTCCGAGGAGGGAGCATCAGCTGCCACATTCTTGCGGGAAGAAGTACCAACGGCCCCTCCCAGTGAAGCAGCCTTGCTGTCTGTGGTGATGACCCATGGGTCGCTTGGGTCCTGAAGCCGGGCTGCCTGTACGGCCAGTCTAGCCCTGGCCTCGGAAGCTCTCCACTGGCCGGGTCGGAGGGGGTACTCCGCGGGGGTGAGGCTCAGGTGGAAGAACTTGAGGTTCCTGCGAGCTCCGGGGCAGCGGGTTGGAGTTGGGTTTGGTTGGTGTGCGAGAGGCTTGTGGTGTTAGTTCACAGGAATCCTGTTCCGTAATTCTCGCAAGTGTAATCCGTAACTCCCAACCCTAAACAGGATCCTCCATTTGACGCACTCCTCATACTCCTCGCACACTCTTCACTCCTCACACCCTTAACCCGCGCACCCACAAAACCCACACGCCCCACCCCACCCCCTACCTCTCCCGCAGGTCCGCCCCCCGCAGCAGCTCCTCATCTCGCTCCGCAGGCGGCCAGTAGCGTCGTAGCCGCCCCGACAGCTCGTCAGCCAGCGACAGCAGCTCGGACTGCGAGGCGGGCTCCACGTCAACCTGCGTCGACGACAGGGTATGAAATTGGCATTGTTGTCAGGTCGACAGGTCGACATGAAGACAGAACTAGTGACGCCCGTGTGGTGGTTTCATGGTTGACAGGACGGCGTGAAAAGGCTTAGGGGCTATGTTAGTAACTGGCATGTCGCATCAGGTGACGACGGTGACGTGCATAACAGCCAAACAGTGTCGTCACAAGATGCAGGTCTGGATGGTTGTGTTGAGAAGCCTCCCCACGCGGGCTACTTCTTACCAGTTGCTCGTCCATGTACCGTGGAAAGCCCTTGTAGCGGTTGCTTGTGCGGAAGTACGGATCCGCACTAATGCTTCCATCATCTCCCTCCCCTGATGTCGAATCCACGGTGTCGCTGTCACTGCAGCAAGCGTTACCACTACCACCGTCACTGCCATCCGCATCACAACCGCTGCTACCGCCACCGCTGCCACTGCCGCTGCCGCAGCCACCATCGCTGCTGCCCGTTACCTCCTCCTCCCGAGCCTCAGCCACAGGGCCCCCCGCAGCGACCTCCTCCGCCGGCTCAATCTCCGACCCCGCAGCTGCCTGAAGCTTCCCAACCCGCCCGTATTGCCTCTGCTGCACGTCACCCCCTCTGTCCACCTCCTGCCTCACCACCTCCTCCCTTCCGCCCTTCCTAGCAGGCAACGACGCCGACGTCAGCACCGACGGCCGCGGCAGGGGAACGATCGGCGCCAACACGATCGGCTGCTGCGCCCTCGCTGGATCCACCAACCCGGCCAACCTGGGTGCTGCCGTCGTCGTCATTGACATAGACGGCGCCCTGCTAGACAACGTTGGTAACATGCCGGGAGGGATGTGTGCCAAGGGGGCGAGGGAGCCCGCCCGGCCGCTGCTGGGAAGCGTCGCCTCAATCTCCTGGGCTCGTTCTCGGACTAGGGCTCGAATAGGGCCCAGCAGCAGCGCGTCTTGGGCGTCGGAATGCGCGCGCATGAGCGCTTGCGTCCTGACACGAGCCAGCGAGGGCAGCTTGCCGAGTGTCGCCTGCGGAGGACGCTGCTCGGCTGCTGCTGCTGCTGCTGCTGCTGCCGATGCTGATCCTCCGCCGCCGCCGCCGCCGCCGGCGCCGACGCCTCCAAGTACTGGCGCTGTGCTGACAGAAGGCTGCAGCTGCAGTGGGGGGGAGCTACCGGTTCCAGCAAGTGCGCGTGTGCCAGCAGGGGCAGCAGGGGCAGCAGGGGCAGCAGGGGCAGCAGGGGCAGCAGTAGTCGCAGTAGTGGCGGCTGCCGCTGCCACTGCTGCAGCTGCCGCCTTCTCAACCTCCGCCGCCGCCGCAGCCTCCCTCGCGGCTCGCTCGTCCTCAAACTCCTCCTCCACCTGCATCCGGGCGATGGTGGGGGTGGGGGTTAGGTGGTGAGGTGGTGAGGTAGGGAATTCACGCACGCTGCTAGACTGGACTGGCTACCCCCGCCCTAACACACATGCATGGGTCAAGGAACTGCCCGCATGAGGTCAGGGAAAAACTCAGCTTGAACAATACCACCCCGTTAGCCATACCCAACCACCGTTAGCCATACCCCATTCCAGCCGTAGGACATCCAAACCCAAACGCTGCTTCCCACCTCCAGGGGGCAAGGTACTCGGTCCATATAATCTCCTGCCCAACGGGATCCCGTTACGTCAGGCGTGAGCAGCTGCGGGGAGCCAATACCGATCGCCGCCGCCACCGCCGCCGTTGCCGCCACCTCCGTTGCTGTGTATGCAGCAGCCGCCGCTGTCACTGCCGCCGCCGAAGCCTCGGCGCTTGCGTCGGCTGTGTTCTTGTGTTTGGCTAAAACCGAATCCGGGTCGAGTAGGTGCGGTGGTGGTTCTTCCGGCGCGTCGTTAGCGGTTGGGTCGGTTGTGACCAACTGACACATGTCGCCGCCGTAGTGAGCCCACAACCGAATGAAACCCGAGGTGCCTGTTGGGGGCGTTGATGGTGGCGATGATTAAGTAAGGTGGATACGGTATGACAGGTTCTAGGTTCCAAGTGCGCCACGCGATATCAATCAACCCGGGGCAGCAGGCCAGCAGCGCACAACGCACCGTATCTCACAGCTCGGTGTAGCAATCCCTCTCCTCGCACGTCCACACAGGGCTCAGGAGCCGCGCCCATGGCCACCAGGGCTGCAGCGCAGGACAGGCTTTCAGGGCGGTCCAAACGCAGGCAGTAGCTCAATACGGAGTGACCCGCCGGGTCGGTGACCCGTGGGTCGGCGCCGCGGTTGAGAAGCGCTTTGATTGCGTTGAGGCTGCAGGCCCAGGCTGCGTACATGAGGGGCGTGAGGCCCTCGCCGCTGCGCACGTCGACCTCCATCTGAGAGCGAAGGAGTGCAAGGAATGGGTAAGGCACACAGGAATGGAGAGATGGGAAGGAGGGAGGCCAACAGAGAAATACGAAGCATGGGGAAAGGAGGGTTAGGTAGGAATCGGGGAGAAAAAGGAGCATGCGTGCGTGTGCGATGGCGAGGATAGGAGGAAAGGGAGTACATGCCAACAACAAACCCGTATGAGAAAAGCGGCTGTAACGGCTCTAGTTTTATGTCTCCTATCTAGGCGGGCTTGCAGCCCTTCTCACCTTGACAGTTTCCACCAAGTAGTGGATCATGAAGGCATTGTCGTACAGCGCCGCCACATGGAGCGGCCCCCTCGCGGCCTTGGATCCATCCGTACAACGATCCCACTGCAGCGCGGGTACGACACAGCCTCCGCTGCCGCAGCTGTTGCCGTACACCCCACGTGGCGCTGCCGTCAGGGCTGCCACGACCTCATTGGCAAAGCCGGAAAGCGGTGTACGGCATATTGACATGAGCGGATGGGAGGATCCGCTTTGCTTTTGTTGGAGGAGGATAGCACGCGTGGAGCAGGGTAGGGCACACGAGAGGGAAGAGAGAGCAAAAGCAGAAAGGAGGGGGAGGGGATGAGATGACAAAGGTGTAGACGGGATGGTCACAGGTAACGCCACGCCCGGATGGATCGACTTGTACCGCACTAACTGCCTGTACAGCAGTTCCCCTAGATACAATGCCGTAAAAGTACGGCAGCAGTACATCCGTACACGGTCATCACCTCACCTGCAGTACCGCCCCCCTCTCCAGCAGCATGCGGCAGATGGCCGCATCCGCTGCTGCGGTGGCGGGGGAGGCGCCGCGCAGGCAGCGTGCTAGCGGACTGTCCCCTCGGTGGTTGGCCTGCGGGCGGGATTGCGGGAAGGTGGGTGACCTAGATTGGAATGGCTGCTGGGGGTACTGCAAGGGTTGAGAGGACTCGTTGCATACATGCAGTGTGTTGAAGTGTACAACGGCGTTTTCGGAGGGCGAAGCAGCAGGAGGTCGCGCAGGATAAAGCACGCCGGAAGAGGACGGAGGAAGGAGGTGGGCACAGGAAGAAGCAAGGCATGGTTAGATGATATAAAATAACCCTGCTTGCTTCCTCCCTCCTTGCTTGCTTCCTCCCTCCTTGCTTGCTTCCTTCCTCCTTGCTTGCTTCCTCCCTGCCCGCTGTCCAGAGCCGCAAATAAAAGAGAAGCCCCAACCCGGCGCCATGATTGGATGCGTGTTATCTGGCCGTTCCATGATTTCTTCCACCGCATCTTGAGCCACCCGTCATCACCTGGTTGGGGTCGTGTCCCAGGTCCAGCAGCCTCTCCACCACCCCAGCCATGTGGCTCCGAACCGCTAGCAGCAGCGGCGTCTCCACCATCCGCTGCTGTTGCTGTGGTGACAGGTGCCAGCAGTTGGAGTGGAGTCAGATGGAGTGGCGGGGGAAGAGGGATTGAGAGAGTGTGTGAGATGTACAACCGGTAGTTAGCTGGGGACGGCCCGGTCGCGGTTGCGGTTGCGGGTGAGCGGGCACAGCACACGCGGCACATGCAGGGCACGTGCAACCCCTCCCTGCACAATGCCACCACACTTAACAGCGTGGAAGTCGTACACAAGCATCCACGTATCGTACCATGACGTGTTTAGCTGCGTCCTGGGGCGCTATGCGGTCCAGCACCCATAGTGCGTCCTGCTCCGCCTGCTGCCCCGGCCCCGCTCCCAGCACCAGATGGTAGGTGGACACACCCGCCTGGTTGGGGGCCTGCAGGGGAGGAATGCATGGAAAGGGGGGGGCCGCATGGAGGGGCTCGCTCATGGGAGGGGTGCCTCTGTAGGTTTGGGGTGCCTCCTACGTCGTGAAGAGCATGGCCGGTAGTAAGAGCCGTGCCGGTAGGGAGCTCTGTAGCAGCGGAGACATGCCCTGAGCCATGCAGGCCAGCGACCTCGCCCCCCACTCAGGCGTCTCAGCCCGCTTCTTCCTCAGGTACAGACCAAACCAATCGCTCCCTCACCCTCTCCCCTGCCTCACCAGGATGACTTTCCCCGGGTTAGCCGCCCTCTCCAGCAGCATCCCCACCGCCTCCCCGTGTCCCCGCGCCGCCGCCAGGTGCAGCGGCGTGTTACCTCCCACATCGCGGTAGTGCGGCTGGAGGGTGGGCCGGCCCCAGTCGATGAGCAGTGAGCAGAGCGGCGCATGACCTAGTGGAGGAGGTGGGGGAGGCGTTGACGGGGGAATGTGACCGGGGCGACGTACGGTATTACGACCCGGATAGCCGTGCATGAGCCCCAAGCGCCAGTGGCCGACCGAGTCATATGGTGGGGCGGGGTAAAATTGGTAAGGGAGCAAGAGGAGGGAAGCAGGGGCCGGGAGAGGGCGGCCATGCAGCATGATCCAGCCCTCCTACCCACACGTTCTCACCTTTGGCTGCCGCGTAGTGGAGCGGGTTGCGGCCCAGCTTGTCCCGGCAGGTCAGCGGGTCCAGCGAGGCGCCCGGCAGGCGCAGCAGGCAGCGCACCAGCGAGGGGTCGCCCGTGGCAGCAGCCAGACAGAGCGGAGGGATCTAAAGGGGCGTGAACAGCGGGTGGGTGGGTGGGTGGGTGGGTGGGTGGGTGCGGCAATACGGTTGGCGGTAGGGTTTGCTTTCGAGGGAGGCTGCAAGCGGCAGGATGTTATGCAATTATTAAGGACGTTTTGTTCCGTACATTCCGTAAAAAAGAACGCTAGAGCCTCTTTGTCCCCCCACATGGGCCTCTCTCCCTTCCATCCTTCTCCTCCATCATCAACACAACCACTTCTACGCCACATCCTCGTGTATCACAACTGTGCATCACAACTGTCTGTTACCTGCGGTTACCTTACACACTTTAGTTACCCCAGATTGCCAAGAACCGCGCATCTACCTGCTGCTCAAACACCTGCAGCCCCCACGCCGCCCCCCTCCCCAGCAGCCCCTCCACCAGGCCCTGCAGCGGCGGCCCCGCTAGCAGCCCCGCAGCGCCGTACTGCAGCGCCCAGCCCAGCGGCGTCTCGCCGTCCTCGCTGCGGATGTTAAGGGCCTGGGGGGCGGGGCGGGTGGGGCGGGGTGGGTAAAACATAAATAAAAAGTGATGCAAAGGAGCCCCAATCCCAAATCCCGACTCATGCAGTGAGCGCAAACGGGGGGGGTGTAGGAATGCAGGAGGCTGTGTGGGGCCCCGTTGGGCAGGAAGAGTAGGGGAGACGGGAGTAGAAACATTGCAAATCCGTCCCCACTGCGAGTAGGGGAAAGAGGCACTTGCGAATGTGCGAACCCCAAACGGCACCCGTACAACCCAAGCCAGCCAGCCAAGTAGCATAGGCTCGTTGCCAATCCCTTCCGTGCCGTACCGTTTGCGAATCTCGTGCTCGTTCGACCAGCTGCTCCAAAAGATCCCACCAGCCGTACCGAGCTGCTGCCGTACAAGGACCCACTCCCGTACAATCCGTAAGGCCCACATCGATTACCGTTGCTGCAGTTGCGGCAGCGTTTGCTAGTGCTGCTGGCGTAGCAGCAAGACTAGTGCCACTTAGGGCGCATGTTGCTTCTGCTGTTGCCCCTGCTGTCACTCCCCCGGTTGGCCCTTCGAAGGACCCTCCTGCTCTTCCGCTTCTTGATGCTGCTGCTGCTGTCTCATCCGTCGCTGTGCTTTTAGCGCCCTTTTGCGATGGGAGCCTTAGGTCCAAAAACCAGGTGGCCAGGCGCTTGCGGCCCGCAAGCATTACAGACAGCAGCGGAGTGGTTCCGGAGTCATCTGTACGGCAGGGGGGACAGAAAGCAGGAGAAAAACCACACGGCGGTAGATACGGGGAACAAGCGGACAGTGCCAACATCCATGAAGACGTGTTTTTGTGTGCGGGTGGTGTCTGGTGTGCAGTCACTGCATGCGCATGCATGGTGACTCCGGTATTCATTTAGGGTATTGACGCAATGTATGTGGGGCTTCTGGAAGTGTTTTGACCGTATTTCCCATACCTCGCTTGCGCGAAGTAGGGCTGTGCATGTGTAAGCAGGGGTTAACATACCTTGCGCATTCACATCGGCCCCATGAACCAGCAGAAGTGTAACCACTAGCCGCCGACCGGCCTGGAGTGCGCAATGCAGGGGTGTGACGCCCCCAGCGCCCCGGCTGTTGATGTCAGCGCCGTACAGCAACAGCAGCTCCACACATGGCAGTGACCCGCGGGTCGCGGCGAAATGCAGGGCGGTGTGGCCTGTGGGTGTGAAGGGGAGGCGTGGGCAAAATGTGTAAGGCTAGTGGGGCAACCGTATCGGGGTATGGCAGCTCGGGGAAGGGAGGAGAAGCTCGCGATGTTCATGCGTACATCGGGCCGACGGAATTAGGTGCGTGTTGGATTAGGACTTGGGTCATGTCTAGGGTCACGTTGGGAAAAGTAGGCAGAGTAGAAACAGCGGGGGTTTTGGGATATCCGCCGGCTGGAACGCTCTCACAAAACTTCTAGCTAGAAGTTTGGCAGTAGCTCAATATACGTAAATAATGGTTAGTCTACTGTGGATTTCAGCAAAAGGACTTTTCGAGCAGGGAGATCGGCAAATAGTCCGCTAGGCATCCCGATGTAGGCTATGACGCTAGCTCGTCTCAAACTCGACGTTTTACACCACTGGAGCTGAGAGGGAGCGAATGCATTCGCTTTTATTATGGTGGAATTTCCAGGCGCTTACATAAAGCTGGTCGACAGCCGGGCCCCAAGTCGCATGGCGGATGCCAAAGCTTACGTTCTTGTATGTTTTATAACATTTCCGCTGGAGAGTAATGTAGATGTAAGTACGTTATATTTCTTCATCAGTCATACATGAACAAGCGATGTGGGCAGTCTTGTCGCATGATGGAATCTATCCTGTATCTACATAATTCAGTAACCCACTTCGCCTCTTTAAAGTAAAGCAACTGTATTAGTGGTTCCTAAGTGCTTCGCGCTTTTAGAATAGAGAACCTGGCCTAACCCGCTAACGTGCGAAGGCCCACCTTCCTCCTCGGGTACTCCTTCGTTCTTCTTCGCTCCACCTCGAATGTCATTCGTCTGCAAGCGCTTTAATAGCCTTTCCAACTCGGCACTATCGCCAACTTTCGCCGCGCGTCGGAGGTTCGCTGGGTCGGCATTAGCTTGACCGACCGCTTGCGAATGCGGAACGCGGCCATCCGAGATTAAGGACACGTTGACAACGGTTTGTTGCTTACTACAGCTGCTGCCCATGATTCTATCTCATACTGAAAAGTGTAACGGTACGCTAGGATAAGAGGTCAAAGAGTAAATCCTTGTAACGCACGATACGGAGTATGGGCTGGTATCGCACATGAGTGAAAGTAAAGGTTGGGATAAAGCGGTTGCCTTTGTAACGTACGGCAATGTAATTAACCGCTAATCTCGGTAGGGAAAGACACTTACCGGCCGCGGGCATCTGTAGAACCCGTAGAGCACCAGTTCAATGATGGGCAAGAGCGAATGGAGCTTAGAAACAGTCATGGGAGCAATGGACGGAAGGCAGCAGAGTAGGAAGGTGTCGCATGCTACACTGTCTCTGTGCCATCTTTCCCTTTGTTGTGGGGTCCCTGTTAACGCACAGTCCTCAAACACGATAACGCCGGTACTCGAATTCGTCAACAAGCCTCGCCGCCCTTCTGTACCCTGCAGGAGGCCCCTTTTGCCCATTTGTGTGCGGCAAACCCCAGTCCGTGCGAGCTGAAAACGCAGCCGTTTCTTCCGGCCTTGCGAAGCTCTGTGGGGTCACATCCTTACAGGAAAGCCATGCGAGGTAGGCCTTGCTGCACGCATGCTGCATAATACCCACGAAGCCGAGACGACCCAACCCGGTAACAGCCACAGCAGTGTCCAGCTTACATTTACCGTACACGTTTACCTTTTTACCGTACAAGCTATCCATACACATGCTCACATGTAACTTGCTACCGTTGTAGAATCACACCGGGCTTTCTCACGGAGCCCTCCTCTCGCGGCACGAAAGCACTTTGCCCCATTTTGTCTCCCGTATTGCAGGCGAAGCTACGCGCGCCCCTAACAAGCAGCAACCCAAGGCAGGTCTGATACACGCACACCGCGTTCGCTACCATCCACAGTCCGCCTTTTTAGCGTTGGCAGCGCAGGTAGTTGAAGTCTTAGTTAGAAGTCACCAAAGGGTCAAGTTGTTGACCTCCCAAGCGCGAGGCAAAACACCAACATGGCTTTCGGCTGCACTAAGCAATGGATTACCCATACACGACACATGCCCAGCCCAGCCAGCTAGCTGCATGAGGTGTATCATGGAGAGCGTCACCAATAACCCCATGTGTGCGCCTTCGGGCCCCAACCCGCATGTGCAGCATTCGCCCACACCAGCTGAAATCCCCCCTGCCCTCCATGACGACCGAGCTCCCCACATACCTATACAGGCAGCCTCAGGCCCCTGACCTTCGACTGACTGCAGCCCCCCTGGTGCCCCAACATGCCTACTCCTGATACCACCAACCCCTCAACACTTTGCCACATACGCACAAACACGCACGCGCTCTCCCTCTCTACCTCCATCAAGCACTCTCCTCCTACGACAGGGTACACAGCACCCCTACGCCTCTTCATGCCTCCTGCCGCACCCAACCCTGCCTACGCACCTCATGGCGTTTCTCCTTACCCCACCCCTGTCAGCTCTCTCGCTCTCCTTTCGCTCTCACTTCTTGAGCGACACGGGCTTGGACTCCTTGAGCGTGACGGTGCGGTTGAAGACCAGTGACCCAGGGGTCGATTCCGGATCCACGGCAAAGTAACCCAACCGCTCGAACTGGAACCGGTCGCCAACCTGCAGGAGGGTTGGGTTGGTTGGGAGTTAGTCGCGGCTCGTGTTAATGCGAGGCGAAACGAAGGCCCCGAAACGCTTAAAACACTGATTCTTCACCCACCGCGACAGTGCCTCCTACCACCCCCATCGGATCATGGTACCAGCATCATGTACTCATCGCCAGCGCCACCTCTTCGGCTTTTACCCTAGTTGGCTACAGGTATATCTGCCACGCTCGCGGCCTCACCTTTGCGGCCGCTAGTCGCGGCGTCATGACGCAGCCGCTCAGCTTGAGCAGCGAGTCGGGGTTGAGGTCCTCCAGCCAGGCCTCCAGCGCACCCGGGTCCTCGCTCTTGAACAGCGTGTCGTACAGCCTTCAGGGTGGGAGGGAGGGAGGCGGGAGGGAGGGAGACGGGAGGAAGTTGAGAGGAAGAGACGGAGGTGTGTGTGTTGGGGTTCGATCGCATCACGCATAAGTCGTTTGGGTTGAGCACAGCGGTAGGGTGAAAGCGGTGCAGAAACCGCCCGTTACCGAACCAATGGTTTCCTTGTACCGGCATGCCGTCAGTGTCGGCACAAGCGCCCCCCGCCCCTAGGCCCTTCCAACCCTCTTCCAATCCCTTGACTCCTGCCTCTTCCAATTCCCTTGGCTCTTCCCCCCCTTCCACATCCCCCCCCACCTGGCCTCGAAGGTGGGCGGCTCCTGCCCGGGTGCGGGCTGCGACACCCAGTTCAGCACGCCCTGCAGCAGCAGCAGCGGGAGAGGGAGGGGGAGGGGGAGGAGGAGGGGGGAGGATCATCGCTGTTGACGATAGCAGATGGAAAGGGGGGAAAGAAGGCGAAGACCACCACCACGCTGGTATCGATAGCAGCGGCGGAACGGCGGGGCAGGACGCAGGAGTGGGCGGAAGGGTCGCAACCCAGGGATTTGCCCCTTTAGCCCACCCTAAACCCACACGTGCCCAACCCCCTACCTTTGGCGGCTTGCGTCCCGCCTTGTAGTGGTCTGGGTCGTAGGTTGCCTCCAGCTCCACCACCTGGCCGGTAGCGGGATCCTGGCGGAAGGAGGTGCAGGTGATGGGGTAGGCGTACCTGGGGGGGAGGGGGAGGGGGAGGGACAAGGGGTGAAGATACCGGAAGAGACATGTGAAGCGCCGGAATCCAAACAACCTCGCAAAAGGGACAGGGAAGGAGGGAGAGGGTGGATTGCGGTGGGACGGTTGAGCGGGTGGCCCGCGTAAGAGAAAGGGTGAGAGCGTCTTTCCAAATGAGATTGAGGCGACTTAAGCCTTCTGACCCGCCGGCCTTCTGCCTCGCAGCCCTCCTCTACCCCCATGCCCCGCCTCACTCCCCCGCCTCACTCCATTGCTTCACTCTTCATTTGTTTTCCCCCTCCCTCCCTCCCTCCCTCCCCACCTCCCTCCCTCCCTCCCTCTCTCACCGCAGCATGACGGACTTGCCGGGGGCCAGTCCGTAGTAGTCCTTCTCGTCCTGCGGGGGGAGACAAGGGGAGGGCCATGCAGAAACACACAAAAGGTTAACAGAGGAAGAACCAGAGGGGGACCGAAGGCGGCGAGGCTACACAGGAAGACAGGGCGGCTCTGTGCCAAGTAGCCCTCCCCTCCGGCCTCTCTCCTCTCCTCCTCCGCTCCTGCCTCCCCCCCACAAAAGCCAGTTAGTTACTTCCTCCCTTCCCCCACCTTGAGCCTGAAGTCCGTCGCCTCGATGTACACCACCCGCGTGAGGGGCACCTTGTAGGCTTCGCTGCCCTCGCGGCCGGGGAAGGTGCGCGCCTCCACCTCCTCGAAGTGGTCCGCGGGCATGTTGGTGATCACAACCTGGGGGGGGGCCGAGAGCGGGAGGGGGGGAAATATGAAGTGCAGCAAGGGAAGCAGGGGGGGGAGCGGGGGTAAAACGAGGAAACTAACGAGCTGTATGGCGAGGTCATCTCCCACTCCCTCCCCCCGGGGCCCACCGCCCCCCCCCCCCCTGTCTCATCATATATATATTTTTTTACCCCTACCTTTGTCTTGTGGCGCCCTGCCAACTCCTATCCCCGTTGCTTTGCCCTAACTTGTGGTCTCCTATGGTTTGGTATGGTCTTTGACCCCCCCTACCTTGAGCGGCCGCAGCACCGCCAGAGTCCGCGGCGAGGTTGCGTCCAGCTCCGACCTCACGTGGTGCTCCAAGCGGTGCAGTGCGATGATGTTCTCATTGCGCGTGATGCCAATGTCGCGACAGAAGGCGTTGATGGAGGTGGACGGCACGCCGCGACGGCGCAGGCCTAAGGGCGGGGGGGCGGGGGTGGGGGTGAGACGGCCTTCACTCAAAGACACCCCTCCCATCCCTACCCCTCCTCTCTCCTCCCCCCCAACACACATTTTAACCCCGCCGCCCCCCACCCTTCAGTGTCTCATTAATTCTTACTCTCTTTCCCCCCCCCCAACCCCAGGCCCTCCCCCCCGCACCCGCCAGCGTGAGCAGCCGCGGGTCGTCCCAGCCGTTCACGTAGCCGCCCATCACCAGCTTGTTGAGCTTGCGCTTGGACATAACGTTGTAGGTGATGTTGAGCCGCGAGTACTCCCACACCACCGGCTTGTACAGACCCAACACCTCCAGCAGCCTGGGAGGGGGGCCAAAGGCCGCACCGAACCATAGGAAACCACAGGTTAGGGCAAAGCAATGGGGATAAGACTCATAGGAGGCGGCAGGGTGCCACAAGAGAGCCCCTCCCTCTCTCCCTCCCAACCCCTTCCCCCTTTCCCCCCTTCACCCCCTCCCCCCTTCCCCCCCTCCCTCCCACCCCCCCCCACCAGTAGTATGACGCCCTCCGCGTCTCGAACTCCAGGGTGCACAGCGAGTGGGTGATGTCCTCCAGCGAGTCCACCAGGCAGTGAGTGTAGTCGTAGGAGGGGTAGATGCACCTGCGGTGGGGAGGGGGGGGGAGGGAAGTAAGTAAGTGAGAAGTGAATAGGGAAGCGGGTGAGGAAGCAGGTGAGGAGGGCCTCTCCCCCCTTTCGCAGTCTTTCCAGCCTGTTGCCAACACCTCTCCTCAGGGCGCATGAGCTGCAGAACCCAACCACCCCCCTCCCAACCACCCCACCCCCCACCCCTTACCACTTGTCCCCTGCGTGCGGGTGCGGTGTGAACTTGATGCGGTAGGCGATCAGGTCGAACATGTTGTAGTTCTCGTTCCTGCGGGGGGCGAGGGAGGGAGAGGGAGAGGGAGGGCAAGAGGAGAGAGGAGGGATGAGATAAACTGAGCCGCGGCAACACTGACCCTGACCGAGAGAGGAGGGAGAGAGGAGGGGAGTTGGGGAGCAACCAAACCACTACAAGGGCGATGGGCAGAGAGGGAACAAGAGGGAGTGAGGTATCGGAGGAGTGGGTGAGGTCAAGATTGGCGGACCCATTTTCCTTTCCCCTCCAACCCAATCCTCATTCCCCCGCGCCCCCACCCCAACCCAACCGCGCCCCCACCCCAACCCAACCGCGCCCCCACCCCCCCAACCATTCATTCAGTTTGTCAGTGTTTCTTTATTTTTACCCCCCCAACCACCCCCCAACCATCCCCCCCCCCAACCCACTTATGGTCCATCTTCATTCGCAGAGTGGCCTTGCCCTCCTCCACAAGCCCCCGCCGCATGTCGTCGAACAGCCGCAGGCTCTCCTCAATGGGGCGGTCGCGCCAGGGGCTGGGCTCGCGCTTCTCGCGGCTGGCCTCGATCTCCTCCTTGCTCTGGTGGCACACGTAGGCGTGACCGCTCTTGATGAGCTGTACGGCGAGGTCGTACAGCGCCTGGAAGTAGTCGGAGGAGTAGGTGATCTTCCAGGGTTGCCAGCCCATCCAGCTGGGGGGGTGGGGATTAATTTGGAAACAGAATCCGCATTACGCTGGATAGTTGGGATAGCAAATAATTGTAGTTGTTGTATAGTTAGTAGCATCAATCAATAACAAATAAGGGGAGGGAGAGGAGGGAGGGGGTGGGGCGAGTAGGGGTTAGTAAGTAGAAAGCAGGTAGGGGGAGGAAGGAGGGAAGGAGATGGAGGTGGGTGTAGCTGCCTGTAACGCAGCAGGCGGAATGCAGGGGTGAGAGGGTAGGCGGAAGCGTAGTGACCCTAGTGCGTGAGCCCCCCCCATGGCCCCTCCTCCTCTCGCCTCCTCATTCACCCACCTCACCCCACCCCACCTCACCTCACCTCGTTGCAAGGGCCTCACCCACCCACCCCCTTCTCATTACATTGGGAATAATACCTCCCCCCCTCGCCCCACCTCACGATCTCCTCGATGTGCTGGATGTACTCCAGCTTCTCCGCCTCCGGGTTGGTGTCATCGTAGCGCAGGTAGCACTGCCCGCCGTAATGCCGGGCCATGCCGAAGTCAACAAACATGGCCTGCGAGCGGGAAGGGGGTTGCGGGGAGTTGAGGGGGTTGCGGGGGGTAAAAAATAAGATAATGAGACCTGACGATGCTGCGGGGGGAGGTAGGGGGATGAAATAAACTGAGCCGCGAGGAAACACTGACCGTGACCATAGGAAGACCCGGGGAGGTTGGGGAGGTTGCGGGGCATAAGAGGGCACAAGAGGGGGCAGGGTTGAGGGAGTCAGTCACCACACAGGCTGCTACCAGCAATGCGGGGGCTCCTTGTGGAGACCAACGTTGTTTACCGCCATCTCCCCCCCCCTCAGCGCCCTTATACCTTTGCGTGCCCGATGTGCAGGTAGCCGTTGGGCTCGGGCGGGAAGCGCGTCATCACCTTGCCGCCCGTGCGGTCCAGGTGGGCGGACAGAGCCTGGGACAGCGGGGCAGGCAGACAGAGAAGGGGAGAGAGGGGGTCAGGCAAGCGGTCAGATAGAAGGATGGTGACATGGTGCCCCAGGAGGTCAGGGAGCGCAACCAAACAGCGTTCCAAAGGGCGACCCAAGTTAGGGCAGCCCAGCACCGTGCACCGTCGCCTACCTCGTCCTCCCTCCCTGGCCACTCGGGCAATCCCCCTCCCCAGGCCCCATGGGGTCGGGCTCAGTCACACCACCCGGCAGCCCCATGCCCCCCATGTCAGCCCCTCCCCCCACTGGCTTGGCTATTTCGGGCCGGGCGGGTCGGGCTGGCTCGCATGTTGCAAGCCATGATGGCGCCTTACCACACGGTCAGTTAGTTGTTTCCTCTCTACCCCGCCCCCCCAGCCCCACCTCCGGCGAGTTGGCGATGCGCATGATGCGGCCGTCGGAGAAGTTGACGGTGGTGTGCACCCCGTTGTTGACCTCGGGCTTGGGCAGGAAGGAGTAGGGGTCGTCGGGGGGAGCAGCGGCGGCGGGCTGCGAGGGGGGGAGGGGCAGGAGGAGGAGGGGCGGGGGCAGGATGGGGGGGGGGGGCAGGGACGGAAGAGGATGGGGTTGTGAGGTAAGGATTAAGAGCGGAAGGTGGGAGTAAGGCGGCGTCTTAAACCTAAAGAAGACTTTGGCGTGGGGGCCTCTCCTTACCACCTTTACCGGTACACCCAGAAACCCGAAAACCAGCAGCATCTCCTCCTCCCCTGCTCTCACCTCAGCGGTCTGAGCCTCCGCGGCCTTGTCCTCCTGCGGGGTATCGGGGCCATGCATGCGTGCGTGCGTGCAGAGGGCGGACCCGTCAGTCAGGCAGGCAGTTCCGGGTAGACAGGAGCGGACAGAAGTAGATAAGAGTAGGCAGGAGTAGACGGGAGTAAACAGGAGTCCCAGTAGCACGTGGAGGCGGTCCGGCACGTGGAACCGCACCGCACGGCACGGCACGGCACGGCACGGCACGGCACGGCCTGCTCTAACGTCTAGCCAGCAGCAGCCCGAAGCGCCGTAAGGCAGCAGCAGCATGCGGACCAACCGACGCATGCGACCGTTCGTACCTTGCAGCCATGCAACCATGAGCCACGCAAGACCATAGCGAACCACCCCGCCGCACACACCCATCCTCACATGCCCTGCTGGGCGCCCCCACGTGTCCCCCCACGTCTCCATGTGATCCATGCGACCAGCTCCCCCAACCCATCCCACCTTTGCGGGTGCCGCTGCTGCTGCTGCTGCTGCTGCTGCGGGCTGCTGTGGCGCGGGTGGCGCCTTGGTCTTCTTCTTGGGCTCGGGGGGCGCCAGGTCGGCCTCCGTCTTGGGGCCCAGCAGCGCCTCAACAGCGGACTGGGGGGGAGGGGAAGAAGAATATCCAATTGTTTCATATTGGGAGGGAAGGGGGGAGGGGAGGGGAGAGGGAGGGAGGTGGAGGGCCGAGCGATGGCGGTTGAGCATGGAGGGGAAGGGCCGACGCTGCAGCTTGGGCTGGCACCGACTAAGTTGTGGCCGGCATTGCTCGGTGAGCGATCGGGGGCATTAAAGCTGGCATAAGGGCTGTGCTTGGTCATACGGATTAGCGTCCTCCTCCTCCTCCTCCGCTGTGCCAGACTCCGCAGCTGCACCCGCATGCTCGCCGTTCGCTCTCCGCAGCTGAACCAGCCCTACCCCATCCCCTCCTTCCAGACGCGGCCTCCCTGTGTGGCTGCCCCGGATGCCTCACCGCATCCCATCCTACCCCCACACGCCCACCCACCCACCGTACAACCAGACTCGCGGCCAGTTCTGTCCACACCCACCCACCCGCTACCACACCACACATTGAATATTCTTCTTTTACCCACCCGCGCCCACAACCCCCCACCCATCCGACCACCCACCCACCCACCCACCCACCTCCAGCGTGCTGCGCACCAGCGCCCCGTCCGCCCACTTGAGCTTGCGAGTGACTGCCCCCAGCAGCACATTCATGTTCACACGGTAGCTGGGGTGGGGGATGGGGAGGGGGGTGCAGGGGTGAGGAGCGCAGGCGGAGTGAGGGGTGAGGAGCGCAGAGAGGGAGGGAGGGAAGAATGGAAGTGAGAGGGGGTACCGGAGGGGCAGTGCAATGTCCCTGGTTCAGGGATTGTGAGAGGAGGCAACCATGGGTGTGCTGAGGAGGGGGCCATACCCTGCCACCGCATACCCCTCCAGCCCCCACCCCAGCCGGCTCCTCCTTCCCTGAAGCCGCGACACAGCTGCAGTTGTAGAGCTCCTTCCCAGCTGCCAGCTGCCAACTCTTGATGCCTGCCGGCCCTCGTCCCATCCCAGGATTGGCAGTAGCTGCTTCCCTCCAACATGTGGCCGCCTCATCCCTCCTCCAGTAGCCATTCCCCTGACCTGACCTGTGGTTTCCCATAGCTTGGTGCGGTCTTTGAAACCCCCCGCCCTTCCCTCCCCCCTCACCGCTCCGCCAGCAGCTTCTCCTTGCTGCCCTCCACCTCCTCCGCCACCGCAGCCTTGATCTGGTCGGGAGTCACCTGGGGGAGAAGAGCACCGTACCCAATGTTGCTGAGTGATAGCGGCACACTAGGGGGATGGAGGTGGGCAGACGAGTGGAGGAGTTGCGAAACGGGAAAGAGGGTTGCGAAGGCCGGGAGGGCGGCAGTGGGTTGCAGGGGAGCTCGGGGGGTGCAGCCAAAGAAGGCGCGTGGGAGACGCGTGCAACGTGGGAACTGGGTCACCCCTCATCGCTCCAGACCCGGCGACAGCGCCGACAGGGGCTCCCCCAGTTCCGCTCCGGGCTCCTTCCCACCCCCGCCGCCTCCACTCCACTCCGCCGCCACCGAGGCCGCTGCTTCCCCAAGCTCCCCCACAACCCGCCCCATCCCTACCGGGCAACCAGCCCTCCACCCAAACCAGGACCACTCACCACCACGCCCACCCCCGCATCGCCTCCCCCACCCGTCCCCCCACTCACCACCACGCCCACCCCCGCATCGCCTCCCCCACCCGTCCCCCCACTCACCACCACGCCCACCCCCGCATCGCCTCCCCCACCCGTCCCCCCACTCACCACCACGCCCACCCCCGCATCGCCTCCCCCACCCGTCCCCCCACTCACCACCACGCCCACCCCCGCATCGCCTCCCCCACCCGTCCCCCCACTCACCACCACGCCCACCCCCGCCGCCTCCTCCAGCGCCTTCTTGTCCACCTCCGTGGTGCCCACCCGCCGCAGGTACTCGAACGCGCCGTCCAGCTGGGCGTTGGACTGTTCCGAGGTGGGGGCGGTGAGAGAGGGGGTTTAGGTGGGGGTGAAGGGGTCTAGGTGGGGGTGCGCCGATGTGGGTCGGAGCATAAGCGATGCGTGCCGATGTGGGTCGGAGCATAATCGGGGGAGGAGGAGAATTGTACGGCTCTCCCGACAGGGCCATGGAGGGTGGAGACCCTGGAGAGGAGAGGGGCCGTGTAGTGCTTTGCGGTAGGGGCCTCGCGGGTTGGACCGGCGTTGAAGGTCAGTAGGAGAGACAGGTACCCGAAGGTTACGCTAAGACCCCCATGCCAGATGCCTAGCAAACCCATTGCTCGACGCAACCAGGCTCCGTGGCTGCCCCCTCTCGGCCGTTCCGCCCTAACGAAGAGCCCTCCTCCGCCTCCTCCTCCACCTCCTCGCCAGCATTACCTTCATGTGCTCGCACATGATGTAGCCCAGCAGCATGGGCCGGTGGCACAGCGCGTTGGCCGGGTACTGCGGGAAGAAGGGGGAAATACAAGTTGGCATAGGGACCGATTGCCCCTTTCGTGAAGGGAGTATGAGATGTAAGGGGCAGCAGGGGCAGTCGCGAGGAGATCCAGGGAAGCCAAAGTGGAAACCTTGATCAACCGTGAGGGTTCTGCTATGAACTCTTTGTCACACATGTGGACGTAGGGAGACTTGCGCTGGGCGACTATCGCGGGCTGCCGATTGGCACCATGCCGGCTTGTCGCTGCCGGCCGCCGTCTTGAGAAAGCAACATCCAAAGTAACACATGAAACGCTTTAAAACCTACCTTGCTAGCGACCGCATAAAGCAGGTTGCCCTTAGCCTTAGGGCAACCGGACGCAGCGCCTGCTTCATGGATCACCTCCTCAAGTGTCTTGGCGAACTTGGGATTCTTTGTAGCGTTCCTGTGTCACCATCATATGCCATTTCTCGCGCCATACTCGGTGATCGCTTTACTGCCGGGCGGTGCGAAAGACATGCGCTTGGCGCTGAAATTCCCTCGGCTTACTTGGCTACAGTCTCATCCAGTCCAATGCCCAGGAAGAGAGGCATACAGGCAGCCTCCACCTCCTCCTTGCTCGCCATATCGCTAAGCTCACAACGTTTCGCGCGACAGTAAGGGTTTTCAACACGAAAAAATGCCACAAGAAGCCTATGTATCACGCGTCGCACGGCATAGGCCACCAGCTATTCTGTTCTGTGAACCTGTCTAGGGTTGTTCGTGCCGTTACAAAGATATCGTGGCGAGTACGGCAGAACAGTACGGAAACGCAATGAGCCATCAGCGATGATCAAGGCAACAAGCAGAACGTAACATACCCGGAATCCTTGCAGGATCCCCTCCTATGAAGCTCTTTGTGTGATGGACACCATTACCAGTGGTACACCCCGTCGGGGCACTTATTCAGCGTGTGTTTCCCAGGACACAACCCTCCCCAGCGATTGCCGGGATTGTTTTCCTAAGAGGTTTTCATTATGCTTCGGATGACCAAAAGCAAGCACTTCTTGTCCAACCCGTTATTGGGCCACCCATTGCCTAACGTCTTGGGCGCCCCCACACAGGATGACAACGAACACTCGGCTGAAGCCCTATTCCCTTCTCATTACCCTTACGTATCCTCCCACGGCATTGCCAGGCCCCTGATCCCCGCTATGAGGAAATGCTCAAAGCACCCCTATATAGCTGCGAATGGAGGCAACATGCCTAGCTCAGCTTCACAACATACACAGAGACAAGTTGAACCCTATCCTTGTCCTGCTCCTATTTATAAGGTACCGTTATTATCTAGTAATAAGAGTAGTAATGGGGAGAAGTTGGAGAACACGTACTGCATCCACCGAAACCACCGAAGCCCAACAGGAAGTCAATTTACCAGACAGCTTGTCACTATTTTATGTATCATACACTTTTTACTGCTAGGAACGTAACATGCGGTAGGCTCACGCCATAATAGAGCACAGCCGACAAGCAAGTGCTCCTTTTACCTGCCACTGCGTATCTAGATCGCTTTAGTGTATTCAAAATGCTGGCAAGACTTGTGGCCCTCGGCCGGCCAGGTGTGGCATATAACTACGAGTCCCTGCTGATGATTGCTAGTTCGGCTGACCGTGACAAGCGAAATGTCGTAAATGTTTTGTGTAATGTATATGCAGCGGCTTTTGAAGCTGTGGGTGTCTCGCGAGCTGTTGTCGCGGCGGCTTGGGAGCCTTCCACCTCAGCTATTGGCAGCCAGTTATCAGGAGCCGCTTCCTCCCAGCAGAGGGACGGAGGTCGGGAAGCTAGCACCAGCTACGGTTCCGATCGCGAGGTAACACTGCTAACTCGTAATCCAGTTCCCGCTCCATGTCCGGTTCCCGATGTAGCCTACCCCCGTACCCCGACCTACAGGGAGCATGGAGCCCGCTTCGCTCCAGCCCATCCTGCTCTCAGCGGCGCTTACACGCCACACTTGCATCACCCACCGCTGCTGCGGTTTCGGCCGATGCCACCACTACCGCTGTTGATGTTGAGGATGCCATCGAAGATGCCGACGACCCGCTCCTGGGCCTCGACATGGAATCCCTGATGCGCGTCATCGTGCACCCGCTACCCCTCGGACGCGTGCGCAACCCCGCGCTGTTCTCCGGCGCTGCTGCCCCGGTCGTCCAACTCGGCAACGAATCCTTGTTCTTCGACCCCACCGCCACCCTCTCCTCTACCATGCGCGCCCTGTACGTCATCCGCCAAGTGCTCCGCTCCGACGGCCACGTCCTCATCGTCAACCCAAATCCCGCCATGCGCCCCCTCATGCGCGAAGCCGCGCACCTCTGCCTCAACCGCAACGTGTGGTTCTGGAGCCGTGACTGGCAGTCCGGCATCCTCTCCGACCGCAAACGCGGCGTGTCCTCCGTCCTCATCCCAGACCACTGCCAGCCCAACCGCCGCCTCATGGCCAAGCGCGGACTGGAGCTCCGAAACCCGCTCTGCCCGCCTGGTTACGTGGCGGCGCAGCGCGCGGCCGCCGCACCCACCCTGGGCGGTGCGGACATGCAGCGGCTGCTGCAGCTGGCACGTGGGGGCCGCAGTAAGGAGCTCGTGGCCAAGGGGAAGGAGTCCAAGCACGTCCTGGCCTCGCTGATGGCAGCGCGGACGGCGGAGGCGAGGCTGCTACCCGATGGCTCGCCGCCGACCGCCGGTCAACGCGGCGGCAAGACAACGCAGTTGGCGCTGGTGGTGTCGTTGGATCTGTCGTACGGCGGCGAGGCTGTACGGGAGGCGTACGAGCGCAACATTCCCACGGTGTCCTTGCTGAACGGCCACTCGGATGCGTCGTGTGTGACGTTCCCGGTGTATGCGTCGGAGTCGCACGCGGGCTACCAGCACTTCTTCCTGGAGTGGCTGCTGCGGGTTGTGAACATGCCGCGGTCGCCGGCAGCTGCAGCGGCACGGGAGGAGAGGCAGCAGCAGAAGCGGGAGGGACAGGCGGCGGCCAAGCAGACGGTTGTGGCCGCGGCTGCCGCGGCGGCGGCGCAGTAAGGAAGTTGGGAGCTTTGGAGAGGAGGAGGTGTATTGATGGAGGGGTGGGGGTTTGTTCGTGCATTACTAGTGCCAATGACGGTAGAGGGAGGGTTGGTGTGTGGGGGTGGTGGGTGTTGGCAACATGATGGAGGGAAGGGGATCATGGTGTTGCATGGGCTACTGTTATGGGAGTACTTGGGTCGTTGCATGGGTTTAGGAGGGGCGTGGAGTGACGCCAGATGCGAAGGCAGGATAGGTTAACGGTATATGTACGGAAGTGATACATCCCAACCGGGTTGTGCGGGCTAGCTAGCGTTCATTGCCCGTAACATGAGTAGCGGGAGCCGCTAATAACGAGTTGGGTGGCAAGGGCGAAACCCCAAGCGGCCATCCGTTGCAGTGGTAGTATGACGGATTTCCGGGGGTCGCTGTTTTACGTGCGTGCGTGCTGCGAAATTCGAGGGAGCCGTTGTGGCATGGATGAGGCTCCTGGCATGGGCTTGCATGCCACGTGCTGGGCGGGGCTGGTCATCCGCCGCTTGTTCGGACGTACTGACAAGGTGCAACGGTAACATACGTTGATTAAAGCAGACCTCTTTGTTCCAATGTCCTGCTATTATCACTGAAAGTGCTTAACACGACACCTGGCGGCTCGGTCAGCTGCAAGTCAGGAACCGGCATCCGTTACCGTAGCCTGATGGCTTCTTACCGCGTAAGGCACATGTGTGCATAAAAAATGCAGCACGACCAAACGACGGAGCGAGACAGACAATGCATTGTGATGTTGGTGGTTAACCACATAACGCAGCCGCACCCCTGCCGTACAAAGTTTGCTTGCACCATATGCTATGCTTCCGCGTCTATGTATGTGGGCCACCCACAGCAGGCATTAAGTTGGCTGGTCCTGGCTACACCATGGTTGCGCATCGCAAGGGAATGGTCAGGGCCCCTCAGGGGTTGTGTTGGGCCTGAAGTTGGATGGCATACCCCGAGCAGACGTGCCGCTACAAGCGGCACAACCAAACCCACTTCCAGATACCGTCCACCTGTGAAAGATGTGGAACGGAAATTGGTCCTTGTACTGGTAGTCGGTTGCTTACAGTCATCGTGAGCAATTAGAGGTCGGAGACGAGCTTAACAGCAAACAAATGTTCCTATTAACACAAGGAATACGAAAGTGTTGCATGTCCCTGAGCTCGTAGTCATCAACTTGCTGGTCGCTGATTTGATGTAGACAGCCCGCCTCCGAAGCCCGTACGGCTGTGGCGGGATTCTTTCTATCCGCGGAGGGTGTGCTGCGTTGAACGAGTGACAACATGTATCTTTAGGATTTTATTAGCAACACAGTTAATCAGGAACACCGTTGGTTGGATAGGTTGTCGCTCGCATGCTGAGGCAGAATGGAAGCGAGCCAGGCCCCACAACTACTTGGGTCTCTCGGCTGCGAGGCTAGGCTTCTTCATCCTGGCTTACCGGGGGTACTGGAGGAACGTTTGCAGTCCTTAGACCCTGCTTCAGCAGACCCGACTTGCGCAGCTGAGCTGTTGGCAGTTCTTGCGGCAGTCCTGCAGAACGCTTGTACAGGGCGTGTGGCGGCAGGCTACGCCGATGTACCTCAGGCGGTTATGCAGGCAAGACTCAGACGCAAGCGCAGCAACTTGGCAAGAGTACCTGGCGGTGTTGCGCGTTGGCCTCAAAGCAATTGCGCTTTGGCGCAAAGTTTGAGGCCAAACATCAAACTATGAACCTCGGCGTGCTATCCCGCAGGATTGCGTCAGGCTTGCGGGCGCCATGGTAACATGGATGGCACAGGGCGGAGCTGCAGGGGTTGCGTCGGCAACACCGGGCACTTGCGCAAGCCTGAAGGCAAGCCTATCGACTTGGCCTTTGCAAGGGAGTGCCACATGTACATGTACAACGCTTGGACAAGACCCAGCGACGGCTCAATATGCCTTTTAGCTTTCCCGTAGGCGCTAAGTCTCCATTACCACTTCCCTTTGTGAATATATTGTGCAATTCCAAGCCGCTTACAAGTCCTGGGCACCTTCCGCCACAACAACAGCCGACCCACATGGTGCCCGTGAGCATCCCGTGACACACCCCGTCAGCACCCCTGTGACACGCCCCGCACCCGAGAAGCGACCCGCATGGACCTGCAAGGCCTCCCAGGGCCCTCCTGGAGATTTTAGCTAATCAAGTTAGCTAGTCAAGACCTGGGATGGATCTTAAAGCTGTTAGCGCGGAACTCCCTAAGCAAGCCTGACAAGCACCTGTCCCAAGCCTCGAAACCAGGAAGCACAGACGTCGAGGTGACCCAGATCCCAAACCACGCACACTGGCTACTGGGTCACTTGCTAACCGCCTCCTAACTACAAACCCCGCCACAGGAGTTTGTAGCTGCTGCTCTGGACCTCGCCTCCCACGCATTCTTCTCTCCGGAGTAAGTTAAAAGCGTTCGTGTGGTCTGGACCGGGTAGCCAGCCTTGCCACGCCTTGCGGGCTTCCTGCCTGTCGAATGCTCCGCTCATTCGTTGTCTCACGACAGCATGCTGACCGCCGCCAACGCCGCTGCCGTCCTCCTCTTCCGGGCAGGTGGTACGAGCAGCTAGGGCCCAGCAGCTACGTGGCAGCGGGCAACGCGGTGCGCGGCTACGTGAGGGACTTGGCGCCCGTGGCACTGGATGCTACGGAAGCATGCTGGAGAGGTGTGTACGACATGCGGGCTGAGGGGCTGCCGTACGCAGCGACCCCAGTGGGCGGGTTGTGGTACACAGTCTACCGCACCGTTTCGTGGCGGGAATGCTTGCTACTGAGAGTACTGTTACCGTATCCGGCGTTTGACCCGCTGTGCTTAATTTGAATGCAAATGGGTGCCCAGGTCAGGTATTCCTGTAAACGACCCGTATGCCGCTATGGAGTTCCCACCCTCCGTCCCACACTCCTCACACCCGCCCTCCTTGTATTGCCTCTTGCATGTTGGCTTGCTCTTGCACGCTGTCTGGCTGGCTGGCTGCCGTACCTCAGCCGTGGAGCAGCAGTTGGCGGCTGGCGACCCGACCGGCGAGGAGCTGCTCGAGGCGTGCAGGGCGCTGTTCGGGGCGCTGTTCGAGGGGCTGAGGCACCTGGGTGCGTGCTGCTAGGGGGTTGGTGCAGGGCGTACGACATGCCCACAGGCATGCAGGCACGCATTCATACTTGCGCATGCGTGCATCCATCATAGGCATCACTCCTGTGCGTATAATAAGGGACTTGTCGATACCGTACAATCGTGGTTGACCGGCGCTTTATGAGGGCCCCTGCAGGTTGTAGCTCTAACGGCCATGGCCATCCTCGGTAAGGACAGCGCCGTGGGGTGCTTGTCATGCATTACCCACCCGCCTTCCCGTGCCTGCTCCTCCTTCCTCTCATCCCGCCTCCCTCTTCCCCGCCTCCCCTCTCTTCTCCTGCACTTGCAGGCACCACGTCTGCGGACCGCATCAACGATCCAGCCTTCCCACGCGAGATGCGTTCCTTTGCCGGCCTCAACATCCTGTGGGCGGGGCTGTCACGTGTGCTGACAGGACTGCCGCAGGAGGCGCTGCAGCAGCTCTTGAACGGTGCGGTGCGGGGCTGGCAAGGAATGAAACCCGAACCCGGCTGGGGGGTTGCGTGAAGGTTGGGTACTGATTTGGGGGTGGGAGGTGGCATGAGGGGTTGAAGGGGCTGAGGGATCCAGTAAAGCTTGAGAGTGGGCACTTATTCCTTGTTTCCTTTGCCGCCCTCCCTGCCGTCCCTCCTGCCCGCCGCAAAAGCAGGTCACGCCGTCCAGTCGGTGCTCCGGTCGCTGCTGGGCTACCTGGCAGCGGAGGTGCGGGCCATGGTGGCAAGCAGCGTGCCTGGGGAGTACGAGACACGGCTCAAGGTACGACATTGACGGCACGTAACGGGTCACCGCAGGCAGTGAAGAGCGGCCCAGCGAGGCTGCAGTACTGGGTGTGTGACTATTGGGGATGTAGCAGCGGGCCTAGGGACCAACCCAAAGCTCTTTAACACCAGGCGGCATCTGGGTCCATTTGGGTCACCTCCATGTTAGCCATTTCCGGTGCTGTGACAGCGTCCACAACAACAACTGCGTATCTTGCATGTCGTCTGCTTCATGCCAACTGCAACCCCTTCATACCTACCATGTTCGGGACTTTGACCTCCCTGTGCGATGCAGGTATCCCGGTTCTGGCTGCAACACGCAGCCCGAGTGGCCCAAGCGCACCCCGCAGCGGCGGCCGTATGCTGGGACGAGCTCGCATCCACAGCGGCAGAGGTGTACGGGCACATTGCAGCCTGCGCTGCCGCCGCTGCGAGTGCTGCTGCTTCGGCTGGCTCCAGCAGTCAACACCTGCAAGCACAACAGCATTCGCCCCAGCAGAAGACGCTTGTGCAAATGGCGCGGGATTTGGACTCCGCGGTTGCATGCAAGCTGACATCGGTGTTGGCGGTGGTGCTGGATGCGGGATCGGCTGGAGGAGGGGGTGTAGCGGAGAATGGCAACGGTGGTGGGGGAGCCGCTGGTGTTAGCATGGCGGCTCCGAACATGTTGGAGGTGCGTGAACTCGAGTCGGGCGGTTGCGTGCGCGAATTGTGTTATGAACGCCGGCCAGCCGAGGACCTAACGGCCCCTCACCAGTATGCATTGTGGTGGTGTCGATTGGTGGACTGTTTGGCAGCAGTCAGCAAGTGGTTCGAGCATGGCGGCATGGGAAATGGTGGCATATCTCCCGAACGTTCTGGGGAACGGCGACCCAATCACGACCTTCTTATTGCAAAAATCGTTCGCCGTACTCATGCCGCCGCAGGCCCGACTGGCAAAGTTGGAGGCTCTAGCGCAGCAACAACAAGCCGCATCACTGCCAGCTGCTGCCACTGGTACGGCGGCCCATGCGGCCAGTGTCGTACCAACCGGTGCCGTACTGCTAGGCCTGGCGCTGCTACAGCGGGCAGCGCATGTGAGCCCGGAGGCACGAGCCGCCATGGGGTCGCGGTTGCTACCGTGGGCGGGCGTGGCGGCCGCCGTCAATCTGTATGGGCTGGTGGGTGGAAACCGCTTCGATCCAGTGAGCTGTACTCCTTTAGGCAGTTTTGGTACTCCACACCCCGTGCCTGCTTTCCCTCACTTGTACTTTACTCGGCACCCTACCCTACGACTTCTCATCAACAATCACCCTACCCGCCGTCCCTCCCGCCCTCGCATTTGCCACTCTCTCCCCTCCCTCCGCCTCCTCCTTCAGGCGCTGCATCAATGCCAGCCCTCCGCCGCCGTCGCCCCCTGCCTGGAGGTACCTCACCAGCTGGCAGCAGCGGCGCTGACGCTGCTGGCAGCCAGCGCGGAGCAGCAGGCGGCAGCGGAGCAGCAACAGCAACAGCAGCAGCAGGGGGCGGGGGGAGCAGCAGCAGCAGGAGGGCTGGATGCGGACACATTTGCAGCGGGCTGTGCCGTGGTGTGCAACTGGGGTAGGTTGCGCGCATCTTGTGCAGGGCGTAACGGTATTGCTGTCCTTTGGAGTTTTACATCCCTCTATCTCTACGAGTCTACCCAATGCTAACCTCTTGGCCCTCGCACCTCACGCAGGCTCCTGCGCCCACCCGTTGCTGTCCCTCACCGCCTGCGACGTCCTCTCCACGCTGGTCCAGCGCAGCGAGCCTGCACTCGGCTCCCGCCTGATTGCTGCAGTAGCGCGGCTTGCAGGGCTGTCAGCGGCCGCTGAGGCGTCTGTAGCTGCAGCAGCAGCAGCTGGAACAGCAGCGGCCGGTGGCGGCAGCAGCGGGGGTGCTGGGTGGTGTGTCGGCAGTGGCGAGGCATGTCGGGGTGTGGCTCGGCGGCTGCAGCGTCTGCTGGGGTGCCTGCTAGCGGTGAGGGTGGTGCTGAGGATGCTGAGGGTGCTTGCATGAGGGGGAACGGCAGGGGCTGGGGTCGGTATTGGGAAGGACGTACCCATGAAGGGGCTGGAAAGTCTATGGTCCGCTGGATTTCTGGTCCCCGACTGTCCCGTGCTATCACCGCCAGCTTGCAAAGCGCCCGACTGACCCACATCACCCCGCGCTTCCTGGGCCGCAGGCCGCCACCCCCCAGGCTGAGCCTGCATGGAGGGAGGTGCTGGCTCGGCTGGCTCCCTCGCACCAGCAGCTACACCCCAACAGCGGACCGTCCAGCCCGTCAGACCACCATGCAGCCTCCCAAGGCTCTTCATCCCAGGCGCCTCCTTCCACCTTCGACATTTGCGCTGCTGCCACCGCAGGGGCGCTATGGGGCGCAGCAGCGGCAGCCGCCGGTGCCCATGCAGCCGCAGCGAGGGCGGGCATGGTGGGGATTCCCCCGGGGTCGGGTGCAGCAGCGCCGGGTCAGGGAGCTGTCGTACATCAACATCACCAACATGGAGGAGGGCCGTACGGCGGGGTTTCGGAGCAGGAGCTTGGGGCGCGAATGCGACAGCTGCTGGGAGCTGTACGACAGGTAAGATGTGAGAAGGCGAGGAGGGTTGTCGTCTATCTAGCGCATTACACGTGTACGGTTTATGACGCTTTAGGAAGAGGCCCTATACGCAGTGGCGTGAAGCCTTGATCCCTAAACGCCATCAGCGTATGCCCCGGCTTACAGGTGCTTACAGATCTCTCCACGGTTTGGTAGTTTGCACCCTACACCTTCCGTGTTGTATCGCCTTCGTTGCCATGTCAGGCTTCTGCCCTCGTCAACAGCTTCCAAGCTGCGACCTCAGCTCCCAAGGGCCCCCCGACAGCAGCAACCGCAGCCGCGGCGGCCCTGGCGCAGCAGTGGCTGGCGCAGCTGCTTGATTGCATGGAGGTCACCGTTGCGCATGTACGGCATCTGGGTGCACCAGGTGGGTGTGTACGGCATCTGGGTGCACCAGGTGGGTGTGTACGGCATCTGGGTGCACCAGGTGGGTGTGTACGGCATCTGGGTGCACCAGGTGGGTGTGTACGGCATCTGGGTGCACCAGGTGGGTGTGTACGGCATCTGGGTGCACCAGGTGGGTGTGTACGGCATCTGGGTGCACCAGGTGGGTGTGTACGGCATCTGGGTGCACCAGGTGGGTGTGTACGGCATCTGGGTGCACCAGGTGGGTGTGTACGACAGGGTTTGGCATGTGGGCATGAGACCGGGAGGGCCTGGCATGCGTGGCATGCTGTATGTCTGGCGTTCGGGATACCCCTTCTTTCATGGCCGGCGTTGGTCTGTGGGATTAGGTTGTGTGCGCTGCACTAGTACCACTAGGACAACCCAGGTCTAACGTTGCTTTCCTCCCTTGCTCCCCCATGGCGACCCTGTAGCGCTGCAGCCGGCGGTGCAGGAGGCTGCAGGCTTGGCAGTTGAGTTGTTGCAGGTGCGGGGCGATGAGGGTTTCCAGGACTTCGGGTGGGGTTTGGGAGTGAGCGATATAGGCTTCGCGAGTGATAGAGCATTATAACGAATTAAATCCGTGAAGGCCGGGCGACAAGCATATGCCCAACAATGTCAGCTTCACAACCGCTACTTTTGACGTTAGGACCTTCCTGTTCCTTCCTCCAAACTCTCGCCCCCGTTCTCCTTTGCTGCGCCGCAGGCGCTATCCTCCGACTCGTCGTCCTCCAACTGCTCTAGCCCACCGTTCGCAAGTACGGTAACTGCCGTACACGTAGCTGCCGGCCGCTTGCTGGCTCGTACGGCAAACTCCCTGACCCCGGCGGCGCTGGCAGCGGCGGTGCCGGCGCTTACGCGGCTGGCACAGGAGGGCCCCGTATCAGCAGCGGCAGATGCGGCGGCTGTGGCGGCCTACTGCAACGCCCCGCCTCCGGAGGTAGGAGCTGTCGGCCTACCCTGGGGATGCTTTATTTGGCTTGTATGCAGAGGGGCAGCCTTCAGTGAGATCTTTCTTTGCAAAGAACTAAAGTAACTGAAGGCATGATTGACAGTTGCCACCCGATTCCGCTTTCTCCCGGACGCGGTTCCTTCCTGATCACCCCACCTTCCACAGGCCCTGTTCCACGCTCTCCTGCGCAGCCCTCATGCAGCCGTCATGCACGCGGCGCTCCAAAGCCAAGTCCACGTGTGCCGTACCGTACCGCAGCAGTACGCCGCCAGCGTACGACGACTATTCCCTCCGGAAACGGTACCGACGGCAGGTACGGCAGCCGCTGCCGGCGGAGACGTGCCGCCAGCTCAGCTGGCTGCCGTATTTAAGTCGTACATGGCACGGAAGGTCAGTGATGAGGAGGCTGCCGCCGCCACAGCGGCGGCGGCGGCGCCGTCAGCGCATGCCGCGGAGGGCGCCCGGCTGGCGGCCGGCGCCAGGGAGGGGTGTCTGGCGGAGGCGGGGCTGGGGCGGCCGGCGGCGCCGCCTCAGCTCCGGTCGGCCGTACAACGAGGTGTGGAGGCGTTGCAGACATGCATGGCGACGTTGTCGCTGGCTGTAACGAATCAGAGCGGCTCAGACGGAGGCTGCGGAGAGGGGGATCCCATGGTGCGTACGCTAGCTGCTGTTGTCGGTGTTGTGCATGAAAGGTTTATGGAGTTACCTACCAACTTTCTTTCCTTAAGGTTTATCCACTCTTGGATGTTTCTTGACATTAACCCTACGTGCCTACACGCCCAACTACCCACCCACCAGGCAACCGACCTGCCGTACGGAACCAGCCGTACAGCCCCAGGCGCTCCTTCCGGACAGCAGCAGCTGCCGTACCCATCCCTGCATGCGCCCAACACGCATTCACAACCCGGCAGCACCGTCGGCGGCCCCGGCAGCGGCGGCGGCGGCCCGTTTTCTGGGCTCATAGCTGATGACAACGCCGCCATGCACGGACTGACGGCGGCGGTTGGCGGTTTGGAGCGCTGCATGGGGGCGCTGCATGCTGCCGTACTCGCGCAGGGTGGCCCTGGCGGGAGGGGAGGCAGGCCGGCGGATTGGGACCAGTTGCAGGTGGGGGTTGGTTTGTACGTTCTTGGAACCACACTGGGTCATTGCCCTCATTGGCTGTTCTTTCGGGGCTTTACACCTTTAAGCCTGTTGAAGGTGAAGGTCAATCTATTGTGCCCTCGTTGCCCCCGCTGCTTCTGGCCGCCCACCAAGGATGCCCACTCCCTCCTGGTCCCTCCTGCCGTACAGGCTCACGCCCGGAAGCTGCTGGGCGACCTTTCCAGCGTTACCTCCCGCATCCGAAACATGAACGACCTGCTTCACGCGCTGCAGGGCCGCTAGCAGGAGGCGAACGTGCAGGGGTTGGGGACGTGCGTGCGTGTGTGCGTATGCGTATGCGTGATGTTCTTTGTGCGTGGTGAGGGTGCCCTGACATGCGTGCAGCGTGCTGCGAAGTGTTAGGGTTGCAGGAATGAGCCGTATAGAGTAGGCTGACTTTGTAATGCGCGGTTGCACACGGGTTTCAGCGGAGAGTTACAGGAGTGTGATGTAGGTGGAGAGTGAGATGACGAGTTGACACGAAATGCGTCCTTTGCATCAACGACCCATGGGTCAGCCATTAACGGGCACAGTCGTCTGAGGGTTCAGTGCATGCAGCGCATTGATAGTCCTGGGAACGAATGAGCCAAACGGGGTCGCAGCATCGGGATACGGAGCTGGCTGGGTTCTTCCCAGCTGCCCTGGCATTACGTCCACGCTGTGCATGGTGCCGCAATCGGTTCCAACCGGACGGTTTAGTTTAGGCATCACATCCCTTGTCTTTCTCGTACGTCCTTTATTTCTTTGCTTAGCAGCGTGTACTTACGATGACGGATAAGTTGCAGGTTACACAGCGATAGCTCTGGCGACGTGGCCCGTGGACCCAAGTAGCAAGGAGAGCTTATACGAGCATGCATTATAGGTGGACTAGCTGATGGATGCGCAGTAAGGAAGGGAGGTAGGCTAAGCAAAAGGCTTTGAATTGGTAGTGACATGCTCTGCATGGCGCTGTGCTGAAGAACACCGTGAGGGCGCTTACGATATCGTCTAGCGAGCTGCGGTGCTCTGCACTTGGCTTGGCATTTCGAACGATGTGGTGGGCACACACCGAGAGTATTAGGGCAAAGTATCAGACCATGACATGTACATTTCTTCGCAACAGCCCTTGACACGCTCTCGTTTGGATCGTCAGCTCAGTATGTTGGTAGAAATTTTGGAGCGTCGTACATTCATCCCTCAACAAAATTAGTAGTCGCTCAGCCCCCTAGCACTGCCGCTGGTGATGAAAAATCCCCTCTTGTCGCAATGCCTAACAAAAAATCCTGGACAGCCTTCGCTCCTGAACTGTGTTCTCCTCCCTCTTCCTTCTGAAGTGGCATGAAACCTTCTCTCAGCAACTGGCGACAGTGCAATGAGATCCAACCTCTCCTCCTCGAGCACAACGGCAGCAGCACGTCCAACCGTATGCACACCATTTACGTAATATGTTGATAATAAGTATACCAACAACAGCTTCAAATAGCCGGTGGGCTCCGGCCTCCTAGCTCTTGGGCTCGAACTTAATGCTGACACTGTTGACGCAGTGCCGCTGGTTGGTGGGCGTTGGGAAGCCCTGCAAAGCAGCGCGACGATGTACGACAAGGCATGAGCGCATGACAAGGTTAAGGGTACGTCCGGGACAGGACATACGGCTCATGTTACGGCCCTTAGTAACATACGACATCGAGAACAACAATGAGAACAGCCGCAGGGGAGTGGACACACGGAAATGAAAATGCGGTCCGCACAGCACACCGCGACCCACGGGTCAATCCCCGACACGTACCTCTCCCTCAAACACGTGCCCCAGATGGCCACCGCAGTTGGCGCACGTGATCTCCACTCGCCGCATGCCGTACGATTCGTCCACGTGGCGCTCTACGGCACCCGGGATCTCGTCGTAGAAGGCGGGCCAGCCGCAACCGCTGTTAAACTTGGTTTCAGACCTGGGGGCGGGGCGGGAGTTAGATGGAGCAAATGCGAAAGCAGCGGTTGGCAGCAACGGGTAGTCGGCAGTAGCAGCGACGGATGGGGAGTAGATAGATGCAACGAGTTGTGAACGTGAGTTGTAAAAGATACGAATTGTATAGTAAAAGATACGAATTGTATACCGGGAAAGGCGCGCCCTAGCAGTTTAGACTGCTGGGAGTGGACATTGACTGGACAACGGAAGGTCGCAGCTCCTGGCTGCGGCGCACTGGGAGCTCGAGACCCACTGACGCACAACGCCCAACTCACTCACTTGTACAGCGGCGTCCCGCATCCAGCGCACTTGTAGACACCATCCTGCAGGGTGGGGGGTAGACATAGGAAACTAACGAGCTGCATGACGAGGCTTCACCATGGGTTGCAAACTGAGGGGGGAGAGGCGCACATGATGTGGCGAAGTGAGACGGGCACCCTCGTCAGCACGCCCCAGCACCCCAGCAACATTACAGCCTCCGAAACCCTCTCATGCATTCGGAGCTTTGGGAGCTTTCATCGGTCTCCTTTCTGTGTGACGCCTGGGGCAAGTCATGGGAAGCACTCATGCTAAGCTGCTATGGTCCGGCAGCCCTGGCAATGCATGCAAGTCGGAGGAATTAAACGCGACGCTGTTCCTAAACAGGCACTCCCTGCTGTGCTATGGCCCCAGGCAACCTAAGGAGCCCCAGGATCCACGAATGCCTGCCAGCCTGCCAGCCAGCAGCTCCCCAGTAGGCCGCTATGGCCTTACCTCGTAAAACTTGTTGTACTTGCCGGTGCCAGCACGCTCAGTGCCCTTCTGCCTGAGGATGTGGAACTAAGAGGTGATCGCGCAAGCCAGGGGATTCACAGGGAGGGAGAAAGAGAGGGAGGAAGACGTGTGTGAGGAGGAGTAAGGGGGAGTACGTTCGGGACAGCAAAGATGGACGGGGACATGCATGTGTGGCGTAGCAAAAGAGGGAAACGGAAAATGATTTTGGCTTCAAACGGGTGACGCTAAAATGGTGTATTCAGGCGCTCAACGCTGGTTGTATGCGGTTAGAGAGGGAGTGATAGGAACGTGTGGTTGGTTCTTGTCACTGCTTCCAGGCAAGCCCTTGCAAAGGGTTTCATCATCGCTATACGTTGTAAAGACATCCAGCTTTAAAGAGAATAATATACTGTATTTGCATACTGTGTTTGCATATTATAGTTGGTCGCCATTGACGTGTTACACGCCATAGAATCCTACCTCTTCCGCGCTTAAGATTTGCTTCCAGACACCATCAGGTGTGCTCTTGTCAAACTTTTGACCCTCGTTGCCCGCGGCCATAGTCGTAGTGATCCGGCGAGTGGTCGCAGCGCTTCGTCGCGATGGAGCTCCGACGAGGCGAGGTCCAGCAGCTTTAAATGTACGCAGCGAAAGCATTGTAAGCTGTGTACTGTACTAGTTCAGGGTTTCCTACCTATTTTGCGCGACAGCGTTCGCTGGACGCGAGACGATGTGGACCCTGCCGTGCAACTCCAACCTTGGATTCACATTCGCTCTTCGCCGGGCAACATATCAAAAGACGCGTCTACAAAGACTATGATGCATGCTTTTCCTTTTCACAAACACTTCACAAACTGCTTGCAGCACAGTTGATCTCATCCGACCAGGACAACACTTGCACTTGTAGCGTGGCTACGATGAAGCTTGACATTGTAGCCCGTTCTGGGCGGACGCTTACCACCCTCGACGTCAACCCGGACGTAAGTCGGCTGTGCAGCAAGGCTTTTCGCGCTCGGATTCTTGGATGGGTCCTTGCTCACCTTTTGCTATTTGGACGCAGTCCACTGTTGCGGAGCTAAAGAAGAAGTTCCATATCTTCAGCCGTAAATACTATCCGGCTCGGCAGCGCCTGACGCTTCCAGTTAAGCCTGGCGAGAAGCGCGGCACAGTTCTGGATGACAGCAAGCGCCTGAGCGACTATGGGCTGACCGACGGTTCGAAGCTGGAATTTAAGGACCTGGGCCCGCAGGTATGTGCGTACTCCGCCCCTGCTTGCTTTGCTGGGTTCCCGGAGTCCCAAGGGTCACGGGGAAAACGGACGCGACGCCGAAGAAGCGTCTTTTCTGTCGAACACATCAAGGTGCATAAAGGCCATCCCTAGCTTGACTGTTGCAGCACCTCACAACCACGCGGCGGAGTCGCCTTTTTTCCAATCATTTCTCGTTGCTCGTTGCTTAGTAGCGTTCCGTAACGCCCTACACAAGACACCACCACCCTAAAGCCGCTTCTGGCTCCCCGGGCCTGCTTCCCCAGATCGGCTACTCCACTGTATTCTTCTGGGAGTACTTCGGACCGCTGGTGGTGTACCCGCTCTTCTTCTTCCTGCCAAAGTACCTCTACCCGCACCTCAAGTGAGTGCGGGGCGGAGGCGGGGGGCAGTGCGGGCAAGGCCGCTGCGCCCATGCACCTAGACCCGCACAGAGGAAGGCACTAGGGGCGGAGGCAGCGCAAGCCGGTCACTAGCGCAAGGCAGGGTAAAACTGGGCGGCAACAGACCCTTACGGGCAGGGCTTGTTCGGGTGCACACGCTGCAGACAGGCTGCCCAGTCCCTCCCTCTCCGTGCACGCACGCATCCTCATATACAGTCACACTAGCGGCTGGGTTTCTATAGGCCGCAGCCGCAACTCAATCCACCACCAACACCACAACCGCCCTCTCTCCCGCCTGCTGTGTGCCTTTCTGGTACCTCTGTCTTCCTAATACCTCTGCCTTCTTGTTACACCCCCCCCCCCCCGCGCAGGACCCCCGCGCAGCACCACCTGGTTCAGAAGCTGGCGGTGGGCTACTGGTGCCTGCACTACAGCAAGCGAATCATCGAGACCTTCACCGTGCACAGGTGCGGGAAGGGAGGAGATTGGTGGTGGTGGTGGTGGTTGGAATGGGTTGGGATGTGTTCTCCTCGGGGCGAGGTTTTAGGGCATTTTGGGATGAACACAGAAGAACGTATGGGTCGGAAGCTCCCACAAGACATGTGTTGTGCCCTTTCTTCTACGTCTTTTAGCATGTTCCTGGCAAGCATGGTGTTGTGTTCCCATCCCTTTCCTTCCCCTCCTGAAACCAGGTTCGGCCATGCCACCATGCCCATCTTTAACCTCTTCAAGAACTGCGCCTACTACTGGGGCTACGCGGCATTCGTGTCGTACTTTGTGAACCACCCGCTGTACACGCCACCCAACGAGAAGATCAGCATGGCGTGTCTGGGCCTGGCGCTGGTGGCTCAGCTGGGCAACCTCAAGTAAGGGAGCTGTTGGGGGGGGCTGTTTTTGGGGGGCGCAGCGGGCTGTGGGAAGGCATCTTAACTAGGTTTGTACCTACCAGTGCTTCTGAGTAGTTAATAAGGGTTAGAAGGGGTCCAGCTATTGCTGCTCCAGGCTACCAGCGCTGACCCCCTTTCCTCCCGCTGCCGCCGCCCCCACCCCACCCCCCCCTCCGCACCGCCCAGGTCTCACCTCATCCTGGCCAACCTGCGTGCCCCCGGCGAGAAGGACTACAAGATCCCCCGCGGCGGGCTGTTCAACTTCGTCACCTGTGCCAACTACACATTCGAGATCTGGGGCTGGCTGCTGTTCAGCTTGGCGGTGCAGAGCGTGCCCGCCTATGCCTTCATGATCACCGGGGCTCTCCAGATGACGCAGTGGGCCATTGCCAAGCACAACCGACTGCGCAAGGTGGGGTGTCGGCTGGGTGCCGGGTAGGTTGCAGGGTGGGTTGTTAGGCTGGGTTGGGTTTTACGTGATGCTAGGGGGCTTGGGTGGATAGGATACATCAAAATACCGGTAGTTAGGTAGGGCTGCCTACCGCCATTGCCCGTGTGCTTGTGTGATTACAATGATGCTTTTTCGTACCACCATCATAAGCACTGGGTTTTCTGTGCAACTCGTCCTACACTGCACCCCTGCCTCCCACGCTCGCCGTACAGACGTTCGACGGCAAGGATGGCCGCCCCAAGTACCCTCGCCGCTGGATCATCTTCCCGCCCTTCCTGTGAGGCGGCGGCTGGGTGCCGGGGTGTCCGCGGCCGTCGCATGCAGGCATACAGACAGACTGCATGTACTTGTGCCTGGGACGTTAGGTAGCTTCGTTGTGAAGGCCAAGATGGGGGCTGATACCGCATGGGGGCTATGCGTTTGGAGCCCCCTGGATGATGCCGCATGCAGCAGCATTTGCGTGGGAATAAAGGGTGGGCTCCACTAGGCCGTGAGTGGGTTGTTGGTTGGTGGGCTAGGGTTGTTGTTGGCCCGGTGTTGTTGCAAGGTTGTGGAAAGAGACGTTGTGAGCGGTTTGTATTTGCCGGTATGACTGCTTGCACGCATTTGAGCTCTGCTCTGCTCTGATTGTTGGCTAGGCGCCCTTGCACCTAGATTTTCTCGCCGTTGGAGTTGTGGACGGCGTGTTGGAAGGGATGCGGAGGCCCATTGTGTGCAGTGGATGGGCCTTGGGAGCCGGTGGGTAGGTGTGCTAGTCTCGCGACGTCAGCAAATCTGTAGATTACAGAAGACAGAGTCCCAGCTAAGAGAACGAGGACGAGTCCTAAGCCGTTCAACATTCACGCTGCGTTGTTCTGAACGACCCATGGGTCTGCTCCTCACGGGCAGCAGCCGCAGCACCATACCTGAACATACCCAAAGAGCAGCGCGCACGGCTCAGTCTTATACGGGTAAGAGCCTGTCATGGTCACCGGTACGCCAAATCTGCATGTTACTCGCTCTGCTACTCTCTGCTGCTGCCCCCCTCATGCGCCAGGTGAGATGATGTGTATCCCGTTGCGTGTGTCGCTCTGTAGGCTGTCATATTGCGCATGTACTGCTCTGATGGGAAGGAGGGGTCCGCAACCTCCTTTGCGGCCGGGGCAGAGTTGAGCTCGGGACCAACAGGAGGGTATCTGAAAGGGGCATGGGGCAAGGTATGAAACGGGACATCTATGACATCTATGGCGGAAAACACCTTAGGCAAGGTATCTGTTTCAGTAGTCTAGATCAAACCATGCAACCACACACGCCCATTCCATCGCCGCGCGCACGGGTCTTGCATGCACAACGAGAGCCTCACCTGCTATCGCTGCGGGCCCCATGTGCTGCCACTACTGGCGTATCGCTGCCAGCACCCACCACCCCAGGATAGAATGTTAACCCGCCGGGTGTTATGTTCTGCCAATCCTGCCGGTCAGGTCTATACCCTCCATGCTGAAGATGGGCCGGGGTAAGACCGGCCTCAAGCATGCATGCGTTACGCGGTTACGATACTCCCGATTGCAGTAGCCAAAGTCTGGGAGGCACCAGTCCAGCACACTAGGATGCGGAAGGGTGCGGTAACGCCTCCACAATCCCCACCGAGCCGCGGCTCATCACTGCTCCGCAGGCGGCGGCTGATGGATAATACAATACCGGTACAACCTGTCCAGCAGAGCCCCGGGACCAACTGGTACGTGTTGGTGCAGCTCGGGCTGGCGGCGGCGGCGGTTGTGGTGGTTATCGAGGCAGTTGCGCGGCTCGGCTCACTAGGGCGTTCAGGATGCCCCGCATCTGCTCGTACGGCCGGGGCTGTGAGGTGCTGGCCACGGCTTGGCCTGGACGGGAAGCCGGGTGGAGGGGTGGTGGGGCGGTTAGGTTTCCCTTGTGGGTATGGCCAGCCATGTGTGCTGTGTGTAAGTGGTGGTGGGGTGGGTGCTTAGGAAGGAGGCTGGGTGGGTGGGTGGGTGACACCAGTGGAACACGGCATGTGCCCCGGGGCTCCTGACCTCACCTTTGCGGTCTAAAAGTACGAACGCGGGAACGTTGGTGACTTTGTAGTGGAGGAGCTGCAGGCAGGGCGGGGTACAGGGTGGGTGTAGGGGTGGTGTGAGCCATGTACGGGCGGGGAGATGGGTCGGGGATAAGGGGTGTGTTTGGCTGCGCACGCAGCTGCACTGTCCTACAATTGATAATAAAGCAACATAAACATGCAAAGAGGGCCCAAGGAGAATTACACGTCACCTCGGGCGCCCACTTCACTTGGTCATCGGCATCGACCTGGAGCACTGCAACCTCAGGACGCTTGCCAGGTGGATGATCGCGATCTGCAACCTGGTCATTTACGCTCAATCTGGTAACCGGCAGATCGGAAAGCAAGAGGGTGTCAACTAACTAAGACGTTGCACTTACTCGTCGGACGTCATCGCTTAATCGTTGACAAAGTGGGCATTGTTTACTGCTGAAGAACATTAAGGTTGTAGACGGTGGACACGCTTGCGGCACATTACTTCTGGGCGACATTGCAAATAAGGCGCAAAACGAAGGATTAGCCAAGGATCAGCGTGTCCCCCGAAGTAAATTTAAGGGTCCCTATAAAAGAGTTAATTACGTTTCGCTTAATTTTAATGGATTATTTCGGGACGTATGTACAGTCTCGTACACTCCGTACAAAAGAACTTACAATCGCTCGAGCCCCCACGAGAATACACTGATGATGTTCTGCTTAGGACCGGTTTGGCCCGTGGAATGTTTGAGAAGGGTTTCCCATCGCCGCGCGACACTTCCACAGCCACGACGCCTGACCTTTACCCCTTGACCGACGTTCATGCTCTCTATACCCTCTCACCTCACTCGTGACTCGAGCCACGCAGATTGGACAATCCTGATCGCCATGCATCCTACTAATCGCGGCGGTAGATTCGGATTGCTATCCGCATGTGCGGACCAAGGCGTCGGCAGTCAGCGCATTCCGCCCAGCCCTCATCCCATCGGTGGTACGACCCAAACCCCGTTCCTCCGGCTGCGCTCACACCTGAACCATACCCACGCTGTTTGGCACACCAAACCCGCTGCTGCCCCCGCTGACATCACCAGCGGCCACCGCACCATCCAGTAGCGGAAGTAACCCGGATGCGAGCCAGCATGAGCGCATGACGCTACTGCTGCTGCTGCTGCTGCTGCTGCTGCTGCTGGCGACGGTGACGGTGGCGCCCCCATTCCGGCGCACCACATGGGCTGATGGATGAGGAAGTTCAGCAGCTGGTACGGCAAACCGCCCGTACGGCACCCCGCCCGTACGGCAGCAGCTGAGTGCCGTACTGCTCCCGAAGGACGAGATGCTGGGCCTGTTCTGGGGGCACCTTGCGTCTACTACCGTACCGTACGATGAGCCCATGTTGTCAGTTGTTGCAATATGTCAGCGGCTGGATTGCTGAGCGGAGTTGCAGAGAGATATGGATTGTCGCGCCACTTCCCCGCCTGTCTCAGCCAAGAGCTCAGGAATAGGCAATTGAGCTTGGAAGCAGAGGCACAAATCGGCAATAGGTCGTGATTGGCACGTTAATCCTGCAGGCACTTCCTGCAAGCAACCTACGCGAGGGATGTGGAGGTAAGCCTAGCCGGTTGTGCTATTCCGCATCGCCTAAGTGAGATCCCCAACCCCTGACGGGCACAACATGGACGTTCCTTCAGTGTGGCCAGATGTCGCAGGGCTCCCTAACTCGACTTTGTAGCAAGTGACCCATGGGTCATATACGGCCAAACTCCCCTCCCCGCCCAGCTCTGGTCCGTGAGCGGCGGAAGAGACATACGGGGTCAATACAAACATGCCTTTCAACTACTGGTCGTCAAAAGTGCCGCCAAGGGAAGGGAATAACTGCCCAGAATACTGCGTTGTACGGTGAGGTACAGACACCTGCAAAGAGGTACGTATGGGGAGGCGTACGTACGAGGGAGGCTATACGGCTGGGCAACATGACCTGCTGTTCACCACCCTCGCTCGTGGCGGTGTGCCCTTGTAGGCCGTACATGAGCTCGAAGGGCAACGGAACTTGGGGTTAAGTGAAGAATGGAACACTGTGAAGGGTTGGGCTAGCACCAACTTTGCTTCCCACCTAAACGACTTGCGAGCAGCCAGGTCACCAGCGAACCCTACATTGTCTCTCACCCTCGTAGTCCCGCTTCTTGATGACATCAGAGCTTCATGCACTCTGCTTCTTTAGCAGACGCACCGTTGTACCCAATATCGCATTGCGGAAAACATGATGCTCTTCCGCAAGGCAGTGTGTGTCATGGATGTGCTGAAGTTGGAAGCAGCAGGCGTTCCCCTGGCGGCCACGGATCTGGGTTCCGGTCAGGATCCGGCGGCCGCTACCTCCACGTAATAAGCCATACGGCACTTCATATTACGAGATTTACGCCAGCAATACATATAATTCAACACAAACCAGAAAAAACATGTTACTGCACGTAAATTTGGAGACCTGAACATGGCCGCTCAAACTCCTTCGTTGCCGCCCTATTGGTTCGACTGGCTGCTTTCTCCGTTGGTTGCGCTGGTGATTGGGCTAAATTTCTCGTTATTATGTCGCTATCCGGAACGGAAGCTTTTGCGATATGCATACCTAGCCCTATCGGGACCGCTAGCCCTGATGCTCGTGCCGTTGGCAGTCAAAGGCTGCGCCAAAGCGCTTTGCTTGCAGGTATTTATACAGAAGTCAATAACACTAAACTCGCAGTTTGCCCATGACGCTTTGATGTCCACGTGCTGTTGCCTACGGCTTGAGTCACTTAAACCGTCGCTTCCGGCGTTGCTGCGACACGGCCTCCGGTTTCCCCATACGTGCAAAGCGTCATGTCACGTCCCCATTTCGCTTCATGAAAAATACCGTAATACTCGTCCGGTTTTGGCGATTGCATTTCTACCAGCCATATCGCAAACCTCCTGCCCCTTCCCACACCCAACCCGGCTCACACCCAACCCTCCTCACGCCCACATGCCCCACCGCAGATCGCCGGCGCCTACTTCTCCTTCTTCCTGAAAGCCATTGAGTACTGTCTGCTGGAGGACCCCTGCCCCGCTCCCCGCACCGAGTGGCGCTACTTCCTGACCATGCTCCAAGAGACCTTCCTGCCCTTCCAGCAAGACGGTGCTGCGCTGAGAGCCTCCGCTGACGCCACCGCGCGCTCCGGAAGCAACAACAACAACAACAAGAACAACAGCTGCAACCAACCCCAACCAGCTGCAGGAGAGCAGCAGCACCCGCAAGAACAGCGGCTAACGGTTCCGCAACAGCAGAAGCAGCAGCAGCAACACCGGCGGCGGCGGCAAGGCACGGCCTCCCTGGAGCGTCAGCCCTTGGTCCCACCCGGCACCTCCTTGCCCGCCGCGCTCGTACGGATTATCATGGAACTTGCCGTACAGTACTGTGCCTACGACTGCCTTCTAAGCTTCTGCGTCAAGCCCTTCATTGGACCGGACGGCAACGCAATCAGGACCTCCTCCTCCTTCTCCTCCTTCCATGCAGCAGCTGGCGAGGTTGTTGATGGAGCCCTGTACGACGGAGCCATGTACGGCCATAAGCCGCATGACGACGTCACTACCGCCGGCGCCGCTCTCCCGCTGCTCCCTCTTCCTCTTCCTCCACCCGGTCTCCTCAGCAGCCTCGCCTGCTGCTGGATCCTCCCCTCCCTGGCCTTCACCCTCTGCCTTTACCTGCACTTTGCCATCTCCTTCAAGGGCACCCTGCTATCGCTAGCGCCCCTCCAGCCGCAGCTGCTCTACCGCTGCCGCCACCAGTTCCGGGAGCCCTGGCGCGGCATTGTCTCCGTCCCCGAGCTGTGGCGACGCTGGCACCAGCTCTTCCGGGTAACCTTTGTGCGCCTGGCCTACCGCCCCGCAGGCGTCCTCACCCGCCGGCTGATGCAGCTGGGCGAGCTGCAGCGGCTGCAGCGCGACGACCCGGATAAGCGCTCAAGCGGGCAATTGCTGACAGCAGCATCAGGTAAGGCCCTCTGCGTCGGCGGCGGCGGCACCTGCAGCAGTCGCAACAGCAGCGGTGGTGGTGGTGGCAACAGCAACAACAGCATTGGGTTGGTAGCCAAGGCCAACGGGGGCGGCGGCGGAGGCAGCGGTGGGACCGGCGGCGGCAGCGGCAGTAGCGTCACTGCGAGTGATTACAAGGCATCCGGGGTGCTGACCTGCGCCTCCGCCACCTCCGTCACCTCCGCCGGTGCAACGCCAGTGGGCCACCCGAGCGGCGGCGACACCGATCCCGCTGCTGCTGCTGCTGCTGCTGTCACCTCCACCTTCCCCCCAACTACAACCGCAGATACCGCTACAGCTGCAGGGGCAAGGGCAAGGGCAGTGGAGGAGGCTGTAGGGTTAATGGCGGTGTTTTTGCTGAGCGGGTTGGTGCACGAGTACATGTGTTGGGCGGCGTTGGGGGCGGCGCGGGGCTGGCAGCTGGGGTTCTTCCTGGCGCATGGAGCGGCCTGCGTGGCGGAGCAGGCGGTGCTGGGGGCAGTGGGGAGTGAGGAGGAGGAGGCGGGGGAGGAGGGAGGTGGTGGGCGTGGGGGCAGTCGGGAAGAGGAGAAGGAGAAGCGGAGGCGGCGGGTGGTGCTGTTACGGCGTGCATGCAAGGGCGCGTCGGTTGTGTTTTGCGTGGCGAGCAGTGTGTGGTTCATGCGGCCCTGGTTGCAGGCGGGGTACCACTGGCAGGTGTGGCACCCCTTCTCACCTGCCCAGTGGCTGGTGGGGCAGCTGGGGGGGCTGGGGAGAGGTGCCGGTGGGGGGTTGCTGGAGGCGGCTGCGAGGGGGTCGGAGCTGTAGCGCACTGGTAGTCTGTGGGGAGGTGTGGTGTGCGAGGAATGCGGGGTAAAGCTAAGGAAGACTGACGAACTGGATGACGAGGCTTCACCAATGGGGGGGGGGGGAGTTGCTGCCATGTGCGTGTGCCGAGGGGCAACGGGACACGCAAAAAGCGCGCCGTGCATGTCGTACTGCTTGTTCATGATGCCATGTTAGCGATGTTAGCGATTGATGCCTGGTTAGGGGAGCTGAGATGTACGTTTACCAATGCATGCGGCAATCCACCAGCCCAGATCATGCCACTGAACGTAATATGTAATGTCGTTCATCAGAAGCAGGTTCAACGGAAGCCGGTATTGTCGCTCAGGCACTTGCAAGAGAGCTTTGCGCACCCGGGGGATACATAGGGGCATAACTGCACAGCAGGCCTCGCAGTAATCAATGCGGGTCAAACAATCCCAACATGGAACAGCACAACGACGGCTAGTAGCAGTCCTTGTAGTCACCGGCTCGGCATGCGCCGCAAACAACACAAACGACAACCGTTTTTCCGAAACCGCACAACCGACCTGTCTCAACCGTCAACGTCCTTGTCCCAACTCCTCAAGAAACCCCTCCAGCCACCCCAGCACATGCACTGCCCACAAAAGCTAGCAGAAAAAGAATCAGTCTGCAAAGCATGCGATAGCAACCCTCTTAACGCTCTCTACATACACCCACCACCTCCAACTCCTCCGCCCCAACCCCCATTCCGCCCGGCCCGACCCCTCAATGCATGAATATGGCCCTGCGCCGCCGCTCCTCCGCCTCCCTCCGCTCCTCCTCCTCGCTCATGTAGCTGCTGTGTGCGCTGTAATCGTCATCCTCCGTACGATAGTACGACCTTCCCCGTCCTTCAAACACCTCCTCCTCATCCCCATCCTCCATATCCCCATCATGCTCCTCCTCCTCCTCCCCCTCGCTGCCTCCGCCCCGCCGCCGCATCCCCACCGCTGCACCCCATCCCCCATACCCCCCACCTCCCACACTCGCCCCGCCCCCGCCACCTCCCATGCCCCACTCCCCCACCGCCTCCTCCTCCCCACCCATCTCAAACTCCTCCTCGTCCGGGTAGGAGTTGGCGTAGTAGCTTTCCGCGTTGGAGTCCTCGCTGTCATGCTCCTCCGCCTCCGCAGCACGCTGAGCCGCCTCCGCCTCCAGCTGACCCCCCCAGAAGAACTCATCGTCCTCCTCAGCTACCTGCACGCATGCATGCATGCATGCATGCGGGCGGGCATGCAGGCCGGCAAAGGGGGGGCGGATTAAGAGGATGATCGCAGCCTATAATACAAATAAAGGCCTCCCGCCGCCCCCTTGCCGCCTGGTTGCTCTCCAAGCAACCCCGCACACAAGTTCCTACTCACGGCCAGTTTTCTTAACAACTACCCAACCCCGCGCACCCACCTCAATGACCGGTACGGTCCAGTCCTCGCCCTCGGGCGCCTCCTCCCAGGGCCACAGCTCCTCCTCCCCTGCTGCTGCACCTGCGCCGCCACCCGCCGCTCCTCCTCCGTTGCCCCCGTCCTCCTCCATCTCGTCGGGTACCGGCACATACACGTCGTACACAAACACACCGCCCTCGCCCTCCTCGTCCCTGCCCCCCTCGCAACCTTCTCCCCCCTCCTCGCCCCCACCCACAGCCGCCTGCATGGCAGCATCCCCGTCCCGACCCGCGCTGGCAGCTGCGGCGGGCTGATGCGCAGGTGGCTGAGGGTGAAGGCCAGCTGGCTGTGACTGCGGCTGCTGCTGCGGCTGCTCCGGTTGCTGCCCGAGCGAGCCTGGGGTCTGAGGCTGCTGAGGCTGCTGAGGCTGCTGAGGCTGCTGAGGCTGCTGAGGCCCCTGCTGAGGCTGCTGAGGCCCCTGCTGAGGCTGCTGAGGCCCCTGCTGAGGCTGCTGAGGCTGCTGAGGCGGTGTGGGCTGTGTAGCTGGTGCGGGTGGCGGGTGCGCGGGCCGTCTAGGTCGTGCGGGTATCCTGCGCGTTGGGGCGGGGGGCTGCTGCCCCTGCTGCTGCTGGCCGCCCAACTCCTTGAGCACCTCCTCCAGCTGGGTGTTTTGGGGAGGTTGGGGGGGTTGGGGTTGGCAAGGGGGCAGGGGGAGGGGGTGGGAAAGTTGGAGGGTATGGAGGGAGACATGGGCGAGGCAGGGGGGGTCAGAGGCGTTACAGGTGCGTGCGCATGTGGAGACACCCACGGCAGCTGGTTGCGGCGGGTTTGGGGTTTGACAGCCTCAGCCCCGCCGCTGGTGCGCCTTCCCGGTCCCTCATCCTCCGCGCCTCCCTCCTTCCTTCCCTCCCTCCTGAGTATTACCTAATCCCCAGACCACCCCCCCAGGCCTCCTCACCAGCGGCGCGTAGTGCTGCTGGATCAGCCTCTCCTCCTCCTTCGTTACACCACCAGCCGCCTGCTGCTGCTGATCCTCAACGCCTGAGCCAGGCGGCGCGCGGCCAGCCCTACCCGCAGAATCCCGTCCAGCCCCTGCTGCTGCTGCCGCTGCTGCCGCCTCCTGCGCCCGCACCTGCGCCCGTGCCTGCTGCTGCTTCTCCCTGCGAACCGCCGGGGGTAGGCGCTCCAGATCGTACATGTGAAGCAGCCCAGCGCCCTCCGACCCCGCCTCATCACCCGCAGCACCCTCACGCTTGCGACGGATCTGCATGGGGGCGAGGGGGGGTCAAAAGCCATACCGAACCATAGGAAACCACGGGTTAGGGCAAAGCGATGGGGATAGGAGGCGGCAGGGCGCCACAATACAAAGTGTTGGGCGGGGGGTGAAGAGGTTGTCAAACAACATCTTATGACTGGCTGTGACTGGCTGACTGCATCGCACTCAGACTCTCCGTCGCCGCCGCCACGGGCGTACCCAACACCCAGTTTGGGCGCACACCGGTACACGAACCCCCAACCCCGTGCCGCTCAAAACACACCACATTACTTGCCTAGCCCCCCCTCGCTCCTCCCATCCCACCTCGCTCCTCCCCAGCGACCCGCCCCGCCCCGCCCCCCCCCCCCCGGGCCCCGCACCTGCTTGTACCGCGCCGCCTGCCCCGCCTGCCGGCGCGACTCCCGCAGCGCTGTCATGCGGGCAACGTCACGAGAGGGCAGACCCCGCCCGACACCGCCCGCCGCTCGCCGGGAGGGTAAACCGCCGCCACCTCCACCTCCGCTGCCGAGGGGTGCTGCATCCGTTCCTGGTAGCCCTTGCTGCGTCTGTTGCCGCGCGCAGGGTTGAGGCAGGGACGGTGAGCGCGCTGGCGCCGTCGAATCGGGCTGCGTGTCCTGTTGTGGGGGTTGCTGCGCTGCAGACTCTGCAGGCTCCGGAGCTGTGGGTGGCTGTGGTTGTGGTTGCGGTGCCTCCGTGCATGCGGCTGCTTGTGCCTCGACGGTGGCGGCGGCAGCGGGAGGAGAAGGGGCTGCGGCGGCGCCGGAGGATTGGGTGCGCAGCAGTTGCAGCAGCTGGGCTTCCGACAGCGTCTGCAGCGGGTGGAGTAAAGAGGAAACAACTAACTGTCTGAGTGATAAGGCGTCAAAATGGTTTGCAACATGTGAGCCAGCCCGACCCGCCCAAACGGGTGGGTAGGGAAGGGGGCAGGAGGTGTGGGTGTAGGGAAGGGGACTGGCAGCCTATGCAGGTGCGGCGGGAGACAGTGCGGAGACATCAATCGCCATGAGTGTTACTGACTCGAGCGAGGGGTGGTGAGGTCATAATTCATGAGGGAGTTCAAACTGGGTATACATAGCGCCCAGGGAACATTCGAGGCCCTGGCCAGACCTCCACAAGCGCAACGTCCAGAGTCCGCAAACGGCGGAAGCGCCTCCTCGGCACCTCTACAGGTGGCTCAGCAGCGCCGGCGCCAGCGAAAGACATTCCCTGGAACTGCAGCAAGACCTCGTCGTACCGCGGCTGCTTGCTCTGCCGAAATCCAGCAGCTTCCAAAACTACATGCATGCAGGAGCAAAGCGTTTGAAACGTTGGGACACAAATGCTTAGACTTTACAGTAAAACAACAAGACCAATCTACGTACTAATTTCGGGTGCCGCAGGATCGTCGCGCCTCCGCTTAATCCTAACAATTGTGAGCGTTGTTGACGCTGCTTCTTCCATTGTTGGTTGTTTAGGTGTGACAGCTACGCCGCTTTGTTGGCGTCCTTAATGGCGTGCCCAGCCTATGCTCACTATACCCAAAGAGTAATCAAATGCGTACAGTAACAATAATAAACTATCACGAAAGTGCGGAATGATGTTTAGGGCGCATTGGTAAGAGTACAGTAAGCACTGGATTCAGCGGTTGGTGCCCCCGAACAATCCCTTTTGCGTGGATTTTCCTACGATTTAGGCTATCCGATCAGAACAAAGTTAAAGGATGCCAGTGTGATGAGCATTTGCAGTGTTAAACTGTTTGAACGTACTTTCCCAACGAGTCGCCGAATTAAGCGGATATCCTAGCGGCCCTAACCTATGCTTCCTTGCTCCCATTCACGTATATTCACATGACAATGTTGATAGGGCTTGCTTGGTTGCGAACGTCGGCCCCGTCGACGGTCACGGCGATGAACATGTGCCTTCCATGGCTCCGTTCGGGTTCACATACTCACAACGAAACCTCGCACCCAAGATGCGGATTCAATCAATTGCCACTCGATATGATCCTGGACGACCCGAAGCAAGCCAGCTTCTTGATCGTCGTCCCCTCCAATACCGTCAAAGCCCAATCGCCTGTCATCTTCGTGCCTCGGCCTGCCATCCCTCGTGCGTCCGTGCAGCAGCCCATTAGGGATGCAGGACTGCGCACTGTCTGTTTTTTGCCTTTTCCCTTTGTCTTGAGTCGTCCCGCCACATAGTCGGCACCAGCCTCACGCCCACCAAACAAACATACCAAGTAGCTTGCTACTCCCGTGCCGACTCAGCCCGATCCGCCTCGCAATAGCCCCAAATCTCTTGTCCATCTATCACTCCTGGACCCCAAACATCCACCGCCTAATTGTTCCGCTGGGCAACGGCAGGTCTCTCGCGTAGCTTCCTCTGGACGACTTCGCGGTTCCAGTTGGCAGTACGGTACCCGTCCACCGTCCACCACACCCTAGGCAACACGCATCTGCAGCTCTCTCTCTATCTCTGCAGCGCCAGTCAAGCCAGACTTCCTTCCTTAACTTCCTACGTAACACCAAGCCTCGCTAGCAGCTTCGCACTCGTAACTTCCCTTTCAGCCGTTCCTAACAACAACACTGCAACAGCCGCAGCGACGCTTCCCCAGAACTCCGGCCCCAGTAGCCCATACTAGCAACCACAAATCGGACACAACAAACATGGAGTGGTGTCTAGGGATGCGCATTGTTGCGCCGCGCAGAAGGCCGCTGTCCTCCGCTCGTCCCGCATCGGGCGCGATCTGACAGGGGCTTCTGAGGGCTTCCCAGCCTCCAGGGCGGGACGACAGCAAGGCGGCCCTGTCAACGACACGCAAGGAGCCGCTAGCCATTCCAATCGGTTACCATCATAGTTTCCACCATACCTCTTCATCGTAGTTTCCGCTAGCACGTAGGCCCCGCTAGAAATCGCCGTGATTCCCAGCTACGCAGCTTGAAAGCACGCTATCCTTCAAGACACCCAAGCAAGTAGGCTACCACACCACCACACCACGACACCACCTCGCACTGCTTCATGCGAGTCAGTGGCTAGTCCTGCGCGTCGTCCTGCGGTCACAGCCCCAGAGGAAGCGGTGCTGCGCTGGTTGATGGGATGGGAGGCGACCCATCGGGCAACTGCAGCAGCAGCAGCAGCAGCAGCGGGCCCTTTACCAACGCCACGGTCACCAACGAAAACAGCAGTGGCTGCTGCTCCCTCCTAGAGCACTCATCGCAGCCCGTGGTATCTAGTTACGTCAGGCTGCTATCAGTGACAACCCACAAAGCTCCTGTGACAACCACCCTTGTAGATGTTGTAGCAGAATGCGAAGCACCTGTTATTCCCACGGCTCAACCGCTAACTGACGACATTACGCCCTCACCGGCCGCCGCAATCACAGCAGCCGCAGCAGCAGACCAGCAGCAGCAGCAGCAGGCCGTACGGCACGACGCCAGCTGCAACGCTGCTGTCCAGCGCTGCTCCGCCGCCGCCCCGTCCTCCCACTCGCCGCCATGGCTGCTGCCGCCGAAAGCGGGGCGCTGCTTGCTGGGCTCTCGCCGTACGGCGCTGGCGCTGCTGCCGGTGCTGCTGGCAGCGTTGCTGAGTTGCTGCGTGGGGGAGTCGGCGGCGGTGGCGCCTGCCTCGGGTAGGTGGGTTGGGTTTGGGGTGGGAGGAGTGCGGAGGGCGGAGCAGGGTTGTTGGTGATGCTGGTGGGGCGAGGGGGGAGGCAAAAAGGCAGCATGGGCGGGCAACGCATGCTTGTCGTTGAGGTGTGGCAGTGGGCTTGGGCACCAGTTAAGCTTGCGGTCATGGATGATGTGGTGGCCTATGTGATGTGGGGTCAGCTGTGACGTGATGCCAGTTGTGATGAGAGCTTGTGCTCACCCCCCCGCCCGCAGCAGCTGGCATGTACCTATCCCGGGAGGTATCGGCGCGCCCCGCCCCAGCGCCGCCATCGCTGGCAGGCCCCCGGACGCTGCCTGTTCCTGATCCGGAGGAGGAAACTTCGGCGGCCGGCGCCACATCCAAGGAACAGGGACCCGGTAGCCTCGCGCATGCAGCGGAACTCAGCCCCAGTGTTCGTAGCGACCAGCAGTTTGAGAAGGAGGGCACTGCTACTGCGGTGTCTTCACTGCATGCAACGCTGGATACGCCCGCCTCCGAAGCCGTTCATGAAGGCACCATGAGCAAGGGCATCAACGACGCCGGCAGCAGCGGCGGCGGTGGCGGCAGCAGCAGCAGCAGCGGCACGCATGCCGCAGCCAGCGGCACCAGCAGCAGCGCGGGCACCGGCAGCGAGCTACCGGGCATCGACCCCGCCACCACCTCCCGCAGGCGCCGGCTGGGCCAGCAGAGCTCCTCGCCCTCCCGACCCCCCAACCCTAAGCGACCTGGGCCGCAGCGGCCCCAGCGGCCTGCCTCCACTTCCACCTCCTCCTCCTCCTCAAGGCCCCAGTGCGGTGCCAACCCGCTTAAGCGCCTGCCCGCGGCCTTCACCAGCCAGCATGGGCTGCGCAGCTGTCCGTTGGTGGTTGGCTACCTGGTACGACCTCCCAAGGGGCCGCCGGGCAACCCGCGGCCGCAGCAACCGTTGCAAAAACATCAACTGAACGTAACGGGAAGCGCCGGTAATAACGGTACCAGCAGCGGCGGTAGCGATGCTTCTGATGGCAGTAGTGGTGGCGGCAGCAGGGCAGGCGGCAACAGCGGTAACAATGCCACGGGGACCCCGGATGCTGACCCGTTGTGCTCATGGGTCGTCCTCATGAACAATGGTCGGGTGAGAAGGCAGCAGAGGTCATGGCGGGGGACGTTATGCGACTTGTGACATTATGTTGGCCGTACAGAGGCAGGAGCACATGACCGAGGTCTGCGTGTATGGCCGGCATGTTTTTACAGAGTACGGTAGCTAGGGCCTCGAGACGCGTGTGCCTCTGCACAGCCGTGCTGCCGCAGCCGTTCCTTGTGTCGCCGATGCTCCTACCCGCCCCCTCCCTTCTCCATGCTGAGTAGCACTGACTGCGGGCACCCACGTGTGTGTACGGCACGTGTGCTCGTACAGGTGAGCTTGTACGGCTGGCAGCTGGTGTGGCGGTACAGCAACTACTCGGCCTACCACACGGACGAGGTGGAGGGGGCGGTGCTGGTGACGTCAGGTGGGCGGGTGTGTTTGTTTGTACGGCAGACCACGCATGCATGCCTTATACGACAGGGAGGCATACATGATGGCGGGGGCTGCGTGAGGAGGAGGCTGCACGCGTGCTTTCGGCTCGGGCATGGAGGTCTCAGCATTCTGGTTCCTGGCACTGCTGTAACGTACGTGCCTCAACCCATCACAGTACTGCCTGCAAACGGTTGCAACCAGCAGCAGCAGCTGCTCCTGCTGCTGCCCCTCCCGTTGCTTCTTTTCCCCTCCTCCTCCTCCAACCTGCCGCACCCGCACCCTCACCCGCAGGTGTCGACGCACCTGTACGTGTGGTCAACTCCGTGGAGGCTACCTCGGTTCCCCCCTCGGGCGGTTGCACCAACTTCTCCATGGCACTACAGCCCAACACTAGCGCTGCGGAATGGGCCGCGGTGCCCCTAGAGTGGGCAGCGGTGTTTGTGAACGGACAGCGCTGCGTGCAGCTGCCCTCGGCCAGTCTGGGACTGCCGCGATGTGGGCTGCCGTACGGCCACCTGGCGGCGGCGGGGAATGCGTCCGCGACGGGGCCGTCGTCATCCTTGATCTGGGGAGCGCCACCTTGGCCGCCGAACCCGGGTGAGTGGGGTGAAGATGGGGAGGGAGTTAGTTGGGTCACCGCCGCTCGCTGGGTGATGCTGCTTACTGGGGAGGCGGAGGTTGGGAGTGGAAGGCTGCCGAGCTTCTAACTAGCGGGCTTCCGTACGGGGTTCGGTATTTCGGCCTGGCCTCGACCTCCCTGCGTCCTCAACGTCACCGTCTCTGCGCAGATGCCGAACCACCGCCCGACCTGGCTTGCGTCTCCGTCTTCTGCTGCGGAGATTCCGACCCGGCGGACGTGTTTGGCACCTCTGGCAGCAGCGACTCGCTGCCGTTTGGAAGCACCGGAAGCTCTGGGAGCTCCAGCGGCGGCGGCGGCAGCGGCGGCGGCACGGACCGGCCAGCCGCGCCGGCGCCCCCGCCCGACTCCCTGTCGCAACTGAGTGTCGCGCTGACGCAACTTACAGCGCTCCTGATGGGCCGCTTGCCGCCGGCTGCCGACGACTCGCCCGCGCCTTTGCCTTTGCCTCCTACGGACCTTCGAAGCGGCAATGCAAGCAGCGATGTGACGAGCAGCAGCAATAGTAGCGCTGCTGGTAATAGCAGCATGGGAAACAGCAGCAGTGGCAACAGCGGCATGGGTAACAGCAGCAACGGCAACAGCAGCATGGGAAACAAAAGTTTGGGTAACAGCAGCAGCAGCAGCAGCGGAGACAGCAAAAGCAGCGCCAACACCGCTCTTGGCGGCGGTACCGTGCTGCAGGCGGATACTTTGGCCCAACTGAACGAGCTCCTAACGGCCGCGGCTGCCGGTGCAGATGTCTACATCGAGCTTCTAGCAACGCTGCAAAAGGTCGTACGGGAGGGGGGTCTCGGAGCG